GCTATAACATTACGCGGACCTGCCTGGCACTCATTTGATTCCTGTACAGACGCAATTTGGCACCAGGAAGACAAAAGCGATGATAAAGCCGAAGGCGGGTTAAGAAAATGGACGTACAATAAAAATTGGTATTTGTTTTCCAACGGAAAAAATTTATACTGATATTGAACAATGGGATGCTGATTCAAAAGATTTGATGTTATCGAGAATAAACAATCACGGTTTCAATTATAAAAACAACAAAAATGATACATTTTAAATTTTGTTTATCCGTTTGCGGTTATGTAATTGAAGAGTGGACACTGAAAGCAGTTGCAAATCATCATTTTTAATCATACGAAAGAGCCTTTATAGGTTTTCTTCAATTTGAATGGTCTTGGAATAAATCACGTTAGTATCCTTCGTTCTTCGGTAATGCGATTCGGTTGTCTCAACCACTCACACTGAGATGTCACTAGTGAGAACTACACTGAGTGACGTTATCATTTTGAAGAAGATTGAAGTATATACCTGAACTAAAGCAAGTTCAAGTTTTAATTGCAACGTTTTCTTACATTTAAGTTTTTGTGCCATTGTTTTTGTTGAAGAAAATTATATCAAAAATATTAAATTTATTAGTTTTCTCACGCGTTTTCGTAAAAGAAGCTGATTCGTAAAAGACGTCGAATCCTTCACTTTTGAATTCAAAATGTAAAGAGTGAAACATTTCACAAACAAGAATAAATTTGTTTACTCTGGTTTACTAAATATATCGCTTCGTGAGACAAATCTCAAAACCCGCATTTTCTTAATGGGATTCATCAATGTAACAGGGTCCAAATCACCTGCTCAATCAAACCACGTAATTCGGAATCATGTTTCTTTTTCAATTGAGATTAAACAAAAAGGAAAGCACACTTAATTCAATCTTGGATTTATTTACCATCAGTTATTCGTATCATTTCCACGATATTTTCACACAGAAATGTATTTGTTTTATGTAAGATACAACTCAAATTGTAGCCAAAAATTCAAACTAATGGATGAAATATTCCGTAACATAAACGTAATATACTTTTTTACATTGATGGCTGTATGCATGGATGTTCGAACTCGTGGTATAAGTTGTTCATTTACCAAAATAAAGTTTTTGCGTATTTGACTTGCGAAAACGCTTTTATATTTTGATTATGAAATCATAAAATAACGCAAAAAGTGCTGACATTTAATAAATAATATAGATACGTGAACACTTTACAACTAATAAATCATATTTATTGTTTCGTTTCATTTTACATAAGCTGATGTTTTAATTGAATTCATCTAATCAACTCGATTCAAAGATATAAATTTACTCATGAAATAGCAGTTGTTACAATTTCAATCAATGATCACCAATAGATACGGTAATCAGAAAACTTAATTTGAAAGAGGAGAAGATTTGTTTCAAAATAGATTAGGAATTTTTGAACAAAAGCCTTGATTAAGACTGAAACACAAAACATACAAACAGAGACGAAAATTAAGAAAAGATTTTTAATTATCGAAATCAATTCAGATCATTTTACTTGTTACTATTGGCAATACGGTTTGGACCACAAAACATTGGTATCTTGAACATATTATCCAAAAACTGCCAATAAAGGCGGGCAATATCATTTTTCTTCAACCGTCGGAAATGATATCATAGAATGAACATTACACACATACATCAATATAATCAACACCAGTAAAACCAAACAGGATGTAACAATTGAAAACAATGTTTCTAAATTCAGTTTGAAATGTGAAATGATCACAAATTTATCTGCCCAAAATTGAAAATAAAAAGTTACTTCTTATTAAATTGCAACAATTTGTTGTACTTTAAACTTGTTTACGTATGAATCGAACTTTTTTATTTTTCAATTTGTATGTTGTAGTTCTCATTGAATATCAAATTCTATGCACTAAACACTATTTATGAAATCATTCAGATACATTCCGATAAATATGGACCAACACGCATTCACGTTAACCCACTCTCACGTGTTTGTGACTCACATATGCAACACAACAATGAAATAAACATGAGAGCTGTGCTCAATTATATGGACACGTCACAAGGTGTCGCTATTTTTTTTTTATTTTGACACATAAAAAACGAATCTCTTGAAGTCCACAGAAATTTTTGAAATAAGTAAAAGTATTAGCCTTCTGGCAAAAAAATCAATCTTTAACCACTGAATTTCAAAGCAATTGGTCCAGTATTCGAAGAGAAAAGCGATTTCATCATGACGAAAAAGAAGAATACTAACAAAAACAACAACATAATATTGAAACGATCGTTATGTACACTGACGTGTCCAATGAACGAACAAGATCGAATGGTTTATAGTGAGGCACAAGTATACGTATATGGACTATAAGTTTCATCTTATAAAGAGTAAATAGCGACAATAAATCCATTGTATCATTTTCTTTTTCCGCAATATCTGACGATCAAACAATGTTATATTTGGAGATGTGATAATAGTTTCCATATTAGCATGACATTTTACCATTGCTTTCATGCTTAATTTTTAATACCAAGTTTTTCTATACATAATCTCATAATCAATTTCGTTTCATCACATTAAAAATGCTTTGATTTGCCGAAATATCGATTTATGTCTATGCCTTTCGCTTAATACGATTATAATTTCTAACTATTTCCCAATACATTTTCTATAACAAAAAAATTGTTTTGAATAGATAAACTATTTCACAACGCCAAGAATAATATAGGCATAACATCGAACTATCATTGATATGTTCATATTTCAGTTTAATCCTTATGTACTGGGCAACTAGTATGCAACAAAGGGTCTGCTATATTCTGAAAAGTAATCGTATTCAGTGGGCACTGAATAGCGTTGATTATATCTCAAACACAAAATAAGTAAACAGAAGCGAAACTGATATAAGGTATTTTTGTTTAGTGTGGAAATTTTATTCTATATCACGAATATTTATCCAATAAAACAAGAGAGTTATATGTCAAATGAATCTACAAAAGAGATATGGAAAACAACTCACACGTTAGAGTAAAATTACCTCGAAATGTATAATATGTTCACATTTCTCAACGTGAGAATGTTGCAAGTGACTCTCAAAATCACAACACATGGCATTCCGATTATTGTACTTTAACGGAGTAAAATTACTGCGAAAATATATCTGAAAGCAAAGTATTTATAATACAAATTTCATAAACTCGAGAACGTTCAGATTGTTTTAAAATCTTTCCGATATGAGATCGTATAAACATGGGGCTCGCATATAAATAACGAGGATTTTTTTTATCTGTATAGCTCAGAAACAAAAATAAACATTACGCTAATCTTCTGTTACCTTGTGTTTTTTATAACCTTCTCATGATACGATACTGTAGTTTGAATTATCGTTCGGCCGTAAAGGAAATTTTAATTCAAAACAATGTGACTCAGTTTTCCTACGCGTCGTAAGTTTCAAAAATTGTTTCAATTGCGGTTATTTTATCTTTTTATTGTTCAATGACAGCTACCTTGCTCTGCTTTAACAATCCTACGTAAAAACCTATGTAGCATCAAGTTTTTGTTTTAAGTTATTTCATCAATTTGGTGGTCGCCGATATTCAGTTATGCTTATATATCTGTAAATTGTTAAATTACATATCTTTTTTTTATTTTTTTGTATATATTTATTAATATATAAAACACAGTTGATCGGTACATCTACAACATTATTAATCACTAATCATGAACAATACACAATTCATCATATAAGATAATCAGTAATTGTATCATAAAATTTTCCATTTTTGATCATGTTTCTTTATTTTGCCATTTTTATATGCAATAATCCGTTCAATTTCCCTCACTTCATACAGATATGAGGTAAAAACATTAAAAAGCGGTTTCTTTTTCTGTATCTTACAACGATATAGATAAAACCGGGCAGCAAGAAGTATACAGTTACACAATTTGGTATAAAAATTACAAACATATCCCAACATGCAGTCTCTCTTCGAAAAGTTAAAATTAATCCCTGTTTTTGAGTATATCCACATGTTTAGAGTTTCCCAAAACTGTTGAACAACTATACAATCATAGAAAAGGTGGCTGATAGTTTCAACACTGGAATGACAGAATTCACATGACTCTGATGGAACAAGTTTAAATTTGTACAATCTATCGTTTAGTACTATGGCACCATGGAACATTTTCACATGAAAAGATTGCAATTTGGTTTCAATAGTACAATAAAAGATATCCATATACAATTTATTCCAATTAAAATCACTCTCTAAAATAATAAGATCTGCCCATTTTTTTCTTGATTTATCAGGGGATATAAATTTGATCAGGTTCAAACTTTCATAGATACTTTTATTTACTTTTTCTGATTCGAATGTTTCAGAAATAAAATGAGATACATTCTCTTCAGGGTCACTTAATACACTAAAATCAATACAGTTTCCAATATTGCATAACCAATCGTCAGGTAAAACTCCAGTGATGCGATAATAATTTACATACTCTACATCACTATATTGCATGTCATATTTTTCAGTCAACTCTCTATAAGTAAACAGAATACCCGCATTTGATAAGTGTCTTACTGCTTTTATACTATGTTCATACCAAGATTTGATAAAAAATTGTTTTCTAGCATAAGAAATACTTTTGTTGTACCATATAGGTTGGTCAAAAATTGAAATTTTCCAATCAAAAAGCACATTTTTACAGAAATACCAGTTTTTAAATACATTTCGAATGGACGTTAAAGGTAAATGCTTCAGAACATATGAATTTGAGCTCAATTTTCCTTAAGCATTGCTTGAAAACAGTATTGGCCAAGCACTTCCATCTCAATCAATTTCCACACTGGGTTAAGATCCTCATTTAAAAGTGTTTGAATGTATTTCATTTTCTGGGCAACAATGAAATTTTTTATATCTATCATATTAATACCTCCTTTTTCTTTGGGGCCAATCAAGGTATTTCGTTTGACAAATTACATATCTATATAGAACACATGAATCTAACGAATATGGCGCCACCATACGGCATTAGGCCGGGCCAGTCTGACAACGTTCGTACTCGCAGCTCAACATGTAGCCTTAATGGTATGCGAGACTGAATTTACAATCAGCATTAAGTCTAGGGGCCTCAAGTCTTCAGGATATCGACATTCAATTTTGAACTAATATTCATTTTTAGGTCGTTTTTCTAATTGAAATTTATCCGTTACAGAATTTTTTCTATAAAGCTGATAATAACAATTTTGTTCCAAATAGTTCCCGTCGGAAAAATTAAAAAAAACTATATACTGTCGAGTTTATGAATCAGTCTAAATTTGAAAAAATGTACCTTTTATCTTTAAATATATACATACTAATTTAAATTAATGGAACAGTAACCTAATGATGCTTTTATTTTTTGCAAAAAAAAAATAAATTATCGACAGATATAACAGTATATTTTGCTTAAAAATGCTATATCTTTTGCACCTATAATTTATTTGAGTAACACAAGTGTTTCGAACGGTTAACAAAACTTCTTCAACAATAACAACTTAAAATAAACTATGTATTTCTGCTTGATTTTTTCTCCATCGTCAAATTGAGACAATCTCTTCATCGCTCCGATATTACTTCGACTTTTTCATTCATGAGTGACCAAAATATTGCCCTGAAGCGAAGTAAAATAATTTTTACATAAATTATTCTCTGATTAATTTTATCTTTTTAAATAGATTAATTTGACCATAAAAGTCAATTCAATATAAAAGAGTTACTAACTCATTTTCTGTTGAAATAATATTATAAAATGCCGTTGTTTTAAATCCGTTAAATCCAGTAGAACATGCAAAAGTGTAAGCCCCGGCATCTGTTTGACAAAGAAATGGATATTATCATTAAAGACTTTTTGTCAAGAATTGTCATTTTGGACAAATTTGATTTCGGGCAGTGAATATTACCTTTCCAAAACAGCCAGTCGTCGAAGTGTAATTTTGGCACTAATATTCTCTTAGATAACGCCTTGTTATCGCAAGTCGGACCCCAGAGCCAAGCATAATGGCGATTCTTATTTGCTTTTTCCTATAATGCAAAAACCATTATTTAACCAAAAAAAAGAATAGTGACATATTTGTACTCGGCAGTCGAGAACTGAATCTGTTAATTGTAAGGATAATGTCTTTATCAAGATATCGTTGTGATACCTCCGGAACATAAGGAATCATCTCTCCCGGTAGAGTCCCATAAGAAAGCTGCAGAGATCCGTGCTTTCCTTCGTTTAGAGTATATTCAACATCCACTTTAGGCAGTTTTGAGTGCTCTAAAATTGATTATAACATATATGAAACAGATTGTATTTATTCAAAATGAAATCAGTTTACAACAGTATATTTCTAATAAATCTGATAAATATGACCTAAATGCTATGGGAAATTCTATAAACATTCAGTTTTGAACCTTTAGATTGTATTATATAATCACCTACCCCGTTTAGTTATCACCTTTGTTGCCAAAACAAACGCTGTTGCTGCATAATATCGTCCTGGCGCCGCGATAACACGCAATTTATCAAATATTTTTGCGGGAAAATTCATTTCCAAAGAGGCATTCACGGTTGACGCTATCTAGAAACAATTGTACTTTACGTTCAAAAATGAGGAGTTGTAGATATGACACAAAGAACAATAAGGACGAGAGTACAAATAAAAAGCAATCATATGGAAATATTATCCAAATGTCAACATAGGATTGAAAAAAGGTAGGCAATGAGCCTGGCATAGGAAATGATTCAGAACAGGACAATAGAAAAGTACTAAGTGATGAATCCCCAGAACGACGCTACTCTCTCACCCTGACCTCCCACGCGTCGCATCGATTTGACGCGTTAAAAAATTGTAATATTTCTAATTTCAAATCAACATAACTTCTAAACCATTAGATATCATATGGTCTGTAATATGTCATATAAAAGCTTATCTAGTCTTTTATTTTTAAATGGCATTATTTTTCACGAGATGTTTTGATGAGATGTGTAAGCCTATTTTTAGTCCCATCTACTAATTTTTTGTATTTCGGTAAGATTTAATACCTTTTTTAGAAATGTATCATCAATATAAGTAAAATTTTGAAAAGTATACAAATTTCCCTTTCTGGGAATATACGGATGACTTTCTTAACATACGGATAACTCATTTTATTGCAGAATTTGTACTATCGATTCCAATGGTTTGCGAACAAAATTGATCAACTATTTTGACGCCAAGTTTGCGTAACGACGCAAAGGGCGACGACGACATTGTCGTGTTAACGTTCATGCGAGGTTTCGCGCGTAACGCTTTGCGTGAGCTATATTGCGCAATTGCACATCTGGTCGTTCACAGCTTGAGTTCAGATTGTGTCATCATTGCATCAGTATCATATCCTCGGCCGCAGATAAAACCCTTATATTCAGACGAATTTTGATCGAACATAGTAAAATTGCTAGAACATAAAGGCCATTTTATATACGTTTATTATTTGGATATGGGACGAAAATGATTGGCCAAAACGAAATATTTGATCCTCATGCATTTATGAGGTTCCGCCGGAAACATCAAGGCTAATTATTCACCGTTGGATATCATGAAAATTGAATAAAAAAAACTGATAACGGGTACACGGAAGACATGGTGGCACCAGTAGCTCACCTGGTCAGTGTTTCACATTTTGCGGCCTCATTTGATTTTCGAAATTACTGCATATACGCTACATTCCTGATATTGCTATATTTACAACGGATTTTAAACGAAAGCTTTGTCCAGATGAAATATTGGATAGTATTCATCTATCGGAAGAAGAAAATATGGCACAATAAAATTCAGCATTGGCGCTAAACAATGCATCCATCGATATGTTCCATCATTCCATTTTTGGAAATCCTTAATTTTGCTATTCGTACTTTTCATATCTTTATGCAATTAAAACGGCAATAACACTGCATATAGTGTTTTTTAGTCGAACAGATTTTGAGGCTGGATGTAATGCGTAAATTTCCCCGTGTATCATTTACAAGTCGTTGGTCGCTTCACGAGTACGAACTCACGTAAATGATGATACGAGCTTGCGAAGAAAAGTGTTTTTCGTGTGGAACGTAAACGTGCTACGTGCCAATTGCTTAACGTCGCTGCGTAACGGCGTAAATGTGTTAGGTCGTTATTTACGTCACCTTGACGTCGCCTCGATCTTGCGACAAACAAAATCACGAATAAAAATGCTTCTAAAATTTGAATGGTGCAACATAATTTCAATCTAATGATATCACTGGAAAGCTATCTTCAAATTCTACAAATGTTGTCGATAATGTAATAGGTTTAATCGAAAACAAATTGAAGTTTTGTCAATTAGATTTGAGAAGTTTTCAGAAGCTTTTTATGCTTTTTAATTTTGCCAATTTTCATAGCATGATCACAATATTTTATCTCAATTTTAAAATTATACCTAGTCCTGTAGATCATCTTTCACACGATGTAAAACGTGTCTAAATATAATATATGGTTCGCGAGATATGAGGTTTCAAAGTTGCATACCTCATACGGGATGCGAAAGCGCTATAGCGGCTTTCAGGGTTCAAAGAGTATAGTCTTGCTGCAGACTAACACAAATCTATTTCAGGTAGTGTGCAGCAAGACTCCTAAATCACTTTGGATTGTTATCTCTACTCTTGCTACAGCATCCTTGCAATGTATGCCTACGGATCCACCGGCACAAAAGCATAGAAGAAGGATAAGTAGTTAGTCTCGCAGGAACCAAATAATCAGAGAAAAGTACACTTTAAAATGGAGTTAGCTGAAATAAGCCAACAGGAAGAAGGAAAGAGAAATATACGAATAAAGCGGTGAAAGTAACAATAAATTTGTATACTTTCTCGATTGATAGAGCGGATCCCGAAAGTGCAGGAAAGCCTCCTCCAATATCTAAAATATCGAAATCCATTCCTAGTGTTCTTCCGTAATCAAACAGTTCCCTTGCGTGTTCAATTGTTTCCTTAAATGAATTGGCATCAAGGCATCCACTACCAACATGAAAGCTGGAATGAAACAATCATCCAAAAAATTTATTTACAAGATTAGATGTTTTAATTATAATATCTTGTTGATTGGCAATAACTCATAGAATCAGCGGAACACCGTACCCAAAAAACTAACCAAAAATGATAAACGTTTGTATAATTTATTCTAACGTATAAAGCAAACTTTTAAAATCAGGGAATTAATGAAAATGTGTTTTTTCCATTACAGTTCTTTGTCTCTAATTAATTAATTTTAATTTTATAACGCATGTGAATCTTTAATGTTTGATCAATCTTTTTAAAGTTTTATGAGTTACAATACAAGCAATAAATGACATTGATCTACTTATAAGGATCTTGTTAAAGGCGAAATTTTGTCTGAATTCCCATGTTGACCAGGTATAGAAGTTCATTTCAATCATTTTAATAGTTGCACCTTATTCCTATTATCTTCATGTCCTCTAAGTTTGCAATATTGATCAGATGTCGGGACTCTTCCAATGTTGCACCATACTTGCCGTCTAGAGGAAACTCTGCTACTGGATTGTCAACGCTCATTCGTAAAACCAACCTTGAAATGAAAGATCCATAGATATTAGGTGTTTTATTTTAAATACGCACGAAAGGATATTGAGTTGCGTCAATTAAAATATCCATATACCTATCTCGTGAACTTTTTTTTTTACAGATTAGTTACATCATGATGGGTTATAAGAAAAATCTCGTTATTGATATATTTCTGTTCTCCCCGGGTTCCAATTTTTTTTTACCTATCTTTCAACCCGTTTTTTTATTATAATAAAAAGGTAAAATAAAAATGTGGAACACACTTTGAATCTGGAAAATGTTTCTTGATCTTCTGAAGTTCTAGTTCACTGTCGAATACCAACATTTTCACTCCATTCTCTTTTGCATGAATAATATGTGAGACTGGTTTTGACGGGTTGGCAAAAATGATAGAATCCGGAGTTGATCCATTGTTTAATACCAAATCAATTTCTTCCTTATGAAATAAAATTAAGATAATAAAGTGGATATATAAACTTTAAAAAGTCATAATTACCTTTCCTGTCATCTTATTGCCGGATGAGGAGGTTTTATCCCAATTCTGATTTCTCGTGAAGAGTAAAGCATCAAAATTCTAACCACGTTCGAATTTACCGTTTTGATAGGCAATTTTCGAACCTTTTCATTGTATATACATGTGTGCGATTAGAATTTAATTTTATTCACCTGACTGGCGCAATCAAATCCAGTGCCCATTGCAGACAAACATCTAATCATTGGTGGATATGGAGCAACTTTCACTGCGTAAAACGGACGAGAATTGGGAAATAACTCCCGCCATCGTTTGTGCTTCTTTGCAAAATCTCCGAAATCGCATATATAGAAACTGTCGTCAAAATTCTGATCAAGGAATATTTCACAAAATTATAAAATGAAATATGTAAGATATATATTTCTGCTAAGATTATTAATTGCAAGCTTCCAAGAACGCAAACTTTAAATAACCAAGCTTGCAGTGGCGTTTTTCTGATTTTTTTTTTCAAAATCTTTCATGCCTTCTCAGGTACGATATTGAGATATCGAAATAATCTATAAGAACTGGCCCTATTATTGAGTAGTTAATTATGAATCAAACAGCTCCAATCAAATACCCGCAAAAGCATGCATATCAATAACATAGCGCAAAACCAATTACTTCAATTTGATTAATCACTTGAGAATTGAATGGAAACATCTACAGAGCTCGAGCGATTTTGATAATAGTGTTGTATTCTGTTCCAAATATCATCATTAACTACTGTCTGTGATTAATTTGCAAGCTTTACAATTATTACGTTTTTCCATGGGAATACAATACAACAGTGTTGCCACCTTACCTTGCGACCTGCAGGAAAACTTGAAATGAATTTTGCCGCTTCGTTCATTGTTATTCCTTCAAATACATCAATGTTGTCCTGCAGAAAATGTGATGAGTAACGATACAAAAAGGATAATTATACATTTAAATAAATAAATATTATTAACTTGTAGCCGTACTTTGAGATAGAGTTTCTAAAGTGTAATAAATAAGATCACAGAGATTGACTACCGCTGCAACCCGTACCGAGTTATTACGAACTTTTATGAATAAAATCGTACCTTTGTACCTATGCGGAACGTCGAGCACTCCATGATTTTGATGTCTTGGAAATAGGCACAGTTACTAAAATTCAACTAAGCTGAAAAAATTGGGTCATAAAATAAGAAAGAATTGCAATAATATGTATCTATATTCTAAAAAATACAACGTGATGGTCTGTATTAAACTTTAACTTGATTAGTTTGTTTCCACTTCAATTGCAATGCCCAAATAATAGGCTATATTCAATAGAGGTTCCAGTTTCGTCGTTGATAACAACACCATATCTCGTGGTATGAGCGAGCATCTTCTGTGAGGCCTTATGACATCCAAGATTTCAAATTAATAAGTACGTATTCATGCACTACGAGTAGCTGCATCTGTATGTATTACTATGCGCAAATTACATGTAAAAGCTTACCGTTGAATGGAACTTAAATCATAGTAATTTATTACATCTACTATACACTTGTTTGGAATCGTTGTTCATATTTCAACCTTAAAATCGTTCTTGGAGTTTCTGTAAGCGAAAGATTTCTACTGCATTTCGTCATTAAACTCAGCTTCATCCTACAAATATGATCTGGCGACGCGTTTTGAATTGAACAAACAATGCTTCCTTTTCGCATCCGTTCAGACACTTTTCTCACTCAGACAGATTTCCAGGCGCGGTCGTAAACATTACCTAGTTTTTGCGTTTTTGAACTCTATTTGTTAGTTTTCCGTTGTGTTTCGGAAATTTAAATATAAATCAGATAATTCAATGATCACTCTGTCTTCTTAGGAGTTTCAATTTAATTGCAGAAATAAAAAATAGTTTAGAAATAGCTGTAATAGACTGGGCTGAAATTCTTTACCGGTACTTTTAAAAACAGATTGTTACATGCGATGAATCATAATGATGGTTTAAAACACATACCCCATTTTATAGGCGCCATGTCGCGAAACAACTCTTGAAATAAGCCCCGAAAATTTTGCAATGGAAAGTATAGGAAGAATTTTTCGGGGGTCAAAGGTCGGGGAAAGGTCCATCGTCGTCGTTGTTGCCAGCACATACTTCGCGTTAGGAACGATCAGCTGTTATGGGGCATTATGGCATCCTATATTGCAACCTTATGTACAGATGTCTCAGAATTGACTTGCGTCGTTATTCCCATAACATGTTGTAATACCTTGTAAATGTAACTTAATGAATCTATTCGTTTATACAGCTGCAGTCTAGCGATGATTGCTGAAGCGTTTTAAATCAGACATCAGTTATTGCTGTGCTGTAGATGTAGAGTAGTTGTAGATGTAATGTAGTTCTTCCATTTTTATTTATTCAACTATGGGGCCGCTTACTGTTAGAATCAGCAATTCGCTACGTATTTGTTTTCTTGTTTAATAACATTTACTTGTGTTATATTTTACTTTAGATTCATTCCAAGTGTGCTTCAGATTTAGGCTGAATAAAGAAAGCCTTATATCAAGGTACTACATTTATCATTCATTACAATTTATTCAACTTATCGCATTTCACAAGAGTATTCTGGTATAAGCATGGACAAGGTTCTGAAACCTGAGAGACTAGAGGTAGATCCTAACTCTCATGAAGCATCCTGTGAGTGGCTGCACTGGAAGAAGACTTTCGATAATTTTCTGAACGCCGTAACGCATAAACTGGGTGTATTGGTGAATTTCATATTTCCTCGTATATTCCAATATATTGAAGAGGCAGAATCATACGATACTGTGATTGAGATTCTGAAAACAATGTTGTCAAACCCCGCAATGAAGTTAATTCTCGGCATGTTCTGGCAACCAGGAACCAACAAGCATCTGAAAATGTAGGCGAATACATGCAAGCATTGAAATTGTTAAGCAACATTGTAATTTCAAAACTGTATTTGCTGTTCAAAATCGAGATGCTTATGTCCGAGACGCTTTTATCCGGGGATTAAACTCCACATGGATACGGCCGCGCTCGTTGGAAAACAAACATCTTAATTTAATACGACATTCGATCGAGCCAGGAGCTTAGAAATAGCAATTAAGAACACTGAAGCTTATCGAGTATCCGATCTTTCTTCTACTGTGTCAGCTCAAAACAGTGAAACTCCATTCAATAAGTCATCGTGTGATATCGAGAAAATATCTGCTACTGCAAATTCTACTTGCTTTTTCTGTGCGAAAAGAAACATCATCGTTAAAATGTCCAGCCCGAAATGTGTTTTGTTTCAAGTGTCATAAAAGGGGACGTTTCATAAAAGTCTGCATAGAAGCAGTTTTCAACCCACAAAAACCTGACGAAGTCACTGCATATCAAAAATCACAGCCCAAAATTATTGAGAGGTTCTCCTGTGATTCGTATTGAAAGACACAAAGTACGTGCACTTTTTGATAGTTGCAGTAGCCAGAGTTTCATACACCCTCGTCTCATAGAAAGGTGTAACCTCCCAATCAAAAGGGACACACAGTTAAGGACAAGGTAGCAATGGCTTCTCTGGCCTATTCCATTCCTCTAACTAAAAGGTTGTACAGCAGCAGATATTGAATATCAGGGCCGACGCTATCCAAAATTCATATTAAGGGTAATGGATAATTTATGTTGTGACATTTTACTTGGAATAGACCTTCAAGGACAGCATCAAAGTGTAACTTATGTTTACCGCGGTGATCGACTTCCAATGTCTGTAAGTGGCTTCTCAACTTTCAAAAGTTTGTCATCAGAACCATTCAAAAATCTAACTGCTGACTGCGATCTGCTGCTGCTGCTGACTATTGCTACAATGTCTCATTAGTATTCCAAAGATGACAATGTTTATTGAAATTAAGGTCAACCGTTTGTTACAGGAAGGAATTGTAGCGTCTGGCAGATCTCCGTGGAGAGCTCAAGTTGTCGTCGTGAAGGGTGAAAATGGGAAACGAATGTTTGTAATCGATTATTCACAGACGACCAATATATTTACTCAGTTAAACGCGTTATATTCCATTACCGAATATGAGTGATCTAATCAACGAAATTGGATTTAAAAAGTGCATACCATCATGTTCTCGCCAGGTTCCAATTTTTTTTTACATATCTTTCTTTATAACTCTTTCTGTTTTTATAGCATTGATACCCGATTTTTTATTATAATAAAAAGATAAAATAAAAATGTGGAACACACTCTGAATCTGGGAAATGTTTCTTGATATTCTGGAGTTATACTTCACTGTCGAATACCAACATTTTTACTTCATTCTCTCTTTCATGAATAATATGTGAGAGTGGTTTTGACGGGTTGGCAAAAATGATAGAATCGGGAGTTGATCCAGTCACCCGTTTCTAAAACTTCAAATTGCATTCGAATGCAGATAAAAGAGTTTGTCGGCTGTTTTGCCGAAATAGACACGGTCAACCTTATGACTTAGCGTTATATTGAGCTCGTCCAGATTTTTAAGAAAAGCTCTTCAATAAAATATTCTTCGCCACAAATTTTTAAACACGTCTTGATTTTATATCAATTTATATACACCCACTTGCTATACTGAGCTATAATTTATTAGTAGCATATGAATAAGGTTTCACACGCGCAAAATTTGCTTAAAACCCCAACGTTTGTCATTAGAACCTAAGATGTTTTGTGCTCATAAGCGAAAAGAATCTGAAAATGCTAAAGCGTACGATATCTGTGTCGATATAAGTTTGTTATGAAGTGTGCTGGAATTCAAGCTGTGAAAGTATTTGAAATTTCGACTAGAACTTTTATCTGCGCGAAGCTACACACAGCTAATTTACGAGTTGTTTAAACGTGTAAAATTTTATGTCTTCGATGATCTATTGTTATTTTTGTTTGATTAGTATGCTGGGTTATATAAAGTCTTTATTAAATATACCTGTTTCAGAGGACCTTCGTCGAACCCCTGGAATAGCTTCACCGAACCCCAGGGGTTCGATCGAACCTAGGTTAAAACCCGATAGGATCGGCCTGGTCATAAAGGGGTACCCTGTGTCATAATTTGGGATTATGGCTAAATTAAATGTATTTTGAGGGGTCAATAGTATTTCATAGTGGTCTGCATGTGAACAAAACCAATTTCAAAACTCAAAATGTTTGAGTTTAAATCATCCATGCTTGATCCGAATGTTCTTAATTACGGTGACGTCATCATATTTTTTTATGTATAATTTTTATTTTGCAACAAGGTCAATTATATTTGTATGAGTATTTCAAAGCTTAAAAATAAACAAGGAATCTGTTGTTAGTTGAAAACGGAGTATTTTGAACGCGCGAGCAACGTTCTCCGGCTCATAATAAACAAACAAAGATACCAGACAGCACGCGATCAAATGCTCTTCGATAAAACGAATATCACTTCACTTACAAATCCCACTCTTGTTTTATTTTGAAGGTGACGTAAAGCTCTTCTAAAAGAGAACTCTTTCTCTCGCATATCAATCACGTGTCGACCACAGCGTTAAAAGTGAGAAAACTTTTTTTCGAAATTTTTTTAAAATTTCTCTCTTCTTACCGGCGTACGGCCGTACACATTTGTGCTACGTAATTTGGGCGCATTTTAGCGGAAAGCGACGAAAATAAGCTTTAATGATTAACACATTAATGATGTTTTTGGCATTTTTGGTTGGTGAAATATTAAATTTTTTTTAGAGGGGTGTCAAAATGACCCAGGAACACCGGGGGTTATTTTAAGAAACACTGTGCTAGGGAGTTTAACACATGCAGTTCACAGACATGCCATGCCATATTCACAGTGACGGTATGGATTACGCCTTAATTTTCTGAAAAAAAAAGATTTACATTTGACAGATTTACAAGATGACATTTGTTATCAACAATAAAAGTATGAAATTCCGACTGCAGAAAGTTCTACTCAAGAGCAACCTTGTCAAATTGGACTCCGACTCCACAGCCCTGGTACATACACAGTCAGCCGCCGCGAACTACTTATAATAAAATGCAACTTGAGTAATAATGGTCTGTATAAAACTTGGTTAGTTTTTTTCTCGGTTCAATTGCAATGCCTAAATATTAGACTATATTCAGGAGAAGTTCTAATTTCGCCGTCGTTACCAACAGTTCCATGACATTCGAACCCACGTATATTTGAACCCGCGACAATTGCACCTACATACTATTGCACCTATGGAAATTTTTTTGTTTTACGGATATTTGAACTCATACCAACCCTAGTCTAACCCATTGGTTTTAGCATCCACATATAGATTGAACCCGCGGATATACACATGGGTTCAAATAAACGTGGGTTCAAATGCACGGTCACCGTTACCAACACCATATCTCGTGGTATTAGCGAGCATCTACTGTGAGGCATTATGACATTCAAGATTTGAAATTAAACGTACGTATTCAAGTAGGCTACTTTCATATTAATGCGTGTATATTCATGCACTACGAGCAGCTGCATCTATATGTATTACTATGCGCAAATAAAATGTGGAAGCTTACCGTTGAATGGAACTTTAATCATAGTAATTTATTGCATCTACTATACACTTGTTGTTGGAGTTTCTGTAAGCGAAAGATCTCTACTGCATTTCGTCAGTAAACTCAGCTTCATCCTACAGATATATATAATCTGGCGACGCATTTTGAATCGAACAAAAAATAACGCATTAATAGTTTGCACTAAACTTTAATTTGATTAGCTTGACACCAGTTTAGCTCCAAGGGTCGAACAATAGTAATTCAAAAGGAATTCCAATCGTCGTTGTTGTTGCCAGCACAAACCTCGCGTTATGAATGATCAGCTGTTATGGGGCATTATGGCATCCTATATTGCAACCTTATGTACAGATGTGTCTGAATTGACTTGCGTCGTTATGTCCATAACCATAACACGTGGAGGCAACTGCAGCATATGTAAAATGCATTGGCTGTCCTGTGCATGTACATCATTGGCTGTACAGTATATGTTTATTTTTGGTTGGCCTTATATAAGTTAATAGGGATTTATATATTTTTATTCGTATTTTGGCTGTATATGTATAGCACGTTACCAACCCTGCCGTGTACCAGTTAGACCACAATCTTGTTGCTACAATACTTGAGCAATGTACTCGCGTGTTGGCAACGGAAGATTAGCCTGGTTATTTTTCATTGGTTACATACGGGTCTTAACACCGACTGTCCCATCTTTCCCAGTTTCCGAGTAAACGATAATTTATGCGTTTATGTACATTTCGTGTGTAATAATATTATAACCACAAAATCGTTTGTTGAAATAAATCAAAAATATTTCCAACTGGAATCGTTAGCTCCTAGTTTAAAAAGTCAAATCGAATTATCAGCATGCGATAAGACCTATGCATCGACTCCAATACCACAAGATAAAAAATTAATGAGAAACAGTCTTTTCATCAAATTGTCTATATAGTTTATAGACAACTAATACTTATCTCTGTCATTGTATAATAAATAGATTCTGATACTAAGCTTACCTTCTTTCATATACACAATTATAGTACATTATTTTTCGGTGAGAAAAGAGTATCTATCAACAACATTAATAAAAGAAATAAAAGTCATAAAATATCTGAGTAGTAAAACCAATAGGTTCATATTTGTTTTGTCTGTTGTTCCTTATTTCTCTTAACAGCTATATATGGACGCACTGGGAAAATGCGCGGTACGCCATTGGCCTAGGCCAGAGGTTCTCAACCTTTTCACTTTCATGGCCCATTTTCATTACATAAAAATTCGGTTGTCCATTAACATTTTCATGCCAGAGAAAAACTAGAGAAACTTTCGGAAAAAATAGACACTGTGGAATGAAAATTAAAGACAGCATTATTATTCATTGCTGCTACAATCAAAGTTTAACCAATAATTCAACAACTCTAGCTATTTTGAAGAGGTTTGTGGCCCACTTGAAAATGTTTCCATGGACCAGCAGTGGGCCATGGTTGAGAACCCATGGCCTAGGCTGAATAATTCATCACATGCTGAGCAAATTTCGTATACTTTATTCATTCTGCTTCACTCGTCAGGTTAAGACTCCAATGCTTAATATGCCTAAAACCATTGAGTCAAAACATCATAATACTGGTTAAATATAAGAATATAATTTTCGCGGGTCATAAATTTTCGTGTTTCACAAATGTCTTACATCCACAAAAAGTTTGGGAAGCACTGGTTTTAGCAAGTCAAGTACACAAAGTGTACTTATGGGTGGTTTTGTTATTATGTTTTTGTTGTTTTACTGCACCAATTGCTTTAAAATATCAGATAGGTACAGATTGTTGTTTTCGATAGAAGGCTATAACTATTATTTATTTCAAAACTTCCACAGGACTTAGCAGGATATTTTTTTCTATCTTAGGTCCAGCGGATCTCGTATTCAGCGAAAGTCGGTGGATGTCCTGCTTAATGCCTGATACAGGTACTGGTAAGTTACCATAGCTGTTCCACAGTACCAGCTTCTTCAGGATAAAGTATGAATTTCGGGGAATTAAAGGTAAAATATTCTTTTTTAGCCTTAGTGTCCATATAATTGATTGTTGCTCTCTTGTTTAAATGTAAATGAAATATAGATAAATATAGAGACATATTGGTCTTGACGTTTGAGCTTACCTTAGGCGTTTACTTCAGAACGTAAAGTGGACAGCTAAAGGGTTAGCTGAGACAAGATGTTCTGAACATTAACATTTGCTAAATAGTTTTAGCTGACATGGGTTTTTATAACTTTTAATGCCAACGATTGATTCTAAAAGCTATACTTATTCAAAAGCCATGCGTATTTAGAAATTTTTTGAATTTCATGCAAACAACGGTTGTATTTATCAGCCGTAATTGCGCAAAACTTTCAATCAGTTTGTTAAAGTTTATAACTATTCAAACTCATAGAATATGCCTTGTACATAGCCTATACCGAATTTATAGTGGTATGTGGATGACTGAGTAAACATATTGTTAAATTTGAACGTTTGACTGAGATACATTTAGGCCAGCTTCTATAACGTCAGGAATGTCGTTGACGTTTTGGGAAATCAGTGAATTCGATTTAGACGGCAACATAGGTATATCAGGAAGAAAATGACTTAATTGAACAGTTATAAACAACAACAGACCCAGGTTCTGATTTATTCTTGGGACAGATTAAGCATGTAAATCAGGGATCGGCAACCTACGGCCCGAGGGCCGGATCTGGCCCGCGGAGCACTATAATCCGGCCCGCGACGCTTCACTAAATTATAGTAACAAAACAATCGTTTTGACGAATATATTCTTTAGACTAAATTATATTATAACCTAACAATTAAATATTTCACAATTACTCGTTTAATGAGCATATAATTTAATTATAATTAAGCAAATGGCAACAACACGCAGCAAAGTTGATGCTAAGTGCAAAGGGTTCAATGGCGCTTAAAAATTTCCAAATGGAATTTTATGAGATGCAATGAAGAAATAAATCTATATTCTATTCGAGAAATGTATCACTGCTTGATTTTTATTATAAAAAGTACCATCCGTTCGGTTTTTCAATTTTCTAAAAATATGTGCGGCCCGCCAATGACTTGCAACCTCAATTTTGGCCCGCGAGCGACAAAAGGTTGCCGACACCTGATGTAAATCATAGACCCCAGTTATGCTTAATAAAGACACCCCCAATACTAAGATTACAGATATAATAAAACAGAAATGCAAAATTTTGGGTGGAATTTCAAGTACCATAAGACGCAAGACTATTGGTATATTGCTTGCGAAGAAAGAGATAATTCCACGATAATAAAAACAAAGTGGGAAGTGTTGGCAATCTAAAGCTATCTAGATTTTATACACTTTCCAAACAACACTCATGGTACTGAGATATCACCACGTGTTACGAACATTCGGACAACAATGATGCGTTTTACTTATTGTTATTTACGAAGGAAACTGCGATATCACCATGGGTTCCACGCAATCAAATAATAATGATGGGGTTTACTTAATGATACAGGAAGGTGGCTGAAGCGTCCGATGGATAGAAAAACGATTTTCTAGGGTATTTTAATTTAGATATCTGCTGTACTCTACAAGACATAAAAATGGTGAAGTACACAACGTTTCAAATAGGCACTAAGGTGAGATTTAAAAATATATATACAAAATGGTGCTTGTTCGAACGGCTGGAGAGGTACTGCGTTTTAAGTTTTAACACGACACTACACGTCGTGATTAGTTTACCTCGCAATCGAACCAGCTGCCTACGTGACAGCCACTAACCCGCTACCTAAAATTCAGTCATATGACAACGTATAATCTATTCATAACTAACCTTAAAACTTTTTCATACATCCTTGATACTTTATGACAAGTTAGTTTCAATTGAACTGCCAAAATTGCATGACAAGCAGCATGCACCTATTGAAGGGAAATTCGCCTGTAATATCGTAATCTGCTGAATTCGTCAAACTTGGTATTATACTCTACTCTGTGAGGATACGTATTCGGTCATATATCAATTTTGTTTTGTATTGATACTCATCATACTTTTTCTCCAGGACGGCATTGATGTAATTGAAGGAATAACGATGAACGATGCGGCAACTACCATTTCAAACTCTCCAGAAGGTCGCAAGGTGAGGCGACATTTTTTTTGTATTGAATTCCTCTTGGCCTAAAAGCGAATATGACTCCAAATTTGACTGCAACTCCGAATTCCAAGAAAATCACATTTATTTTTATGTGTCTATCGAGAATTTGGCGTTTTTTATTTTTTCCGAAAGTTTTGAATTCGACAATCGATTTGAATGAAAGTTGTATATTCCGACTCACTATATACATCTCACTATACATTTTCACTTGGTTTCACCTGCGCGATACGTTTCATGCTGAATGGTACATTTAGGGAAAGAACCTCAAATGCGATACAATAATATGTTACATTGTGTATTTTCATATTGTGAAGTGTTTATTTCTAGAATTATGATGACAGCTTCTTTATATGCGACTTCGGCGATATTGCAAAAAAGCATAAAAGATGGCAGGAATTGTTTCCCACCTCGCGTCCATTTTATGCAGTGAAAGTTGCTCCATATCCACCAATGGTTAGGTGTTTGTCTGCATTAGGTGCTGGATTTGATTGCGCTAGTCAGGTAAGCAAATGAGTAATTCTAGTTTCACACATTTATAAACATTTAAAATATATAATTTGTATAAAACAAATATATTTGCAGTCTGTAACTAATTACATAATCATGTAATATAACGACATAGGCCTATCTAAGCTGCTAAAACGCACATAACACAACATCCAAGTAAAAACCACTAGCATCATTTAGAGTCTTAGACTACTAAAATTAGTTTATTTCAGGAAGAAATTGATCTGGTATTAAACAATGGATCAACTCCGGATTCTATCATTTTTGCCAACCCGTCAAAACCAGTCTCACATATTATTCATGCAAGAGAGAATGGAGTGAAAATGTTGGTATTCGACAGTGAACTAGAACTTCAGAAGATCAGGAAACATTTTCCAGATTCAGAGTAGGTCTTGAATTTAATTACGTTTTTTATTCTTTTGTCTGTAATTAAAATTCTGGTTAAAATCATAATTAAGGTTCAGTATATCCAAACGTTTTCTTCATATAAGATAGATAGAGTGAGTTAATTATTGAATATCAGATACAGGTGGAAAAATTTTAAACCTGAAGAACACGGGTGATGATTGCCAGAAAATCAATTTGGTTTAATGTTACTACTATTCTGAGATAACTTGATTTTGAAAATATTATTATGTGAATTAATATGCTTTAGTATGCTGAATTTTTTGTGTTTGTCAAAATGCTGTTTGTCTTGTTTCAGATATTTGCTATGGATTCATGTAATTGTTACTTAGAGTTATCTTTTATGCAAGAATATATAAAATATTGTTTTTGTGTTTTTTTATTGTAAATGTATGAAAAATACTGTCATGCAAGTTTAGGAAATTTAAAACTAGAACTATGCCACATGAATATTTTTGTCTTCTGCGGGTGGAGAAAAAATGACAATATCATACCCGTGGATGGACTGGCTTATATTTCATACTCTTGTCTGTCGACTAAATAATCATAACACTCAAACCTAAAAAAATTTAAAATTATTTTATTTCAAGATTGGTTTTACGAATGAGCGTTGACAATCCAACAGCTGAGTTTCCTCTCGATGGCAAGTTCGGTGCAACCTTTGAAGCGTCTCAACATCTAATCACTACTGCAAGCTTAACTAATATGAAGATTATAGGAATAAGGTATAATGGTGATTCATATAATTTTTATATACCACCATAGGGATTCAGGTGAAATGACTAAAATATAAGATTCCGCCTATTTGATTTGTATTTCAATTGATATTAAATTATGTTGAATTTACTGTAGGCCAGTGTAACCGTTCTTACATTACAGGTTTACGAATGTTGTAAAACTGAAATGGATGTAAACGCATAATTACAAAACAACATGGTAGTATTAGTTGATTTATAGTAGGAGTTCAGGTAGTAATAAATCAAATTTGAAATTGAATCATGAAGAATCTAATTCAAATCTAAGAGAAGAATTTAAATATAGAAAAAATTGAAAAAATAATGATGTATTTCATGGATCCTTGCATACTTGATTTCATCTACTTTGTTTTGTCATATGATTTGCCATTTAATCACCGAAACATTCATCAATTTGATTTTTTCTTTTGAAATCCTGTTTCCAGATTACTGAGAATCAAAAAGGAACTGAAATTAAAATCTCTATGGATAGTTGTGCAAAAGGATAACATAAAATAAAAAAATAAAATTATAATTTCATTCCAGTTTTCATGTTGGTAGTGGATGTCTGGACGCCAATTCATTTGAGAAAACAATTGAACGCGCAAGAGTACTGTTTGATTACGGAAAATCTTTTGGAATGGATTTCACCATTTTAGATATCGGAGGAGGGTTTCCGGCACTCCCGGGATCCAAACTGTCCATTGATGAAGTATACAAATTCAAATGTTTCTCATCACTTTGATTTATCCTAATATTCTTGCCTTTGCACTCATATTTGTTCTTTTTTTATTCTTGGACTTCCTGATTTTCTCTATGCGATCGTTTCGTTGTTTTGTTATTCATTTTTTCTGTCATCAGATACATTCCCCTTCACGCCTACTTTGACATCTGAATCATGTTCCGAAATATTTTATATATTTTGCACTTTCCTACATATTATTTTCTGAACTATCCCAGCATTTTTACTTTCATAAAGTACAAATTGTTTCCAGATAGCATCATCCGTGAATGCCTCTTTAGAAAATGAGTTTCCTTCTAAAATATTCAACAATTTGGAGGTTATCGCTGAGCCCGGAAGATGTTATGCAGCAACCGCGTTTGTGTTGGCAACAAATGTGATAACGAAACGGGGTAAGTGATTCTACGAAAGAGGGGGAAAAGGTTCAGCACCAAACTAGGAACAACTTTATCAGATTTTATGATGCGTATATGTACAAAGTTGAATATTTTGTTGTAAAAATGAATTCATGTATATTTATACAATCTGCTATATATGTTACAATCTATTCCAGAGCACACAAAGCTACCGAACGTGGATGTTGAGTACATCATCAATGAAGGATTGTATGGATCTCTGGTGTATTTGCATGATACTTTACCAGGAGAAATGAATCCCTATGTTCCGGGGGTAATTGATATGCATATATGTATATATAATAGAAATTATAAACTAAATAATGAAAATCATATCATCCACACAATTAGATATTTTTCCATTTCGATTTCGGAGAATTTTAAAAATTATTTTTTGGACAAAATTTTTCCTAATTTTTAGTTTTCTTTATAGGAAAAAGCAGACAAGGATCGCCATTACGCTTGGTTGTGGGGTCCAACTTGCGATGCTCGGGCGTTAGCTAAGAAAATATCTGTGCCGAAATTGGATTGTGATGACTGGCTGTTTTGGAAAGGTAATGTTTGCTGAATGAAATTATTGCTTTTTTTTACAAAAAGGTCGTCACTTTCGTTTTGTTCGTCAAACAGATGCTGGAGCTTACACTTTTGCATGTTCGAGTGGTTTTAATGGATTCAAAACAAGAACATTCTACAACATTATTTCAAAGGAAAATGAGTTAGTACTAGTTTTTTTTAAATCACTCTCAACGTTCTCTTGAATAAATATGAATAAATTAAATTTACCAGGTGATTAATCCTTCTCACAGGTAAATACGTCAATGATATGAAATTTAAAAGCATTGACTGTCAAAAGATTAAGCGTTCCATATATATGATAAACCTTGACAAAAATTAGTATATATATATATATGACAGTAGTTAACAGCAGCCGTATTTTACTTTAATTCAGGGCAATATTTTGGTCGCTCATGAACAACAAAGTCAAAGTATTATTGGGGTGATGAAAAGATTGCCGGAATAATCAAGCCATTTTTCGCAGAAGAAAATTTTAGGTTTTTCTTGTTTTCTATGGCCAGGAGCAATGAATTTATAAATCATTCAATAACATTGCTTGAGAGTAGAAAATTATTGAATTTTTTTGGCTTCTGTTTAAAAACAAATGGCTGCAAAGTAATAATATGGAGTCATAGAGTAACAATGTTTTAGAACAGTGGTTGGTCTCAGCCATTAAATACTAGCAGATCGATAGCACTAAATGAAATGTACTCGCGGACTTAGAAAGAAATTTCGCTTAATCGTTTATGTCTATTCCTTCAAATACCATTATGTCATCCTGACGAAAAAATGAGTTTGGCGATTCCAGCAATCAGCGTTTTAAAACTTAATCCATATTTTAGGTAATATTTTCTTTAATGAGCGCTAGACTGCAAAATCAGGAAAACAATTTGCATCTAAAAACATTTAGGCTTCTTACGATAAACATTCGATGGTGAAAGATGTATTTATAAGTTTTCTGTTGTCATCTGTTGTGCCACTGACGAATACATAAGTCATTTCAATATTAACGTGAATTGGCAAATACGTAAGCGTGAGTTTCCTGAAGTGAAAATTTTAAGTTAAGCCAAGTTAGGAAAGAATAGTTTGCAGTCGGTATGGGATTGGGAACACAGTTTTTATTTCGCCAAACGTGACGGCCTCGGTTACAATTTTACGAACTCGTGCTACGCGAAAGTCAGAAAGTTTTTGTAAGTGTACGTACGTAGGGCAACCGAGGGTTTAGCGTAGTTCAATTCTAGTGGACGGGGTGTCACTTTCAGAAATTTGATTCTGTATTGTATTGTCTGACAAATGTCAGACTTACGGAGGCTTGTTACAGTCTTATGTCTGTCGCTGCATACAGATCCACAGACAAAGATCAACGCAACATCATAGGCAATGGGGAAGGAACAGTAACGGTAGGAGCACGCTACTCAACCATATATGCCTTTAAATAGTTTTGGTGATTTTTAGGTGCCTGCTCGGGACAACGCCAGGTTGAGACGTGTTATTGTTTATAATTGTTCAATCAAGAAAATCATTTTTTGGCATACTCATGAACCCGGATAATAAACAGTTTCTGTTATATGTTAGCGCCATCTGTAAGGTTATAAGATTCTGCTCAAAATTTGTTTATGTCAGCCAACGAACTCATTTACCAAAATGTTTGACTCGATTTGTTGCTATTAAAAAGTACCCCAGGTAACTGGGAAATAATTTTATTTGCAAGAATTGTTGTTATTTGATAACATTAAGATGCCATGTTATCAAATCTCCGACAGTTATATTGAACCTAAACAATCTACCTGGACCCAACCCATTGGAAACCCTATCCTCGCGCTATGGAGACGGTGTAGCTATAGTCGGGGGTAATTTTCTAATTAAAAGTGATTGCAAATTTCAACAAACTGTAAGTGATACAAATACAAAGAAGCAACGCTCAAATATACAGATACGAAGGCCAAAAGAAACCACTACCGGTCAGGATACTAGTGCAGATGGTCAGTCTAATACATAAAATATTACAAATAGTTTTATTCCTAATAGTAGAATAAATTCCACCGAAAACCGGAAACGCTGAGTGCGATCGTGAAACCGGCATACGGTGCGAAATTTTGGATTTTAATGACGAAATAGATAAAAGTAATTGCCTTCTAGCGGCAACAATAATCTTGAACCACTGAGAGCTATTGGTCCAGAAGTTATGGAGAACCAACAGCAAGAAGAGTGATCCATATTTACATTCCGTGTCCAAAAAGAAGAATCATAATAACAATAAAGCAATTGGTCCGATACTTAATGATTAAAGCAATTTTTTCACATCGGGAAGAAGCAGAAGAAGAGATACATTGAATGACTGTAGAGTGTAGATAAATAAATGAATGACTGTCCAAGCGTTTAGTCTGAAGTTTTTGACTCACATTCGAAAAAAGTTCGAGCACTCGCATTTAACTATTTAGTTGTGTAAAAATTTTTACCAAATACCAGATACCAAATAGGCCATCTCAATTAATATTCGGTTTATCTATTGCACCTATTTTTTTTCTTAGCTTGGGTAACACATTGTATTTTAAAGAACTGACAAATTCAGCAGAGTATATTTATTTGCTCCCATGAACACTGGTAACCGATCATGTCGCAATTGTGAACTAAAGTCTGGAAGTGCACTTAACTTCGTATATCATTTATAATTGTTATTGATAATAATGTTTAAAATTAAAAATCATGTTAATCAATCTGTTACTATTTCTCAATTAATTGACGCGGTACTAATGAATAAGATCAGTTTTACACTTTATATCAAAGTCCAAAGCAGACTTTCAAGTGATGTGTCAGTAATTTGTAATGGTGGCCATATGCGTTCCTTCCTCGATTGAACCTGTGAGTTTCATCACCAGCAAAATATGCTGAAAAGTCAAGATCTTCTTCTATCATAGCTTTCGTCAACCTGGCAGCGTGCTGCAAAATAGTAAATAGGTAATGATTATATGTACCTGATATTATGTAAAATCGTTGCAAAGCGCTAGTGCCGTCAAGTCAAACTTCGAAAGACTAAAATTTTTTTGTGTCATCTTCAAATCATATTCTACAGGCTGCTATAGGTCTGATGTGCAAATCGTGTTGTTGTTTTGATGTGAGCAGCCGACAACTCCTTTTCTTCAACAGGTATCGGCGTAGATACAATTTCATATCGTGCATATTAGTGTAACTTAAAAGGAGAGTATAAAAAATACTGCGTGCAAAAGGAACTTAATACAGAAGACATACCAAAAAATGTACATTTTCGTCACTAGTACCGTGGACTAGAACAAAATAATGCTTTCCAATGTTGTGAAGCTTTTGAAACACTGTGGATTTGTTGTATCCGACCTTAATAAACACCATCAAAATACCATTTAATATGCAGGCCATAAATTAAAAATAGTGATGAGGATATTTCATTAAATAGTTTTCAGTTTATTATTCGTTTTACCTCATTTTCACTCGGCAATCCCATGTAACGTTCAGTGTAAAAGTTATGATATGTCATCCAGTCAGTCACAGGAGCAACTGATAATCCACATTTGAACAAAAGATTTTGATCTTCAGACATCGTCCTTGCAGTGATGTATCTATACGGTAAAATAGTACGAAATTTGGTTTCAGCAGCAAAATAAATAAAAAATCATGTTATAGTCAGGGAATTATTGATACTTTACCCTCCATAGGATCTTCCCCATATCGCAATTCTGTTTTTATCAACAAAATCATACTTTTCAGATATTTGTCTGGTTGCTTCGATCTGGTCCAATGGTTCGAATTCTCCCAAACGATGATAAACCTATTAAAGTTGCATAAATTTATTTATTTCCAGGCATAGATGGAATAAAGGAAAACTACTGTTAGCCCTTAAAATTGGAGATAAGAGTGGATTAAGTATCATATTGGAATTGACAGTACATTGTATTATACATTCCAGTTGCTTTTTTGAAAATCATATCTAAGTAACAATTTTATAAAAATATCAAATCAAAGATAATAGTCCTCCAACGAGTTTCCTCTAATTTATATAAAAATATTAAAAAAAGACTTGAACATATTTTTGAAGATAATTATTATGTGTTTGGCTAAAAAGTAACAAAAATATTTAATCACCATATTTCGAATCTTTTCTCCTCTGAAACCAGTACCTCTGCCATCAAACGTCATCACCACAATATCAAGATCACTACTTGGTAAATACCCAGTCGCCCAAGTAGACACAAATGAATCTATTGTGTCTTGGTAACCAGGGCCTGTTGAAAAAGTTAGGGTTTGGTGAACATTTGATGAAGGCCTAAATTTTATGGTTCTTTTGAATCTATACTTACCAGAATACACTTGCACCAGCAATGGATATTTCTTGCTTGGATCAAAATTTTCCGGTTTGTGTAAAGTATAATAAAAAACTTCATCATCGACTTGCGGAAGACTGAGTTCACCATACTCACGTGTTCGAAAGTTATATGCTTAAGAAATGAAAAAAAATTAATATTGATTTCGATTCAAAAATAGATGTAACAATGAAACTAGAAACTCTACGAATATACAACAACATTACTGGAATAAATGTAAAAACTTGCGTTGCGAGCTAATTGACGGACACTGGTAACCAGCAAAATCGATCATATTGCAGGGGTGGCCAACACGTCGATCTCCACATCTCGAGTAATCGATCGCGTCTGATGTTGATTGGATTTGATATCAGCCAAAAATTGCCTCGAACCAGTTTCATGCAGCGCCTATTTTGTGCTTTAAAACAGAAAGAATACAGTGGTGTGCATGCGCAAAATACGATATACACATACAGTATCTGAGTCTTGGCAAGCCCGATATCGCATATTATTACGTACACAAAGTTACTGTTCAAGTCCAAGATTATTGTGATGAACTGTATTCGCAAGAAGACATTGGCACCCAATATACCCAATTGTTCTGATTCCAAGCGAGCGAAGAATCGGATTTGAAGGAAAACGTAAATTAGTTACGGAACTTTGAGCGATTGCGCTGACAGATCCGAGCAGAATTTTTTGTATGGGTGTGTGTAGTTATTTGCATTTTTAATACTCAATCGTATGTATGAAAAAATCAATCGATCGCGAGTTATTTTGAAGATTTTAGTCGATCGTGATCGAAAGCAAGTTGGCCACCCCTGATATATGCAATAAGTTTTTTTCATCACTTACTTCCCAAATTTTGGATCAGTTGTGTATTATTTTCCTTTACTTCAACAAAGTTGATGTCACCGGATTCAGAAATATGATGGTATGTAGAAATCGGTACACCTGAAAAGCATTTTTGAAACTTATTATTTAATTGTAAATGATATCTTCAATAGTGGATCCGTTTTAGCCTAACATTGCAGAAATTATTGCATTGAATTAAGATTTCTTCTGATTAATTCTGAGAACTCACCGTTTCCTGTCCCTCCACAGTTTATAATGACATTATTTCCTTCGGGACTGAATGATGAATCAACCCAATTACATCTATCAGTATAAATTGTATTCAGATCACATGTTATACACTCTCTTGTCTTGTCATTTCCGTGTGCTGAAATATATCATAATCCTTGTCACATTTGGGAATCATCACACTCCCAGCCCATCAACGGCAAAAGGAGATGTTTGGACCATACTAACCAGTAAAATACCGGATTTCTGACAAAATTAACAAGGCCCAAGTTAAAGAAGGCGATGACATATATATACGGTTCAAGTTGTGATATAGTATATATATATATATATTTATATGGATGCTGAATGCAAATACACGGAACATACCCTAGAACATGTGTATATACTCTAGAAACATTCATCTTATAGTTTTAATCTTTCAGCTAACGAGTTTTACGTACAAAATATGGTGGCGGAATATTGAATGTGGCACTTTGGCAAGGGCAGTTTATTTTAGTAAATTTCATCACCCTTATTTTTTAAATTTTTACATTACATTAATTCTTGGATAGATACTACGTAGGCGGTAATTATAATAGATTATATATCGGGACTCATACTTTTTTCATTGATGTCCGATACTCTTTTCTTTGAACGAATATTTATATCACGAACCTTTAACTCTCCACAAGTGGCGCAATCGAGCTGATCCTTCTTCTGTGTTCTCGACTTCCGTGCTTGTGAAATAAGCCCAATCATTCCTTTTGTCATAAAAGTTAACTGGTATTGAACCTATATCTGTGTTCACACGCCCAGTCACCTCGAATAAACAAAATATACTTCTTGAAAGCAGTATATTTGCGTAAAAATTTGATTCTTATAATGGCATTACAAATTCTAAATCTCGTTCTGGAATGGAATATTGTATATTTCAAAGTATGTACAGGCTAAACTAAACAGTCATGTTATGTTCTTCTTTAACGGTTCTAAATTGAAAATGAATCTCCCAGAACTCAAATCTGCTAAAGTTGAACCAGGAATTCACGAAATTTAACATATTGTGATCCACGAAGTCGATTAAAATCTAACATAATATTCTAAGTAATTTTAGAGCCCTTATCGTATTCTCTTTTCGATTATATGAAGTCCAAGATATTCACCTCAAAAGATCCATTTGTACGCCAGTCAAGTACATTATTGGTTACATCAACAAGAACAAGGTGTGTGTAACCGAACGAATTCACTCTGGCTGCTAAATATTCATTTGCATCTGCTACTGGTACCAAATCCGAAGGCCTGTAGTTACCCAGCCAACCTTTGCCATTTGTGAATATTTCCTCATTTGACACTGAAATCAATTCACTTAAATATTAGGTGATTTGTTTGTTATTGGAATTCATATGGTATCTGAAAGAGTGGATTATTTTTAAGCGCAATTTGGATGCAAACAAAGGCTCGTGTTTAGAAGAGAAAAAAGAAAGTTTTATTCAATATTTAAATATCAATTTTAACTTATTATTACTCTCCCGTGATAAATCATGTAACCACCTACGATGTATACATTTTTAGCAGTAAGTATACGAATAATGAGAGATATTTCATTACCATGATTGCAAGACCATGAGTTTGCTTCTGTACACGTTTCTGTCACTGCTTCAATTTGGCGTCGATTTTTCCATGTAGGAGTAAACATCAAATTGTCCCTCCAAACAACAGAGTTTAAATAGTATTCCTCCCAATTGGTTACCGTCTGGATGGAGCAAGTTAATCAAGAAAGCAAGAAAAAAATTAAAATTTGTAATCTTAAAATCATATTTCGTGAAATTATGCATATAACAAATGCGCTATATCTGCTGAATGAGAAGGTAAAAAATCGATCATTCGAGTATTATACTCTCACCTCGGTTGGCTTAATCTTTGTACCTTGCGTTGGATTGTTCGTATTGACAATATAAATTGATGTTTGAGATATCGGAGTACCGGGTTTTGGATATGATAAACCTACAATCTTAGGATACAGATCTCCTCCGTAATAAGCAAAATCAAAAGTTTTCACCACGGTTTGATTGATTCTGGAAATATTAAGAAAACAACACTCGTATCTACGTATTAATATATTTATAGCAAAATTTGACATAGACCAATATTCGAAGAATGCCTATTTATTTCGATCTTAACAATACAAAAATGATCCTAATGATCAAGACATTGGTGCGTAGAAAAGAAAAAGGCAATTTTCGTTCTTAATTTCTTTGTGCAGTTTAAAGATTTTGAAATACTTCAAACGAATTTTCTTTAATCCCAATCTGTATAAATTATATTGTTCGCGCTGTTTACATGCTGCATGAAATATAAATTGATTCACGTACTTAGCATAAGCAAAGTATGCTCCATTTGGTGACCACCAGACTAAAGGTGTTTTGAATATGAGGTTATATCCCCAATCAGTTATTCCATTGAAAATCACATTATTTTCTCCGTCGTTAGTAATTTGAACAGGATTAGATGTCATGTCCTAAATTAAATTAAAATCATAAAATTTATATATTTACTTTTATTAATTGTAATTCATCCCGTAGCAGCAAAAGAGTTATTAATATCATAATACATTTTTCGTACTTCAATGTGTACCAACAAAATATGTAAAAATTGTTACACGATTACAAACCGAAATAAGATATATATCAAAGTCGTGAACGTATGTCATCATGTGTCCAGATGAACTCCACTTGATGTTCTGAATTCCGTTGCCAGAAAAGTTTGATATAGTTTGTGGCATTCTGCAATTTGAATACGAATTCGCAAATGCGGACAATTACAAAAATACACTGTATTAATATTACACGTTTTTTAATTACTTCATTCTTGTCTATAGCTAGGACGCATTTTATCGAATACAGTACAATTCTTTCCCGAGGTCGAACATATATCATTAAACTCGCATTATTCTTGATTGGAAAAAAGTTTTTAACATACAACAGCATCTTACTGAAATAGATAGCGCCAGGCTTTATATTACCTAATCGTGGAAAAAATAGACACTCAATGCAAAACAAATAAACAAAGGTAACCGCATACTCACGAATCGTTGGTTCTAAAAATTGCCACGGAAAATGTTTTCATGTAATGCACGTATGCCTGATATTAACATAAAAAAAAATTAATTTTTTCCAGTACAGGAACACATTAATTAGATTAGCTATACTCACATCCATATGTTCATATGTAATCGCAATGTATTGAAGATCAGCCGATGCAGAAAAAGTCGACGGATTTGGCAAACTGCGCTGCAAAATAATTTATAGTTATCGTAAAATACCATTGTTTGTCATGAATATAAACATGTTACTTGTATAATAATCGCAAGTAATACTAATTTGATTTTTCAGTGATATGCATAACGCAAACACAGATATCAATGAGTGTAGTTCTGTGCTTACAACTGATTACTTCATTTGTTTATTGGTTTTGTTAAGTCGCTTACCTAAACGAGCCGAAACATTCTATCAACTATACCAGATGTACTGAGGAAATATGTATGAAGCCGCATTACTTTTACTTTCATTATTGATCGTTACTTTATTCATATTTTATTCACTAATCATGTACAATTGTACCATACCTATGCAAAAAGTTGCAGCAACCAACTTCGGCTCCAGAGTCCTATACCATACCTATACCATGAAATCACTAATTTAAATTTGACTATGATTGAATACAATTTATTTTAAATATATGCAGGTGAATATACTTTATGAGCAAATACGTTTCACTCATATCGCTTGAAACCACGTTATAATAATTACCCAAGCAGAAGAACTAAGCAGCTCGCATTCATCTAAATTGGTTATATTCCTCTTCAATATAGCTTGATCGTTTCTTTTATAAATGTATTCGGAATCTAAAATTGTGTTTCACACAAATTAGAGAAGCATGATTAGTGAACAGTAGGTATACTTATTTTAATAATCTAAAACACTGGTTCCCAATCGGGGGCCCGGGGCCACCTAGTGGGCCACAGAGCAGTTGGAGGGGACCAGCATGGCAGGTGCAAAACTGATTTTACTTCTTCTTCCACTAGAGAACTCTTCGTTCTTTCTAGTTTTATTGCTTAATAAGGCTATATCACAAAGTGTTTTCCCTTTGTTGAGCATGAATTGTTTGAACATAATTGAATTTGAAATCTACTAATAAAAATAGCATTATGAATACTACCGGAATGCTAAACAGAAGGGCCATAAGTGCTGAAAGCCTCCGGAGAGGGAATTACGAGAAATAAAAGATTGGGAAGCACTGATCTAAAATATTCCAAAGTTTTATATCTTCAAAACTATACTAAGTGATTCAAGAGTCTTGCTACACACTAACACAAATATATTTCTGTAACGTTCCGTCTGACCAAAATCAGACTTCTTCAGACATGCATAGTTGTTATGTATGTCTGAAGAAGTCTGACCTTGGTCAGACGAAACGTTACAGAAATATATTTGTGTTAGTGTGTAGCAAGACTCTTCAATCACTTAGGATAGTTATCTTTGCTCTTGCTACAGCATCCTTGCAATATATGCATACGGATCCACCGGCACAAAAGCATAGAAGAAGGATAAGTAGTTAGTCTTGCAGAAACCATATCTTCAGTTCAAAACTATATATATATACAGAAAAGGGGAGAGAATATCAAATATTTGTGAGTACCTGAAACCCAGTCTGGATAATACGATTTTGGCTCAAATTTCCCTTCTAGCCAATCATCGAATGTCATGTACTTTTTATTGTTTGCTTTTATCATAGGGTAGGATTCTAAAAAAAAACATCGTCATGATTTGCATTAAAATGTGATCGAGTGAAAATATAACATGACAAAACAATAACTTGAAAAAAATAATAAATAATGACGAGTGGGACTGCATTTCTAAGCTGTAAATAATAACAATAGATTTGGCGTTTTCAAAATGAAATATCTCTTACCTTTAATTTCTCTCTTCTCCAATTTTTCAGTATTAATACTGCGTTGATTTGTATTCCATATTGTCAAACACGCTGCTAAAGCGAATAAAATCACCACTCCCAAAATGGGTCTGAGACGAGCCATTTGGTATAGGAAATATATTTTTTTTTATCAGTCCTAGTATTTCGAAATTTAATCGAAATATTTGACTAGAAAGTTAACAAACGTTGCTTTCCAACCAATATTCTATAGAGTAAACGTACAGTCTAAACGCAGTTCAGAATTTTGCGCAAACAGTGCGAGTGAACTGCAATTCATGTCATTAGTATACTCAAACCTACCAAACAAGCATTATTGCATGGAGCTGTAACTAAGCGAAAATTTGCGTGAACGATTCACCTATGGGCAAAGCAAATACAAGTTTTATTCTAAGCATTAAAAAGACTTATTTGTTCCTGAAGTGTTATACATCTAATATACAGCAGAATGTTTCAAAAAAATTAACCCAAATATGAAATTTATTTCAGTTTCTATTAAAAATAAACATTTTAACTCGTATTGATTGCATTGTGATCAATGTAAAAAAATTTTAGGTCCACTTTATGGTAGAAAAGCATGATGTCAGCACGATGTAGGCTGAAATTTTCGGCTAAGCTCGCCACCACAGGATACTCGCCAAATTTGTTTACGCTCATCAAATTTGTTTGGGCTCTTCAAATAACCACGAAAAATTATTTGAACGGGGTCATAAGACCGATTCTAACATACAGTTAAAATATAAGCAAGCAATTAAAAAATTTCGTTTATCTGGTTGGCACTTTCTATACGACTGTTATTCAAGCCATTCGTTCGCACTACTCATATATACCTAAAAAGGTCCTACTAAGTTTGGTAGAGCCGCAGTCTTTCTTGTTCGGCATTGTCTATCTGGGTCAGGAGGGGGTATGGTATTCGTAACCGAGATCTATAATCTGCTACTATGCTTAGATCGTTAAGTCTAACGCTTTACCAGCTAGGGCCCAGGGGTTTCCAGCCGGGGGGCCGTGGCCGAGTTGGAGGGTGGACACCATGCTAGACGCAAAACTGATTTTACTTTTTCTCTCACTCCAAAACTCTTTGTTCTTCCTAGTTTCATTACTTAATAAGGCTATATAACAAGATGTTTTCCCTTTGTTGAGCATGAATCGTTTGAAAATATTTGAAATCTACCAATAAAAAAAGCACCATTAATACCACTGGAATGCTAAACAGGGGGGCCATGAATGATAAAAGCACTTGGAACGGGGCCACGAGATAAGAAAAAAATATACTGAGCCTTCTGCGTTGAATTCGAATGACCAAACTCGAATTACTTTTTTGACTTGTATTGACTTTTTCACCCTAACAATTAACTAGTTGCTCTGATGACATTCATTAATTTCGCCTATGCGAAAACCAGTCTAACTGGTGGAATTTTCTGCCAATTCAAAATAACCAATATGCAACGAGCTCGGCGTTTTCTATTGTCATGAAAATTGCTGCTTCAGTTGTTTCAAAGCAGTTCATTGCTATGTTATACACTATTCCTAGCAAGCAATTATCTTATAATATCACGTCGGAAACTACTTTTGTACTCTCCTAAACTTCATTATTTTGGACAATGCAAGCCACGTTTCAAACTGCAAAATGCAGTGATAGAAGTTTGTGTAAATTTACCTAGCGCATACAATATTGTTTAACGCGTATACGGGTCAGTTTTCGGATGTCTATATGAAATAGGGTATATGGATATGTCTGGGTATTTGTACAATGCTGATAGAATATGTTTGCTTTTCATTCTTGCAAAATGTCCTTTGTTAACTCCTTTGTTGAAATCTTGTTTAGACGGACTCCGGAAACCTAGTGTATGTTTGCTTTTCATATGCTAGCGGCATTCCGACTTTGTGAAATGACACAATATTATTTGTCAAACTTTTCGTTTGAAAGCTTTTTTTAAGATAGTAATCCTCTTTTTCAACTCATTGATTATTTCAAGCACTTGTTCTGAAGATATTTGAAAATGCCAAACCCCAAATTGATGGCATCAGATATGATAATGACGGCTGTATTTAAAGTCTATATATATTTCAATTTTAAAAGAGCAACGTTACCAAAGCAGTTTCTTACCTAACTCGAGTTACAACGGGCTCCCTCCTGATCGCATTTCATTTATTGCCAACGTAACTTCACAATATACGTAATTGAACGGCGTGATTATGTACATAAAATTGATGAAGGCTTGTTTTTATAGGATGTTTTGTGTAAACTGGAAGCAAAACACAAACAAGCGCGGTCAGATGGCGTAAGCCTTGATATTCTTTGTCGAATCATGGGAAGTGAACTCACACGGGTTGTTTCTGCAACGTTTCGCCAGTAAAACGAATATTAGCTACATTCTTATAAAGACGGATAAATTAAAATTAGAAGCCCAATGATGGTTTATTCGAACATTGTATTGACAAAAAATGCGCTAATCATCTGTAGCATAAATAAACAGAATCACTAAACTATGTCTTTAAACATTTTCAGGCTATTCAAATTGGCCCAGAAGCGTAAGAATAAGTTATTTTTGTCAAAGCAAACAACTACTATAGCAACAAATTATTGAGAGTATATCAGAAATTTTCTTCGTGTCCAGGTGAAATAAATCAAAACGATAGGTCAATACGTAAAATCGAAAACAATTTGTTTGGGTCAACCTTTTACAAAAATTACTCAAATCAGTTATAATTCGAAACAACTTTTTAAATGATGTGTTAACAACTTGTAGTGATGACCGTATGCATTTGCACCTCTGTCAAAACGGTGAGGTTCGTCGCCAGCAAAATATGCTGAAAAATCAATGTCTTCGTCGATTAGCGCCTTTGAAAGTCTTGCAGAATGCTGAAAAAATTGAAAAGTTAAAAATGAGGAAACGACAAAAAAATTTCATGTTCATATTTTATCATGTATTACTTATTTATTCACCTAAAATCCATTTGAAATAGTATAATAACATTCTACCACAGAAAAATATATACAAATAAATCTAATCTAAAAATGGGTATTTGTTCTAAATCCATTTGGCAATTAATAAGTGAACGTAGATAGATAGATACGTAGCTCAAATCAAAAAAATATATAATGTATTAGTAAGCAGAAATACTATTTTACCAAAAAGTGAACATTTTCATCGCTTGTCCCATGTATCAGTACAAAATAATGTTTTCCGATGTTGTGAAGTTTCTGAAACACTGTTGATTTATTGTATCCTATCTAAAAATTACCAAACGATATAGTAGTATTGTTATAAAAAAAACACCTCAAAAATGGAGCACGGAGATTATACCTATTGTTGTACACTATAAAACACTTTATTTTCAATTTGCAATTATGAAAATTCATATTTCCATCTTTCCTATTTTTAACTTCCAACCTAGGAGCTTTTTATTGGCCTTACAGTACATGGGTCATTTTAAACTTGCGCATTAGTTCCCGATCATCTTGTTCATTGGGTAAAGTAGGATATTCTAAAATCTAAATCATCAAACTCATCAAACTATATATGCATACATACTCCATTTTCCTTGGGCAAGCCCATATATCGTTCAGTGTAAAAGTTATGATATGTCATCCAGTCAGTTACAGGAGCAACTGATAATCCACATCTAAACAAAATATTTTCGTCCTCTGACATTGTTCTTGCGGTTATATATCTAAACATAAATAAAATTGCACGAAATTTAATTTGAATGTGAAGTTAAATACATAAATCACCTGGCGTTCATATAATTACCCTCCGTAAGATCTTCCCCACATTGCAACCTTGCTAGAATCTATAAAGTTATATTTTTCTGTAATTTGTCGAGTTGCTTCGATTTGATCCAATGGTTCATATTCTCCCAAACGATTGTAAACCTTCAATGAGAAAGTTGATAAAAATACCTTTCATAAGAATAAAAAACTAATTTTGTCTCACCATATTTCTGATTTTGTCTCCTCTGAATCCCGTACCTCTTCCATCAAAGGTGACCACAACCACATCAAGATCGCTACTTGGTATGTAACCGATCGCCCATGTCGAAATAAAGGAATCTATTGTGTCTTGGTAGCCAGGACCTGAATTATTTAATCATATGATTATCGTTATATGTAAAAAAAAATGAGCAATGCTCAAATATTTGGACACAAACGCCAAAACGAAATGTTTCATCCAGAAAGTTTCTCTAAAATCATCCTAGACGAAGCTGTAACTGCACAGAACCGTATCTTACTATTACCGGTACTGTACCCGAACAGTCCTAGCCTTACCAGGTCCTGTGATGATGATGATTCATGCGTCTAATGCGAACGTAAATTAAAATACCACATGAATCGACTCACAACTGACTTATCAAATCTTTTACAGTATATAACCGTTTACAGTAGTTAATTGTGTCTAGTCTACATTGCGTTACATGTATCGAAAAACTTCCGACTTTCGCGTAGCACGAGTTCGCACACATCAAAACGGAAGACAAACGTCATGCCTAGAGGAATAAAACTCATTTTTCCTTTAAAAACGTTACTCCCGTAGTATGTGAACCAAGATGACGGACACCGGAACGTAGTATGAGTTAGGGTTAGGCCATAATTTCAGGTACAAAGAGTCACTTGGCTATTGTCCCCAAACTCGTAATGGAACTAAAATAAGAAAGATTGGAATAAAATTATGGCCTAATTCTAACCTGGTACACATACTACGTTTCGGTGTCCACCATCTTGGTTTACATACTACGGGAGTACCAACAAAACGACAAAATTGATGGGAAATTTAGAAAATCCTTTTAGTAATGAAAACATATAATGTGTCACCTGAATAAACTTGAACCAGTAACGGATATTTTTTGCTTGGATCAAAGTTTGGAGGTTTGTGCAAAGTATAATAAAAGACTTCATCATCAACTTGAGGGAGACTAATTTCACCATATTCTCTTGTTCGAAATTTGAAAGCTTTGAAATTTGAAAAAGAAAAAAAAGATAGCGAAGTTCGTGGTAATGCTGGCATATTTATGGCTAAAACATGTGCGAATTCCACTGTTCATAACCTCGACAGTCCATTACATTAACCCAAATATTATATATACTTCCCATAAAATGGAGCAGACTCTATCGAATTACTGATTTTCTCGTGCTTATAAACCCAGCATGTCAGCATGCATGAATTTCTTTTATTCGCCCTTGCTTAATATGTAAAATGACTAACATGAGAATGATTGCAAATACAAATGTAAAATTATTGAAATACTAGAAACAGTTGGTCCTGTCACCTTCAAGATTTTCTATGAGTTGAGTGTTATTTTCCACTTCGCCACGTAAACTAATATCACCAGAATCAGATATATAATGAAGAGTTGAAACGGGTACTCCTTTAGAAAATAAAATTGTGACAAGCAAACCATATTCAGCCGCTGAGATCGGAAAAAAACTAAAATCTATGGGAATTTTTGATATTAAATATAAATTAATTTGCATTGTTGTAAGACATCTTCAATATTCAGATTTTTTACCGTTCCCTGTTCCGCCACAGTTTATAACAACGTAGGATCCTTCGGGACTAAATGTTGGGTCAACCCAATTACATCTATCAGCATATATTGTATTCAGATCGCATGAGACACACTCCCTTGTTCTATCTCCATGAGCTGTAGGACAAGAATGACCAAACTCGAATTACTTTATTGACTTGTATTGACTTTTCCACCCTAACAATTAACTAGTTGCTCTGATGACATTCATTAATTTCGCCTATGCGAAAACCAGTCTAACTGGTGGAATTTTCTGCCAATTCAAAATAACTAATATGCAACGAGCTCGGCGTTTTCTATTCTCATGAAAATTGCTGCTTCAGTTGTTTCAAATCAGTTCATTGCTATGTTATACACTATTCCTAGCAAGTAATTATCTCATAATATCACGTCGGAAACTACTTTTGTACTCTCCTAAGCTTCATTATTTCGGACAATGCAAGCCACGTTTCAAACTGCAAAATGCTGTGATAGAAGTTTGTGTAAATTTACCTAGTGCATACAATATTGTTTAACGTGTATACGGGTCAGTTTTCGGATGTCTATATGAAATAGGGTATATGAATATGTCTGGGTATTTGTACAATGCTGATAGAATAGGTAAGCTTTTCATTCTTGCAGTATGTCCTTTGTTAACTCCTTTGTTGAATTCTTGTTTAGACACCCTCCAGAAACCTAGTGTATATGTTCGCTTTTCATTTGCTAGCGACATTCCCATTTTGTGGGATGACACAATATCATTTTCCAAATTTTTCGTCTGAAAGCTTTTTTTTTAAGATAGTAATCCGCTTTTTCACTCATTAAATATTTCACAAAGTTTCAAGCACTTGTTCAGAAGATATTTGAAAATGCCAAACCTCAAATTGATGGCTCCTGATATGATAATGACGGCTGTATTTAAAGTCCATATTTCAATTTTAAAAGAGCAACGTTACCAAAGCAGTTTCTTACCTAACTCGAATTACAACGGGCTCTCTCCTGATCGCAATACAGTTATCGCCAACGTAACTTCACAATATACGTAATTGAACGGCGTGATTATGTACATAAAATTGATGAAGGCTTGTTTTTATAGGATGTTTTATGTAAACTGGAAGCAAAACACAAACAAGCGCGGTCAGATGGCGTAAGCCTTGATATTCTTTGTCGAATCATGGGAAATGAACTCACACGGGTTGTTTCTGTAACGTTTCGTCAGTAAAACGAATATTAGCTACATTCTTATAAAGACGGACAAATTAAATTTAGAAGCCCCAAGATGCTTTATTCGAACATTGTATTGACAAAAATGGCGCTAATCATCTGTAGCATAAATAAACAGAATCACCAAACTATGTCTTTAAACATTTTCAGGCTATTCAAATTGGCCCAGTAATGGAAGAATAAGTCATTTTTGTCACAGCAAACAACTATAATAGCAACAAATTATTGAGAGTATATCAGAAATTTTCTTCGTGTCCAGGTGAAATAAATCAAAACGATAGGTCAATACGTAAAATCGAAAACAATTTGTTTGGGTCAACCTTTTACAAAAATTACTCAAATCAGTTATAATTCGAAACAACTTTTTAAATGATGTGTTAACAACTTGTAGTGATGACCGTATGCATTTGCACCTCTGTCAAAACGGTGAGGTTCGTCGCCAGCAAAATATGCTGAAAAATCAATGTCTTCGTCGATTAGCGCCTTTGAAAGTCTTGCAGAATGCTGAAAAAATTGAAAAGTTAAAAATGAGGAAACGACAAAAAAATTTCATGTTCATATTTTATCATGTATTACTTATTTATTCACCTAAAATCCATTTGAAATAGTATAATAACATTCTACCACAGAAAAATATATACAAATAAATCTAATCTAAAAATGGGTATTTGTTCTAAATCCATTTGGCAATTAATAAGTGAACGTAGATAGATAGATACGTAGCTCAAATCAAAAAAATATATAATGTATTAGTAAGCAGAAATACTATTTTACCAAAAAGTGAACATTTTCATCGCTTGTCCCATGTATCAGTACAAAATAATGTTTTCCGATGTTGTGAAGTTTCTGAAACACTGTTGATTTATTGTATCCTATCTAAAAATTACCAAACGATATAGTAGTATTGTTATAAAAAAAACACCTCAAAAATGGAGCACGGAGATTATACCTATTGTTGTACACTATAAAACACTTTATTTTCAATTTGCAATTATGAAAATTCATATTTCCATCTTTCCTATTTTTAACTTCCAACCTAGGAGCTTTTTATTGGCCTTACAGTACATGGGTCATTTTAAACTTGCGCATTAGTTCCCGATCATCTTGTTCATTGGGTAAAGTAGGATATTCTAAAATCTAAATCATCAAACTCATCAAACTATATATGCATACATACTCCATTTTCCTTGGGCAAGCCCATATATCGTTCAGTGTAAAAGTTATGATATGTCATCCAGTCAGTTACAGGAGCAACTGATAATCCACATCTAAACAAAATATTTTCGTCCTCTGACATTGTTCTTGCGGTTATATATCTAAACATAAATAAAATTGCACGAAATTTAATTTGAATGTGAAGTTAAATACATAAATCACCTGGCGTTCATATAATTACCCTCCGTAAGATCTTCCCCACATTGCAACCTTGCTAGAATCTATAAAGTTATATTTTTCTGTAATTTGTCGAGTTGCTTCGATTTGATCCAATGGTTCATATTCTCCCAAACGATTGTAAACCTTCAATGAGAAAGTTGATAAAATACCTTTCATAAGAATAAAAAACTAATTTTGTCTCACCATATTTCTGATTTTGTCTCCTCTGAATCCCGTACCTCTTCCATCAAAGGTGACCACAACCACATCAAGATCGCTACTTGGTATGTAACCGATCGCCCATGTCGAAATAAAGGAATCTATTGTGTCTTGGTAGCCAGGACCTGAATTATTTAATCATATGATTATCGTTATATGTAAAAAAAATGAGCAATGCTCAAATATTTGGACACAAACGCCAAAACGAAATGTTTCATCCAGAAAGTTTCTCTAAAATCATCCTAGACGAAGCTGTAACTGCACAGAACCGTATCTTACTATTACCGGTACTGTACCCGAACAGTCCTAGCCTTACCAGGTCCTGTGATGATGATGATTCATGCGTCTAATGCGAACGTAAATTAAAATACCACATGAATCGACTCACAACTGACTTATCAAATCTTTTACAGTATATAACCGTTTACAGTAGTTAATTGTGTCTAGTCTACATTGCGTTACATGTATCGAAAAACTTCCGACTTTCGCGTAGCACGAGTTCGCACACATCAAAACGGAAGACAAACGTCATGCCTAGAGGAATAAAACTCATTTTTCCTTTAAAAACGTTACTCCCGTAGTATGTGAACCAAGATGACGGACACCGGAACGTAGTATGAGTTAGGGTTAGGCCATAATTTCAGGTACAAAGAGTCACTTGGCTATTGTCCCCAAACTCGTAATGGAACTAAAATAAGAAAGATTGGAATAAATTATGGCCTAATTCTAACCTGGTACACATACTACGTTTCGGTGTCCACCATCTTGGTTTACATACTACGGGAGTACCAACAAAACGACAAAATTGATGGGAAATTTAGAAAATCCTTTTAGTAATGAAAACATATAATGTGTCACCTGAATAAACTTGAACCAGTAACGGATATTTTTGCTTGGATCAAAGTTTGGAGGTTTGTGCAAAGTATAATAAAAGACTTCATCATCAACTTGAGGGAGACTAATTTCACCATATTCTCTTGTTCGAAATTTGAAAGCTTTGAAATTTGAAAAAGAAAAAAAGATAGCGAAGTTCGTGGTAATGCTGGCATATTTATGGCTAAAACATGTGCGAATTCCACTGTTCATAACCTCGACAGTCCATTACATTAACCCAAATATTATATATACTTCCCATAAAATGGAGCAGACTCTATCGAATTACTGATTTTCTCGTGCTTATAAACCCAGCATGTCAGCATGCATGAATTTCTTTTATTCGCCCTTGCTTAATATGTAAAATGACTAACATGAGAATGATTGCAAATACAAATGTAAAATTATTGAAATACTAGAAACAGTTGGTCCTGTCACCTTCAAGATTTTCTATGAGTTGAGTGTTATTTTCCACTTCGCCACGTAAACTAATATCACCAGAATCAGATATATAATGAAGAGTTGAAACGGGTACTCCTTTAGAAAATAAAATTGTGACAAGCAAACCATATTCAGCCGCTGAGATCGGAAAAAAACTAAAATCTATGGGAATTTTTGATATTAAATATAAATTAATTTGCATTGTTGTAAGACATCTTCAATATTCAGATTTTTTACCGTTCCCTGTTCCGCCACAGTTTATAACAACGTAGGATCCTTCGGGACTAAATGTTGGGTCAACCCAATTACATCTATCAGCATATATTGTATTCAGATCGCATGAGACACACTCCCTTGTTCTATCTCCATGAGCTGTAGGACAAGAATGTTTTAAAGGAAACGCTATTGATAAAGACATGTTTTGTTATACAATCAACAACAATAAATGTTTTGTTTTCAAATCGATCGAGATCGTGTTTTGGCATTGAAAATAGTTTAAATTGAATGTTGTGTTAAGTAATAACAGTACTACTTATTGTCAACCTTTAACTTTCCATAAATGGCGTATCCTTGGCAAACCATCTTCTGTGCCTTCAACTTCTGTACTTGTGAAATAAGCATAATCGTTTCTTTTGTCATAAAAATGTAGAGCTGCTCCTGCTGGAGTTCTATGGACAACCTGAAATATATATAGGTAAAATGAATACACTTCAATCTAGGTCTAAATTCTCAAAACATTTCAAAGAAATTTTGATAATATCAGCACTTTTGCAGAAGGGCGATAATCAAATGCATGCAGATTTGCCTAGACATGACATATTTGCTTCATCCACATCCATTTGCAAATTGTTTCAGTTTCCTCACGCCCAAGAACTAAATATTCTGATTGAGTATTTTCCAGAAATATTCAATAAAACAGTATGGTTTTCAAAAAACTTGAACCCTTACTGATTGTATTCGTCTTACAATTATAAAGTAATTACAATGATAACTAACCTCAAAGGTTCCATTTGTTCTCCAATTCAAAGAATTCTTTGTTCGATCAACAAGTACAAGATGCAAATACCCAGCGCTGTTTTCTCTCACAGTCAAATATTCGTTTGTATTTAGAATTGGATATATATCTGAGGGTTTATAGTCCCCTAACCAGCTGTTATGACCAATGATGACGTCTTCCGAAACTAAATGCACAAAAAAAATAATAATACCACGACAATATCGAATTTTATGTTCAGGAAGTTCCTCGGACAACTACTCGAGCTGCTACATCATTTTTAAAGTCAGTTCTTGAAGCAAACTTCAAGCATAAAAGATTTCACAGTTGTGGGTCTGCAAAAGTATGATATTGAAACAGCGATTGGATTTTACCAAGACGAATATTTTCCCGATAACTAAGAATAAATGACTATTCAAGGATTCGTTTAGTTAAAACATTTTAAAATATTACCATGATTACATGTCCACAAATTTGATATTAAATTACAACTTTCTGAAATTGCTTCGTTTTGAAGTCTATTTTTCCAGGTTGACATGAAGATTTGGTCATTTTTCCAAATTAATGAATTTAAATAATATTCTCCCCAACCGGTGACATTCTGAAAATTTAAGTAAATTACCATAAATAAGTGAAACACGAAAGTGTGACAGTGCTATTATTACATTTTTTGTTATTACATTTTATTAAAATTTTTCTGAAGTTCAAGAAAAAACAATGATTGCCGTATAAATAGAAAAGCCACACATTGCTATATAGTCAGTATATTATCTTGTTTAACTAAAATGATTGAAATTTATAGTTATCTATTAATTGTAAGAAACAATTTTTTATTATCTATATACGACTCGAAAAATTCATATATATATCGTAAATATATAATATATAGATATTAGTCAAATTTTAAAGTATGAAAATGTATCTTATACGTCGTATAATATGTACGGTATGTTACCACTTACATCACTTGGCATTACTTCAATGCTCACTGTCGGATTTTCTACATTCACAATTAAAATTAATGTTTTCGGAACAACATTGCCAGGTTTAGGATAAGATAAGCTGACCATTGTGGGATACTGACTTCCTCCAAAATAAGGAAAGTCAAAATTTCTTACTCCGGTCTGATCGAGTCTAAGAAAAAAACAAAGGAAACAACATAATGCTGTCTGAATATATTTACAAAATCAAAACTATATATAAAAAAAATTCATCGTAAAATCTAGAAACCGATTATTTCAAAATAACTGCCAATTGTAAATTGATATATCTTTAAATTTCATTTAACTGCCATTTTTATTTTTTAAATTGAAAAAACAAAATTTGAATACAATTTTTAGAAAAATGGAAAGTTTAAAACTGCATATCAACAATTACGCAGAAACGTCTTACTTCACATATGCCAAATAAGTTCCGTTTGGTGACCACCACATCAACGCATCATCTTTCGTTATTTCCAATTCGTAACCCCAGTCCGTTATTCCGTTGAAAATGACATTGTTTTCACCATCATCGGTGACTTGTATTGGACTGGAATAGAGATTCTAAAAAAGTAATTGTTAGGTTACAAAGCCACACTACGACGTTTATATTGTTCATTTGTTATATTTGTCATTTTTATATTGTTCAATCGTGTATTTCTCCATAACATATTTTGGTTTAATATTTTTTTTATAGAATATTATGGATTAGAAGTGATTGAACCTTGAATACTAAGGTATAACAAGTATAGATTTGAATACATACCGACAACAAAAACACGTCAAAATCATGCACATACGCCATCTTGTGACCTAGAGGTTCCCATTTGATTTTTTGAATTCCCTCGTGAGGAAAGCCTAGAGGGAAAACTTGTTGTCTGAAATAATGTATTAATATATAATTAATAAACGAGAAACTTTTTTTCTAAATATTTTTGATGTTTTTGGAATTACTGTGAAAACAACAGGAGCATTTGAAGGCTTGTCAAATTTACAGGTTCAGTAACTCGATCCGGATTGAATACCAAGAACATATCTTATTGGCAAAAGTTTATTTATCTCGTTTTGTCTTAATAACCGTGTCCAATGTTTATACTTCAGCAGTTGCACGTTTTATGTCAACTTTCACTTTAGTATTCGAAAATCAAATACACTATCAATCGAGTTCTCCAAGCCTTTTCTCTATAAGTATTTATTTTGATTCTTTAGTTTTTCATATAAAATAAAATGTATTTTATAATTTTATAAAACTACTCACGAATCGTTGGTTCGAAAAAATGCTACTGAAAACGTCCTCATGTAATGAACATAGGCCTGCAAATATCGCGATAATTTAAGAAAATGTTTCAACATTCTTATTAAATCAGTAGAAAAGTAATAATTCAAGGTAATTGGACTAATATCAATATGACACAATATAGATGTTTTTGTATTTTCTTTAATCCGGAGTCGAGTGTTCTTTACAAAAGAATGTTGGCATATTTATTTAGGTATCTGCGTAATAATATGACCCTAAATATGGAATGTTTACGGTCGAAAATCCTATTTATTTAGCACATTGTTTTACACCGTCAGTTTATAGTTTTATTAAAGATTGATAGACAACGGTATTTATATCTCAATTATCACTTACATCTTTGTGTTGATAAGTTATTGCCACATATTGAAGGTCGCCAGAAGCGTAGAATAATGACGGGTTTATCAAACTTTTCTATAAAAAACAAGAAATAAAAATCGAAAATTGTGTTAACAGTTGTTTATGCCATTTGTATCCGAACTAATGAACTGGAATTTATAGCACAATATGATACAATCTGCTTTAACACTAATTATTTGAAGATGTAATATAATTAGATGGAAGCAGGTACATTTTTTGTAATTTGGAAAAGTAAATATAATCGTATATTTCATTTGACAAATCGTTATCTTTCTTTGAAGCCGACTAAAATTTGAGAATCAATTTTGTTATGATGCAAAGCATGTTCGGTGTTGATCTGTACAATACATGTACACAGTACAATAAAATCGAATATTTATATTTATAAATTTGATTTTAGTTTGTTGTAGCTCTTGTATAATATACATGGAATAACCTCTGATTTGGTTCGTGTTATCATTCAAAATTTTCAATTGTTTCTAAATGGAAATAGTTGTAACGCCTGCAAATACATCAAAAACCACTCAAAATTGATTTAAAAATTCTATACCCAGGCGGAAGAACTTAGAAGTCCAGTCTCGTCATCATTACTAATGTTTTTCTTCATTATCGCGTCCTCATTATTTCGATAAATGTATTCAGAATCTAAATAAATAAAATGCAGTTTACAGTAGAAGTCCGATGTTTTATTTTATTAAAAAGCCATCAAATTAATACGCTATTGATTCAACATGACATGTATGAAAAGATAGTTACCTGAAACCCACGTGGGATAGAACTCTTTCGGTTCAAATTTACCCTGTAACCAGTCATCAAAATTCATATATTTTTTGTTGTCCAATTTGGGTTCGACACCCACTGCATTTGAAAATATAAAATTTGATTTATAGATAAACTCCAATGAGTACGATCATCAGTTCTGGTAATTGTTTTCGATTTGCCATCAAATTTAGAATTTACACCATTATATTTTTATATCCATATGTTGAAGCATGTAGATTTCACAAGTTCACATTTTATAGCAAGTGATTATGATAAAATGAAAATAAAATAAGCTTAATTGTTATATACATATTCACTTACCTGCTCTTTGCAAAGCCTTTACATCGTCTGTAGTTTCTGAATGATCTACCACAATCACGCACGAGATGGCGCCAACAATAATTAAAGTGATACTCAATATCTTCTTAAACTTATCCATCAGAAAATTCTAAACTTGGCATATAGTGTATCGTTTACACTCACAAATATAACTATTAATATGAATTAGTTACTATCTGTATAAGATAACAAATGTTAGTGAATTTCAATCGTCATTACGTCTTTGTTGATAAATCTTACAAGTTATGCAATTTAATTTGAAACGATTTTGGTTTGTTAGCAGTCCATTGAAGAAAACACTCAAAAGGTGATATGTCGTCAAAGGATTCAAATATAATTTTTTCAATGAAGTTGATATAGCAAAAAAATGACATTATAATGCAGGGTATCACGGGTGCTATTAGATTAGGCAGCTCTGAAGCAAAAATCAACTTTTCAACCCTATTCCAATCTCCATCCAGATTCTAGATCTTCCGCGCTGTTAATAGTTTACTATGTTATCGGTTCCCCGTTAGCTATTCTAACGGATTGTTTGATAACCTAATAAGAAGCGTAGTGCAGACATAAAAAGATTATATGCTGAACGGTGATATCCATATGACGGCCGCAATTTAATCTTATCCCACGTGTGCCAAATTTTCGTTTCGAGCAGTCCAATTATGTAGCAAATTATTACATGTCATTAAACAGTGTTAATACCGAACCGTTGAGACCGGTTAAAATTTCCGCAATGGACTTCTTAACTTAACTGTGATTTTATACACGTAAGTATAAGGCGCAAAAATCTTCGACGAAACCAGAGTTCGTTTATTGACGTCGCACATCTATCTCTTCCTCCTCATGTCATATGTTACTAATAAATGTCCAATACAAAATACCCACTATACATCGAGCTAGACATTTTCGTTTTTTTTTTTAAATGTGGAAAAAGGTGTCATTTGTTGCACGTAGTCCATCTGTAAGTTATAGCAGGGTGGTCCAAGGTTGCAAAGTTGCAGGGCCGCAAAAACTTTGGAGAAGGTCTCGCGGGCCGCAGTCGGAGAAAACCCGAAAGTAATCAAAACATCGCGAGTTTACTCACTTCAAATACATTTTAGAATAAGGGTTTATCGTTCTGATCAGTTTTTCAAGGGAACTATATAACGCCTTTGGTTATTTTAAAATTATTTCCCGAGAAATATCGTGGTATTTTCGGTTTCTTTTCTCGTGTTTGATTTTGTAATGTCGCTTACAATGATATTCTTTCGGGAAGGAAATTACTTGAAAACACACCAGACACTCTGGTTTAACGTTGTTGTGGGTAAAAAAAATGCGTTTCCTCTCTGTTTACTACGGTCACCTTTTTTCTACACTCATTGTATTATGAATTGATATATTTGAAAAAATTTATTACTTGTAGCGTAAGCAGGCCTAGTGCGACTGTCAAAAAACAACCAAGTCCGTCCAAGTTGGGACCTCAGACCCATATAAAAAGAAATGGATCGCGCGGCGTCAAGTCAGCTCTGCGGTTCGTCACTACTATCACATGACCAATGTTGAAAATAGAGAAATGTTTTGACTAAAATAAAGGCACAAAACGTCTCTTTAAATGAGGAGTTACTTGTTGCGAGCTCATCTCATGGACTTGGTCCTGTTTGCACAAAACAATTCATTTTTCATTTACCGATCACAGGACAGCATTCCCATATAGCAGTGATAACCTTTTACTAATTGCGTACCACTTTTGTGTTTTTTTCTCTGGTTGTGTATGACCGACAAAACTGGGGTTGGGACCAATGAGAACAGAAACGCGCTATGGGAGTATTCGATATGGCACTACATCCATTTTAGATCTTCGTGCAAAGATTCAACGTATTAATTTTATGTAGTAATAACGTATTAATTGCGTGCAAAATCACGAAAGCATTTGCGTTGTCTGCCGTCAGAGCTAAGGGACTTCAATCATCTTCTCGTTTTAGGTGGGAAGTAGCGATAGAAAGCAATCTCAAGACAAAAACTGGTAGCGCTATAAATCCGTTCAGCGAATACATACGGTATGGAAGATAAAGCGTTGTCGCCATATTTTAGCCAACTCAAAAGTTAATCGTTGCAATGATTCAAAGCTGCCCGCGTACCACTAGTGGTTGCGAACCATTGCCATATAGGCACCGTCTTGGCGTTTACAGATACAACAATGAAATTCCGGACATCGGGATTAGGAAAAGGACTATTCCGAGTTGGAATAGTTTAAAAATAAATCAAAATTGTTCTAATAATAAATACAAATATCTTTCAATTGTTTACTAGTGTACGCTAAAATTGTTCTGCGACCGCACGGAATGTATCGGCGGGCGCGGTTTGGACCACCCTAAGTTATAATAACGTCACGCTAATAACCGAAATGCGTAGGTCATTTTTGGCGATTTTGATTTTTTTATAAAATAGGTATTTATGTAATGCTGCTCATCTGTCTGTTAACTCAGATTTTATTTTAAGAATTCCGAAACTCTTGAAAATGGAGATTTAGTATGACATGCACATTTGTGCAATTGTTTCGTCATAATGAATTATCATTGTTACCGCCGGACTATTGTGATGTCACAAAGGCAAAATAACCTCGCGAAGTATTTTCGAGTTTTTGCATCTCAGATTCTAGCTTAGCGCGTATTAATTTGAATTTATACTACAGTATAGGAAGACGTGTACTTGTGATATTCACTGTCCGAGTCCAATTCACCTCGGTTGGCTTTTATATTGGGTGCATTGCTGTTTTATTCTTTATATTTAATCTTGGTCTTATTTCGGTGGGTGTGCAGGACGTGTTATATATATTGATGAAATATATATATATATTTTTAAACATGAAAAATAATGTAATTGAAACTGATTAGCTATTTTGGGGATTAGACATTGTAGACACTGAGAATTACATGCATTTTTGGAATGTTTAGTTTTCAGGACTGGTGCATATAGTAAAGTTGCAAAATTGCGTATGTCCCCAAGTTATAACCACATTTCTGCCTAAGTCACAGTGCGCCATTATGACGTCACTTAACTGCGTCATACAAATTAATTTAAATCCGGCTACGATCAAAAAATTGAACCATGGCAAATTATTGACTCTCAATGGCATAACAATATCATTAGGAAGTTTTTTACGTTTTTCTCAAAACTGCTAAAAATGACTTACGCAATTCGGTTATTAGCGTGACGATATGTTGTTGGCTAACAACTTTCCTCATTTAAAATCGTTCTACGTATTCTCATAAGCCTTCACATATAGTGCTCTTTCTCAATCAACATTTCAACTGCAAACATTCTGTGGTAGAAGTGTAAAGTTTGCACTAATTTTGTGTGCGCAATCTTGTTTAATCAACATAAAACTCGTCAACTTCGTACGTTTGTATGCTCTAGGTTTGTGTATTTATACAATACTAATAAAATATGTCTGCTTTTTATTCTTGCCAAATATTCTCTTTTGCCTGTGAATTATTGTACTGAAAGACAGCATTTGTGTTTACTTTGATTTTTCCGCTTCGCGGCGACTTTATTATTAGATGAGGCAATAGTTGAACAATTCACTGTACGTATTTTACGATGTTCTGAGCGCTAGTTATGGTCTGTCATTATTCAAAAAGCTGAAACCTGTATTGAAGTTATACCTGATACGATAACGATTTGACGTCAATATACCAAAGGCAACAATACCAAAAGAGGGTCTAATAGAACTTCCAACTTGAACTATTGCCTACATTTTTTCACTATATACATAATTGAATGGCATTATATGTACACGAAAAATGATAAAGATTTCTTATTTATGTAAACTGGAAGCGATAATTAAACACGGAGCGGTGAGGTAGTTTATTAATTATACTACCGTGGCGAATTTATCGAATCATATGAAATGATCTCACATAGATTCTTTCTGATTCGTTTGAAGTCGTTGACAAATTTTTAAAAGAAGAAAAGGTGACCATATTATATAACTTTATGGAGTCCGTTAAATTAAAATCGAATGCCTTGATGCTCTTGAGCGAAACATTTTATTGCCATAGAATACTCTAATGCACTGTAACACAATTACCCAAAACCACTCGACTATGTCTTTTAACATTTTCAACTATTTTGATATGGTTGTCAACGTTTATGAGTGCCAGTCAAAGTTGATGTTACAGAAAGAACTATTCTATAATTTATAACAGAGCAATGCTTTAGTACACGAACACAGGATCGTTACACCATCGCCCAAGATGTGATAAAATTTTAGAATCAGCCGAATCTCAGGTGGAGTGCATTAGGACTAGTAACATTTAAATCGCTTGAAAATTATCAGCTTTTCAAGACGAATTTTCCTATTCAGCCATTTAAAACTGGTCCAGTAGATGACGAATAAATCATTTTTGTCCCAGTAAATAACTACAAAAATGTCAAATTATTAAAACTAAATCCCCGCAACGTGGAGTACAGTTGCACACAATCAAAACAAAAAGGTTTGAAACAAAATGACCCATATTTAATTTCCAAATCGATTCGATATGATGTATGAAAAATTTGATTGGAATTATTGTCAACATCTTCCAGTGATTATTTAAATCAACTATAATTCAAAACAAATTTTCAAATGGCGTGTTAACAACTTGTAGTGATGACCGTAAGCATTTGCACCTCTGTCGAAACGGTGAGTTTGGTCGCCAGCAAAATAAGCAGAAAAATCGATGTCTTCGTGAATTAGTGCCTTTGAAAGTCTCGCAGAATGCTGAAAAAGTTATTCAAAATAGTATAATAACATTTAAAATTTTATTTTCACTGAACAAATTCATGCAAAAAATATATACAAATTAAAAAGTCAGTGTAATCAATCGGAAATTTGTTGATTAAACGCAAATCAATAGATAACTGTCATCGAAATGAAGTATAGTATATACCAGGGGTGGGCACGGTATTTGGACCCGGGGCAAAAAATTTTGCTCATACAGACTGGTGGGCCATGTAAATTTGATGTGAAAGTTACATTTTATGAACAATATTTACAGTGTTACAAGGGCAAAAGTGGAAAACAATAAGCCTCCTGCCAAAACTAAAATTATTCGCAATCTCAACAAATTCTCTGAGCTATTTTTAGCCAAAACATCAAAATGTGGTTCTAGTTTTGTCGTTTCAGTATCAGGCGGACCAGATTGAATTACCCAACGGGCCAGATATACGCTTATATATAAGTGAGCAGGACTAGTCTTATACCAAAAAGTGAACGTTGTCGTCGGCTGTCCCATGAATCAAGACAAAATAATGTTTTCCGATGTTGTGAAGTTTCTGAAACACTGTCGATTTATTGTATCCAATCTGAAAATAATCAAACGAATAAACGGTACATTAGTACTGTTATAAAATTGAAACATAAACGCTTCAAAAATACAGCACAAATGAAATATTACCCCCACTGTTTGACAGTATAAATATTTTTAAAATAATTTCTTTTACCTACTTTCAACTTTCAACCTAGGTGCTTTTTATTAGTCTACAAAATTGTTTTTTAAGTACTTGGATACTTCTTTACTTGCACACGAGTTTGTAAGTGAATTGATGTCCATTGTGTATTCGTTTTAAGTAATAACTTAAGCTTTAAGGTGGAGGTGATTTAATCATCACTATAAACTTAATTCAATTGTGTTATCATGCTTATGTCAATATTAATAATTTTGTCTCATTTACGTTTAAGTAATCACTACCTCATCAAGATGAAAGCGTTACTGATTCGCATGTACTTAGTGGTACTTTATTACTAAATAGCAGCGTAAATTGATTGCGTTTAGAAAAGAAATCCTATTTTGATACACTTAACTCATGTATGCATACATACTTCATTTTCCCTTGGCAAACCCATATATCGTTCAATGTAAATGCTATGATATGTCATCCAGTCAGTTACAGGAGCAGATGATAATCCACATTTAAATAGGAGATTTTCGTCTTCTGACATTGTTCTTGCGGTTATATATCTAAAAAACATAAATTAGGAATTTAACACAAAACTTTGAATGTAAAGTTAACCACCAGAATGTTCTTACCCTCCGTAAGATCTTCCCCACATTGCAATCTTGCTGGAATCTATAAAGTTATATTTTTCAGTAATTTGTCGAGTTGCTTCGATTTGATCCAGCGGTTCATATTCTCCTATACGATTGTAGACCTGCATAGACAAAGTCAATAAAAGCATCTTACACAAAAGTAATAAAATTTATGAATTTCGCCTCACCATGCTTCTGATTTTTTTCCCTCTGAATCCCGTACCTCTTCCATCAAAAGTGACCACAACCACATCAAGATCGCTACTTGGTATGTAACCGATCGGCCATGTCGAAATGAAGGAATCTATTGTGTCTTGGTAGCCAGGGCCTGAAAATTGATATCCGAGGCTATTTTGTATGAATCAAAATAATTAACAATAAAGCAATGCTCAAATATATGGAAACGCAAGTCGAAACGAAATTTTCACCCACAATTCCCCCAAAATCATACCCTGGAGACTGCGGAACAAGTACCGTAGCTCACAAGTACCGTAATTTACCAGTAAAGGTATCCGGACTGTCCTAACTTTGCCAGGTTATGTGACAATGACGATGTGTCCAGTCTCAACGCAAATCAAAATACCAAATAAGTCACAACTGTAGTATCAAGTCTACCGGTATCTTATTATAAACCCCGTTTGAGCTGAGCACCAGAGCACCCGATCGCGCACCGCCACACGATATTTTGATGATTTCAGCAAGCAAAACTTCGAAGTGAAAAACGAATCCCAGGTCCAGTAGTTAAAGAGAAAAGCGATTCTTTCACAACACCAAAGGAAAGTAAAATTCCACAACAACAGCATAACAGTAGAATGTTCCATGAGTTCATTCCGTGTAAAATAATATATATAATTATGACGACGATAGGAACTTACAACTTATAACGTTTTACCTGAATAAACATGAACCAGCAATGGATATTTTTTGCTTGAATTGAAGTTGTGGTATGTGTAGAGTGTAATAAAAGACTTCATCATCAACTTGAGGAAGACTAAGCTCACCATATTCTCTTGTTCGAAATTTGTAAGCTTAAAGAGAAAAGTTGTCGGTATGGTCATAGCGACTAGAATGCTGGCCAACACGTGCAAACTATCAAGAATTTTAGCGTTTATGACATCGACAGTACAATTGTTTTACCCAAAACACTATTTTCTATAAATTAAGCAGATTTATCGAATTAGTGCGATTTCCGTTTCTTCGAAACCAACGGGTATTCTCATCCAAATGGTTTCATATATACCTTCAAGGTTTTCGATGATCTGAGTGTTATTTTCAACTACTCTCTGTAAACTAACTTCGCCAAAATCAGATATATGATGAAGAGTTGAGACGGGTACTCCTATAGAAAATAATTCAAACACGTTACATGATAGTTCTCCAAGCATCTTAAACACCTGTTGGGTTCTTTTCTGCTTTTATTTTCTGTCTCAAATAAATAATTGACTTTAGTTTTAATGTAAATGAATGCAATTCAAGTAGGCTTTTTATTTATTAAATTCCGGAATAAATGCGGATTAATTTACATTGAACATCGTATATAATAGTGATAACACAGCATTTATTATTCCGATGTCTTCCAAGTTCTTACCGTTTCCCGTTCCGCCACAGTTTATAACAACGTAGGATCCTTCGGGACTGAAAGTTGGGTCAACCCAATTACATCTATCAGCATATATTGTATTCAGATCGCATGAGACACACTCCCTAGTTCTATCTCCATGAGCTGTCAGACAAAAATGTTTTAAAAAAAAACGTCATTGATGAAGACATGTTTTGTTATACAATCAATGTGATGCGATGTTTTGTTTTCGAATCTATCGAAATTGTGTGTTTGGCAGTATAATTGGATTAAAAACGCTAATTAAAATTAAATGTTGCTTTAAGTAATTTAAAGCACTTTTTATTGTCAACCTTTAACTTTCCATAAATGGCGTATTCTTGGCAAACCATCTTCTGTGCCTTCAACTTCTGTACTTGTGAAATAAGCATAATCGTTTCGTTTGTCATAAAAATGTAAGGCTTCTCCTGCTGGGGATCTATGAACAACCTGAAATATCATAAAAAGGTGATTGTTCTAATAATATTTTGATTATTACACACGTGCGTCTATGAACATATACATCCTTCAGTTATGGTCCACATTATTTTGACTCTTCGAATATATTCGGCCATTTTTGTTCACTTGGTGGATTGTATCATTCTGATACTGTCCAGTTAGGGAATATTGCTTCATCCACATCCGCTCAGAAATCATTTCAGGTTCCCGAGTTTGTTTCAATTTTCTCGAATAGGGTTTTGCTATCCTAGAATGCGGACTACCGAACGCACCAAAAGTAAAACAAATTTGATTTGTAGTATTCTCCCGTAGTATGTGAACCAAGGCGGACACCGGAAGGTAGTTTGTGTACCAGGTTAGAGTTAGGCCATAATTTCAGATACAAATACTACGGGATTCACATGGCTAGTCCCCGAACTCGTAATAGAACATAAAATAGGGAAAATTGGAATAAAATTATGGCCTAACCCTAACCTGGTACACATACTATGTTCAGGTGTCCACCATATTGATTCACATACTACGGGAGCGCCCATATTTGTATTCGTATTCAAACATTCGGTATTTACAATGATAACTAACCTCAAATGTTCCATTTGTTCTCCAATCCAAAGAATTCTTTGTTCGGTTAACGAGTACTAGGTGCAAATACCCAAGGCTGTTTTCCCGCACAGTCAAATATTCGTTTGTATTTGGAATCGGATATAAATCTGATGGTTCAAACTCACCTAACCAACTGTTATGACCAATGATGACGTCTTCGGAAACTAAATATCATATAAACGACAAATTTAAACTTAATTGAAACCGTATATGTGCCCTATTATATAAATTGTATTTCGAATCTTAATATGTGGATACCATTACGTTTGAATAGAACAGATATTGTATCGCAAAATAACCAATCATCCGGTTATTTTTAAAAAGTTTATTGAACAATCAAAGTTGCTTAGAATAAAGAAATGGGTTTGGACAAATAGTTTGTAGGTGCAGTTGCAAAAGGATGATAGTAAAAAAGCAAAGGCATTTTGTAATTCTAAAATGACACAAAAAAGTGATCTTTTCGATTCTCGCGTGTGTTAACAGAAGGTATAGAAATGAAATAAGGTATAAAAACAAATCAAAAATTTCTTAAAAAAAATTTTGAAAATATTACCATGATTACATGTCCACAAATTTGATATTGAAATACAACTTTCTGAAATTGCTTCGTTTTGAAGTCTATTTTTCCAGGTTGGCATGAAGATTTGGTCATTTTTCCAAACTACAGAATTTAAATAATATTCTCCCCAGCCTGTGACACTCTGTGACAAGGTTTCAACAACTTCACGTAAATTAATAGAATACAAAACCGTAAACTAACTAAACGTTGAAGTGCTATTGTGTTTTCAAATGCTTGACTTCAATATTCATTACAATTTTTCAGAAGTTTAGAAAGAAATTATGATTGACATATCAATAGATATAATCGAACATTGCTGTCGGGCTATTTGTTTTATTTACCTTATTAGTTATATTATTAATATTAGAATGATTAAAATTAAAATTGAATTTATTTAAGACAGGCCATTTCTTAGAAGAATTATATATCAAATAAGATAATATTCGAATTATTTCTAATCGCATTGTCAAGTGTTGACTAATATACTTCAAACGACTTATAAAATATATGTAGCCACCTACATCACTTGGTATCACTTCAAAACTCTCTGTTGGATTCTCTACATTAATAATGAATATTAATGTTTTCGAGATAAGCTTTCCAGGTTTAGGATAAGGATAGCTGACCATCGTGGGATACTGACTTCCTCCATAGTAGGGAAATTCAAAACGTTCTACTCCAGTCTGATTCGATCTAATAAAAAACAAGTGAAATATATAAATATATAATGCTCTTAAAATAATATATCTATAGAACAAGACCAACAGATCAACCAAATCTATCATAAACTTTTGATTATTTTTTAAACCAATTATTGCCAAGTGCATTGGCACATTTTTCTGTTTTCATTTTTTGAATCAAAACATTTAATGGAAGTTAAAAAAGTTGAATACCCGTAATAAAACATCAAATATAATTAATTATAAAGAATCCTTCAATCTTACTTCACATATGCCAAATAGGTTCCATTGGGTGACCACCACATCAGCGCATCATCGTTTGTTATGTCAGATATTCCGTTGGCAATGATGTTGTTTTTACCATCCTCGGTAATCTGTATTGGACTAGAAGAGAAATTCTGAAAACGTGTTCGATAAATAGGCGCTATTAGATTCAACTGCAAATTAACATCATGTTCAATAATTGAAGTCCTAAAAGAGCACTAAGAATGGTTCTTACATCGTTTATATCGCTTATTTAGATGGTGTTATATTTCATTACAACATATATTGCTTTAGCGTTTCATATAGTATAGGAATCAAAGTGATCAAATATAGCTTTGGATACATACCAACAACAAAAACACATTGAAATCATACACATACGCCATCTTGTGTCCAACAGAATCCCATTTAATTTTTAAAATTCCCTCTTCGGGAAAGCCTGGTGAGAAAACTTGTTGTCTGAAGAATAATGAACGAGTATAAAAATTAAATGCTTGTGATGTTTTGAAATGAATATTTTAAATTAAACATAATAGGTATTTACAGCCTTGTCAATTTCCTGAGCTGTTCATTAAATACACATCTTATAGGCAAAATTTTATATATATATTCTATTTTTTTTAATGTGCTTGTTTGAACTCATCAAACTTGTTTAAATTTCAACCATTATTCTATTTACGTTTTAACCGTTATTTCATATGATTGTAAGACTCACAGTGTAAGAAATGTTCCCTCATTTTAATTATGGACACTAGGTTGTGTTCTAGAAATCCTTCGCGATGTCTATGTTCTGTAGTCGTGTCAGTCGTGCGTTACCATTTAATTTTGTAAGCGCAGTAAGTTCACATTTGGTTGAAAAAACTAATTTTCTATCCATAATTTATTACTAATAATTAATTGCATGTAGTATTTTCATGCTTTAGAAAACGCGAGTCTCAAATATATTTTATTGAGCCAACTTGGTTGTCTATTCCGATCAATAATCTGGCATACGTGAGTTCTCCGGCAGGCTTCCTTTTTTTGGTGTTTTTAGTGAACGCAGCTCGTCATTACGCACTGGAATTTGGTATTTGTAACTGCTATTTTTTTATGTTTTTTTTTATTCTGTTTATATTTGGAGTGATGGTCATATAAATATATTAAAATAGTGAGTAAGTGCCGGAATAAACTGACCCACTGTTGTCCATTACTACTGCAATAAAGTCCAAGCAACAAAGGTTGGATGATCTATAACGTCAAGTATTTCTGATGTGACCCGCACATTAAATCACACAATATCACTTCATATCATAGTTATGTGATAGCACCAGTTATTACCTACACACATACTTTTTATACACAACTTTCATAAATATAAAATGCATTTGTTCATTTTATTCAAATACTCACGAATCGTTGGTTCTAAACATTGATACGGAAAATGTCCTCAGGTACTCAACGTAGGACTGAAAATATCGTAATCTGTTAGTTTTATATTTCAATATTTCCGTGAAGTCATCAAAAATGTAGAAAAATATTGAACCCATATAAATATGAAACAGTTTTTGGTAATAGGTTTTGCAAATTATGCCAAAATGTCATCATTTATAGGCAAATGTCTTTTTTAACATCTAAAAATTTATCATTTTGTAAATTACAATGTTGTCAAAAATCAATAGCTTGCCTCCAAATAATTGCCTCTAAAAAAATAAGAAACCAAAGATATTTATATGTCAATCATGACTTACATCTTTGTGTTGATAAGTTATTGCCACATATTGAAGGTCAGCAGAAGCGTAGAATAATGACGGATTTCTCAAACTTTTCTATAAAACAAGAGAAAATTTAGAAATAAACATTGCAGTGAAGTAATATTATATTTGGATTGATAAAAATATGTATTTTCATATTCGTTTGAAACAATGTATTGTTTCCGTAAACTTAGCAATAGAATAAATTCAACTAAGCATTGATTGTTTGAAGTGAATTTCAGGTTTAAAAGTTTTTGGAGAATGAAAAAAACGAAAAGCAAATTTGTCAAGACAAGTATTATCGGACTTCCTAAATAATCATGTTATAAAATCAAAGAAATATATTTTTATCTTATATTTAGTTTGAGTAAAATGATAATGAATTTTGTTTTAGAAAATATATAATTCCGTGATTGTTTTGATATAATAATGAAAAAATCAACATTTATTTGAGAAAGTCTACCCATGCAGAGGAACTTAGAAGTTCAGATTCGTCATCATTACTAATGTTTTTCTTCATTATTGCGTCATCATTATTTCGATAAATGTATTCAGAATCTAAATGGAAGTAAGTAATATAGCAGAAAGAAATCTATTAAAATCTACTGATAAAATGTCACAAAGTTGAAACATGGATGAAAAAAGAACACAGTAAAAATAAACAAGAGGGTAAAATAGTTCGAGCGTTATACAAGAATCAAATTGTCTAATATAGAAACGCATTGTAATTGTTAAAATCACTGACTTTGTTTATTTAGGTTTATTTAACCATTCATCCATACTTGACAGCTAAAACTGTTTCTCTGAATTAACCGATCATTTTGTTGTGAAATACTTATACGCATGCAATAAGTAAAAGTCATTTAAAGTACATTTATTTTATTAAAAATGCTTCAAATATAATTAATTTACTTTAAATTTAAATGGTCTAAGCTGTTACCTGAAACCCATGTGGGATAGAATGATTTTGGCTCAAATCTACCCTGTAACCAGTCATCGAAAGTCATGTACTTTTTGTTGTCCAATTTTGGTTCCACAACCACTGCATTAAAAAATATCAAAAATAATATATAGAAATACTCCAATGAGTACAATCATTAGTTCATTTTATAATTCCGATTTATCATCGAAATCATGTTCCAATTTTGCAAAATTGAGAAGCTGATGTTGATTTTGCCATATTCATACTTTGTACCAAATGTCAAGCATTATAATAATAAAATAAAATTGTTTGTATCTTGATTTTTGAACATAGTCATTTACCTGCCCTTTTTAAAGGTTCCACCTCGTCTGTAGCACCTGAATGATCTACCACGATCACGAACGAGATGACACCAACAATAATCAAAGCGATACTCACTACCTTTTTAAACTTATCCATCAGAAAATTCTAAACTTGGTATGGAGTGTATGGTTTACACTTACAAATATAGTTACCATTATGAATTATTAAATCATAATATATGATGAGTAACAAAAGTTTATGAAATTTGTAACGTTAGTCTTCCCACGTCTTTGTCGACAAATCTCATGCAATCAGCAAAATTAATTTGTAATGTTATTTGTTTGTTAATAGCTCATTGAAAAAATAAACTCAAAGGGTGATATGTTGTTAAAAGGTTCAAATAAAGCTAGATACAAAGATTGACATCAGGCAACTTTTAAATGAAGATCAATAACCTCCACAGTCCACCACTAGATGGTGTACTGTGAGATCACTAACCTAGCTCATATATCTAAACAACTCATCAAATAGTTAAATATCTTGCAATATTCCTTTCAATTTTCCAATTTCCGTCAAAATTAAAAAGGATCTAAATCGATTCGTATTTTAAATATCATTGCAATTTCGTTATATGCGTGATTGATTTAGAGATGTACCGATGTATCGGTATCGGGTATCGGTATCGGCAATATCGGCCATTTTTTTGGTATCGGCCATGTATCGGTATCGGTTGAATTAAGGCCGATATTTCCGATATATTTATCTTTTTGATATGGTCCAGAATGTTTTAAAAGATAAGTTGGAATACTACTTTTTAATTTATTTTTTGTCTGGAGAGATCGTGCGCTATAAGACATACATGTCCCCACCCCCGCGAAAGAATAGGATTCACGTGTTTTCAGCTATTTATCAGCCAAACTAGTTCAACTAATTTGGCTATTTTCGCTGTCAATTTTTTATTTTGACATTTTTAATATTACATAGTAATTATGAAGAAATATATCAACACAGCACATAACAAAAAGCAACTAGGCGCCCAGTTTTAAATCATACAGTGGAATTGGGGTCCTTATTAACGGCACAAGGACTTTTGGCACGGCTATAAATGCTGACTGTTTGTCGTCAAGTACGAGTGTCATTTGGTCCGTCGACATCGATAAACTAAATTTCGAAATTCAAAATTTATGATAGCAATTGTAAAATATTTTATATTATAAAATAGTAAAGTAAAAAAACATCCTCGACGGTTATAGGTAGGCCTTCTTTTTGTCGGTGCTGTTTGATATTCTTTCAATTTGGCTTCGACTTATTGCGTCGACGATTACGATTAGCCACAAAAAAAAATATTTGTAAAATGATTTTAATTTGAACGTAGGACGGCGGCGCTAGAATGTGAGGGGATATTCGATATTCTTTTAAACTTGAATAACGATATTCGAAGGTCGCGATATTCATATCAAGTTCAAATTGGACATCCCGGCTTATGAGTTTCAATTGATAATCGAGATTACTAGTCTTACTGTACAATGTATCTTAATCAGTTGAAGCAAACACCAAACATCAATTTCATATTATGTGATATATCTTTTTTTTCGATCTGAAATAATGTGTACCATGAACAACGCTCAAAGACCATTGTTTTAACCCGTCTGCCCTACACAGCACACCTAATTAAGTAATAATTACATAGTATCGGTATCGGAATATCGGTAATATCGGCCTTTTTGTAGTATCGGCGTATCGGTATCGGTATCGGCGTTTTTAGCTGGTATCGGATCGGTATCGGTATCGGCGACAAAAGTGGTATCGGTACATCTCTAGATTGATTAGCTATATTAACGGATCGTTTAATAACCTAATAAGAGGCTTATTTCAAGCATAAAATCTTATATGCTAAACGCAACTTCCATCTGAAACGGCAATCCAAACTTTTCTCGTGTGTGCCAAATTTTAGTTGTAAGCCGTACAATTTTGTAAAATTTCCATTCATACTGCAAATGTGCATTTATTTACACGGCAAGTATTATTTGCTTTGTGGATGATTTCGCAAGCCGCATACTCGTGAAAATTAATAATTTTGAAAGAAATGGAACGCAATAAAAATGACAGTCTTAACGTCAATATTTATTCGCCGGACATTTTATCAGCTATTTCTGTTCAACCGTGCCAGTTTAATTCAATCTGATATCAATGTAGTTGCGTAATCTACTTCAATAATTTACGCTTCATTGACCGAAAACGTTTTCTGCTTTGCTATGACAAATGAATCTTCATTATTGTAGAAATTCGTTATGCTCATCAACCGTGTAGACAATATTCTTACTATGAAAGTGATAACGGTAATAAGAAAGGCTTCAAATTATTTTGAAGTTTAGTTTCACATGCTTTTTAGCCTAACCAGTCGTTCCACAAAAATGACCACATTTTTGCAATCATACCTCTGTATTTAGATTGTTGAATTCTCCGTCATTTACATGTACATTTACAAAGTATTATATTTCTGAAAATCATGAATCTTTGGTTATTTTTGAGAAACATAATACAAGCGTAATGGCAGTTGGGGTGTCATTCAAAAATTATTATATTTAAAATCGAATACTGTATATATAGATATTAGTAAAATCTCTCCAGAAATTGTGATACAAATGCATCCATTTCTTTATAACATACGCTTGTTTTGAACATCATGTCCTTTCAATATTACAGCCGTATGATCAGGTTTAAAAACTTAGTTATGACAAAATGCCATTTGACTCAATAAAATTTTGCAACTCAAGCAAGTCGCCGAATGATAATGTTTGCTACGGCAAAACTGTCGTAAACAGATAGCGAGCGCTACGCATGTTTGCATTGTATATTATCCACCTGCAATCTCGGTAAATGTTGATTACACATTAACGTAAAATAAACTACACGAAGGAACAACTGTCAGTAAAATGGGCTTCATTTGAATTATTTTACGTCCGTCAAAGAAGCTGTGTTGTATAAAGAGGCGTGTTCAAATAATAATCAAGCTTTAATAATCTCAAGTACTGTACAGTTATGCAATTGTCTAGTTCTTTGTCGTTGCAGTGAAGTGTTGAATTGTGAATTTTCTACATGAATTTGAACATGCCAAACTAGATGTTGCTGTAAAGCTTTGCTTAATTAAGGGTCGAGAATGAGTATCAGCTGTGATTGTGATGACTATCTAACCAAGATCAGGATAACAAGTATTTGTGGTTGAGTTGTGGTTTGTCAAAGCTAATCAACAATGATTACTCCCAGGCTGCAGGACAGACTGCAAATTGCGCACAAATATACGGTTTATCGAGAAGAATAAAATGATTTGGCAATTGAGGGTAGAGTCTCTAAAATAAACGACGACCGCTGAAGTATTTTTGCTTCTACATCAGTATAATAAAGAAAAGAATAGTTTCATTGGCCGAGACTTCCTTGTGGACTACCAATCATATGTATACTAATATGTTTTATGTTTTTAACATTTTAGTATATTTTATTCGGTTCTATATTGGGAATGACAAGGCTAAAATTAACAATAGCATTGGGGTTTATGTCAGTTGTAGCAGTCTTATGTATTACTGCTTGGAATATTCGAGGTCAAGATAAAAAAGAAGAACACCTGGTAAAGAAAGATGTGGAACCCATGGGTATAGTATTTATTAAAAAAAATGTGTATAAGCATGTAAATCTAGAACAAGTAATTTTTAAAATTTATATCTTATAATCAAGGAAATCCCGTTTCATCCTTTTCTGCGGTACTGAAATTGAAATTGAATTTTACTATAAGATAATACAAACATGTAGATTATATAGTAGTGTAAATTATCGTTTAGCCTTATAAAAGTAACACAGTTCGAATATTATTATATGTTCGCAACATACTGATATTTAAAATATAGTCATCACTATTTAACACTCTATTTAGGTATGGTGCAAGAAAAAGCCGACAACAAACAATACATGACATTTGATGATTGGCTGTCTGGAACATTCCGTTATTCGACATTCTATCCGAATTGGGTATCAGGTAATACTAAGTCTTTCTATAATCATTTTCTTTATATGATAACGCCGGACATATATATATATATAGTCGTGCAAGCTAGAACCGTTTACTTTGCAAAATTAATTCCAATTGGCATTGTGAATTCAATATTTTCCAGTTATTTTTAATACCGCCAAAAATTGGGACATACCAAACTTATTTCGCCTGGCCCAAATCGTTTAGATTCGATAAGTCTCTACATTGGACTATATAAGCAAATATAGTCAGTTTTCAGGAGACTTGAAATGAAGAGTTTAAAGGCGCGTTGGTCGTCTTGCAATGCAGATTTCGGTAACGTTACTTTTGGATGACGTAGTCCGGTGGGGGTTAGGAATGACATGCTCCCGAAGTATGTTTACCAAGATGGCGCACAACCTGAACATAATATGTGTACCAGGTTGGGTTATCAGGTTGTGCGCCATCTTGGTGCACATATTTCTGGAGCGCCAAAAAAATTGTTGCTCCACGCCCACTAGAGGTTATTGTGGTACGAAACTACACGAGACCCCATTTTTCAAACAAACACAATAAATCAATTCAAGAAGTTTGAACTTTTTTAAAGGGACCGTTTACAATGGAATATTAACGTCACTGTCGCCATCAGATGTGACGTCGTGGCATTTTAAACATTCAGCAAATCTTGTTCTCAATGACTATCAAGGAAAAATGCTTATTTACCTTTGGATTTTTATAATCCCTGGATTTTCAGTATCACCGTGTCTCAAAATACAATTATGTGTATGGCATGAACGGACCTGAAATTGGCTCTGGCGAGATAAAGGTTTCGCTCTGAAATTATTAATATTCAATAAATTCGTTACGTACCTCAATTTTTATACGTGTTAACTATTATGTAGTATCAGCATTTGGAAATTTTTAATTCCCCTTTTCATATATTGTTTTGCGGATTGCGCTTTTGATTGTAAAAATTCTAAATTGTAGATTCTGAATACGCGTATAGAACACCAGAAGGGTCAATAATGAAGAAAAATATAAGTAGCGAAGATGAAAGTGTATTGTTGGACGAGACTGCATGGGTAACAAAAAATTATTTGTGTGAGCCATAAAAATGAAAAAATAGCTAGCTTTGATCAACGTCGCTACCTCAAACTTGTATAGGATGCTAAACTCTCATAATTTCCTAAACAGCATTTATTTTCTAAATCTATAAGGGAACAGAAATTTAGTTGTCATATCTCATTCAATTTCTATTCAGCTAAATGTATTTTACCATCAATGGGACTTGTACGTCGTATACTTACCATATGCTTGACTTTAAAATTGTCTATTTTTCGATTGCTGTTTAACGGCAGGCCATGTCAGATCGATCTACATTCTACATAGCTTTTATGATACAGTCGGTAATTAATTAGATGGATCGAATACACTCGTGTCTATATCTTAGTTTTTTCATTATTTTTCTTATTTAGAAAAGCGTATCAAATCCATCATCTTATTCAATATCTGCTGATATGGAATATGTAGCGATCACTTATGAAAATACTGACGTAGGTATTAGTTTATTGAGAATAGTTTGAGCACAACAATTCAATCTATCATAATAATTGGATAGGAGTAATTATGACATAACACTAGTCAACAGTACGTAGTCTTATGACTTCGCTTACGTGATATTATTTGCCAACACAGTTCTATTGTGTTTGTACGTTGCCGATGGTGATTTCTTGAATTGCTTATTAGTACCTTCATGGTTTCTGAACTTAAATTCCTTTTGCAACTCATCAAACTAATGTAAATGATTTAATAATACACGAATTATTTTAATAATTTCCCTGTAAATTATTCAGCCAACAGGTGTCGCTGACCCGGAGACTGTTACAGTCCTTCGCGACCCCTTATTGATTGCAGTGGATCTCTGACGTTATATCCTATGTGTACATTTACTTTTTTTAATTATGTTATACACTTTTTCTTGCATTGATTCTTGCATGATAAAAATAAAACATCCGAATATACAAGTCCTAACTTATATAGATGACAATTGCTGTCATTATGTAATAGATTACAATTGTGAAATTTCGAACATATATATACTAAATATGGATATTGCCCTGATAAACAATGATCAATAAAGTAATAAGTTTAATAAACAATGAAAAAAATGTATAATTTTATTGAGTACTGTTGACTAGTATTGTTACATTCATGCATCGTTGTTATATGAAATATTTAATCAGTGTCAAAAATTATTCCTATTTTCAGGGATATGCTAATTACATGAAAACTTTTTCTGTGGACGTGTTTTCAACTTCTGATTCGTGAGTAAATTTATATTTAAAATTTCGTACTTTTTTACATTAAACGTAAAATATAAAGCATAATCTTTAAGATTCATATGAGCCAAGATTAGGTTTTTCATTCTGTTTAGGTTTGTGTGTATCCATACAAAAGTGTTATCTTTTATTTTCTCAATGTTTAATCAAAATCAAATATTATTATTTAATATATTTAAATAATTAATTTTTTATACGTACGAATCACAATGATGACAAATATTCACATTTATTTATACATACATTATTCTTTCTCAAAATTATTTCAACAATTTTGTTTCAGAACGAAGCAGACGATTCCAAATTTTCCAGCTGATAAAATACAAAAAATCAAGTGGGCTCCTGTTGGTAACAAGATGGCGTTCGTTCATGACTTTGACGTCTATGTCGTTGTTGTAAGTAAAATTAGATTAATATTAGGTAATATTTATTAGGTGAACATATAAAAAGTCCGTTTCTTTCTTCAGTGTGATTATATCATTACTTTGATCAAACTTACTTAGAATTAGATAGATTCAAAAAGTGCTTCTGTGATTTTTCGATTGCTAATTGATAACTATGAGTTGAATTACGATATTCAATGTTGCGTGTATACTTACTTAGTATAATTTATTGTATTTTATTTTAATCTTTACTTAATCATTGTTCTATGTTCTGTTGTAGGATTTCAGAGCAGCACCAGCAAGAATAACACATGACGGTGAAGAAAATGTTAAATTTAACGGTATAGCTGACTGGTTGCATTGGATTGAAATTACAAATGATGACGCTTTACTCTGGTGGTCTCCATCTGGATCGTACCTAGCATACGCAACGTAAGAATGTCGTTCCAAACAACTTAGCCAGATATTCATCATATTCGATTCTATTATTTTATTTCCTATTTCCAGAATCGATGAAACCAATGTGAAGAATTTTGACTTTGCTATATTTGGTGGATTGCAATATCCGAACATGATCAGTTTCCCGTATCCAAAGCCTGGCACTCCGTTGCCTCAAACTAAAACTTTTGTCGCAGATATGTCAGATCCCGCAAATAACGTTGAAGCCGTTCCGAGCTCTGTTAGTATTCTACTTCTCCAAAATGATGTGTTCTTCTAAATCTAAAATACGACTAAAATCGGAAAATTATTAGATCCTCCCATATTGTAATGGAATTAAAAACTTGGTCGCGTTTGATAGGTTGTAGATGGGACTGAAAACGAAAATCTAGTAGGAGTTTACCAAGTTTTGAGTGATCATAATCATAGTAAAGTTCTTTTTTTCCATCTAGTAAAGAAGTTAACATGCAAAATTAAAACCAATGAATAATATTAAAAACACATTTCACTGAGGAAGGGAAGCCGCGGGGAACCAAAGCTGGTTATCAAGCAGCGATGTAACAATATGTACACTCTTTTAATATAGCTTATGTGTGATTGTAGTTGGAACATGTTAAATTTTTCTGCAATTTTCACTGAAACCAGCCCTATGTGGTAAGAAGCTGAACATGGTATGGTATTTTTCATAATTTTATTCAGGCAGTGACTGATTGGGGAGAGTTTTATTTGAATTCAGCTATCTGGAGAAGCGACACCATGTTTACTCCTACCTGGAAAAACCGGTTTGAAAATGAGTCTGTGTCTGAGTCCTGCGATTCTGCATCAGGATTCACATGTTCCCATGGTACATATCTATCTTCCTTTAACTTCTAAGGCCCAGTGGTTCTCAACCTTTTTCTCCTGTGGTCCATTTTTGTTGCCCAAAAATTCTTGTGGCTCATCAACTTTTTATTGCAAGGGGTAAACTACGAGAAAAAACAAGATCTTCCTGCACTTCAACAGCATCGTTATTGATTGCTGCTACAATCAAAATTAACTATTGTGACATAAACAAAACTAGCAATTTTGATAGTTCTGTGGCCACCTCAAAATCGTTCTGTGGCCCAGCAGTGGGCCATGGCCCACTGGTTCAGAACCAGTGTAAATATAGGCCATTACCATTGCGTTTGTCTATTTAATAATACTTTAACATAGAAAATTAACACTATCTTCGTAATTTAACATAATCTAGCATTAGATTGAGTGTGCCCTTTTTTGAGAACTTTTCTTAAAAAATGAAAATAACTTGAATATTTATTTTAATTCTCGTTTCCAGTTTCGAACATGGAAACCAGTAGTAGCACTGGATGGCTTGGTCACTACAAACCTGCTGATTTGGTAAGAATGCCGGATGAAAATAAATACATGACTGTGTTGAGTGATTCGACTGGTTTTCCTCACATTGTTGTTGTTGATACACAAACTGATGCTAAAGATTGGAGAACTAGTGGCAACTACGAGGTAAGGGTTTTCCAAAGACAGATGGGAAAAATAATAACTCATTCAAGAGTCTTGCTGTACACTGACACAAATATATTTCTATATAATAGACTATATAATACGATTATATGTTACACACGTATATATATTTGTGTTAGTGTGCAGCGAGACTCTTACATCACTTAGGATAATTATCTTTACTATTGCCACAGCATCCTTGAATTAAATTTATATGCATATGAATACACTGGCACTTGAGCATAGAAGGAGAATGAGCAGTCCTGTAGAAAGCGAATCGATAGAACAGGATCGGGAATTTTTTTAAATTTGTTACCCCTTGTCTTTAATATTACCTTTCGATAGGTAACTGATACTGGTATTGGAGATCAGGCTATTTTTTTCTATGACGAAACAAACGACTGGATTTACTACACAAGCACAGAAAAAGCAGAAGAACCCGGGGAAGGATTGCCGAGAATACGTCATTTGTGGCGAGTCAAATGTACATACATTTTAGATTTTCAACTAGGAAAAATGGAATAGAATAGGTTCTAAAAATGTAACACAAAGATATGATAAATGGTATTTGTATAATATACCGATGAATTCTTCACTCATTGATTTAACTGTGACTACGTCAAAAACTACGATTGACTAACGATGATTGATTGACATATTGTGGGAATTTAAAAATTTTCTTTTCAAAGAATAAAAAATATTTTTACAACTATTTCTCGAATTGATGAACGCATCAAAATAATCAACTAATTCTAGTTTATAAATTTCAATAATCTGGTACCTAACTATAGATATGTATGTTGTAATATTAGAGTACGCACTATATTTCCATAATATAAACAACACACAATAACATAAGCTCACTATATTTCAGCAAACACTGACGACACAAGAGAATGTATTTCATGTGATTTGAACACACTATATGCAGATCGTTGTAACTGGGTTCAACCAACGTTCAGTCCTGGTGGATCGTACGTTGTCATTAATTGTGGTGGTACTGCTAATGGTGAGTTAATAGAACTCATATCAATGAAATTTTGTTATTTTCATTGTCGATCATTTTTATTTTATACAAGCAATAGTGAGAGTGTTTTTATGAGGTCGGTATTATGACCTAATGTCAATAGTTTCACAGTCAAGTGTAAGCTTTGAGGTTCGCATAAAAATACAACAAATGTTGTTTGTTACTCTCCTGCTGTCTTAATTACCAATATTATAAGATTCGAACCAGTTGGAATATATTTTATAACATCGTAATTTAGACACGTTTCCGTTTGTTGTTGTTACGAAGTATGAGAATTGTTCTGATAATACACACGATAAAGAATAAAGCTACATAAATGGAACATTACGCGTACATTTTTTAATATTTAAGGTGCCCCAATATCAACACTTCATTCTATTTCAAACACCGGAGCAATTGACTTTGTTCGAGTTGTTCAGAATAATTCACAATTGATTGAAAATATGGATGGTAAGATTTGATATGAAATTTGTTTCAAGACTGCTGTGGCACATACAACAATTTTTATTACTGTTGCTTTTCTTTAGGAAAGTCATCCTGTTTTAAACCAAAGCGAATAAACAGTGTGAATTGGCACTTGGTTGTTTATTCGGTGTCTTCAAAATGTCGTGTTCCACTTGACACACGTGGACACGTGGAACAAGTGAGACAAGTGGGACACGTGGGACAAGTGGGACACGTGGGACAAGTGGGACACATACGACAAGTGGGGCATGTGGTACAAGTGGGACACGTGGTACAAGGGGGACACGTGATACAAGTGGGACACATTAGACAAGTGAGACACATTAGACAAGTGAGACAAGAGGGACACGGGGTACAAGTGGGACACGTAGTACAAGCGGGAGATGTAGTACAAGCGGGACACGTAGGACAAGTGGGACACGTGATACAAGTGGGACACGTGGGACACCCGTTGTTCATTTATCGAAATATTATCTGAATTTTTTTATCGAAGTCGTCTTCTCGATCATCTTTTTACATAACATAACATTGCTGTGATTTTTTTTCAAGCCTACCATTTTCGCACAAGAGAATTTGGTGAGCTCACTTTACCTGGAGTGGATGGAACATTCTACTACACTCTCCATAAACCACCAAATTTCGACGAAACCAAAAAATATCCGATGTTGGTTCAAGTTTATTCAGGTGGGTTACTTGTAAAAGTTTTCTGTCGAGGTAAATCCCTGTTAGACAAGCGTATTCTCCATAAGTTATTAAGAAGATTTCAATATTGAAACACACAGTGAAAAAAATATATTTTCAACACATATATATCGTAATAGATAATAATTCACTACTAAAAGATGAGCTTGCGTACCACATAGGAATATTTTCTGGTGGAGATTGTAAAAAAAATTATGTATCATATTTGCATTAAATAATATTTGATTTTGACATAACTGTTAGCATCTTAGATAATTTTGCATCTAGATATCATAGCATCTCTAATTTGCCACATTTAAGTGAATTGGTGGATATCGTGTCTTGATGAAATATTTAAAAATAAACTACTTTAAATGTATCTATTTTCAAACAGCGGTGCACGACTAACAGTATTGAGTACATGAGCCAGTGAATGGAAAAGAAAAAGTTTGAGGTTGTTCCTCACAAGCGATATTAGCATAGAATAGATTGTTTATATATCATTTGCATAACTTCAACAATGTCAAAGCGAATAAAGTCATTGTGTACGTATACCGGGAAAATTAAAGTTATTTGTGACATTTTTTCCGAGTGATACAAGGCTTTGGTAGCCTAAATATTTTATATCATTTGCACAATATCTCAAAAATTTCAACAATGTTGAAATCGCATAGCATGTATCTCGGGTGATAATTTACCATAACAAAACGATTTACAAGTATTTTCTGCATAGCACGTCCAATAACTAGAATACAGCCTCCATTCGTAACGATATAAATTGTTTAGTCACAAATTGGATTATCTTTTCGATACATAGGCCCAGCTTATCAAGAGGTTGTAGAAAGATTTTCGGTTAGCTGGAAAGATTACGTTGCCAGTACTCTGGACGTCATCGTAATGAGTTTCGATGGAAGAGGAACAGGATTTCGTGGAGACGAAATAATGCACCAGGTTTGTCCTTTATTTATATGGTGAATAAAAAACTATCAGTCGGATGTGTTTTAAGTTGACCAATTCTGTTCAATCTGTGTGAACGATGTACGAGTTACCCTCTAAATCTGCGATATTTATTTGTTCATCCACATTTAAATTTAGCACTGCTAAGAAAGGACGTTGTCTAACTGCCGCTGAAATAGTGCGTTCTAATGATGCGTTTTCATTAATTTCAGGTATATATGAAATTGGGACAATATGAACCAGCAGATCAAATTGCAGCAGCTAAAATTCTGGCAGCAGAAAACGACTTCATTGATGAAAGCAAGACAGCCATATGGGGGTGGTCATACGGCGGGTAAGTTATGTTTTAGTGATGTAAAGGAATGTCTCCTTGTTGTTTTATCCGTATTCACACTTTATCTATATTCGATTACACGTGTACACCACGACAGTGCTCTCCAATTATGTAATAATAAATATTTTAATGGCAATCGTTGAGGGTCATATTGAAATTTCTTAAGTTGTTTCATTTGCTTCTGTAGCATCAAAAAATCGATATGTATTTTCTGATGATTTAGTTTGAATAATAGTTTGTTCTTTCAAATAAACCATTAATATTTGTCTAGGTATGCCACTACGCGCACAATAGAAGAAGATTCTGAAGGCGTTTTCAAGTGTGGATATGCAGTTGCTCCTGTTACGGATTGGGAATTTTATCATACTATATATACCGAACGTTATATGAAAAACAAAATTGAAAATGAGGTACGAATAACAAACTAAATAGCAGGCCGTTTCTGTTTACGAAACAACACCAGACCATCAGAATTGTTTTGCCACAAAACACGAAATGTTTGTGGATTCTACCATTCAGTACAACTTGGTCATGAAATATTATTAATTTACCCGTTGACAAACCATTAATTAACTTTAAGGATAATAACTTTAAGGTTCGTTAACATCTTTATTCCATTGAAGGCTTCAAAGTAAAAGCCAACTTGACTCATGGCACATTATTTGAAACCCATAGAATATTGCAATATCTTTTTTGTGTTCAATCTTTTTCGTATACCCTTTTCGGCAGTTCCGACTTAGGTTCCTCCTAAGTGACCAGTTTTGTTTTGAATATTTTGATTTACATCGTGGTATATGTCTGACTAAAGCTCATTTAACAGATAGGATACAATAAGTCAACGACGATGCAGAAGTTTGAAAATTTCAAGAACCACCAGTACTATGTCTTCCATGGAACAGCAGATGAAAACGTACATTTTCAAAACGCAGCACGACTCACTATGGCGTTGATTGAAAACGACGTGGAGTTTGGTGCTTTTTACGCTGCAGATGACAATCACTACATGGGAAATGTAAAGAATAGTTACAGAAATATATATAAAATGATTACGAAGCAAATGTGCCGGTGTTTTGATCTTGATAAACCTGACACAGGGGTAATCTGTGGACCGACATCAGAGGCGCGAAAAGCAGAGAAAAAAAGACTAATGCGACGGAAGAGAAAATAGATTAATTGGTTACTTACCTAATATATATTAATGTAAAGAGCATTCGTATTTCATATGTCCTATATGTTTCAAAAGGAAGTTTCAATTCATATCTGTCATCCAACTGTAAACCTGTATATACGGGGTGTCTCAAAATTAGGTATACACTTTTAATTTTGCTTCGCTTTTCAGGTACTCATCATAGAGCGTTCATTTCTTCAGAAAACATAGTATGGATAAGTAGTAAAATTTAGGTATTGTTTGGATTTTTCCTCAAGACACAGAATGAAAAGAAGATCAACCCTAGAAAGAGGCGCTGAGTATGCCTTACTGATTTATATGCTTCTTGCCAAACAGCAATTTTGCACCTCATTTCTTGGGTTAATCTCCTTGTGATTCTGTGGGTTGATGAAAAATGCAAACGATACCTAAATTTCACTACTTATCCATACCATGTTTTCTATGTTTAAAAGTGTATACTTAATTTTGAGACACCCTGTATATTACATTTTAATTAACACTGCTTTTCAGACTTATATGTCATTAGTAAAATGGAAAATTGTGATATTCAATTAACCTTGTAGCATATTATATTGTTAAGATGACCCTATTTGATACTGAGACATCACGTGAGTTCATTATAAACTAGAGCAGGGTGGTCCAAACCCAGGCCCGCGGGCCATACGTGTCCCGCCGCTTCATTATCTGTGGCCCGCGTCACATTCGGAGAGTAATCAATACCAGTTCAAGCAGTTCGTGTTGTTTCGTAATAAAATTATTTAGGAAAATCTTTTGACATATTGTTACATCACTAATGTCACTGGATTGATGGTTGGCTGTAATGGATAGTAATGGCTAGCTGAGACAACTAGCGAAGTTGATTGATGTGCTTGGCAGTCTAAATTATTATCTGGCTTTCTATCTTTGGTCGGGAATATATGCTAATAATATAGGCATCATAGAAAACTAAAAATCGAATGCGGATCCTATTAGCCCGTAATGGCTATGTCTGACAACTGTGTGTTTGCACAATAAATGTGTTTGTTTTTCATTGCACTGTTTACCTAATCTTTGCTCTATTGTGGCCCGCGAACAATGCAAAAATAATTTTGTGGCCCGCGGAGCCGACAGCTTTGGACCACACTGCACGAGAGTGTATGGATACATCGATAGCATCGATTTGGAAAAATTAATTCTGTAATTCTCTATTCACGATTATTCTAAGTATTTGTTTGATCTATACGTACATACCCATGAGACAGGCTTACTTTTCTGTGATGATTAATTTAATTACTAGTGCTCTAATTACTGTAAAATATCAAATTTTTTGTTAAATGTTTGCCTTGTTTTTTTATCATAGTTTCATCAGATAATAAACTTTTTGATCATATTTAATACCTTAATTTTGTTTATTTTAATTTTGACAAATGTAATTATTCTCAATGCTTTTTTTGTAATTGATTTGAATAACATATAGATTTCATTATCATTTATTTTGTAATATATAGGTTTTGCAAATCAAAGTTCTATATCGGGAATGGCAAGGCTAAAATTAACAATAGCACTAGGGTTTATGTCAGTTGTAGCAGTCTTATGTATTACTGCTTGGAATATTCGAGGTCAAGATGAAAAAGAAGAGCACCTGGTAAAGAAAGATGTGGAACCCATGGGTATAGTATTTATAAAAAAAAATGTGTATAAGCATGTAAATCTAAGACAATTGTTTTTTAAATTTGTATATTATAATCAAGAAAATCCCGTTTCACCTTTTTCTGCGGTACTGAAATTGAGATTGAATTTTTTTAGTATAAGATAATACAAACATGTAGATTCCATAAAATTATCGTTTAGCCTTATAAAAGTAACACAGTTCGAATATTATTATATGTTTGAAACATGCTGATATTTAAAATATAGTCATCACTATTTAACACTCTTAAGGTATGGTGCAAGAAAGAGCCGACAACAAACTATATATGACATTTGATGATTGGCTGTCTGGAACATTCCGTTATTCGACAGTCTATCCGAATTGGGTATCAGGTAATACTAAGTCCTTCTATAATCATTCTCTATATGTTTTATAAGATACGTCGGACATAATTATAGTCGTGCAAGCTAGAACCGTTTACTTTGCAAAATTAATTCCAATTGGCACTGAGAATTCAATATTTTCCAGTTATTTTTAATAACGCTAAAAATTGGGACATACCAAACTTATTTCGCTTGGCCCAAAATCGTTTGGATTCTATATGTGTCTACACTGGACTATATAAGAAAATATAGTCAGTTTTCAGAAGAATTGAAATGAAAAGGCCTACAGGTTTGGTCATCTAGCCATGCACATTTTAGTGACGTAATTTTTGAATGACGTAGTCCGGTGGGGGTTAGGAATGACATATTAAAATAATTTTTGCGCCACGCCCACTAGAGGTTATTGTGGTACGAAACAACACGAGACCCCATTTTTCAAAGAAACACAATAAATCAATTCAAGTTTGAACTTTTTAAAAGGAACCGTTTACAAGGAATATCAGTGTCATGTCGTCATCAGATGTGACTTCGTGGCATTTTAAACTTTTAGCAAATTTTGTTCTCAATGAGTATAAAGGGGAAAATTTTTCTAATTCGTGGATTTGTAGAACAACCCTGTCTTAAAATACAATCATGTGTATTGCATGGACGGACCTGAAATTGGCAATGGGGAGATAAACTGAAAGGTTTAAACCCGCGATGCAAATTATTGATATTCACTTAATTCGTTACTTACTTTAATTTCAATATAAAATAGAACGTGTTAAATATTGTATAATATCAGCATTTGGGAATTCTTATTTCAACTATTTATTTATTGTTTTGCGGATTGCGCTTTTGATTGTAAAAATTTCAAATTGTAGATTCTGAATATGCGTATAGAACATCAGAAGGTGCAATAATGAAGAAAAACATAAGTAGCGAAGACGAGAGTATATTGTTGGACGAGACTGCATGGGTAACAAACAATTCTTCGTATGAAGCATAAAAATGAAAAAAAGCTCCGATTGGTGTTATAGCTTCGATCATTGTCGGTACTCAAACTTGAATACAATGCTCATAATGTTCTAAACAACACTTCTTTGGTAAATTTATAAGGAGACAAAAATTTAGTTGGATGTCATGGAACAGTTAATTTTTACTCAACAAAATGTATTTCACCATAACTGGGACTTGTACGTATACTTACTGTATGCTTGACTCCAAAAGTCTTACACTTTCGATTGCTGTTTAGCGGTAGGCCATCCCAGATTGATCTCGAGTCGATATCTTCGGCTTTTCATTATTTTTCTTATTTAGAAAAGCGTATCAAATCCATCATCTTACTCAATATCTGCAGATATGGAATATGTAGCGATCACTTATGAAAATACTGACGTAGGTATTAGTTTATTGGGAATTGTTTGAACACAACAACTCAATCTATCATAATAATTGGATGAAAGTAACTCTGACGTAACAGTACGTAGTCATATGAATGCTTACGTGATATTATTTGCCAATACAGTACTATTGTGTTTGTATGTCACCGATCGCGATTTCTTGAATTGCTTATTAGTACCTTTAGGTTGCTGAGGTCAGATAAATTTTACCCCTTCTGTAACTTAGCAAACTAATGCAAATAATTTAGTACACGAAATGGCTACAAATCCTAATTTATATAGATGACAATTGCTGTCATTATGTAGTAGATTACAATTGTGTCATTTCGAACATTTTTGACGTATAATTTTTATGGGTATAAACTTCTTATATATATAAAGTATTTAATCAGTGTAAAAATATATTTATAATTTCAGGGATATGCTCATTACATGAAAACCTTTTCTGTGGACGTGTTTTCAACTTCTGATTCGTGAGTAAATTTATACTGGAAATTTCGTATCTTTTAAAACTAAATATAAAAAAATAAACGCGAAAAAAAAAGAATGCAAATCATACAAGTCAAGACGGCGTTTCATTCTGTTCAAGTTTATGTATATTTGTACAAACATTTTATATTTACTTACCATAACGTTGATTTTAAATTATTAATATTCAATTTATTCCAGGAATCTAATATTATATGAACAAATCACAAACATTCCATTCATGAAATGGTTGAAATAAAATGCTCATTATTAAGCATTTTCGAGATATTTTTTTAGTGAAAATGTATAGATCCTACATTTATTCATAGATTGTTCAATCTGAAAATTATTTTATCATTTTTGTTTCAGTTCGAAGCAGACTATTCCGAATTTCCCTGCTGATAAAATACAAAAAATCAAGTGGGATCCCATTGGTCACAAGATGGCGTTTGTTCATGAGTTCGACATTTATGTCATACCTGTAAGTCGCAGAAGTTTATACAATTTTATTAGTTGAAAATCTAAATAGGCCGCTTCTTTTATATCGTGATCATGTCATTTGTTTGAACAAACTTATTTCTAATAAGATTTAAAAATTAATTTTTCGATTGCTAGTTGATAACCATAAGTAGGATTCAACGTTGCATGAATGCTTAGTATAATTTTAATTCAATATCATTTCAATATAATGATTGTTTTCTGTTCTGTTCCAGGATTTGACAGCGTCACCAGTAAGAATAACCAATGACGGCAAAGAAAATGTCAAATTCAACGGTATAACAGACTGGTTGCATTATGTTGAAATTACAAATGATGACGCTTTACTCTGGTGGTCCCCATCTGGATCGTACCTAGCATACGCAACGTAAGAATGCCATTACAAAAATACTTTATAAAGCCCTGAATTCATTATTCAATTCTGGTATTTTATTTCTCATTTCTAGACTCGATCAAACCAATGTAAAGAATTTTGACTTTGCTATATTTGGTGGATTGCAATATCCAAACATGATCAGTTTTCCGTATCCAAAGCCTGGAACTCCGTTGCCTCAGACAAAAACTTTTGTCATAGATATGTCAGGTCCGATAAATATATATGAAGCAGCACCAAGTACGGTTAGTACTTTACTTTTGTTTCGATATGTTTGTTTTGTGTGGTATTTCTTAATAAAGGGTGACCCAAAACACAGAACCCATAAATCTCCTTATTATTTCTATGAATATGGAGTGGGCCGAAATGATGAAATTCTATTTACACTCAAAACTCTGTTCGTTTATGATTGTAACCAAAAGTCTCATAAAGCTTGACTTGCTTATGAGACAGACCCGGATATATTCATTATCATACAGAAGTTCAAGTGAAAACGAAATTAAATATTTTGTTTTGATGAAGTATTCGTGAAATTTATTGGTTCTACTTTTGGGAATCACCCTGTTTAATTAAAATCGATAAAATTAATGCTTCTACCAGGACAGTACTAGAATTAAAAACTGGGTCGGACCGAAAACAAAATTCAAAGGAGAGTTTTGACAAATTTCGAGTAAGTGCATTGCGATTGCGGCAGCATTATTTTAAACTTTACACATTTATTGCAATTTCCAATGAAACCAGTCATATGTCGTAAGGAGCTGACACATGTTATTTTTCATAAATTAATTCAGGAAGTAACTGATTGGGGAGAGTACTATTTGAATTCGGCTATCTGGAGAAGCGACAACATGTTTACTCCTACCTGGAAAAATCGGTTCGAAAATGAGTCTGTGTCGGAGTCCTGCGAGGCTGCATCAGGATTTACATGTTCTCATGGTAAATATACATCTCCCTTTAGGACTAGGCCATTACCATTGCGATTGTCTATCTAACAAATAAGTGATGCTCAAATAGATGGGTCCGAAATGGTACGGGTATGAAGTCATGCAGACACAGTAGCATGCCGGAACGGTATCGCAGCTAGGCAGCAGATTTGATTGAACTTATATGAAAGCGGAACCGCCACAAGGAGCGCAATTTTTAATTTTGATGATGTCATCGCACAAAATAAACACCATATATCTAGCATTATTCATGTCTTCGTAACATCAGTAAGAAATCCAATCTCAAAATGTTCCCGAATACCCAATACCAAAATACCTGTTAAATCAATGAAATAAAATAAAAAGTTTTAGTCGTAGACAATCATTAATGGGCTAACGTGGTAGACTTAATTTCTGTGTAATTTCGGAGAGAAATTTTTCACTAATTTTTATGGCATTCGCTACAAAATACGCTCTCGTTCACAGTTTAGTAAATCTGAGTCAAACTTTATAACATATATATTTTTTAAATGACATTGTCTACCAAGCAGAGTAAATTTGAGCATGCTAACGCTTTATAGAATTCAAAAATAATTAATTATATATCTAATGATTAAAAAATAAAACTTTTGAAATATCTGATAAAATGGTGGCAACATTTTTCTTTTTTTATTATACGCATATATGCCTACTACCCCTTAGCCGTTCTCAAGATTCTATTGACATAAACTGCCCTACGTCTCGCATGAATCGATATTTTATATTTCACAATTCTTAACCATGATTTATTATAGTCTTATTCGAGCTTTTCATTTTAGCGGTCGTAACTTCGCTCAGATATCATTCTGAATGAGTACGTGTGACCTGCTTTGGGAACATTTTCCTAATAAAAAATGAAAATAACTTGAACATTCTTTTTTGTTTCTCGTTTCCAGTTTCAAACATGGAAACCAGTAGTAGCACTGGATGGCTTGGTCATTACAAACCTGCTGATTTAGTAAGAATGCCGGATGAAGATAAATACATGACCGTGTTGAGTGATTCGACTGGTTTTCCTCATATTGCTGTTGTAAATGCACAAACTGATAATAAAGATTGGAGGACTAGTGGCAATTTCGAAGTAAGGGTCTTTCAAAAGACGGAGAATTGGCACATATTAATTACGGGCTAATACTGAATCAGAAACACTTTTCTCAAAATTAGCCAAAATCTATTATATCGAACCGATTTGAATTCCAGGGTCTGCGTTTAACTGCAAACAGTATTTAATTAATTCAAATAGAATAATTTTATCACCTCATATATACTTAAAAATAGTAGTAAAAATGGGAAAAATTTTAAGTGATTCAAGATTCTTGCTGCACTCTAAATTTAAATCTATATTAAATAGAAATATATACAAATATAGAAATATATACAAATATATTTCTATATTAAATATTACAAATATATATGATTAGTATATATATTAATGTGCAGCAAGACTCCTGGAATCACGTAGAATAGCTATCTTCACACTTGCTACAGCATCCTTGTATTATATGCATACGGATCAACCGTCACAGAAACATGGAAGAAGGATGAGCAGTTAGTCCCGGAAAAAATCGATAGCACAAAATCGGAGAAAATTGTAAAAAAAATTTCCCTTTTCTATAATATTTCCTTTCAATAGGTAACGGATACAGGTTCTGGAGATCAGGCTATTTTTTTCTATGACGAAACAAACGAATGGATTTATTACACAAGCACAGAAAAAGCAGAAGAATCCGGGGAAGGATTGCCGAGAATACGTCATTTGTGGCGAGTCAAATGTACATACATTTTAGATTTTCAACTAGAAAAAATAGAATAGAAGAAGTTTTAAATTGCAACACAACGATATGATAAATGGAGTTTGTATATTATACTGATGAACTCTTCACTCATTGATTTAATTGTGACTACGTCAAAAACTATAAACAATAATTGCGATATTGTAGAAAAATAAAAAAAATTTTACACGATAAAATAAATTTTCTCATAATATTTTTCGTATTGATGAACGCATTTAAAATATTCAACTAATTTTTTATTTATAAATTTTAATAATTGGGCTTGCAAATATAGACATATATGTATGTTGTAATATAAGATTACGCACTATACTTCTATGATATCAACAAACAAAATGATATAAGCTAACTATATTTCAGCGAATACTGACGGCACAAGAGAATGTATTTCATGTCATTTGAACACACTATATGCAGATCGTTGTAACTGGGTTCGACCAACGTTTAGTCCTGGTGGATCGTACGTTGTCGTTAATTGTGGCGGTACTGCTAATGGTGAGTTAATAAAACCAATATCAATGAAGTTTTATTATTTTTTAATGTCGTTCATTTCTATTGTACACAAGCGATAGTATTTGTTATGAGGATGGTATTATGACTTTATGTCAATAATTCCACAGTTTGTCGTAAGCTTTAAAAAATAGGATAAAAAGACAACCGACGTCCTACATTTTAATTGAAACATTAGAAATTTGTTACTCTTCTGTCTTGATAGAAATTATTATAAGATGCGAATCAATTAGATTATCTTTCATAACATTGTAATTTAGACACTTCTCAGTCTATCGATGAAATATGAAAATAGTTCTGATAATACACACAATAAAGAATAGAAGTACATAAATGAGACATTATGCTTACACATTTTTATTATTTAAAGGCGCACCAATATCAACACTTCATTCTATCTCTAACACCGGTGAAATTGACTTTGTTCGAGTTGTTCAGAATAATTCACAATTGATTGAAAATATGGATGGTAAGATTTGCTATGATATTTGTTTTAAGACAGCCTTGGCACATAGACTACAACAATTTTTATTACTCGTGCTTAGCTTTCAGTTTCGTAAATTGGTACTGGATTGCTTATTTATCAAAACATTATTCTTTTTTTTTTGTATTCGAATAGTCTTCTCGATTAATGTAGACTATAAAAATTGATATATATAAATATTTTACATAAGGATAAAGTATCATTAATTTATGCTTATCTTACATACAACATTGCTGTTTTTTCAAGCTTACCATTTCCGCACAAGAGAATTTGGTGAACTCACTTTACCGGGAGTGGATGGAACATTTTACTACACTCTCCATAAACCACCAAATTTCGACGAAACCAAAAAATATCCGATGTTGGTTCAAGTTTATTCAGGTGGGTAGAAGCTTTCTGTAGAGGATCACTGATACACAAACAAAAGCTTCATACGTTATCAAGAAGATTTCAATGTTGAGACATACAATAAAAATAAGTAAAAACAAATCTTAGTAGATTATCCCAAAGTCAAATAGGATAGAACAGCCAGGATCAAACATAAATTTTTAAATGAATATGGAATCATTAAATAAAATTTCATGATTTTAAACACGACTGTTTTTTTATTTTATTTTTAACTCTCGAGTGGTATGTATAGCTTAAAACAAAAACTCGGAGTAAGTTTCATTAGGATGGTTCAAATGTTTATGCATACAACAAAATTATGATGATCTTCCAGGTATTGTGAAAATTTGACGTTCAAAGATATCATAGAATCTCCTAATTCTCCACTTTCAAGTGAATTGGTGGAGACTATGTCTCGATGAAAAGTTCAAAAATGAACAACTATAAATGAACCTATTTTCAACGGCGATGCGCGGCGGTGAAAAATGAAAAAAAAATTGATTTCGTTTTTCACGAGCGATATTATCATAGGCTGGACGTTAGTTCGCAAAATCGCAAATATCTCGGATGGTAATATACTAAACAAAAGTATTTTCTGCATACCCGTTAAATAATCAGAATATAGCTTCATTTGTAACGATATAAATTGTTTAGTCACAAATGGGATTATCTTTGCGATACATAGGCCCAGCTTATCAAGAGGTTGTAGAAAGATTTTCGGTTAGCTGGAAAGATTACGTTGCCAGTACTCTGGACGTCATCGTAATGAGTTTCGATGGAAGAGGAACAGGATTTCGTGGAGACGAAATAATGCACCAGGTTTGTTCTTTGTATGGCGAATCAAAGTTGACAAATTCTGTTTAATTTGTGTGTATGATGTACAATTGTACCCCCTAGGCCTAAGATATCTATTTGTTCATTTTATCCACATTTAAATTAAGCATTGCAAAGAAAGGACGTTGTCTAACTGCCGCTGAAATAGTGCATCTGACACAGAGATTGTACTCATTTTAGGTATATATGAAATTGGGACAATATGAGCCAGCAGATCAAATTGCAGCAGCTAAACTTTTGGCAGCAGAAAACGACTTTATTGATGAAAGTAAGACAGCAATATGGGGGTGGTCATACGGCGGGTAGGTTATGTTTCAGTTTTTTCAAGGTCTAGCCGAAAGTAGCCCTTCTGTATCATTGCAGTTCTGTAAGGGTATTTCTAGTTGTTGATATATCTGTATATACACTTTATATTTTTCTACTTTTATTGAAAATTCGGTACACTTGCCAGTAAACTGCCCCTGTTCGTTTGTTCGTAAATGATTTCGAATAATTCATTAATATTTCGTAGGTATGCTACTACGCGCACAATAGAAGAAGATTCAGAAGGTGTTTTCAAGTGTGGTTATGCAGTTGCTCCAGTTACGGATTGGGAATTCTATCATACCATATATACCGAACGTTATATGAAAAACAAAATTGAAAATGAGGTACGAGTAACAAACTAAATGGCAGGCCGCTTCTGTTTAAGAAACAACGCCAGACCATCTGAATTATTTTGGCACAAAATACGAAATGTTTGTAGGTTCTACCGTCCAGTAAAACGTGGAGTGAATTAAAAATATTATTAATATAACCGGGACATTTAATTTTATGGTTTGTTCACATCTTTATCCGTATGAAGGCTTCAAAGTAGCAGCAAACTTGATTCATGACACGTTATTTGAAACCCATAAAATACTGTAATACAAAGTTGGTTATGAATCTTTTTCATATTCTTGTTTCGGCAAGTAACGAGTTTTGTCTTTGAATAATTTGAATGAGGGAATAATTTGATTTACATCGTGGTATACGTCTGACTAAATCTCATTTAACAGATAGGATACAATAGGTCAACGACGATGCAGAAGTTTGAGAATTTCAAGAACCACCAGTACTATATCTTCCACGGAACAGCAGATGAAAACGTTCATTTTCAGAACGCAGCACGACTCACTATGGCGTTGATTGAAAACGACGTGGATTTTGGAGCTTTTTACGCTGCAGATGACAACCACAGCATGGCAAATGTAAAGAATAGTTACAGAAATATATATAAAATGATCACGAAGCAAATGTGCCGGTGTTTTAATCTTGATAAACCTGACACAGGAGTAATCTGTGGGCCGACATCAGAGGCGCGAAAAGATGAGAAAAGAAGATTAAGGCGCAGAAAAAGGAGATAGATTAATGGGTTGCCTATCTAATGTAGATATTGGTGTGAAGAGCAAATGTTTCATAATTCTTATATGTTCCTGAAAGTAACTTTAATTCATATCTGTCATCGAATTGTAAACATATATATATTACATTTTAGTTATCACTGATTTTCACACTTATATCTCGTTAGTAACATGGGAAAATTTGATCTTCACTTGCCCTGATAGCATATTATATTGATAACATGTCCCTACTTAATATTCAGACATCACGCGGGATTATTATACAATAAACTGCATACATCATCGATTTAGAAAAACTAATTTTGTAAAATCTCTATTTACGATCAATCCAAGTATTTGTTTGATTTATACATACATACCCGTGCAACAGTCTGAATTTTCTGAAATGGTTAATTTAATTACTAGTGTTCTAATTACTGTGAAATATTCTATTTTTCATCAAATTTTTGCATTGTTTTTGTCATTGTTTGATTAGATAATAAAGTTTATCATTTTCTTTGATTCAGATGAAAATTTCGATTTCATTATCATACATTTTGTAACTGTAATATTTAGTAGAAAAATTTCAAATGTAAATAAAAACCTATTATTCAACAAACTGATATGATTACTATGTCAGATTATCTGCAGTCATGATATAAGATTAGATCAAGCGCTCAGTAAGATATTGTTGAAAATGTTGAGGATTAGAAAAGATGTATTTATAGAAAACCTTTTGAACAACACAACTGTCTATTTTTTAGGTCCTGGTTTTCAATATACTACCGATTCCTTTGGTGCTGACTGGGGGAGAGGATTCATTGCTAGCAGTGATATGGATATCGTTGTTATGACGTTTGACGGACGAGGAACGGGATTTCAAGGAGATGAAATAATGCATATGGTGAGAAAAATTATCGCTTGCTTACATTTATTGAATGAATAACGATTTAAGTTTGATATTTTTTTCCATCTATTTGTTATACGCGATACGTTATTGGCCAAACCAAGCAACAGACATGAAACCACGTAGGAGAAAGGAGAAAATAACATTTAGAACGACTAGAAAGTTCCCAGTTTGGAGTGGTTTGGTCTATTCTTTGGAACAGAGGTTATCAACCTATTTGGTGGAGCAGAACACTAATGAAACATTAGAGGACCCACAAAAACCTGTGCAGTGGCTTTATAAATGTTTTTTATTGTCTGATTTGTATAAACTACAAAAACATAAAAAAGCAAAACTTATACTACACAAAATGATCTTTAAGACGTGGTAAGTTTAATAATAGGTATATGATTATATTTAAATAGCTCGTTTTGCCTAAAATAATAGGGTTTTAGACGCAAAATTGTCACCCATTTATTATAAAGTCGAATTATCATAGTTCTGTAAGTTATTGCTGGGATACAAAAACGGAAGGTAATTTTGTCTCATTATTTGTAATATACCATTTGCTAGTATTAATCCAAATCAGGGCGACTTTTACGATTTTTTGACAGGAGATGGGAATACGAACATAAAACCAAATTTTAAATTTTTTTTACAGGTTTATAAACGCCTTGGAGAATATGAACCAATTGATCAGATTGAAGCAACAAAACAAGTCTCGGATAAATTTTCTTTCATCGATAAAAATAACATTGCCATTTGGGGAAGATCCTACGGAGGGTAATGTAATTTCGTGTATTCTACCCTCTATACGGGTTTCGACAAAAGCAGGAACTGTGGTGTAAGAAGGTGTTGCAATTACCAACATCAAAAAACAAGATTTTCTATTTTAGTGATATTAACTTGTCAAGGAACTCAAAAACATGAACCTAACATATACTGATAAAGTACGAAAACAAGTACGGTATATCAAATTTACCATTAAAGATATTTATGAGCAAGTTTGAAAATGTTTTCGGTTTCTGAAAGTCTGCGAAGGGAAAACCTTCATTTTCTTTTGTAACGGTCATTGCAATTGTATGCTATTATTATTGAAATATAACATACGGTTTACAATACCAGGCGCGTTTCATGAATGATTCTACGCATAAGCACTTCATAGCAATACTGTACTTCAATTTTTGGTCATTTAGCGCTGTTTTTAAAGTCATGCGGCGCAATTCCACTTTTATGCACTTTCATCACAATTCTATTCTCAAATAGCATGTGCAATATATTAATGTTTGTTATTTTATTTTAAGATATGCTACTTCACGTGTCATAGCCGAAGATGCGGATCTTGTTTTCAAGTGTGGTCTGTCTGTTGCTCCTGTAACTGACTGGAAAACATATCATTCAATTTACACTGAACGTTACATGACTTCACCCGAAATAAATGAGGTATCGAATGCTTTCTTGTGCTTTTGATTTTCCGAAATTTAGAAAACACTTTGAATACCGCTAAAATGATTCTTCTTTATGTAAAGATTGGCTACAATCAGTCTACAGCAATACAAAAACTTGACAATTTCGGAAAACATTATTTTGTTTTGGTTCATGGAACGAGTGATGAAAACGTCCATTTTCTGGTGAGTCTAACAAAGAAGTAATATTTTATAATGAATTTTAAATACGACTAGATAACGTGCAACATATGAGATTTTATCTCGTGTCAATAATACTGAAATTTGCTTTGTGGTTTCATTCTGGGGATACTCGATAAAAAAAAATCATTTGACCGTGAAATTTGTTGGAATACAATTATAGATCGGTCAATTAATAATTAATCTTAGCAATACGCATATTTTGGCAATTTTGTATACTAGTGATATTTATACATCTGAGCTACCAGTGTTGATTATTCCAGAGATACGGCGAATCCAGAAACAAATGAGATGGTCGCCTGCTGTATCTGCTGTCTTATGGTAATAAGACACTTTTGCAAGCATTTCATCGTAAATCTGAAATGATCAAATCGACTAAAATCACCCCAGTTATTTGAAAAACTACTTCATCTTTCAATTGTTTCCTCTTCCATACCGTTTTGCGTATCATCTTGAACATATGCATTGAATGCACTAATTGAATATAATTAATAGACTACACCATAATGTTTATAGCGCTTACTTCCATACTAAACTTTCTAGAACTCAGCGAGACTTAGCAAAGCGTTGATTGAAGCTGATGTTGATTTTTCTGCTTATTTTGCTGGGGATGAAACTCATAGCTTTAACCGAGGCACGAATGCGTATGGACATCATTACAAGCTACTGACAAATCATTTGAAAATTTGTTTTGGGCTCTAGATATGATGTGAATAATATAGAGAAAATTGTAACATATAATTAAGAAAACTTTGTATAGGTTTTTGTATACTCTGAGTGACAATTTGATAGAACTCTGTGTTTCATTGAATCTTCAGTCAAAATGTACACACTTAATGATTTACGGCCTATTAAAACATAATAATTATCAACCTACCAGTATTTTTGGTGGGAGTAGGCTTATATATTGTCTCATTTTCAATAACTATACGTTTTGTTTAGAAAAACATGTGTGGATGTATTTCTGTAAAAGGCAAATTTATTTAATAAATGTCCATTTGTAAATGCATCTTTTCCAAAGTAAACAAACTGTTCAATATTCCAAGCACACTCAGCCATTTTATTGTTGTTATTTACAATAAATTGAACTTGTAATTTGAAATACGTGTATTATTGCATTATTGGATTTTATTGGTTACGAAGGGTCTAAAATTTCTTAACAATATTTGATGACATAACAATAGCAGTTGCGCTCTACTAACGGTATTGTATTTATAAAAGAGTTTTAAACTTGTTCTAGAACGTTCTTAAATGTATCATAATACTTTGAGTTTGGATTCTGGACATGGTGCATTTGGATAAAAGGGACCTAATTTCCATAACAAGAGATTAATGCTCAAATATACGGACGTGAAAGCCAGAACGAAGTAGTATCAAATCTTACAGTACCGATAGCACATATTTTAAAACCCCCTACTTTGTTGACCACCAGATCGCTGAAATACAATCCCGAGCCTGTCAGACGGTGCCCAACTCGATGACGTCATCACACAAAGCTTCAACTTGAAAAACGAATCCTATGAACCCACAGAAATGTTTGAAGTAAATAAAATAATATCTTTCTAGCGACAACAACAAGTTTTCATCACTGAACATTTCAAAGCAATTTGTCAGGTAGTTAACGAGAGAAGCGATTTTTTTCATAACATCAACAAGATGAATGCTAAGAACAACAACGATTTAACAAAACGATCCATAGGTCCAGTTCGTGTCCAATTTCGTTTGGGTTCGATAATGAAGTTTGTAGCGGTGCAGTCATATATATAGAAGATTTTGCTAAAATATTTCACCAATGAATATCAATAATTAAATTAAATAAATTACTACAAAATCGTATGTTTAATTGACGCTAAATCAAGTTTGAATCGATCATGTCCAATAAAAATATCTTCAAGTCCTACACACAACTTCCCAGATGAATTTAATTGGTTGAGTTATTTTAATTTGCACTCTGAGTCGTAACATCATATAAGTTTTTTTTAGTTTTGAGCCGGGTTCAGACTGTCAATTCCCGACTCTGCTAAGTTCCTATAATACTTCTACACAATATGCCATTGACAATATCAACCACAGTATGAACAAATATGGCCACTTCTAAAGCCTTTCTGACAAAATGAGATCGCATAAATGTTTATTTTATATTTTTACTCCATCTTAATTTTGGTAAACGTCCTAAATTCTAGAGAATCGTATGATTAATTCATGATGTCACGATGATAAATGTCTTCTCGGACTTGAGTACATTTTGATGTGTCGTTTGAAATAAAAGTAATAATATTAATTGTCAACGCAGTCACTTTCTTATGCGCATTCTTGAGCGTAGAGTCGTAACTGAAAAATCAAACTCATTTCAATCATATGATATCAAGTTGATCAATTTTAATGGCGTAGGATCAAAGATCTGACTTACAACCCAGCTTGTACGACGGGTAGCAAAATACACACACCTGCACTCTCCATAAAACTACACTGAATTCAGTTCCACCTTTTTTTCGTCAACTTATCGGCCCACAAGTACATATAATCAACGAATGTGGAAAACCTCAATTTTCTACATTTCGACAATACATTAATCAATACATTATAAGCTTGCAGTAATATATTAAATTCAGTTCAAATGTATATATAACAAAATTGAATGTCATGCTAATGGCAGGTCTGTAATACAATATTACTCTTCCAAATATACTTTACTATAACTCTTAGACAGCAGGAGAGCTATTTATTTATTTATTTGTATTAAATAATTTATTTCTAAAATAGTGTATTTTTGTAAATGAAAAAAAAAATCATTGTGATTTTTCAAAATAAAGTTTATATTATTAGTGAGTTGAATAGTGAATAATAGAAGAGAATAGAGGAAATCAAATTATAGTTGAAATGCAAGGTTAATAGCACTCAACTGCTGCGCCATTTAAAAAAGCCAACGCAAAATACGAACCTTAGCAAATTTAGAATTAGTTTACGTAGTTGAAAGCTGAATTGAAAGTAGTCCCGAGGACGATAACTAACAATTCAACGAAATTCATGATTTTGTTATGCAGTATTGTGACGATTACAATACGAAATAAAATACAAAGTGACTCACAATATATGTAGACGTATGAAATGAATTTTAATAATTCATATCTGTAATAAACATTACGGAAGCATTATGATCATTTTCTTTTAAATGGATCGCATCAATGCTCATGTGGTATAGTCGGCATTTGAGGCGGCTGGTTCAGGCAGTTGTCTTGTTGTCTACAGGTTGAAAATAGGATGACCAAGTGGAAAAGAATAGAAAAATGAGATTTTTATTATCAGTTGGCATGTTTATTGCTTATGCAAATGTTGTTTGGAGTTTGTATGGTGAGTAAAACTCAGCTATCCAGGTTACCATACGAACTCAATAATAATGTGTTGTGTTTTACCTTTATTAATATATCATTTGTTTCATCGTAAATTCTCAATTTTATTTTATAAACTTATTTCGTCTAATTCCTGGGAATAGGTTTTTAAACCAATGATGAATAATTGGAATCAAGACACGAATTATCTATCATTGGCATGTTTCGTTGAAGGTAACAATGAAGCAAATTGATTAAGAAATCCCATTGTCTATGAAATAAAATTATTTGTATACGTAGATTTTTTGAAGCCATACTTGCTACGATGCAGAATCGGCGTATTGAAGTCAGTAGTTGGAGATTAGCTTGTTTCGGCTCAAGTAGTAGTCGTATTTTTAAACTTACTGGAGTCCTTTCCTTGTAGAAATTCTGTATTCTCCACAGTTTGAAAAGGAATTCCAAACTTTTATTGACAATGAAATAAGTCGAACGTTTTTGCAACTACATGGTATCAAGTTAACTGAGCACTGTAATTAATACACTGTTAATAAAAGGCGTACATGCGCAGAGAGTCCGAGTTATCAACATTTGATTTTCGCGGAGTTCGATCTTGAGTCGGAGTCAAAATTATCGGAAGCCGGAGACTGGAATCGGAGTCGAATGTAAATTTATCCGAATCCACAGCCTAGACTTGGATTGAGCAAACACATTTTAAAGCGCCTTATATTTTATCATAATGATGAAGAAGCAAAAAATCGTGAAAAGATGGTTTTAATGCTCCTTATAGTAGAATATTTAAATTCAGGAATCAGAGATTTGAACAAAATTTTGGTATATGGTGGTAGAAGATTTAAGCTCAGACTACGGCATTCGAGAAAAAAATAACCTCGATAACAATTTCGATGTAAACATTGTTTTACAAACTTTGAAGTATTCTAAGTATAAACTAAATACAAGTCAAGAATAAATTTACCATAAACTTTCACCTACCTATATTCCAGATTGCCCTCCGCCTGAAAAGGGAGTAAAATCAGTCGAGACCGTTTCAGGACGCGAAGCTGTCTATGAATGTCAACCATTGTATGAACCTGTTAGTGGAAACAAATACCGATACTGTATGGAAAACGGTAGTTGGAGCGGACTTCCTTATAAATGCAAAGGTAACAAGAAAATTACCAGTTTCACTTGTATTGTGTACTGTAGAATACGAAGTTGTCGCTTTAGAAACTTAGCAAATCATTGAGCAGTATTAGTAGCACATACAAAAGTTGATACCTCACAATAAAAAATCGCAATGATTTTCTCCGAAATTTAACTATAGAATTCTGGAACGCTATGTTATATATGTTCATCTACAGTTCTACACAAACCTATAGTAGTGTACATTTAATCAGAATATAATACTTTATTTAAGATGCCATCAACTGTAAAGAAGGCGACCTACCGTGCCAAAATGGCGGGAAATGTGTTGATACCGACCCGAGTTTGCATTGCGACTGTGGTAAGACTGTATATTACGGATCACTTTGCGATCAAGGTAACTTCAGTATTTCTAAATAATATAGTAATATTTCAAATTTTCGACGTCTTAATAGACAGTTTAAACTTGAAATTGTACTTTTTTTCCTGATAGCTTATATCTTGTTTCTTTAAATTTTTAATTCATCAAAATACATAACTCATCTCAAGGGTCTCAGATGAACTATGCGTCCCCGTTGTATTCTAAAACCCTATCAATGGTGAGATTTGAATTTGTGGAACGCAAGCAGACCTTAAAAGATGTTTTCATTATTAAAAATATAAAATACAAAAATATTTAAGCACAGTTATATGACGGAAATGTAAAAAATGACCAATGACAAAATTCTGTAGGTTGCAGGTGTTGTGGAATACGCATTTCATGTTAATTTTTTTTTAATTTGATCTAAATTTTGAATGTTACATTTAAACACAAGCGAACGGAGGTTGGAGTAGTTGGACATCGACTAATAATTGTTCATCAACTTGTGATAGCGGAATTATAGTACGAAGAAGAAAATGTGACAATCCTAAACCAACTCCGAGAGGAATGATGTGTGCAGGAAGCTCTATAGAGGTAAAAATACGATTAACTTTAATATTGCAAATATGTTCTAAATCAGCCATGGGCGAAGTACGGTTCGCGGGCCAAATCCGGCCCGTTGGGTAATTCAATCTGGCCCGTCTGATGCTGCCATAACCAAACTGGCACGTCTGATGCTGCCATAACCAAACTGGCACGTCTGATGCTGCCATAACCAAACTGGCACGTCTGATGCTGCCATAACCAAACTGGAACCAAATTTTGATGCTGTAGGTAAAAATTGCCCAAGGAATTTGTTGAGATTGTGGTCAAATTTATGCACGAAGCTTATTGTTTTCCACTGTTGCTTTTGTAACACTGTAAACATCGTTCATAAAATGTTACTTTTTACGTCATAATTACATGGCCCGCCATTCGAAAAACCGTACCCACCCCTGTTTTAAACAATAAAATAGTTTTATGTAGATGAAACCTGCTTCTAATGCTATTCTCATTCGAGGCCCCGTTAGAAATGAGATCTTGAAATGAATTGGAAGTAAAAATGCATCTAAGTGTACATAATACACCCTGGTTTAGAACACAAATTTTTTCGTCCTTTGGTTTTATAAACTCATATTTGACAGTTTTCAAAACCTTAAATACATAAAGAAACGCAAATACAGATGATGCGTTCCTGCAACTTGTCCAGAAAATTAGCTTCATTAAAGACAAGTATTCCCACAAATTAATTAATTTTGCTATAAAAATTTAGACGACCGAGTGTTTTCCGAAAAAATGTCACGAAAATTTATTTCGATGGTGCAATAGTTCAGCAGATATTTGTGAACAAAACTCAAATAAAGCATTTTGTTCCGCCCGATACGAAAAATATTCTTGTACCTGCCTTGCTGGTGTCACTGAAGTAAAAGACGAAAAAGGAAATTTTGTGAGATGTGAAGGTGGTTTTGTTTATATTTTCAAAATAAATATTATGCCTGGTTAAATACCGGGAGGACCTGACTATAATATACAGAATACATAAATGTCAGCTTTAGCGAAATTTCGAAAACGCAGACAATGTCAGCAAGGAAACAACTTATATTTTGAATAGTCTCAATCGTTCTATGTTTTTGTAAAATTAACTATAACGATTCCAAAATATATATATGGAGCACGAAAAAATTTCGAAAAGTCATAATTTTCTAAACAGATGGTGAATGAATATTACTCTACAAAACATCTTTTATATATATTTATGGTATTCAGATATCAATTTTGGTTAATTTTGTTGCAGATGTAAACGAATGTGAAGCAGGGACTCATACTTGTGATCGACAGAATGGATTTTGTTTAAACACAGATGGAAGTTTTGAATGCCAATGTAATAATGGTTTTAAAGGCGATGGGCATGTCTGCGAAGGTATTATTATTTGTTTCTGCAGAGTTTTTTTTTTCACATTTTTACTAGAATAGGCATCGCTTCATTTCCAAATTTCAGTGTGCAATTCAATTCAAAACTGATTAACATCTCTACCATTGCCATCACAGCCTTAGACGCATCAAATAATTGCAGTGTAAATGAGTTAGACCGTACATAATTAGGACATAATCCAAACCCGCACGCAAAACACAATTTATCGCCATCGAAAATGTAAGTTTTTATATATATCTATGATATAATATTGTTGACAAAAGTTTCTAATTACGTCCTAGATGTTGATGAATGTAACGATGGAACAAATCAATGTGATGAAAACGCAATATGTTATAATAAACCAGGAGGATATAACTGTGTTTGCAAAGATGGATACAGAAGCATATCAGCAAATCAAACGGGGATGACCGGAGATTGTAAAGGTAGGATGGCAAAGTCAAGGTCTCTGTTTCTTATTTTTATGTTCCACTCTGGTAACTTGCAAATGTGCCTATGCGTCATCTAAATTAAGTTGCTATTTTGCAATCTTTTTGTAATGATGAATGCGGAATCTGAAACAATAGATGCGACTTTAATAAAGTATTAAAAGACATTGAGCCGTCAGTTACACGTGGATGCATGTCCAAACGTATGGTGAAAATTTGCAAATTAACTCTCTATTTAATACTCCAAGCGAAAGTAGTTAATTTTCATTTTCCAAAATATAAAAAGTAATATATTGATAACCGAGAAATGACAAAATTAGAAAAATCCTTGTTTCGTGAAAATAAAGATGTAATTCTATACTCATCGTATACAAACATCAGGGCCAAGGATTTATTTCATGCTAATTATTAAAACTCGCAAGATATTGAACCCCTAGCTTGCATTTTTAAAATTGATTACTCGATTATTGAAAAATTTGAAAACCTTTGACCAATTTTCTACTATTCTTTTTGTGCGAAAGAATCACGGCTAATGCAATACGGATATCCAGCTGGTGACGATGAAGTCACAGATATATCGCGTGCCACAGGCGAACGCGTCACGCCACTAATTCCAGTGCCTCCAGGATTACCTTTAGAAGATGGAGAGAATGCATTTACATGCGAAACAATTTACGTAAGTATAATACTACATTTAGTCAAGTATATGTGATTTTTTATATGGAAAAATTTCCATCCAGTCAAATCGTAAACGAATAGCTTGTATCATGATTATAATAAAAGTGCTAAGACGTTTTGCTTAACTTTATGATATCAATAATCTAATACTTATCATTTTGATTGTCCAAAATATAATGATGATTTATTTAAATTTTGACACTCGCAAATCGAGTGCCAACAAAAAGTAAAAATGCGCCTGTTCTTATGAATTTATCAACAGAAAATATTCGACTTGCGTATGAAATACGTCTTATTTGTGTATTTATGTGAAAAACGTCACTTAAAATTAAGAGCATTTACTTATACAAAGCGTCAGATGCGGTTTTCGGTTATAAGTATGTTTCCATTCCCGTTCACTGCCCCCATGAATATTAATTTTTTATCGTACTTGAACAAAACGTCCTGTCTGCAAGATACTCAGTATCATAATTTATTCAAGCCAGCATTACAACCTTGATTGGCATCGCAGTAAATACTATTTTCTAAAATAGAGGATTTAATTTGTTTAGATTTGCATTACATGGTTCAATTTGAGTTTGCACTACGCAATACGAATCAAATATTCAGTAGTATGCAAATTACGTTGTGATAGTGTTAAAATTATAGGCTCTTCGTACAAAATTATTCAGCCGTCAATCTGATAGCTATAATTGTACAAAGAATAAGATTAAATTCCCCGATAAAATGCTCACGATCGTGTCAATGGACGTCAACATGCTTACAGATTCAACTAATTGATATTTCAGGCAACAGAAAATGGCGTAGTTGTTGTTACTAGACTGCCATCTAGCGCCGACAATGATCGAAAGCCGACCTTCAGAAATCCTGTTGACTTGAAGAAAGAAAATAAACAAAACGTTATGGGCGGAGAATTTCACAACTACATTTGTGCAATCATGGCACCATTTTGGGCTGATGCCAAATTTTCAAAGAGCAGTAAGGTAGGTGTAGAACGATGTGTTGCGAAAACACTATTTTGAAATGAGCGTTACCGAGACGATAAAGAGTGACAGAATAAAAAAAACTTTTACCCTAATAGGAGAAAACAGTATAATCTTGAATGAAATATCTAGTCCCGTCAGACTGATATTTTGGAAATTTGAACAAAACTAAGCGCAAAAGACTTCTAGATCTTCTTCCATTTTTGAGCACTAAAAATTTGAAATTGATTGGTCAATTAGTTGCAAAGAAAACAACAACAGCAACAACCAAAAACCTCACCAAAACAATAAAAACAACAATAACAAGAAGAATTTAGCAAAATGGTCAATATGTGCATTTCGTGTCCAATAAATGTACGGTTGTTAACTTTTTACGATTATTTCAAAATTTATATTTTTTGCAGATGTGGAGACATGTGTATGATGATTTAAGTTGGCATGGTAACCGAATAAAGAGAGGCAAAGTTAAGAAGAAAGAATTGAAGAAAATGCACGTTTATATGAGAATTAACAAGCTACTACCAGAAAAATTTATTCCAAACTTTGTTGTTGTCGTCACATGGGTAAGAATGATTCCACCATGGCCAACGAAACTCAATGATGAGGTACGTGTATCCTATATCAAACATACTACAACAAATGTACGATATTGAATCCTGCACATAGTCTTGTAAAATCTCTTTTATACATTTCAGGAAGTAACTTACCAAATTGCTGTTGCAACCGATGGAACTGAAACTCACATAATCACGCTGTATGAAGACGGTGCAATGACATGGAAACCAGTGTATGACATACCTAAAGATGTTCATCGTTACCCAGCCACTGTGGGATATATCATATTTGGAGAAAAAATCAATAAACACCAGTATCCGTACTCGGAAGATGTCGGCAATCGCTGGCCAAATACGACTTCCATCTACCACATTGATTTGGTGAGCATCGATATTTTTGCAGTCATTTTTACCAGAATTTATTATTTACCATGTCCACTGCTTGTTTCAGATACCATTTAACGCAACATCAACCATTGGAGTTGACTCGTACAATTTAACACCGAATGCGATCCCGGTTACAAAAGCGTCTTGCTACAATTGGTATCTAGAAAACCATGGAGATATTAGTAGCGATGTCACTTCTGGATCGCGCAAATGCCCACCTTCTCTAGATCATCTAAATCTATTGCGAGATATCTTATGGAAAGCTACCATAAAAGAACAAGACAGACAGTGCTTTGCTTGGTCATTTAGAGTAGCACAAAGTAGGTGAAACATAAGTGCTAAAAAAATTTATATTACGGAGATAGGCTACACAGTTTGCTCCTAATTGCTGACACTTTGATATACTATGCGGATGATGAATAAGAAAGCTATGCTCAAATATATGGACACGGAAGGCAAAAAAATTATTCTATTATTAATTACCTGAAAATCGTATGCGGTAACTCACCAGTTCGGTACTTGTATAATGGTACCGGTATGGGTACGGAGGCCGCGTTCCGTGTGAACAGACTTCAATTTGGTTGTTTTTGTTTTGAGTCAGGCTTGAGCTTAAGTTGGAAGTGAGCTACTTTTTATTCATGCCAATTACATGTCAAATATAATTAAATACCATCCATTTGATAGATTGCGATTCATTCAATTGCAGATAATGGCAACAGTTTAGTTTGCTTTAGAAATTGAATTACGAATAACTTGGCTTAGTCGAGTTTTCAATTAAACGTTTATGTTTGACACGAAAATCCTAGTTGAAAAACAAGAACGCTGGCAGTGATATTAGATAAATTATTGTATTCTTAGGATTTTTAATTTTACATATATTATACTACGCAGAAGGAGACATAGAATGCTGTTATCGCACAACTGAAACTTATAAAGATTCTCCCCTCATTTCTGGAATAAAAGCTTGGGACAAAGGTGCCGGTTTCTTCAAAACTAGTGACAAAGACGAAGCAGATAAAAAGAAATTATGTTGTGGGGACACAAAGAATGAATTCTTTTGCAGTCTTTTCACACGTATACGTCCAGCAACCAATTCAGATGGCTACACTTATCCTAGAGCAGGTATGTGCTATTAAACATGAGAAAATGTATCAAAACTGACTTAGCATGAGCCTTAAACTGTGGCATACGTTTATTGAGTTGTAGGCCAGACTGTGTTTCAGATTGTTTAGGGCTCAATTTGAATAACCGAGGTTCATGTTGTTTTAAGTAATCGTGTTGAATATCAAATAATTTTACACCATCGAAAATAATTAATACTTCACTTTATTAATTAGGATTATTTAATGACCAATCGTGTATAACTATCCGCTTATTATTTCCACTTTGCATTTTGAGTTATTTGCCTGAGTAAAAGAGCATATGTATAGCTTCACACCCACTTAGTCCGACTTTATAGAGAACAATAATGAAATAAATACATCATATAATTTTATTTACGAAGACCTGAATGACAGACACTGCTGTTGTATATTCTATTTATATTCAATGAAGTATAATCATGTATGATCAACCTATTACAACAAATCTGCATCGTACCCCATCACCACACTTATCTACATTTTCGATTTCAAGCTTTTGGAAAGTCAGAAGGAGCAACCGTGAACTTTGGTAGCAAATCGACCGAGATAAGCGGAACCGGCCAATATCAGCTTCTCAAAATCAGAACTCCAAGCAATGGCAATATTGATTTTATCGGCCATTATGAAGGTAATTGGAAAATGAGTAAGGTCCTGGTCATTATAGACTTCTTGAATTGCAAGTACCCCCAAATATTCCTTGTTGTCTCCATCCCATTTGCCATTCTGTGTTTTTTGCAAGATAATATTTTCATATTATTAGACTATAATACTTACCTGATGTACGACAATGTACTTTGTCACAAAATAGGCTATGCTCTACATACGGAAAATTTAACTGGGTTTCCTTTTGACGGCGGAATTTTTAAAATATTGTTCACATCCTATTAAACCAGAACTCATGACACCGTGTTCTTCAGGCTAACAAACCATTGGATTTGCTTTCAATAGTACTGATTCGCTGTAATATATTGTCAATTCATTTATTTATCTATTCAAACAGAAAAAAAACTCAGTTTACAACAATTTTAGAAAATTTAAAATAATAACTTACTTGATAATTATTTTCACAGATGGTGTTTTAAAATCACTTGCTTTTCGATATCTGAATTACACGATAAAAGTTGACAACAACGACAAAGCACGCGGGATGTCGTGTATTTTAAATACGATGGATTGTGAATCGATAGATGTTTTTGATAATAAAGTATTGTTTAAAACAAAACAGGTAGCAGGCGGTTTGGAATCCGTATCATTGGCTACTCGTTCAGGTATAGTTTTAAAATTCTATTTATCCTTAGCAACCTTGCAACATAATCAAATTATTGGAATATGCATCCCACCACTTTTAGAGTTTGCCGTTTATTCATGATTTTGTACCACTTGTACAAACAATAATTTTGGTAATTTTTGGATGCTCATGTAGTGAGTGAACCAAGATTGCGGACACCGGAACGTAGCATGTGTACCAGGTTAGGCCATACTTTCAGGTACAAATACTGCGGCAGTCACTTGGCTAGTTCCCGAACTCTTAATAGAACTAAAATAAGAAAATTTGGAATAAAATTGTGTCCTAACTCTAACCTGGTATACATATTAATTTCCGGTGTCCGCCATCATGGTTCACATACCACGGGAACGCCAATTTTTAATGTTATAATGATCAGAGCACTGCATGACAAGATACGATACTGAACTGTCTTTTACAGTACGTCTATAAGGGACGCACTTGAAGAAAAGTTTTTGTAATACTGTACAGTCAAAAACATTGAACATTTTTAAGAAGTATTCCGTGGCCAAAGTGGCATGCCTCAAATAACTATAAATTCACTAGGATAGCACATCTAGATCAAAGATTACAATTGATATAAAGCAATTTACAACGCCGTAACCCTGCAATTATTTCATTTTGTTTAAACAAGTTTATATCTATTCGCAGGAATATATCTGAATATTTCCAGTGGGGAAAATCTAAAATATACAATCTTGATTCCATCTTCCATGGCAGCTACAAATACCTCCTTCGTCTCTGGCCTGCTAACAGAACAGGGAAAGTGTTACAAAAACGCAAAAGCTGAGCCATTTAAAAAGATAATGTCTATTCCATGTAAGTTCCATTTTATAATATATGATACCAAATCACAAGTTTTCAGACAATAAATATTATATTAAAATGACATTCACATTTATAGCAAAAATAAGTTTATTTATAACATCATATATCTAATTACCTAGGTGACCTCCGAAGTGTGGCTTCTCATTTCAATACAACTGTAGATCGCGAAGCTTTCTTTACGGACGAAGTTGATTTAACGCAAGTAAAGAAATCACAAGTCAGAGATGTCAACGATAAAACCTCTGAAATTAACGAAGCAATTGAAGTTACAGATTCGATTAGTATGAATGATACTTTTACTCTAAACAAATTATTTTTATTATAAAATGTGTTCATCGCTTACCTATATATTTTAATATCAGACATAATTCCATCATCGAACTAGCTTAGATTCAAACCAGAAATCATAAACTTGTCGAAAAAACAATGCTTCGTACTTCCTAGTTGGTGAAAAAAATTTCAAATAGACGTTATTTCGTCATCAATAATTACTAGCTTTGATTGTGTCGACGAGGCTGCTTTTTAAGGTTCTTATCTGTATGATTCATAGAATATTATTTCATAATCATTGTATAATACCTTCTTGGTTCATGGTTAATATGAATGATTATTTACATGTTTTGATATTCTATCCCGTGTAAGTAGACTAGTCACTCAGTAATTTGAGAAAAACCTTTTCTTAACCAATTTATTTGTTATAGAAAAACCTTTTCCGGCAAAGATTCAACCAGTTATTGAAGCAAAACATGTAGATTCTGACAATTACAACGTTCAGATCAACATCACAGGATTCGAGGACGACGTGCTGCTGAATGGGAAAAATATGAAAAAGTCGTCGAATGGGTTATATACCTTAAAGTGAGATCCGATATTTATATAAAATGTCGATTATTGGGATGTTGCAAAATATATGCCACTGAACACTGTTAATTTAGTCGCTGACATTTAAATCAAATTGGCGTCAAGATTGGTAATCGACAATTATCACAGATTGTTACGACACTTAGTTATTCTATTTTTACTTTTGTGTACTACAGAATGAATGATAAGGAGACAAAATCAATAGGAGAAATTTCGATGACAAATAAAGACGGAAAAACAATTCTTGTGCATAGACCGATCGTTGTGTGTGATTGCAAAGAGAAACAAGGCACTTGTGTATTTTCTTCCAATGAAGAAGAAAATCAATCATTGATTAAATCTGAATCAAAAAACGCTGGATGTATATGTAAGGAAGGATTTGTAGGATTGCGCTGTGAAGAAGTGGAGAATCCCTGCAGGTATAGCAACTATAAAACATGTGGAATTTGTGTTGAGTTTTTTCTGCTCTTTAATTTTTTAAAAAGTCTAAGTATAGAAAGCCTTAGCTATACTATTGTCAAAAATAAACTCAAAGCAAAAAGCAAATTTGTTGCTAGAGGAAATCTACAATGTTCTTTTGGGAGTTTATTGCATCACGAACTTGTAGTGTAAAGGTTGAGATTAACGAAAACGTTAGAAACAGTTTTTATAATTCGAAAGCAAAATTTTGTAGGACTATTGGATCAGAAAATTTGTTATTTTTTAAGCGAATTGCCGTGCTTCAGTCGTGTAAAATGTGAGGAAAAGAAACAGTCGCCCACTGAAGTGGAGGAAATAGACGGAGTTCAACTCGAAAAAAGATATTTTTGTGGACAATGTCCCCCATCTTTAGAAAAGGGAAATGGCGAGACGTGTTTCAACGAAAATAAATGCCTCCTACCATCTGATGATCCAGAATCACACAAATGTAAAAATGCAAAATGTGTAAATCAACCTAGTGGATATTTATGTGAATGTTTGGACGGATTTCGTGTTAGTGAAGACAGTAATCCATACGAGTGCATAGGTCAGTATAAATAATATATATACAGTATATATATTTAAACACTGTAGTTGTAAACATTGCGACTGTACAAAATCGTTTGAACAATACAATTTTTGGTTCCTTCAACGAGACGCTCCATTCTTATGCCCATATTAGGGCGCGCCACATATCGTCAAATGGATAATAAATTAGATAAGAACGTAACTGCAGTAGCATAAGGGACATAATTAGTGAGATTTACTCAATCAAAAATACAAGCATACAAAAAACACGATTCCGAATCAGGCAATATTTCAAGAAAGCACATAGTTGCTGAAGGAATCTGTGGACAACTTACACAAAATAATAACAAAATTTAGATAGATAAATTCAATGTAAGACTTCTAACGACTTCTTCCGTCGAATTATGATAATTGAGAAATCACCAGAATTAAGCCCACATATCAGATATATAAATGAAGGTGATTATAAATACTTGAATGGAGCAAATTTAGTTATTGATTTACCTTTTATTGCCGTCATTGTTTAAAATAAAAATAAAGGACTGTAATGAGGAATAAAGGACTGATTATTATAAGTCTAGGTTACGTTGTTCATATTATACCTTAATTAATTTAATTTTTTAATACTTCTTCACAAGATGTGGACGAGTGCAGCATTGGAAAGCACGAGTGTGATAAAGACGTCGGAGTCTGCGTTAATATTCCGGGATCATACAATTGTGAATGTAAAAACGGATATATTACCAAAGTAAGTCATTGCATAAGCATTTCATTCAGTAAAATCCAGTTTTGACCGGATATTTGAGGCCAGGAATCATGAATTCAGAGATACAATCTGTAATCTCTGTGCTTGTCGCTTTAGGACAATTCGTATTGTTTTGGGTAATTTTTTTCCCTATTTATAATTTAAATTCCACAGATAACATAATGAGCGCAATTTTGTCCTTGGATGGGTCTTTAAATGTCAAGTGTACGATTGCCTCAAAAAAATGAATATTTAATGAAGACGTCGCTGCTAATCGCCCGCGCACTGCACGATTCTCTCTCGAAATCATATTTTTCTTAGTTTCTTGATTATTCTCTCACATATTATTCTTTCCCTCTTCTACCAGGATCGATATTATTCTCTTGCATTTTCAACCCGTTGTAAAATCGATATAAGAGCAGCTGACTGCCTGCCTGCGTCTCTCGATCGATATTTTGGGCATAATTTTTACTACGAAACCAAGCACGAGCAGCATTTATATTTCGCAGTTCCGGTTGAAAAAATTCCACCCATGCCCGATGGGATATGATTCTTTGCGATTCTGGCCTGAATAGAAGAGAATATTTTAGTTGGAAAGTAGTTAATATTGATGGGGGGTGCAATGCTCATTGTTTTATTGAAAGAAACAACAAGATTGTGTCATAAAGAAGAAGGAGATTTGTTCTCCTCATTTTTTTTTCAAAAAGGGTTTATGTTGGATCTTGAAAAATGGTCCATGGCCGGCTCCTGTGGCCTAAAGGAGAAGGCGCCGGTCTCCTAAACCGGAGATTGCGGGTTCGAGTCCCGCCAGGAGCCCTTTTAATTATACAGCTACCACTCAAATGCTGTGTACGATGCCAGCAACATCGCGCTTGTTGCGTATCCCCTTAAAAGACCAAATTTGGCGTAATTTCTTTAAATACAGTAAAAAAAGTGAAAAAAAAAAACAGAACAAATGCAGTGCGTTATTAACTCAAATTTTCTTTTGTCTGAATAACAGCTTGATAGCAATCGTTGCGAGGACGTCGACGAGTGTCTCGATAATAATGGTGGGTGTGAGAGAAGATGCCACAACTTTATAGGCAGTTACAAATGTTCGTGTGAACTTGGTTACAGGTTAAAACCTAATGGAAAAAATTGTTCGGGTAAAATTTAATTCTGTTAGTATTCCAATGATTAACCAGAAAATTAATAATTGAGTTTATCTACAAAAAGTCTTGATGACAACGCGAATTAGTTATTTTTCTCTGCAAAATGACGTCTTCAGAACGCCGGGTAATAGCTTAAAATGTCAAAACGTATTAAATTATAATCTGTGTGTCAGTAGCTGAAGTGAAAATCGGGCTTGAAATTAGTTTTGGTTGAGATAATCAGATTCATGTTCAAAGACAAATTGCATTTACAACGCCATTTCCGAGTCATCAAAACAGTTAGCAACTGATATTTAACTGACTCTTAACCATTTGTTCTGGAACCCTTTTCTCTGTTTGGTCATGAATTCATGTACTAAATATACGTATATCACTGCTGTAAAAGCTTTGCTAATTTATCACACATATATATTGTGCTACAATGAATGTAAAATAAAACTCGATATTTAGAGATTAACGAATGTGATGAACACGCGAAGGACGTGTGTGAGCAAATATGTTTGGAGGTAGAAGGACAACCATTCACATGTGCATGTCATGATCGTTTCACCTTGATGGAAGATTACAGGAGCTGCCAACCCAACTTTACAACAGAAGCTGTAACAACTAGATATGATTCAACAACAACCACAATAACTACAAAACAGCAGGAAACAACAACATTTGCTAGAACTGAAACGAGAGAGCAAACAACTACAGCAGCTGCTGTAACAGGTTAATTCTATATAAACAACTTTTGTTTGGATTCAGTGTAATATTGCTGGAAATGGATATTTCCCTCGACCCTTGACCTGAGAAAATTATTTTTATACTTTATCATAGCAAAATCTTGGACTTCTTAAATACATAATGACCAGTGAGTTTTTAGATACATATTTCATTTTTGAAACCGCGATCTAAATTAAAAAATTGTATGCAAAACCAGAAAAACGATCAAATGATTACAACTGTGATTGGAAATGTGTCTGAGCATACGAAGTGTTTAAAGCGACTGTGCAGTGTTACATCACCGTTAACTTATAGTTGTTTCGTCACTGCGACAGAAATAAACAAGAACGTGAATGCTTGGGAAAACATTCCTTATGCTGAATTTATTAGGTGGAATGATTTGTGTAGGACTTTCTTTGGGAATGATAGATGTGAGTGTATGCGTTATGCCAGACCATGCAAAAATCTTTTTAATGTTTGGGGGCGATCTCATATTCAATTTTTTCAGATTCATATGATTTGCTTCCAGATGGATGGAATTTTATCGATCCTAATGCGGATTCCTATACTCAATTATTTCAAACTTTACGAAGATATTTTTACCTGCAGGTACCACTTTTCTATTGTTATACTGCCTATACATATAACTTTTAAAGTCGTAACCAAAGAGCTTTAAGTGTGAGTTTATGGTCAGTTATGCAAAAAGTAATGGATGGAAAATTCCGGGATAATTTTAGACAATCAGCGTAGCCTGATCGGAAGTAGAAATATTTTTGAAGAATAAAACAATATTAGACTAAAATATGAAATTATTAATATGAATCTGTATTGTTTCATTGTTTTAGATGCTGGATAAATCTGATTTCAGAAACCTCCTCAAGAAAGAAAAGAAAGAAATACAAAGTTTTATAGAAGCCCTTGCTGAAATTCTAGCTCGTTCTCAAACAGGGCGTGCAATTGCATACCTTCTTGCTGTAGCAGATCAAAAAATGCCTAAAGAATGGCTGAACGAAAGAGACTGTCTTATCTTGGCAGAATCAGTCTTTCATGACTCAAAATTATCAGTTTACCTCACCGCTCTGGAAACGTTTGAGGGATATTTAAAAATAATCAAGATTATATTGGACGAATTTAATTTGAAAAATATTGTAAGGTCATTGGTGATAGACTTCAAACTCGTAACCCATTTAGTTTCATTGTCAAAGAAAAAAATCGGGCGCACAGGCGTAGATGTTGGTTCAAATTTTAAAGATACGTTAGGTGTCAAAATCTTGTCGCAGGCTGTGGGTCAGATTCAACACATACATCCTTGTAGAACCTATATCATGAAACTTATGAGAACTCTACCAGACACAACAACCAAACCAAGAAAGGAAAGAAGTTTTGTAACTGACGAAGGGTTGACAACTCAAGGTAGCTCTATTACGAGAGAACAGATTTGTTCAATACTAGTTATTTTTATCGTCATTTCAATATTATTTAGGATTTAAATTACTATACATTAAACATTGCTTTCATTTTTCTAACTGCGGGTCTTTTTGAGTACAATCCACCAACCCACCAACTCTCAATATTATCTCTACCTTAATTTCTTTTTAACAAAAAGAAACTTAAAAATTAGATTTTTGGACTTTTTTACATAAATTTTATATATATATTTCAGATACGACCTTAGCAGAACCAATATTATCGAAGATTTATCAGCCACCTGCATGGCTTATTTTATGTATGGTAGCATCAGCGCTTCTCGTGTTTATCTTAGTCGTTGTCGTCACACGATTTTGCTTGACATGGAAAAGACAAAGAAAACATCGACAAAAAATGAAGGAAATGAAAAAGTTGAAAAACAGGTAACTATTTTCTTTTATCTATAAATCATATTAAAACAACAGCTTGATGATCTTCTTTCCAATTTAGACAAAAAATGAAATCTTGGCCAAGATATGTCAACACTTCTCAGTCGTATTTTGATAAACAAATTTCAAAGAAACTTCGGGTGAATCCTTGAATTCGAATTCCACTACTGAATAACAGAAAGATGGAAAGGACAGAATCAATACGTGACTGAATATTATATGAGAATATAAAGGGATTTGCAATTGAGGAGCAATATCAATGTGAGCATGACCGAAAAAGAAAAATCATTACAAATATGATGAACAGCATAGAATTCTTACAATCGAAAAAATGTAAAATAGTTTGTAATCTTCACATTGAATAAGTAGCTGATACGATTACCAACCAGAAATCGAAGCATGTGTTCAAATGTCGGCTAAGTTGTTATTGATATAGATAGTAAACATATTAGCCACCGATGACAAATAATTTTTCATTTTTGTAAACTGAATCGCATTTTTTGAATGTAAGAAATATATTATTTTTCTACTTTTAACTTGAATTTCATAGTATTTAAAAAATGCAAGTAAATATCATTCTCAGCCATACGACACCAACCACAAAACATGGTAAATCAAATGAAAAATTAGTAAATAAAACTATCAGATTTTATAGATAATGTCAAATATTTTTCTCAATGTGCTTTTAATATATCCCAACATCGGTGAAGTTGTTTGGGATGGTACAAGTTTTGAAACAACGAGTATTGGAAGGTAAGGCATGAAGGTTAAATAACTAACCGAAGTGCACCATTTGCCTTTGCTACCTTTATAGAAATCGATTGTTTTGTCATTCAAATGCTCTAAGTCAAAATTATAAATTAAGTTCTATCGACGTAGCAGTTTATGTTGGCACCGCTAAGGCTTAGCTAAACACCGAATTTGACTTTGACGGTCTTGTCGGACGTAATGCCGCGTGGTGTATGCACACAATTAGCAAGTTTGTGGAGAAATATCAAACCCTGTCTTGAAGAAAATTTGATTGGCATCTTAGTGACTCGTTTCGTCTTTAAACACTGAAATTTTGTTCATTAGTTGGGGAGAAAAGTGATTTAAGCACAAAAGCGAGAATATTGCAAAGCGGTTCACATGTTTACTCCCTAGATCTCTGTCCTCTGATATCATATAGCTATATAGATAGCTACGTCATTGACATAATTACTAGCGGGTAATCAAATTTGGTTTACGATCACAGTATTACTACAATAAGTCTGAATTTTTATTTTATTGTGAATTAGACAGTAATTTGTAGCTACGGAAAAGTGAACTGAATTGTATTTAAATTGATATTGAACATGGAAAAACAAAGGTACACGTTCAAACAGAAGTGACTAAAATTTGTGTTTGTCTTCAATTCGTTGTTCTCAAAATTATTTATGACGAATAAATTCTCATTTTGTAGAAAACTGGAATTTTTATCATTTTAAGCCCTAGTTTTCACTGACACTGTTGAAGAGTTTGAAAGCAAGAAAATTTTTTAATGTCCTACTGCCACTTCTCCCATAATTTTTCACAGCCATTTCCTTTGGTCGTTTCTTTCAACTTCTTGTCAATTTTTTCGCTTTGCTCGACAGTCATGTGATTTTTCCAGTCACCTATGACTCCCTTCCTGATAAAAGGAATGGACCGTTCTGAAAGCACCTAGAAACAAAATACACCTGTCAACAGAAAAGGCATGAATGGTAAATCTAAGATTTCTTCATATATATATGGCTAATAAATATGCTCAATAATTCATTACAAAGCTATTATTTCTCCATATTGGTTTATATTTACTTATGGTCACGAACAATGATTTGTTATGCACTTATACGTTAACAAAGTTACTTGCCCATTTGGAGTCATCTTTACGCATCTCGCTTATTTGCGTTTCTTCAATTATTTTCCTCAAAATTGCTTCGCTATCTGATGTCAAGTCTTCTTCACAGTGATTTCCAATAAATCGAGCAATTTTTAAAATTTCATTTTTTGTATCCGACAAAAGATCTTCATATAACAGAAACAAAACAGAAGCATCGTTTCTCACAGCAAACCATTCCATCAAAATTTGAAAATAGTCACCGCAGTCGATCGTACCTTCCAAGAATCCTTCAAAAATGTCATCAAATGAGCCATCAAATTCATAATCAGGAAAACCCTTTATGTGATAAAACAGTGAAACGCAAACGTCTTTTGGTTCTCGGGCAATAAATATATATTTCGCTTCGGCGTGTTTTGGAACCCAGTGATAAGGAAAATGTGTTTTTATAACACTAATATCTTCTCCAGTTGTTGTTTTAAAAATTGCATCTTCACCATCAAACTCAAGAAATGATATGTGATTCCTCAAATGAGTCTCACAAGGCTGACCATGATGTAAAACTCTCCAAACTATATTTTGAAGCCAAGTTACTCCACATTTAGGATAACTACATAGAAATAAATCTTTCGCCCTCGCTTTATATCGCAACGCCGACTCTATGTTATCCTGGCTACCATTTGGCATCAGAAATATATCATCTTGCTCAGGATGTTTAGCTGCGTAGTAGACTGGCAATTTTGACATTGTTGTCCACTTACCACTATATCCTCAGCATTAGCTATCTGTGTAAAACAATGTGTTTGGCATGCGAGAATTCGAATGAGAACTGTCAATAAACGCCTGTTGTCTAAACACATCGTAATAAGCGAATCCTTTCCTCGCCACGCACTATCCACGTTTAATATTTGTTCAACCAATGCTTTATCTCACTTCAAATGTAAACAAATCGTGATTAATCGTTAAATACGAAATATAAGTCTTGTTGCGGAAACCATTTTCGCGCCATTGGTAAAATCTGAGGCGCCAAAAATGAATGGGCATGAATAAAAATAAATATAACGCTCAACAACTCATAGCAACAAACATTTTGTGAAATAAGTTTACAAAGAGATTGAGTTTACATTATTCGAGCCAACCTGTTTGAAGACAGATATACAGAGCGACGGTTTTATTTACTTCGACACCAAGTTAAATCAACATTTTGTGGCGCGTAATGCACTGAAATAAATTCATATTATCTCACTATAACTTTTTTACACTTCACTGGTCACGCGTAACTTGGCGCAAAGATGAGTTTCTTTTACCTAATATTGCATGACGTGTAATTTCACCAATCTTCAATGATTTCACTTCTATCAAAAAAGTTGTTAAATCTGCACAAAAAAGAATTTTTATTTTTCAATAAATGAAATGTTTCTTTAGGTTTATGTTATTGATATATATATATATATATATATATATAATTCAGGATGGTCCTAGGTTGTGAGGTTGGCGGGCCGCAAAAACCCTTGAGGATGCCTTGCGGGCCGCAGTAGGAGAAAACGCAAAAGTGATCAAAACAACGCGAGTTTACTCACCTCACATATATTTAAGAATGCGAGTTTATCGTTCTAATCAGTTTTCTAATGGAGATATATGAAGCCTTTAGTTATTTTAAAATTGCTTCCCGAGAAAAACCGTGATATTTTCGGTATCTTTTCTCGTGTTCGGTTTTGTAATGTCGCTTCAAATTATATTCGTTCGTGACAGATATTACTTGAAAACACACCAGACACTGTTATTATAACATTGTTATGGTTTAGGAAATACATTTCCTCACAGTTTACCTCGGTCAACTTTTTTTTACACTCATTGTATGATGAATTGTTATATTTGACCAATTTTATTACTTGTAGCGTGAGCAGACCTGGTTCTATCGTCAAAAACAACCATGTCCGTCTAAGTTGGGACTCCGGACCAAGCTAAAAAAAAACTGGATCGCGCGGCGCTACGTAAGCTCTGCGTTTCGCCACTGCTGTCACATAGCCAGCGCATGAAAATAGAGGAGTGTTTTTACAAAAAAAAGTATAGGCACAGAACGTCTTTCCAAATGAGAAGTTACTAGACGCGAGCTTAAGGTACGAAGTTTAGATAAAAAGCGCGACCTAATTCATCGGATTGGTCCTGCCTGCACAAGACAATTCATTCTCCTTGTACCGATCACTGAACGTCATTCTCATATTGGCACCGTCTTGACGTTTATAGATACAACATTGAAATCCGGTGATTTTGAGAAACATGAATTCCGACATCGGAATTAAGAAAAGGACTATTCTCAGTGGAAATGGTTTAAAAATAACTCAAAATGTTCTCTGGGCCGCACAGAATGTGTGTCAGTGGGCCTCATGTGGCCCGCGGGCCGCGGTTTAGACCACCCGGATATATCATTACAAGTACTACTCAAATATAGATTCAACAAAAAATCAATCTTGACATCGAGTTTGGCGAAATAATATTAGTCTAAAAATACTAATATTGTTAAGTCATCTCTAATATGAGGAGTATGTATGTATGATTAGAGAGGGTCAGTCCATAGAATATTAAATGTTCGAAACTTATTCAAAAACAGATCTTGAAATATCTGAACTGCAAAAGATCTACGGTTTACAACTATGATTGAATACCAGTTAATGTGAAAATTTGTCTGAATGACTGGTTAAATTGCAATTGTTTTACCATAGTAACAAGTTGTCGTTACGGAAAATGAAGTCAGTGTTTGGTTTAATAATATTAACGATCGTTATCTATCTCTCGTTGGAATGCACAGCGATATATTTAAACAATATATTAATTGATATATGAAAACGCATTTAGCTATGTAACTTCGACGCATGGTGTATGGAACAAAAGGTTCATCACAGAGGTAGGTTGTGAATGATTGCTTAGTTTGTGCAGTTTTAAATCCTCATCGACTTTCTGTTTTGGGGTGATGCTCTTCTGATCTCTTCTGATCTCTTGGATCAACTAAATGTTACGAAAACCTGATTAAATATCATCCCTTCCTCCTACAGGCCTTTGAGTATTTTTGAATTTGATGTGGATTTTACTTGTTGAAACAACAGATCACATCACAATTTAAATAAATTAAAATAGAAATCCAACTAGAAAATTCGCACTCATGTCATGTGTATTTTGTTTAGTCATTGTATAGAAGCCCTTTACCTTAGCAAAGTAGTGCCGCATAAATGACGGTGTATAGCGTATATTTGAAATTATCGTTGGCTGAGCATTTGTCATAAATGAATCGGGTCGAATAAAATACATTCATGAGATGATATTTCCTGAAATTGATAAGGAAGTCGTGCTTCAAATTCTTGACTGCAATAAATACCTTGATTCATATAGTATGACAGTTCGACAGGCTCACAAAGGGTGACAGCTCTGTAGTAGTTGTGGATTCATATGATCAAAACCTCATATTTTAAGTTAGGGAAAGAACAATGGATTCCTAGAAGATAGATACAAAAGATAAGATTCGTGTTATAGGTAGTAATCGGTTTTTGATAGTGTTGAGTTAAAGGTTAGAATAAAAAAATATGAGTCATTTTGTGAATCAAATAACACCCGCTATCCATATGACAAGAGATATTTCATTCATTTTGGTAGTTCAATTTTTTGAAACTACTTTCAAATTTTTAAATATGCATGTAAATGTTCGGCCTGGTTCAGGATTGGATCATTTGGTGAAAATTATTCCCCCACAACTCAGACGAAAGATATGAAAATCTACTGAAAAAATGTTGTGCGGAAAGTTAATTCAATTAATTTTGTATTTCTAGAAAACAATTTTGGTTTTTAGATAAAAAAAAATGGCAAAAGCAACATATCAGGTCACGACAAAGGTAATTACTTTTTAATTAGAGCATTTTGTTTGTAGTTGATAATCTCAAACTCTGAAAAAAACTCAAAAATAAGACCAATTATCCATTGATGAAGACCGAGAAAAAGAAGGGTTGCACGAAATATCACCAATTCGCCAAATGTTGGAAACGCATTAAGACAGTCGTATTGTTAAATGCGGTTTCCTCATCATATGGATTAAATGGATGTAATATTTATTACTAGTGAGAAGTTGTTATATTAGCTCATGCGTATAAGGTGGCTACATATCCGAGCTCATTCTGGGTGGGATGGAAATCAGGAAAATAAGCATATTGTTCTTTTATAGACCGATGAGCTATACGCTGTGTCATCGACCAAATCAAAAGTTTCCATTCAACTAGTTGGTCAAGATGGTGACCATACTGAGTGGGTTTTATTGAACAAGCTGTTAAGAAGAAATTTTCAAAGCGGAAAAATTGATGTCTTTATCATTGAGGCCATTGATGTCGGGCGACCTGTCATCGTTAGGATAAGTAATTGTCATATTAACATTCAATCGGTCTATATCTTTGTCTATTTTTATTAAATTAGTAAGGTCCTAGCGAAGTAATTCAAAATAAGATAATTCAATCTGATGTTAACATATGCACGATTTTGACACATATGCCAATCAAGGAGGACTGCTATATCACACGATCTTCCTGTCAATATTTTCTATTGACATATCGTGATTAAAAAGCTAACCACGAAAGAAATTCATCAATTTTTGATTGATAGAATTGCCTTCAAATTTGTTTTAAAAATAATATTGATTACCGAATGAATTTATATTTATGATCTTTTAATTTCGCTGTCAATCACCAAAGACGGATTGCATGGAATACATAATTACGCCACTTTATGTGATTTGAAGGAAATGATTCATGCAACGTAATGATCTGCAGTTCAACATGACATTTCCAATAAAAGAATCGTTTTTCCTTATGATAAGTAAATTAAGAATAGTAAATAAGCCGTGGTTTGGCTTTGAGCAATTCAGTTCAGCATTTGATTCTAATTTGTTGATTCATTACTTCTAGAACTTGACAAGAGAAAACCGAACAGCAGTTGGGGATGTGAATATATTACTGTTAAATATGGCGAATTCACAGATGAATTTCCAGTTTACGAATGGGTTTCCGAAACAATTGACGTAGTCGAAGGAACAGGTAAGAATAAAATCAAAAATCGCTTCACAGTTGTTAGTTTCGAAAAATGTAGGAAAATATTCTGAAATCGAACTGTCACGTGCATGAATAATTACTTCTATATAGGAATGAATTTTTTATTCGGAATTAGCGCAAGAAAATTTCGAAATTGATTTTGTTATATTTTAGCATTCCCATATTCTCCATACGCAGTGAAATTTATATACGTTCATATAGCAAACAATTGAAAATAAAGTCCTCTATATTATTTTAAGCAATTCTGCCACAAAACATGGTCAATCCTTATTTAAAAAACGCGAGAGATGATGAAAAAGGACAAAATCAACTTGTGTATTCGTGGCAGAAAAGATCAGATGCTGGAGAAAATTGGAAACTGCCACGTTATCAAGCATGTCAGACCTACGAAGGACTCCCGCAAATGTTCAAAAAGCAGGACGCAAGAGTCAAGAGAAAAGAAGAAGTGTTGACAATGGTCAAAAGGAATGAATTGTTGATGAAATTCAAGAGTATGTTGACATTTGTTGTGGTTGCATTTTCCACATTGAACATGCACATACTGTATCAAAGATGTATTGCAAATAATCATGTAACACAGTAACTATTTGATCAGAAAAACACAATAGATATATATGAGAATTTATATACATTTTAGAAAATAGTTACAAAATGCTTAATATTTGATTTCATGTGTGGCTACTCTATTTTTGTTTTCAGCCTACTTTTTCTCTATTAACGAGCCAAATGACTTCAAGAAGTTGATATACAACGAAAATATGCTTCCTCAATTGCCGTCTTTCATGGAGAAGTATGACTTTATTTCTGATTATGTCACTATATTTTCAATCTGCCAATTTACTATGGTAAGTTAAAACGAATTACATTCTTCCTTCTACTCAGATGGAACGAAGATGAAGAGTTTGGACGGCAGATGCTAAATGGCATAACACCAAACAATGTTGTCAGATGTTTGAAGATACCCCCATTCTGCAATATAACTGAAGATCATGTCAAAGGAATATTGCCAGTGGGGAAGGCATTAAAGAAAGAAATTTTGGTTGGTCTCAATATGTATATTGTTCAAGAAATATAATTAATATGACTAAAATTCAATTCGCAGTGTTTTAATGATGCAAGGACTTTGATATTATTGCAAGAGTAAAAAGAAAGATTAACAACACGGATAGGCAATTTTTTACTGTACAACAAAATTTGCCTAGATTTTCTACAACTGCTTGAATATGGTTCGCTTTAGTGTATTTTAATAAATTTTGGGAACGCAATCATATTCATCAACAACAAAAAACAACCCAACAAATTGTCTCGACGACTTTAAAAATGTCGAGTAAATATATTTCAAATGAATAACTGATTCATATTTCAGTATTTTTGCCATTGGCAGAAAGACAAGCAACAGACAAAATGCGACAATTTTATGTAAATCAAATAATGTAACTTCATTTTTCAATTTCTACTTCTAGAACGGTCATATTTACATGAAGGATTTCTCATACATTTTTGCTGGAATTAGTAGAAATGTACAGGTAAATGGTGAACCTTTATATTGTCCTAATGCGGTAGCTCTGTTCTACTCTAATGAAGATGGAAAATTCCTGCCGATTGCAATACAACTGGAGAGGGACAATGAAGAATCTGTCTTTACACCCCTGGACGAACAGCACGATTGGGAACTTGCAAAGATGTATTTTAGATGCGCTGAACATATGTCAGCTGTAAGTATATCGTGAAATATAGCACGATTATGGCGTACAGAGTGAATTGTGTACATTATTCGTTACAATTGGAAAAAAAATCGACCAATTTATTTCGGCGGAGGCAATTATTTATCTATAAATATGGGTATATATATCTAGTCTTTTGTCAGCATGCAAATAGCTGATGCTTTCACGAAATGTGAAGACTCATAATATGATACAACTTTATACTGGGGTGCAGAATCAGCTGGTTTGTATAATTGCGTCAAGCTTGCGATCTCATTTAAAATGTCGTATAATTCTATACCAAACTGCAAAGGTATAGATAGATAACTTTGATAGTCAACACTAAAAGCTTTGTACGTTTTCGTGACTATCTTTTATGCCATTTTTTTGAAGCGAATGATCACGTTGAAAATATTTTTGTATTTGAATTTATGAAAATATATTAGTTTCATAATTTGATATTTCAGTTGGGAGAACAATCAATTCTGCGCGACGTTATGGAACCAGTGGCAGTTTCACTCTTTCGGTATTTTCCGAGGTGTCACCCAGTCTATAAGTTGCTTCGCCCGCATCTCCAAGGACTACCGGGAATTAATCAAATTAACAGAGACCAAGGCTCTTCGCCCAACGTGTTCATCGGATTAGGTAATAACTACTAATAAGATAGAAGTGAAAAGATAGATTTAGTATTCGGCTACTAACTGTTAGTATAAGTGTTTCCCCATAAGTATATACATGAGCTATTATGAGGTTATGGATAAGGCCGGGGGAATTTTCCACGTCTTTCTAAATTGGGGTGTACTAGGTTATTATGCACTGAACTGCAAGTCCTTTCTCTTTGTTTATCTCCTACTTCGGATCCGTATGTGTCAGTTGCCACAAGGTTAGACTATGATCTAACGAAAGCTCATAAATATACTTACTATTTCGTAGAAAGAGATTATGTTATTCTAATTTAACCTATTAATTTGTCAGTGAACTTTTCCATATTATGTAGTATTTTTAGATCATAATATATTATTCTCCATAATATAATAAATTCCTATTTCGTATCAAAATTCATCTAACATTTGTTATATATATATATGTATAATTTAATTTGATAGATGATCAGGACATGCGAAACAAATACTATGAAAACTTTGATTTTGCTGACTTAATCATGCCACAAAGATTCAGAAAATTTGGTAAGAACAGTTCCACTTTCTATTTCAATTTGGAAAATTTTAATTTCTATACAAAGCAAATTAATAAAGAAGGACGTTCCATTTGTAAAAAAAAAACGGTTGGTGGCCATATTCGCCTGTAGAAGTCCGGCAAACACTTAAATTAAAACATCTGTTTAAATCAGAAAAATTTTGTCTGCGGTTCTGCTGAAAGCTCTCTTACCACAGTTCAGAGCCATTGCAAATAAAGAATACATTAGCAGTACTTATACATGTAAACTATGCATAAACATAAACTTGAGTTCCCTGACTGGTGCACTAAAAATTCGAGACGACCTACCTCCAAGTCTAAGGCTCCAAGCGAATCACGTCGAAATACGCAGGACTAAGCAATTTACGCGCCAAAATTTACACGCCTCAATGACTACGGTGGAGTTGACAGTTTCTTGAAATATATCATATACCAACTGAACTAAATTACTACCGGTAGCACCGTGGCTGTTGCTCTGCATGATTTTTATTTCTGCCCAATTTGTGGGTCCCCCGTTGTTTAATATCGAAATAATGAACTTTCTATTTTATCAGGAGTTCATGACAGAGATTTGCTGCCCAATTATTTCTTCAGAGATGATGCTCTACTTTTGTGGACAGTTGTTGAAAAATATGCCTCCAAAGTAATTTCCCATTACTACAAGTACAATCAGGTTCGTTTAAATTATATATTTTGCAGAATGTATACTTATAAGTACGAAATATTTTGTTACTGACTCGGAGGTCAGATTCAAGATATCTACGAGGGAGTGGGTGCTAATCATTCAAAAAAGGTGCCATATTACGTGATAGTATTAGAAAACATGACATTGCGGTAATTTTTAAAACACTTCATAGTGTTGAACTAACTTATAGTTAGACCTATATGCCGATGTATCTGATTCTGGGTTATCATTCAAGCATTAAACGCCGATATAAAAACAGTGTTGATTCAAAACTTATGAGCTAAATGAAATTTTTTGAAACAATTTAGTAATTCACATCATTATACTCATGTATTACAAAGGATAAGCACATTATAGATGTGTTGGACAGTTATTTGCAGTTGACAGTATTTGTAGATAAAACAGCGTGGCCTAATAGTTGACATTCCCAACATATATAATACTATAGCATATATAATTGGTAAATGAATGTGATGTTACCGTATATTGCTAATTTGTAGATTGTCTCTGACTTGCAAGTCACCCGTTCACCCTTTAGCTGCTTCAACGCCCACGTGAATGAGGAAACTTTAGAAAACTCTATTTGATTTTATTCTCAGATTTCCACGATTAACAGAATATAAATCTTATAACATTTATCCAGACTAGCTTAGAATGGTTTACATCGTCTTCTATCTCCATATCGAAAGATATCGGAGTCGTATTTATACGTTGATCATAAATCCAATTAAATGCTGTAAACGTGAGCTCGTGATTCACGTTATAAACAGAAATTCCTATTATCTCAACAAGGGTAATTAGGTACATCGTACGGATGGGAACTTAGAGATAATTATTTCAATCAGTGCCAAAGGTCTTGAGAATATAGATTTTAATTTGATAATGACTGGATGGAACCTGTTATGTTCTTAAACCTGGTGTAATTTGATTCCTACGAAAGTCTTTGTTCGAATTTTGGGAAAAATTAACTTTGTTTTCATATTTTTAACATGAAATGGGGTACATTTGGGGGTTAGTTGCTATATTATCTCCCCATCTTACTAACTGGAAGTTTAAAGATTTGGCACCCTCTAATAAATTGAAAATATATAGAAAAATACAATACACAGTGCTAAAATTAATGATATAAGTAAAAAATATTTATATGTATATGATCTACTATGAGACAAGACATTGAAGCAAAGAAGAATTTATAGAAAAGGGTAAAGGTTGTAAAGTAGAATTACAGAAGGATGGCGTATTTTTATTTTAAAAATTTTGGTTTGAACGGTTAAAACATATTTTCAATTTAATGTATTTCGCTAAGTTAAAATACTTATACTCGCTTTATCGCATTGTTACGATTTTGTAGACCTAGTTGGTCAATATATGCTTGTCCCATGTCGGGAAGAATAAGCGCGTTGCGACCTAGTTGGTCTATATATATATTTGTCCCATGTCGGGCAGAGTAAGCGCGTTGCGACCTAGTTGGTCTATATATTTGTCCCGTGTCGGGATGAAAAAACGCATTTTTAAGTTTATGCCATCTCAGGGCTTTTTTGAAAAAATAACGCTTTTGATACAATTTTTGTTTAACGAGCTTATTATTTCACCGTTCTATATGACGGCTTTGTAAATAATTAAAAGTATGACTCGCTCGAATCTACTTTTAGAGAGCATTTTAATGATAACGAAATCTATTTAATCGAAAAGGAATGTTAACCACAAATATTCAATAATATAAATCTCTTGAAAGGTATTTGAAATTAGAATATTCAAAGTTGTTACCATTAATTAATTTATAAAAATTGAAAGTCGAATGAAACGCCATGTATATATAAGAAGAAAAAGAAGTACTTTACCTTAGTATTAGTGGAAGAATGAAAAATGTCTGTCTCAATGAGGAGAAAAACCTGCAAATCATGAAACAAATTGTAGATTTAACATGCTCCTGATCTGTATATCCATTAGGTATGCGCGAAAATATCTCTATTGTTTGGAATAGAGCGCGTAATTTACCGTAAAACAGTCCATATCGTTCATTGTTTTCAACAGTTTGTTTTTGATTAGGTTTTTCATCTCGAACATATACCATGTTCTAAAAGAGTTCATTTCGATCGATGTTCAATACAGTCCATATTCATAATTTTAACGTTTCCAGAGTCCGTTACCATAGTTCAACTGTTTTCAATTGAAATTATTGTCTTTTCATAATGTTTTTGATTATTTCGGCTTGTCAGCAATTTGCTACTTCAATCGTTGTTCCAGGCAATTTGAATCTCCCCGACGTTCGTAAGTTGGTCGAATTTGATTTTCGCACGTTTTGTAGAGACGGTTTCTCGGCAATTGTTGAAAGCTTCAGCTTGGTCTGTTTTTTTGTTTGATTCCGTCCAATTGTTGCTTGTCCTGGTTGTTGTCCGTTGATCTGGTCCGTTTCAGAAGGTTAATTCAAGTCGGTCTTGTCACCATTTATAGCATAAATGGTTGTTAGATGAATGGGATGTTACTATATATTGCTATTTCGTAGATTGTCTCTGACTTGCAAGTCACCCGTTCACCCTTTAGCTGCTTCAACGCCCACGTGAATGAGGAAACTTTAGAAAACTCTATTTGATTTTATTCTCAGATTTCCACGATTAACAGAATATAAATCTTATAACATTTATCCAGACTAGCTTAGAATGGTTTACATCGTCTTCTATCTCCATATCGAAAGATATCGGAGTCGTATTTATACGTTGATCATAAATCCAATTAAATGCTGTAAACGTGAGCTCGTGATTCACGTTATAAACAGAAATTCCTATTATCTCAACAAGGGTAATTAGGTACATCGTACGGATGGGAACTTAGAGATAATTATTTCAATCAGTGCCAAAGGTCTTGAGAATATAGATTTTAATTTGATAATGACTGGATGGAACCTGTTATGTTCTTAAACCTGGTGTAATTTGATTCCTACGAAAGTCTTTGTTCGAATTTTGGGAAAAATTAACTTTGTTTTCATATTTTTAACATGAAATGGGGTACATTTGGGGGTTAGTTGCTATAATACTGCCATTTATTCAACCACTAGAGCTAAATTAGTTTTTATTGCTTATTTATTTTGATGAGGGCTAGTAACAACATATACTATCTATCACTGACATCATGTATTAATTTTTTTTGACTTGTTACCTTGTAGGACGTTGTCGAAGATAAAGAAATTCAAACATGGATTGCTGATTTGGCATTGGATGGATATGCTTGGTTCGATGGTTATGCAAGAGGTTGTCCAGGAAGTTTCAAAACCGTTGATGACTTGGTGAGAGTAATATAAATTGTTTCGTCTCACAACTTATGTCGCAAACAAATGCAAATAAAATGTTAGTTCCACACAAAACTCCAAGTTTGAATTTGTAGTACTGAATCATATTAATTCTGATATATATACCCAGATACAAAATGCATACCGCAATTCCCCAAGTTTCTTTTCTTCATATAATAAATATCAAATTATTATTTGCCAGAAATCTTTTGCAACAGCTATCATTTATACTACATCCGTCCACCATGCAGCATTGCATTATCCTGCCTATGACTACTTCAAATTTATTCCCAACTGCCCGAGTGCAATGAGACTGCCGGTACATAAAACAGGGGAGGTAAGTGTAAGGGTAAAGTACCTAGATTCGATAAATTCATATTATAATTTCGATTGCATACGGTACTATAAAAGTTGGTTAACCACTGGATTTACGTGTAGCATAGCTGATAACCAAATTCATGATACTGTTGAGTTTTCGCTAAAATCTACCGTTACAGCGCTGACGTTTGGGTAATACCAGTTAGCATGTACTTCGTATCACGGTTGTCGTACGTTGTCAATCCCGTATTGTCGGGCTTACTTTATCAACATCTTCCAAAACTATCGAGAAAGCGTAAAATTCTAGCAGCGACCGATACGAGCTATTCGCAGTTTTAACACGGTCTACTTTCCGCAAGAACTAAAGCAACATTGTTTCACCAAATTCAAATCCCGTGCAAGTTGAAATACAACAATGTACAATGTATCGTTATGTGTTGTTATACCTCGCACACCCTGCAATATATTTGCTGATTTTAAGCAATTTAACACCACCAAAAACCCATAATAATTCATATGAAAATACGCTGACCAGAAAAAGTATTGTACAGACAGAAGTCGAGTAATCTGGGCGTGACCCTTCTAAAATTGCGTGATTACGAAATGGCGCACACGACTGTGAGTAAATATCAGTAAACGTTTGAACGTCAAAAAACTTGTATGTGCATATGTTATGAATTTAGTATCAAGCAAACACAAATATTTATATGCATGAATATAACAATACGCAAACGCATGCGCATATATATTAGCCCAAAAGTATTCCTCGGAAATTTAGGAGGTGATTACTCCATCCTGAATCCAATTTCAGTCTGATTGTTTTATATTCTATTTTTCTACAAAGGCATCTCATCAGAGAATTCTGGATTCACTTCCCGACCTCCAACTTGCTACATTACAAATCAATCACGCGTTCACAGAATACAGGCATGTTCCTAACGAGGTAAGTAGTAAATTATATGAAATTTTTACTTGTTTTACGCATGAATATTCTGCTACCGTTTTGTGTTGAGAGACGTTTTATTTTTTCGTGTACTTCAACGAAATATTTTTTCATATATATATATATATATATACTCAAAATATTCTGTGTATGATGTAAGTAAACCTCGGGAAATTGTTCATGTAAAATTTATATGCCATGCTTATCTCGCCATAAACAGTTTCACATCAAAATGTTATCTCGCGGTACAACGTTTTTGCTATACTTAATTAAAGTGTTTTGGCGTCAAAATTCATCAACCATATTTATATTTCACTTAGATCCAATTGGGAGAATTTTCCATGAAGCTATTCACAGAACCTGAAGTTTTGAAGTTTCAAGACGAATTCCTGGATGAAATGATGGATGCAACATGTGAAATAAGAAAAAGAAACGAAAATGTTAAGATTCCATACGAATACCTGCTTCCAGAGAATATACCAAACGGCATCCAAAGCTAGTTCAGTTAAATATTTGTATATATATTTACTTTGTAAATATCTCTTTTATACGCATATCCATTGTCGTACACCATCGACCTTTGAAGATACCAAGTCCAAGCCGCGTTCATTGCTAACGTAGCTCGCAGGTGGATGACTCGATTGAATATAACTTGTATGCATACACAACAATCAATCTCTATGTAATTTGTTATGTACGTAATGTAATATTACTTAGGTAATGAGAGTCATTATGCATTCAGAGATAAATAATGATTTTCGTCTGAATATGGGGAATATAAAATGCGGAAGCGTCAAGATCTGGTAATCTTAGCACAAAGCAAATTTCAGCGTAAACGGGTCGAGATCAAGATTTAGAAATATACTGAAAGGCGTAACTAACATTTCTTTGATCCAAAGTACACCTCGATCTTAATAAGGAGGCAAGGATCAGAGACCGTTTATGCTTTTTACGAACTTTCGACTTCTAATCTACCTGCACATCAGGATGTTGTTATTTCTCTTTATAAATCGCCAGGTTCACTTATACCGACAGTACTTAGAATTAAATGTTTGTAATTTGAAAGAAGCCCTTTGTGCAAAAAAAGGCACAATGAATCAATACAAATTTAAAAAAAAGTTTTGACTAGGATTCACGCCCACGTCACAAGAAAAATACTTATAAAATTTTGAGAATGCAGCCCCGTTTCGTATAGCTTTTTGTCCTTAATAAAACACTTGATATATTTCTATATGGTTTGGTTAAATAATATAATATGATGAATAAAAATGATATTGAAATGTGCACAATATTACACTAAACAACTGCGGAAAACAATGCATCGATTTTAATAATGATTAATAACATCGCCATCTGAACAACTAAAATATATATATCCAAGATTCATTTATAATTCATAGTACAAACTATAACGAAAACAAAAACTATATCCAAGATTCATTTATCATCCATAGTACAAATTATATCGAAAACAAAAACATTGCATAGCAGTTATGAAATTACAATCAAGGATCAGGAACTTGGAGAAATGTTATATAATATATATATAATTATTATTATTTTTACTAATATTTACACTTTTATATTACTGTAAAAAGCAACGATAAAGAAATAGTAAAATCTGCAATAAAAATCTAAAATAATATATTGCCATAGAGAGAAATCCAGTTCAAAGTTATGTGAAAATCAATTTATTTTATTCCTCAGCTTCAAAGTATTCCGTGAGAAAACTAAAATTATACCATGTGTTTTTCTTTGTTACAAAATTGACTAAAAAACGCTGTAAATTTAGGGGATTTTCCACCGCGAATTGGTAGGAGCTCAAAATAGCTTGGAATGTATAAAAAAAATTGACGATGAGTGCATATAACATTGGAAAGAAAATATAGCGTGGACGTAATCGAGTGTTAAATCTTATACTTGAACTTATTATGATGTAATCAGATATATACGTGTTGACAATGCGACAGTGGTGTAAAAACTGAGTAGTTTTCCAATTTTACGGTTCTTCAAGGATAGATTTCCTAGTAATGATAAAATACAAGTTTTTGATGAATCTTTACAGTGGATCGAATAGTTACAATTCAAACGTTTGCGTAATTCATTCAGTGGAGTTATTAAATTATAATTTTGTAAAATTTGGAAAGTTTTTGATATGAATCAGCTTCTGGTGTCGCTAATTTTTTATTAGCGTATCAGTGACATGTCGTCAACAAATTTGCATATGACATGGGTAACTACTTTACAGAAATTTTAAGCAGCCTTAGGATGAAAATGATCATTATGAACAAATAAAAATAAAATCTATTATAATATATAGTTTGGAATGAAAAATAAATCTTTAAAACAAAAACAGTTCGAACTTCTATTCAAAATAAAAAAATTCATGATATAATACAGAAAAACTTGGGATATAATACTAATTAAAATAATAGTGTTTTAAAAGGGTCATCAAACGTGCTTCAAAAACTATTTTTTTTTCGAGTCCGGAGTCCGGACTGCTATTATAATGTAGCAAAAATCTTTCACGCTGGATATCAATTCGGTGTTATGGAGCACGTTTCAATTTAGTTTAGTTTACGTCGGTTATTAATTAAAATGCAGTCGCTGAAAATTCGTCATTCGTTGTAATGATCGATTTTGCTGCTACCATGGTGTTTTTCGTATTTTCGGTGCTTCCCGACACGAACGAAGTTGCGCCTCCCTCTGACGTAGCAAGAGAGAATCCCTCTCTCTTTGGAGAAATCATTTTTATACGTGAGCACATTCCGCAACATCTATCACGAATGGGATTCCACCAAATCTTACGCATATTCTCGTGACGTACGCAAGTTGTGAAAAATATTACAAGGCCCTAAAAGCAAAATGTGATATAAAGTTAATATTGTTTCTTGATGAATAATGTTTATGATTGGACACATTTCACATAACGAATCACGCGTGATGTTATTGCTAACACAAGATGCAAAAGCGAAACCGGATTTAATCAAGAACCCTTTTTGTATTAGGATATCTGCATTAAACCATAATCAAGAGAGTGAATCAAAAATTCCAGTTTAGTAAATATGAAAATATGGAGTAAACGAAACATCCAAGAGTCTAATAATAATCAAAAGGCCAACCTGTGTTGTGTTGAAGATAGCAAATATCCAGCTTGTTACCAGAAGATAGGTAGGGTCCTCAGAAAGAAGCATTAGATAACCAACTATCCATGTCAAACCAGTGCTAGCCGCGAGTGTTATGCTGATTAATAAATGGTCTTTCGCTGTAGTCTGTTTGGCTGAAGATTGAACCTGAAAATTGTGAAGAAATTCAATGAATCATTCTTGTTTTGAAGGAATTTGAGACAACTAATTCGAAATTGTGCTAATTTAAGACCACGACTAGATATTTTATTTTTAATGCACTTTGTATTTTCATAAATGCGCTCCAGTATTTTCCATGAGTGAGTTTTAAAACTGAAATGTGCGTTTTAAGTATGTGTATTTTGGGAATGAATGAATTTCTATTTATACGATGATATTTTATAACTTTCCAAGAATTTCTTTACGTTCGAGATATATACAATTGGAATTCAGCGTAAAGTAACTGATTTCAAAATGTGAAATGCATCGCCTATACATTGCGATTAATATGAATTCATATGTAAAGTTGATTCGAATCTACGATCTGAATAAGACTCGATATTTTAATAAAGATGATCATCATACCTGGCTTGCACGATTTAGTAGAGTTTTCATGACCATCGCCGAGACAAAAATATTGAACACAAGCATCAGTGCAACCGGTAAAAGGAATCCAATATATAGAGAAAAATCATGTATCCAACAGAAATTTGGAGAAACATATGCCGATTTTCGAGGAAATTTGGATTTTATTTCTTCGCTATATCCATCTGGAATAGTATAGAAAAAAAAATTTTTTGAATAAGATATTTCAAAATTTGGTGGATTATAATTGATTGAGAGTCATATTTGTTAAACTGAGATTAATATACAGCCATTCGGTAATTACAAATACATACATACTGCGGTATATTTTCTGAATCTTATCATGAGTGTATTATCCGTTATATTTTACTCCAAAGTATTATTGCACCTACCTTTATTAGGGCACAAAGAAGGATATTTGTTGTTGGCATCAAAATGTAATACCGCAATACAGGCGTTTGTAAGTGTAATCAACAGAGGGAATCCGTAGGCAAATATCACACATTTTGTCATGTATCCAGAAGTATTAGAATTGAAGACCTACACAAGGATGAAACATGAAAAATTCCGGATTTCCAGAAGTATGTGCATTAAGATGGCGCACAACCTGAAAATAGTATGTGTACCAGGTTATGGTTCGGGTTGTGCGCCATCTTGGTGCACATACTTCGAGAGCGTCAAAATTCCAGATAAAATATGTGTTACATAGCAGAGGATCTTTTTGAAATAACATATTAGTTTGATTTGTGCAAATTCTTGTAGATTTGTTCCAGAATGAGCGCAATTTTTAGTTTGTATAGATTTGAAAGGCATACATGCCTAATTTCCAGTTAACAGCCTGACGTTGAATACACCCAATAGTACGCTTAAGTAATTCCAAGTAATTCCAGACGACTATAGAGCATGCACTCCACAGTATGTTTTTCTACTGAATAGTCTTTCATTTATCGAGTATAGAATAGATGCCCCCGATTCTACACCGTGAGTGAGGTGTTAGTAGATAATAAAATCAGAGATTTCTACCCAGCAACGCACATCAATAAGGCGAAACAAACTAAGTACAATGAACCAGTCACAACCAAAGATTGTGTTTAAACATATGATATGTTAGAAATCGTTCAAGTTATGAGAAACTGAAAATATTTCAACTCAAAGTGGTTGTATTTACTTTTATATCTAATTTATTTGTGTTATTTGAAGCGTAAGTTACCAAATAAAAAATATTGACCCAAGGAAGGATTATCCCGTGCATGAAACAACATACCTTGAGGAACGACCTGTACATATCGTTGGCATAGACAGACATCCAACACCACGTTGCGAGGTAAAAATATTGCAGAAGAGCTGCGATTGTTACGCAAACGTTATCGCTTAAGGATGACGATTCTACTGACATTCCCGCAATAAAAATTACGTAGGAGAATAGCAAGCAAAAGCAGGTGTGCAAAAGTAGTTGAATTGGTCGCTTCTTTCGTATATCCCTGGAAATATTGTAAACGTGAAAGATCGTATGACTTTAAAGACAAATGAAAACGAGATTAGGTATTCAATCTATTGTAGTAACATCAAATAAAATGACTTCAATATAAAAATAGCAACAAATTGCTGAATTTCATTCCACATAATATAACAAATAATATGGGAAAAGCTATTCTAAATAACTTCATTTTCCTCATCATCTAACCAGTAAAGTAAATATACCAGTACAATATTCAAACCAATTGTCACTTGATCACACAACAATTTAGGAGAGAAATTCAGAAGTCCCAATAAACAAATTTCAGACAAATTATGGAAAGGAAATGCAGAAAAATACATTCAAATTCAAAATTATTCATAATTATCTTCGACCCGTAAGTTAAGCTATGGCGTTATACAAAAATATTAAATTTTTAAGTTTTCCAAGTAATGCAAAAATCACAATTTTGAAAATCAAATCATTAACATTGTTGACAAGGAACATAGTTTCTGCTTCATCAATTATTTTCAATTTGAATCAAGATAAAATTGAAATTGCAATATTAGTTTTCATTATTTCACTCAACATATCCATGATTCATATTCCATCCAAATGTTTGTATTATTCTAAATTTGTAAATGTTGCTGATTTCTGACAACGATATTTGCATTACACAAAATAGTTTTAGATAGAAATAACAAAATAAAACTCAAAATAAAATACTCACTCCTTCAAGCAATGAATAATGATGGTGCAGATAAGACCAAATATAGAGAGAGCACATCCTATGTCACTAACTATATCCAATACCAGGTCAGCAGGTATATTTGATTTGGACTATAAATGGGAAAAGAAAGTGTTAATAATATATTTTGTTAAATTTCGCAATAGTTGAGGAAGATTATTGACTTCTTTAGTAGTTTTCATCATATAAAATACTACTACCGAATCATATGAAACGCTGGATTCAGTTTCACCAACTTAACTATATTTTAATACATATGTTTACTCTAAAATATTTCAAACATACTCAAAACCGTATACAATCAACGCAAAAATTGACTCTACTTTCCGCGCTGGAACAGTTAGAAAACTCGCATCATGGAGCTCTAAATCAACATGGTTTAGATATTATGATTTAGATATTTATCTCGGGAGAGAAGAAAGATGTTGGGCCGATTTAATCACACGGCACACTACGGTTTCTCGTCCGGTTGCCAGTCCATGCCGGGTAACTGATTAGTTAGCCAGATATTTGTTTTCAGATGGATGGACTTTATGATGAAAGAAGCCCTAACCGACCAGTGGTTACGTGAACCACCCTACGGCGAAGCAGCGAGGTGTCCAGCAATCCACTTGCATATAATTATTCCCCACGGGATCCGATCCTGCGAACCTACGTGGGGTAATTGGCAAGCGTATTCCTAACGCTTAGCACGATGCTTAGCAAATGAAGGTTCAAAACAGATGTGCAGCAATTCCAAAATAGCAAGGAGTTATGAAGAATGTTAAAGCAATAGATCTATTCCGATGTGAATATATATCTACGATATACTTTTCGAAAACCAATATTTTATGAAAAGAAAGTTTATAATTACCACGAGTACTGCAAAGTTTGTCAAATGGTCGCATCGGCATGTTGAAAGATTTGAATCGTCAAAATCAATACAACACCCTTCTCCGGACCAAGATCCGGTATTAAAGTCCCAATAAACACACTCATATTCTGTAAGTTCTTGCTGTATAAAAGTAAGTAGAATGAATTGTGATATACCTAATGTATCTCGTTTTTTAATTGCATTTCAGTTCAAATTAGCATTTTGTACTCGGATCGGCGCTACCGTAGTATGTGCACCAAGATGGCGGACACCGGAACGTAGTATGTGTACCAGGTTGGGGTTAGACCATAATTTTATTCCAATTTTCCTTATTTTAGTTCTATTACGAGTTTGGGGACTAGCCAAACGACTCCCGTAGTATTTGTACCTGAAATTATGGCCTAACCCTAACCTGGTAGACATATATACTACCTTCCGGTGTCCGCCATCTTGGTTCATATACTACGGCAGTATCCTCGAAGCATAGCATCGAAAAACCAAAAACGAATACAACTATTTCTTCCTATTATATAAACTTGGTATATAAAGACATTTGTACTTACAAACATTGGTTTTGATGAATTTAATATTCCTGCTGGGCTGCTAACTTCTTCATATGTCACTATGACGTCTTCCTCTAGATTTTTGAGAGTCACGTTGCTTCCCAAGTTTGCAGCAATAATCTTTTATTAAAGTAAAATCATTTTATTAAACAAATTCTTTAAAAAAGGAAAGATTAGGAAGAGTTCTGTAACGCAAAGGTTCCATAAAGGGTGCACTAGTGCGCCGTTGCGATCTGTCAAGTGCGCGGTGAAAATTAACAGAATTGTGTTAAACATAACTGAAACATGATTAAATATTTTACATATTGTATTCTTTATAAATGTTTTATCGTTTCTTAATTTAAATGTTATGTATATTAATCAATAAATTCATTTAACCTTTCTATGTCGTTTACATTCTCTTACGTAGCGTATGCCTCTATTCAGTCTATTGTAATCGTAATAATAGAAATAAACACTACTTGCTGCAATTTCGCAAGCTGCAGCTCATTTGTTTGAAGAGAAGAGTTGATCTTTTGCCTGTATTTCCTAGACCTACATATTCACAAACTTTACAAGGCATAAAGTACACATCGACGATCCCAATATTGAGTTTTATTCAAATTCCGGTACTCCCGACGTTTGCGCACCAAGATGTCGCATAACCTGAACCCTAACCTGGTACACAACTCGAGTTCAGGTTGTGAGTCATCTTGGTGCGCATACTTCAGGAGGTTCCAAATTCCTATAGTACGAATGAGACGATCAGTATTTTTGACTTTCCTGGCGTCCAGTTAAAAATATGTAGTGTGATACTCATAAGTGGAAACCTTGTTCGTTACAGCAGCGGTTAACTTTTTGTTCGCGCGACGCCAAATTATCAGGGAAAAAACTCAGGGCGCACTTACACGAAAACATTACGCACACATGCAAAACATCAAAAATAAATTTATTGATTTAATATATATATCAAATATATTCAATATAAGTTGAAAGTTCAAAAAAATTTTATTCGCTCACCATTTCTGGATTTTTCCTGGACGGAAACAGAGTATCATCCTTATGCAGTAAGAATGATATCCGGATCTTTTCCTTGGTTGTTTCACTAATTTCTTTGTTTGCTTTTACTATTGCAGAACCCGGAATACGGATTTGTAGGGGAACACTCATTTGTGTTTCAGTAACGTTAGAGCCATTTGTTTGTCTACCAGTGAATTTGGTTAAGACTGGAGCAAAGGTCACTTGAGGCTGAGGCTGTGGATCACTTGAATTTTGAACAAAAACTGGAGTTTCGATAACCTAAATCAAACATCGATTAAAAACCCAAATGCTATATAACAAAGTTCTTAAAAAAAGCAAATTTCTTCAAACGCAGTCAATTAGCATTGTTTCATTCATTGCATCAAATGGCAATTGATAGGTTTATCAGATTTCAGGCACATGACGCAATTATAATGTTTAATTCAATCAGAGGTGCTCCAAAAGTGTGCACACCAAGATGTCGCACAACCTGAATTCTAACCGGTACACACATACTATGTTTAGGTTCTTTGCCATCTTGGTGCGCATACTTCAGGAGGTCCCAATCAGGTTTAATTTATGTTTAAAATAAAATTTAAAAACTATAAACTGGGATTTAGAATTTAAAATGTTACTGCAATTATAACATGTTCACGAGAACCTCGTGATGCATAATAATATTTTATTTGGTTATTAAATACATTTGATGATGATCAAATTATTCACCGCAAGATACACAGCATTTCATATTAATTTTAAGGTTTTTAATATTGGTGTGAGGATATGGGGAAAACATGAACAATTATTGGACCTATTTTCGCATATTAATAGTTTTGAATTATGTATAACGCGTCACCATCTACTACTGCTATCTTCAAGGCACGTTTGATAGATGATGTACAACCATCTTTTACTACTGCTACCGTTAACGCCATTTGGTGAGAATATTAATTTAGTTAAAGTTACCTACCTTTACAATCATGCTCTTTGTTTCAATTACGACTTCATCGGTGTCGTTAGGTATTGTCACTTGTTCTGCTAAAATTGTCAGGCTCTTTAAAATATTCTGTTTTATCTCTTTTTCTTTTTGGGCGGCTGAAATGGGTGCTTCAGTCGGCGGTGGAGGGTTTCCAGGTTTTGGGGTTGCGGGGGTAGGTGTGGGGGCGGTCTGAAGAAACGAAATTGACTTCGAACTGATTAGGTTATCGGCTGTATTGACAATACCGCTCAAAATTTCGACAGTAACCTGGTGAAAATAAATATTAAGAACCTCTGAGCGCAGGAGTTAAAATTGTATAGAGAATTGCAAGTGAATAAAGGGCACATCTGTACCGTTCTGATGACAACATTATCGCAAACTCAAATTTGGCGGGCAATTATTATCATTGTATTTAGTCCCCTATACAAAGCTACTATGTAACCTTGAAAGTATCTGATATAACCTTCATAATATGTCAAATTGACCTTTTTGCAAGCACGACAAATATGGGAAGTTTTATTTAATTAGAAAAATATTTGTCAGCAACAACTTTTTTCAGTTTTTGTAGTTAATTTGAACTATTTTAAAATTATTCTCTCATTTACCCTTTGCAAATTTTTTAAAAGTAAACTTCACCCCCTTTTTTTAAACTTCCATTTTCACAAAAATTTCATGAACGAAATGGGCTTTGGAAAAAGTAATTTCAATGTAGAGTTGTAGATATAAATGCACCTAAAATGTGTTAAATTCACAAAACTGCATTTAAAGCACGCTAATGCTTGCTAACAAGTAAAATCTATCAACAAGGCAAGTCAAATCCCCTTAAAAGTTTGGAGCTACCTCGGGTTGGGAACCCCTGAGTTACTACAATCAAATAATAAATCAAATAATTTTATAATTCATTGTTTCAGGATAGGATAGTATTTACATAGTGATGAAGGGCGGGGGCCTATAGGACGGCTCAATCATATGGCGAATCGCTCACGGCCTCTCGTCGGGCTACCAGTCCATGTCGGGTATGGGGTTAGTTAGTCAGTTATTTGTTTCAGATGCATGGACTTACTTCAGAAAACAATCTTGCCTCTGTATTTACTTTGCACTATGAATTATGAGGGATATATAATTCATCCATGGCAACTCAATTCTGGTACAGCAGGGTACAATTATACAGTGAGTAACGGTCTAACACAATGCTTCGAGCTTTCCACGTTCAGTAGAATTTCATATAGAAACACCATATTGCCCACATACACCAGTAAATCATGTATATCATATTACCGTATTCTTGCTCTTTCCAGAAATTTTTGCAACGTCATCAATATATTCAGCTACTTTACTGACATCGTCTTCCTTAAGTGCATCACCCGACGTCAAGACTTCTAATTTTTTTGTCTGTTCCGTTAGTTTTTTGGAGTCAGTCGTCGTATCAGTTACCTGTCAAGCAGTGTTTGGATCGATATAAAGAGTAATGCATGAATATTTTCACGGGGAGATAGATATACAATAGACATACATATGTGATTAAGTTGATTGTAAGTTGTAGTGATGGGTAAAGATATGGTTTTAAGTATATTTTTTATAAAATGTTATATGAGAGAGAGAGAGAGAGAGAGAGTTTATTTCGTTCGTCAAACAATAAACATACAGTAAATGCAAACATATATAAATAATAATAATAAAATATATAATGATTATTCTTCCGTCGCGGGTCGTGTAGTACACACAGATTATTGGTAAAGATAGTTTAATAGCGGGATAGAACATATTAGGTTATACAATATGCAACGCCCAATACCTTCGGAAGTATGACACGATTCACGTCATTGTTGGAGTTTCAGCTTCCTCGACTGGACTATTGTTCTCAAACTTACGTATGTATTATCTATGCCTTTGCTTTAAATAGTGGCATATATTATAGCCAACGATGCCATTGAAATTTATCACAAAAAAATCCCAAAATATAACTCTGAAATTTCCAAAACTCAAGAAATACCAAGATAATTCAAATGAAAACTATATTACTCTTTATTTACCTTGGATACCACATCATCCACTGTTGTACCACATTTCACCAAGGTGACTCCAGATTCTGGATATTCAGAAACAGCCGTGTTACCGTTAAATGTTGTAACGCAAACAACCGAAGCTTTTGAACGACCTGAAACGAATGTTATTGTGAACAATCGTAGTAGAATCAAAACTAGAATGGCAAACATTGCTTTTTTCATTAGAGCATTGTATTAAGCTTTTGTGTAAGAATTACAACTGTAAAAATATATTCATTTTTTTTGTGAAGCTCGGACCAATAATGAAATTTGCATATTTAATTTAAAGTAAAAGGAAATTCCGCTTCTGTATGTTTTAGTAATGCTATTAAATTAATAATTTAATGAATTATAGTTTCCAGAAAATAAAAGTTTTTGAACTTACCGTCACACTTTTCCGTGGAATGGGCTACCCTTCCAGTATAGGAAGTGTTGAAAGTTAAAGTAACATTGTCTTTCACCATGGATGAGTCAGGACAAAATGCTGTTATGATAATATATTATAGATTAGGACAGACATACAATTTTTTGCAACATGAAAATAGCGTTGAAGACAAAAATAAGAAGCACACTTTTAAATGTTTAAAAAAACTGATTAATCAAAAGTTTGCTATGTTCAATTCTTTTATTTTATGAAGAGAAAATAACCCCCAAACTTGGATCTAGTTATATTTGCCAAATAATTGTTTAAGGATAATTTTCTGTTTTTGCATCGAATAGCACATATGAGAATCCTACTAAAATATTTATTTACTTTTAAACCCAACTAAAATAAAAGCAATGATTTCTAAAATTTATTGGTACAATTTCTTAGCTTTCTTAACACATGCAAACGGCACATATATTGCTTACGTCAAGTTGTTTAATAAACCTCTCACACTTTTGTTCGTTCGTATTCTGATCTGTAGGAATTTATCAAAACGCAAAACTGTCTCTTGACGATTCAAAACTCTATTTATCACTATATTCATCTTAGATGTACCAGGTTAGGTGTACCAGGTTAGGGTTCAGGTTGTGCGCCATCTTGGTACACATACTTCGGGAGCGCCCACTTACCAACACAACGTAATTCCGCATCCCCTGTAAACCCCGCGTTGCACTCGCAACGAGATTTCAGAGTATTCACGTCATTGAAGCATGTTGCGTTTCCAGGACAAGGTGTCTCTCTCTCTTCGCACCAATTGCGTACTGAATAAAATTAAATCATAAATTCAAGATTTTTTGATCGTTCTGATCGATAAAAATATTACGGTAACTTTTAATTGACATGCAATATTATCGCGTATTAAATTTCAACTCACCGTTTTCACAAGTTTTTCCTTCGTATGCAGAAGTACATTGACAATCAAATCCCGACGTATCCCGTTCCTTGCAAATACCACCATTTAGGCACGGACTTTTATCACATTCGAGCATTGCTGAAAAATATTACACATAGGCACTTGATTCTCAAATAACATTTTTCAGTCCAGTACATTAAATGGACTGCAACTTGACAAAAACTCAGCACATATGCTACATAGTCTGGGTATTTTGGATGTATTTGTTTATTTCCTAAAAAAATTAGTCGAAGGAGAGTTTATGATGGTATACCGAATGAATGAGGATAAAGGTTGTGTGACATTATAGAAAGAGCCTTGCCAATAGAAATAAATATTCAGAATGATGAGTGATTGATAATAGACCGTCATCAAGAAAAAACTGACGTTAAGTTAGCGAAGTTAATTCGCTACATGTTGCAAAAACAGACAGATTCATATATTCATTGATGTTCTGTAACTTTGGGTGCTCGTCTATCACAACCTAGCGACGAATTGAATACCTTAAAAAACTGGCATCAGTTAAATTCTTTGATATTGATTTTTACCTAATTCATACATTCCTAAATATGCGTACAACTTAGAATTTTCGTCTGTTTCCGGTACTGTGATCAACGTACCTGTCCTTTCGGAATATGAACTTTTTAAACTCTTCATGTCCGGAGTTAGAGCTGCAACTTCGCAAGTGTACTGTTTATTAGACTTTAAATCCTCTACTGCAACTTGAGTTTCTGTCGTGTTTTGGGCGTTTTTATCTGTGCACGAATACTCGTATTGATTTGCGCCGTCAACTTCTTTCCAAGTCAACAGAAAACGATTCTTTGTTATTGCTACTATTTTAACTTCTGTTGGAGTGGACAAGTCTGCAACAAGGAAAAATAATGGCAATTTATGACAAAGGAAAAATGTATCGAACAGTGATCACTCTCTGCTCAGAAAAAAAAGTAAATTACCAGTTCTGAATTTTTTTTTCAAATGAGGTGTAAGAGTATCAAATTCCATAACTGGTAACAAGAAGCATAACGGGAAAAGACTTTGAGCATAGAAAGACTGAGTCTTATCTATTTTCAATTTTTGACCACACTATAAAAACGTTCTACATGCATCAAAATTCTCCATTTCCCACAAATTTTCGGACGATGCAAAATCACATTTTAAATATTATTACCCGTGGTAAAAGTTTCAAAAGCTTTGAAACTTCCTCCGGCGTCATTCACAGCCGTGACATCAAGTGTATAATGAGTTCCCGGACGGACTCCTCCCACAACTTCTTCGATTGAAACTTGCTTGTCCGATTTTATATCTTGGTTGTCTCTTGTTCTTTTTAAATTGAGCGAGTAGGACGTAGCACCGGTAACGGCAGTCCATTTAGGAGTAAACGACGTGGTTGTTAATTTTACAGTCAAATCTGTAATATTTCCAGGCGCTGTAAAAGAAAACTAGAATAGTAAATAAAAAATATAGTATATGGTAAATATATACTTATTTTTAAAAATATAGGGACGGGAATAGATGATAAAATAGCTCACTCTGACCAATAAAAATAATAAATATTTTAAACTTAGTAATAAATCTAGTCAAATTAGGGGAAGCATATAAACAGTACTTTTTTACAAAAACGTTACTCTACTAAACTTTACTAAACAGTTTTTGCTATTTTCGATTTTATTTTTGTACATTTACAGTTTTTCTTTTTTGCCCATCCCATCGGCTGAAATAAATTTCGAATAAAATTTGATAAACACAAAATTAATCCCGGAAGAATGGTTATCTAGCAAAGTATTGCGAAAAATCGAAAAAACATTAATCTATAACATAATTTTCTGCTTCAAATACCAGTGAAGGTTAAATGAGACCAAGTAAGTCCCGTAGATTTCAAATGTGAATTTAGTAATAATATTTCCCAGCAATGACACCAAACACTATTATTATTATTCAAACCTGAATTGAGCCGAATTTTTTACTCACAATTTAAGCCTTACTTACAATCCTAAAGATTGTAAATCCACACCGGTGATTTTTTTACAGCATTTACTAACAATAGGTGTATGAATGTTATCAACAATTTGTCAAGATAAATTGAAAGTATACAACCAATCACCAAAAGCAGATTCATTTCCAAAATCATCGAAACTGCATGTAATTTGTTTTGAAATAGTTTTTTTTAGTTTGTCTTTCAGTTTTGAGTTCACACTAAAAGGGATATATATATGGTGCAATTATTGTCCCAAAATGAATTATCCAGAATAAGTTTGATTTGGAGACTTACCAGTTTTTTGCTTCTTAACCGCAGGTGCGCTTGCGCCCACAGGAAACTCTGCAACTATTTCAAGGTTGTATTCAGTCCCAGGTAACAGGTTGTCTATCTTTATTTGTTCAATAGGCGATTCTTTCGAAATGATATTTGCTCCTTCTGAAGCTTTTATCTACAAAAAAAATGTCATTCATTAGGCGGTTGTTTTTACACGAAATTAACTTTGATAAATTTAAAAATGCAATCTGAATTCAGTTAAATTTCAAGATATAGAAAAGATATTATTGTTTTTCAAATATATCTATATATATGCTTCTATTACCGAATATACATATATCCAAAAATTGGTGAAGTTGAGCGTGAAATATCAACGAAATCAAAGTATCATCAGAAACTCGATGCCTTATTTTTGATCAAAGTGATATTGAATGGGCCTATTAATGAGAGCACAAAAACAAATTTACATATTATTCACAATAAAGGAGAAGATATTCTGTATTCTAACGTGTGTAGGCAAAAAGGCACATGAAATTGGTAGGCGTAACAAATTTTGATAAATAGATATAGTTGCATTAATAGACAGTGCCAGGTATATTTTGTTATAAAAATTATTGGCTTAATTGCCGTATACTATTTCAAGATGCGGCTACCAAAAAGAATGTAATTATTTCAGAAAGCGCTGCTTAAGCCCTAAAGCGTTGGAAAGCATGGCGATTGTTATATAAAAAAACAATGTCAGTTATAAAATTTAAGGGACCTCCTGAAGTATGCGCACCAAGATGGCGAACAACCTGAACTCAGGTTATGTACCAGATTAGGGTTCAGGTCATGCGACATCTTGGTGCGCACACTTCAGGAGTACCAATTTAGATATGATAGAGTTGAACTCACCTTGTATTTCAAAGCTCCAACAATTTTGGTCCAACCCAGATTGAATGAGGTCTGCGTTGTAGAAACGACATTGATGCCCGATGGGGGTTTAACCGCTACAAAATGGTATAGAAAAAGTGTTAACAAATATAAAGCATTCTAACCGGTGGTGTTAATGATGAAACATTGCGCAATTAAAACCAACACAAAAGCAATAAGGAAAGTATATTGCAATTCAATATTCAAACATCCCGATGGTCCACGTTAGCTCTAAACCCATTACGCATACGAATTCAAAAATAAAATGATTTTTATGTCTAGTTTACAGACAATTACTTGCAAAAAAGTTATTGGTTTAATAACTTAATGAGTTTTAAATTTACCTGTTTTTGCATCGTGGGTCAAAGTTGCGTTATTTTCGGGCTCTTTACCAATTACAGTAAGCGTGATATTGAAAAAAGAACCACTCGGTAAGCTATTGACTGTCTTCGTGTTTCCAGTAATCGTTTCCGCTTTGTTGTAAAGATTTCTCATTTCTTTCACTGATATTGTGTATTGTGTTGCCCCATCAATAACAGGCCATTCTATCACAAAACTGTCGGGAGTTTCGTCCCGCACTGTCAACCTAGTTGACTGGGGAATTAATTCTAAAAAAGTAAGACGTTAAAATTATACCTAATGATACAAACCGGCATTACATATAAATATGTAGGCCCAGTCAGGAGGTACATAAAATTACATTTATGTTATTATGTGATTAAAAAAACAATAATTAAGTTAAAAACACCGTTCAAAAAAAAAATCAAAAATCTTTTCCATTCATCACCTGTTGAAAACGTAGCAGATGCTGCGGCGCTGTTCCCTGCTACATTAGTAGCGCTGACGTAGACTGTATACGTAATTCCCGGTTCAACGTTTGTAATTGAACCTCCGCTGGTAACATTGCCAATTTCCTTCTTCCATGCATTGTCTTTATCTCGAATTATGGTCATTGAGTACGAGCAAGCACACTTGATGCTTGACCAATACGGCGTAAAGCTAGTTGTAAGAATGCTGCTTATGGTCAAGTTGCTGATGTTCCCAGGAACTGAAAATTCAAAATCTGATGTGAAAAACTGTCACAGTAATTTCACAAATTTTAGTCAAGCATAGTAATGAGCGCGATATCAACGCTCAAACCTTGATTAGAAGTCACCATGGTTAAAAAATAATCCACGGATCTGCTCTGTTAATACCAGTTAAACAAAATAACAAATCATGCGTAATTCACGATAGAACATGAATCTCTTTACTAATATTTCCAAATCTGGCATCCCATTTAAAATCGACACGTTGCTATGATTTCAAACGAGTTTGCCCGATATGGCACGACAAAAAAATTTTAAAGTCAGGAAAAGTTCAAATTCAAATATAACTCAAACACAGGTTGCAACTGCCTCTCCTTACTAATTTACCTGATTGAATTAAAAGTGTTTTATAATTAAGTTATATTAGTCGGATGATGTTGCATATAAACGAACGTTAACCGGTGAAATGGCTCTTTCAATTTGGTGCCCAGAAGTATGTGTACCAAGATGGCGCACAACCTGAACCCCAATCTGGTACACATACTATGTTCAGGTTGTGTGCCATCTTGGTGAACATAGTACGGGAGCTCCTCCAATTTTTATTGAAGATGCTCTGAAAGGTTCATGAAGTCAATTTCAGTATGATGCTACTATACTTATAATCAAACGTTTCTTACAATGATAATATGTGGAGTTTTTCTCTCAAACTTCAGGACTTGTTTCAACTTCAACATACAAAATACAATGATGTACATTTATTTTTTCATATGTCACTCCAAACATTCATCCAATTTATTCATAAAGTAAGACAAAATAAAAATAAAACATGAATGATAATATTGAAATTACAATGAAAATAGCTGACAATACAAAAATTAATTTTAAACGAATGTTTATCTAAATTTTAATAAAAATCACAGATAAAATACAAAACATTTGGTTAAAATGTAACTGTGTACAAACATTAAATGTGGTGTTCACACATTTTCGTTAACATGCAAATACAACACACTATCAACAGTATAGCTGTTTTAGACCGATTGTGAAATCACAATACCGGGCTTCCTGCAATCATGGACCTATTTTTTTCAAGTTTCGTGATGGTCATGAAACCTGATTGATACATATGAAAGTATGTGTTTCATTTATTTGAGAATATTTCTTGGCCTCATTCCCTTGAACATATAACAGTTGTTATATCACATATGACACCATTGAAAAACAAAATATGGTAGGCTACAGGTAGTCATAGTGTTAAATCAGCAAGATACACACTTTTTTAAGATTACAAAGATAAAAATAACGAAGTTTTCATGCAACAACAATGCTGATGAGTAAACGAAAATACATTGAACAATAAACTCAATTGTTACAAAGGTGTAATAGATTCGTCAGCAGTAATCATTTGGCTTCCTATGTGGACATCAAAATATCTTTAGGTCTACTATTTTCTTCCTTCGAAACTACCATGTCAGCCGAATAAAAAGCTCACATTCAAATTTATTAGTCAAACTGGGAAATAGTTTTTACATTATTAACCACCGTTCGATTGGAGCATTATCGAAAATTCCGGAAATTCATAGTTCATGACACACCTGTAATTTGACTCTCAATTGACGGCAAACTGATACCAGCGGGGAAGATTGCAAAGATGCTTAAATTGTACAGTGTTCCTGGAGATAGTCTATTGAGTAATACCGAAGGAGATAGAGCAATTTCGTGGACAATGTTGGCATCACTAGTTGCGTTAACCTGAAAACAATAAACAATACAAGATCCACAAACAAAATTTCACTGGCGGTAACCCTCTACTCACACCCATAACGTTGTTACTATAAGGATTTTCTTTACACATTTTTCTAAAATTGACACATTTTCCTACCCAGTCCCACTCGTTCTATACAATATACACTATTTGTGACATTCTATAAACTTGAAAATCGTTTCTAGCAATTTGTAATGTATATTTAGCTGAATCTGTCAACACTCAACCTTTGGCGCTCCCGAAGTATGTGCACCAAGATGGCGCACAACCTGAACCCTAACCTGGTACACATACTATGTTCAGGTTGTGCGCCATTTTGGTGCACATACTTCTGGAGGGTCCCAACTTTTCGTATTCCTCTACCTTCTCTATTCTTATCGTAAAATGTCTAAAATATCTAAGCATCCAAGCAAATGTAAGCAATTGTTATTCGGAACTTCAACTTCACTTACTTGATAATGTATAGCTTCTTTAATTGCCGACCAACTAACACGAAAAGATGTTTGAGTTACAGCTGTAACTGAAACATTTCCTGGTGTTTTCATTTCTGTAAATTAAAAACACAATAAAATGGTTGATTGGCCCTGCATAGAAGTAATGGTGTCAATTTCAATACCTGTTTTGGCAGTTCCATTCATTGTTTTGTAGTTTGTGGGCCTGTTATACACTCTGAGCGAGATTTCAAATAATGATCCGCTCGGCAAATTAATGAATGATTTCCGAGTTTCATTAACTGATAACTTATGTGTAGAATTATACATATTTCGTTTTTCTAGGACTGTTAGTTCATAGTAAGTCGCTCCAGGTATTGATGTCCAATTGAGGACGAAACCATCCGCTGATGCGGAGACAACTTCGATAGAGGCACCGGAGGGCAACAGTTCTGAAACAAAACATCAACAACTGTACGATCGTGGATGTCAGATTGTAAAAAATCAATGAAAATATAAATAGATTATATACCAGTTGTGAAGTTCAATGAAGCTGGTGAACTCACTCCCGCTGCATTCACAGCTTCAACTTTAAGAGAGTAATCCGTCCCAGGCAACAGAGTAGTCATGTTAGCGTTGGTGTCTGTTGTGTTGATTATTGTCTCTCTTTCGCCACCATTCAAGGTCAAGGTATAGTAGGAAACTCCTTTTGTGCCGTTCCACCATGTACTAACAGATGTTGTTGAGTAAACGACACGGAGCTCGCTTACACTTGACGGAACTGTGAGACAGTTTATTTATATATATATTCGGTGAAATATCAAATACACGAGATAGATCAAAACATAACAGTTTTACTCACTTTTGTTACCGGGAAGTTTTTTCAGAGAGGAAAGGGAGGTTATTGTAAAAATCGTATGCGACCTGAGTACAAGTACCCTGATAACTCACTACCAAACTAATCGTTCACAGTGTTATCGGGATGACAAACGATCACAGAAAGAGGCGGTAGCTAATTTATAGTTTTACGGAGTTTGTTACAGTACCAAAAGAGAAAAATTGGCAAATGGTTGCTCAGAGTGCATTTGTTTTCCGTACTGCATACAAGCCACAAAAACAATTATGGCGGCATCCTGATTATCATCATTTTTTAACGCTGTCGGTTACTCATGCGTTCTTGTAGTCGGGAGAAAACTTGTCGAAAAACACAACCGTCTCAGTTACCTATTTTATCGAAATGATTGCAGATTGCCATGAAGCAATATATATTGTAAGTACTGAAAACTAGAAATATCTAAACAATGGCAATGTCGCTCACGCTATCTCATATTTGCGTGACAATAAATATATATATATATATAAAAGTACGAAAAGCTTGTTGTCAAAATTGTCATTACACATGCATATATATATATCAAACGATATTTTCGTACCAATAAATTAATTCAAGCACACACTCCATTTGAGATCATCTATCTTTGTAAAACTGAAAAATATTGCGTGTTCTGACTCATAATACATTCTGATCTTTGGTCTGAAATACTGAGGCAATAAAGTTGAAAGGCAGAGGATTTCTTCTGGCTGTGGCTGCAGAAAAGACTCATTTTTTAAAGATCTGGAAGTTTTGCTTCTAAATACAGTCTAATGTCGTTTTTTCATCTTTAACCTTCCTTTTTATAAAATATCTAAAAAACACTCACTCAAACTCAAATAAATTCTTCTTTGAAACCTCATCGCAAAATCTTGTTTATTTCTATGGTTCGCCATTCAAGTCTCAAGATGTCGCAACACTCTCAAAGCGCATAAAGCCCAACTAAACAGGGCAAACAGTAGCAAAACACACTACCATTATCAGCTGTTCTGCTTCTTACCAGCTTTATTTCCATTGCAGGAAATAGTCTGATACTAAACACTCGTAATATGGAATGTATTTTTATTTTAGATGGTACATGCCATGTCACTCTTCCAACTTATACATAAATTTGCAATGTATAGGCAGTATAAAAATTCACACATCATAGAAGAAACAATAACATATCCATATTATATATAAACACACGGCTTCAGATATTCAACGCACCAGTTTTCATTGAACATTCTGGCAAAATAAACATAATTTTGCACGGAGGTTGCGCGTTGAATAGATTCAGCTTATAGTAAACATGGTCGATTCATGCTCACGTACATTTTCAACAACGTGCATACGACTGTGAACATGCATTCATGATTTGCAATGATAAAACAACAGATGAATATATGATGATCTTCCAATGATCTACTCCTCAAAGTTGATTTAGAAAACATTCACAACACCAGCTCAGAAATTCTGGACATCCAGGATTGGAACTTCAAATAACATTAAATAATGAGATGAGACAACAAATCGGCACATCATATATCTGTATATGTAAATTCTTACCTGTAATTTGACTTCTGGAAGATGGCGAACTCGTGCCAGAAGGGAAAATCGCTAAAATACTCAAGTTATACACTGTTCCAGAAGATAAATTATCTAAGTATGCCGAATTAGATGAAGTTTCTTTGTGAATGATACTGCCATCAGAAGTTGCGTTTATCTGAAAAGAAGATAAGCTCCACGTTCCTGGATTATGTGTTTAATTCAAGTCTGTTAATAATCAATTGCGAATGATCTGTGCCTTTTTTGGCAATGCTGCTACTATTGTACACTGCATTGAATATAAATTTGAACTGATTTCAGCTTAATGAACCTTCTATTTGTAATTGCTATTTCTGGTAATAGTTAGACGGAAATCAGAATGAAAAATTATCAACTGAAAAGAAGATACATTTTTTCCACTCATTTCATTCAGGATTTATTTATATAGCTTTGACTCATCAATTTTACTTAATAATTGATAGTTCAGGTTTTCTATTCCCGTTGTAAAATGTGACTTCTGATCAAATGTATCGCTATTCTGGAAGTTTACTTGTATCAGCTTACTTGATAATGTATGGCTCCTTTAATTGTCGACCAACTAACACGAAAAGATGTTTGAGTTATAGTTGTAACTGATGTATTATCTGGTGTTTTCATTCCTGCAAATTGAAAGCGCAATAAAATGATTGATTGGTTGTGCATAGAAGTAATGGTGTCAATTTTAATAAATTATACCTGTTGTGGCAGTTCCATTCATTGTTTTGTAGTTTGTGGGCCTGTTATATACTTTGAGAGTGATTTCAAATAATGATCCACTCGGCAAATTAGTGAATGATTTCCGGCTTTCATTAACTGATAACTTATGCGTACAATTATACATATTTCGCTTTTCTGAAACTGTTAGTTCATAGTATATCGCTCCAGGTATTGATGTCCAATTCAGGACAAAACTATCCGTCGTTATGGAGGCAACTTCAATGGAGGCACCAAAGGGCAACAATTCTGAACCAAAGCAATAAAAACTGTTAAGTCATGAATTCCTGATTGTAAAAAGAAAATGAAAATATAAAGCGATTATATATATATATACCCGTTGTAAAGTTCAATGAAGTTGGCGGACTCACTCCCGCTGTATTTACAGCTTCAACTTTAAGAAAGTAATCCGTCCCAGGCAACAGAGAAGGCACAGTAATGTTGATGTCTGTTGTGTTGGATATTGCCTCTCTTACGTCACCACTCAAGGTGAAGGTATAGTATAAAACTCCTTTTACGCCACTCCACGATACACTAGCAGACGTTGTTAAGGAAACAACACGAAGCTCGCTTACACTTGACGGAACTGTGAGATAGTTTAATATTATCTCGGGTAATTATCAAATACGCGTGATATCAAAACATAAAAGTTTTACTCACTTTTGTAACCGATTTTTTTTTTTTGGGGGGGGGAGGGAGGTTATTCTGAAAATCATGGCAGAGCGATATTTACCAAGACCTGAGTTCAAGTACTCTAATACCTTACTACCTAACCAATCGCTTACAATGTTACAGAACAAGAGGTAGCTCATTACTTATCGATCTTAAGAGGTAATTAAGGTATTTGTCTGTTTGTTTGTTTGTCTGTTAGATACACGCGATATCTCACGAAAGCGAGGACGAATCCGCTACAAATTGCATATGCATTCATCATATCTCGGATAAGAATCCTATCGATTTTGGATGAATTATGTCGTATAATTAGCGAGTTATTAATTAATTAGTGATGGGACACAAGGTGTCACTATGGAGTAAGAGTGCTGTTTTGGGATCCGCTAACTTTCGATCGATAAGTCTTCGGTCTCTGACCAATTTTCTCGTTTGAAGTTTTACGGAGTTTCTTTAGCGTACAAAAAAAGAAACGGTTGCAAATGTTTGATCAATGTACATTTGTTTTACGTACTACATTAGAATTTGTTGTTGTAGACTTTGAGTCTTATTTCAATGAATGAACCACTCGGCAAATTATCAAATGTTTGTTTTGTTTTATTTATTGGCAAAGTTTGAGTAAGGTTATAAAGATTTCTCTTTTCCTCGACACCTAAGTCATAGTATATTGCTCCTGGTATGGAGGTCCAGTTTACGACGAAACTATTGGACGTCATGCTGGAAACTTGGACTGAGGCATCGGGTGGCAGCAAATCTGAAATGGACAGTTGCCGGCAAGTTCAAGTCACAAAAACCTATCAGTTGTTATGCTTGTCAAGTATTTATCAAATATTTAGTTAGAGTAAAAATTCGATGGAAGTCAATGATGTAAAAAATAAACATACCTGTGGTAAAGTTTGTCCCAACTGCTGGGCTTTTCCCGCCTGCATTAACAGATTCAATGGTAAGATAATGGTCGAGTCCAGGTGAAAGATTCCCAATGAGAATCTTGGTATCCATTGTGATCAAAATTTGGGATCCGTTTCCTTCATCGTGCAAAGTCACTCTGTAGTCCGACGCGCCTGTAGCACCAGTCCAAGACACATTGACAGCATATGTTGTATGCACCAAGTGAAGATTGCTTACACTTTCCGGAACTGTTAGACAATATACCAATTCGCCCAACAAAGTTCGAAAAAATACATTTATTCGATAAATCATGGTAAACTACTGCGACTACACACTGTTGAAAAATTTGCATCTCACTCAATCTATAGCATATCGCTGTATATCTTACTACCTCCATATTTATGACTGTCAGCTAAACGTTATTTCCGAAACTAAAAGTGCTGATCTATAAAATGCTCATCACTCCTTGTCATTTAACTTGATAGTGCTAATTTATAATTTTTACCCAATAAAGTCCCATTCATATCCATCAAATAACAGAAATCGATAGTATAGTCAAGCTTCTTAGCTTTATCAAAAAGCCTTTAAACGTCATGCCCCAACATTTGCTTGACTTGCGAACAGGCGGAGAAATATTACGTAGATTTTTCGGAGCGAATTATTTATATGACGTCACGAAAGCCACAATCTTCACAGAAGCAGAACACCGCGTTTTTTCGTACATAATATGCATTCTAAAATATACATTAGGTTTTGGAAGGACGGCAACTGAAATGAAATAGCACAACCCAAATATATTTCTGACCTGTAATCTGTTGAATAGAAGATGCATCGCTCACACCGACTGGGAATATGGCAAAAATATTTATTGTGTACAGCGATCCAGGTGATAATCCAGTTACCAGAAAACTTGCATTTTCAGTTTGCTTGGAGTAGGATACGCCGTTAGCGTCATAGTCACACTGTTCAACCAAGAAAACCTTCCGTCAATTTCGAGAATTATCTTTTTGAAGCCCTAATACTTAATCACGCTTACTTACTTAAATATATCAAAGCCCCGCTAAGAAGAAATGAATATTAGGAATCCATTTAAGGCGAATGTACTAGACTTTTTTGTCGTAATTTCAGGTTGTTCTGTGGTATTATATTGGATGTTCCACAAGTACGTCAAGAACGACCAAAATTAAAACTTTTCGTTTTTCATTAGGTATTTTCAGATTTTATTTTCCCCTCTCTTTTCATCCTTATCTATAAATCTAGCCTATATCTATGTAATTTGGTAGTTTATATTAGATTATTTATGTATATTTTACCCGATAAGAAGTTGCTCCATCAACAGCATCCCATATTGCCGTGAAGTTTGTTTGTTTTATATCAGTTACCCGTAGATTGGTGGGAGAAAGAACATCTGAGAAAATATTAAGAATGAAGAAAACGCCAGAATCCTAATTATTTGTCAGCTAAAAAAGGTCGATGGGATGGGCCTAATAGAATAGGAAGTAATGAAATTATGTAGTTAATGTAATTATTGAGTTTTTTTCTTATGTAATATCTATATATTTATATGATTTTTATATGGAACTTACCGGTGGTGGTATTACCACTAAAGTATCCAACATTTCCCAGCTTATCAGTAATTTTTACAGAAATGTTATAATCAGAGCCGCTTGGTAGGTCGCTGAAGATTTGGACCGTTTCGGTAGTAACGACAGATTTTAAAATGTTTCCGTCAGAATCAAAGACCGATACATTGTACGAAATTGATCCGGATACTTCCATCCATTTTGCAGTGAATCCGGTAGCAGTTATGTTGAAAGTTAATACAGCGGATTCGTTCAGGTTTGCGAGAATAACTATAAAAAAGTCAGATATTTTGAGTCTTTTTTTTAATTGATTTCAGCAGTACACCATTGAAATTTCGTGAATAAATATAATTTTTTAATATATTGCTTTAGCTAACATATAAAAGAGTCAGGTATATATATGCAAAAATTAAAATTGGCAATAGGTTTTGATACAATTTGACATCATTTTTTTTTGAATTTTTGCCATTCATCAGGTTGCAATTGTAATTATATATAATTAGTTGTATATATATATATATATATACAAGTAATTATATGCGCCTGTAAAGAAATTGTTGCCAAGACAGAGTCTTCGTCGAATGGCATCAGTAATGTCCAAAATTATGTGAGGGGCCCATCAACTTTGTTAGATGGGTTGATGGGAAAGAAGTTTCGAATACGTGAACAACTTCATACATATTAAGTCGCAATACCTTAGTGGCGCTTTATTTAAAAGTTTTGTTCACACGTACAAACTTCGACAATCTTCCAACAATATATACTATTATGGACCGTGAAGTCATATTGCTATATCACACAGAATTGAAAGCATTATTGCAAAAGATATATAAAAGATGCCAAAAAAAACAATTGTACTGAAATTAAATGACTGAGTTGTATGCAACAGGATTCTCGCCCACCCATTACAGGAAATACTTGGATTGTTGGCAGAAGGAAGAATCGGAACTGGCTTTGAAATTTTATTCGTCGTTATTATACGGTGAATAACATAGCCTACCTAACCTGCTGGTATTTATCATGGTACATTTGAATATCAACTTAGTTTTAGCTTTGGAAGGATTATTGCGTCATTTATTTGTTGTGTATTCAAAATTCAAGTGCGCATTTACGTCATAATATATGCATGGCGCTAGTTGGAACTAGCATATTGACTGAACTGAATCGAATTGTGGGGAGCTATTAGTCACCATTGTGATCTTTAGTATCTTAGCGTCGCAAAATAAACAATTCGAGTTTATGTCCATACCACCACCTCGTCCGAGATGGCATAAATCGAAAGACCATCTTGTAGAGTAGACCGTTGAGTATTAATACGATAATTGCATCAGAATAATTAGATTAATTTGGGATTTGATTCACTTTTTATGATTACAATCATCTGACCAGCCCTTACAAACTCTTCTTTTCTTGGCTAGCAGCGTATGTGGATAGATCTACAAATTTACGAAAATTTCACAGCAGTATTGAGCACATTGTAAAAAAAATTGAATTATTCAGAAGCATCCGATCTATTGCTTACGGTGTGATAAAACTTTTTATAAATGGTAGGCGAGACTGCACGAAATGAGAAACATTGCCATCTAAAATGTAGATGGCACGACATTTCATTACGACATATATTTATGATAAGACTTATCTAAAGGAGACCATGCAAAACGGGCAGAAGGTATTTACATATATTATATTGCGGAATATTTTGAAGCCTACACATTTTTTTATTTCAAATTCATATTATATTTGAAGATTTTTTGATTTCCGTCTGCTAAAACACCAAACGAATTTAACTGAAGATCATGATTAATTAAACATATGAAATGCTTGATAAATCAGTATATCGATGGAAAGTTAGATTCTTAAAATTAAACATATGTTAAATCATAACTATCTAGTTTGACGCAATAATTTGAGTATTTTCTTCGCTATATTTCCCCCTGTTGAAGACTTCTAACAACAGCGTTTGACCATCACTTCAGCGTGTTATGCAATCTTTCAAATTCGATTTCAGATTTATTCAAACGACCAAAAAATAGGTGCATGGCTGTGGTCAAAATCATATTTTCGCATAAAACACATTGGCACAAAAGTCATTAATACGTAATAAAGTGACGGCATACAACAGTCATCTATCAGGAACAACTCGCGTCAAATTTAGTGTGGATGAGTCATCAAAATTTTGCTGTATAAATGGAATATTTCCCAAAAAATAGTAGTTTTGATTACCTGTATTTTAACACAATGCTTTTTGAGCGTCATTCATACTGTATGGGCTTCAAATTAGCAATATGAATATCCAAATTAGGAAATATACCTTCGCGGCAACATACAACGATGGGTATTACAATGTACGTGAGTATTATATTCAAATAAAGAATATAGTCATATCATTTATATATCCAAATCATTTTTCCTTAATTAAGTTGACCAATAAACAAATACCTGGTTTTAGTTATTTCATATTCAAAACCAGAACCCAAAATAATCTGAGATGAGTCAAAGGGAAATTGTGCATTAATGGCAAGTTGCCCATGACATGATTGATACTCGTAACAGGTGAATTCCATTCCCGTTGAATGAGAACAGCTTCATGATTTTAACCCTGTACACAGCGTTCATGAAATATGAATCATTATCAGAATACGGTATAAAATGCCATCATTACAGCCGATATATTGTTGCCTTAATTGGGGTATATAAATATTATTCCAGTTTGTAATTATTTAATCAGCGTTGACAGTTATTTTGAACCGTACAAGGACAAGCGATTATTCGACCTCGCATTAGATAAAAACGGTATTTTGTTAACTATTTGAACCCTTAAAGCCGGTATTCCGGCTTTCCCGAAGACGTCTTTTGACCCTGAACGCCGGTTTTCCTGCTTTGGCATCACGTATATATATGAGTTATACAACTTTAAAGCCTCATATCTCGCGAACTTTATATTATAATTCGACAAGTTTTATATTGTTTGAAAGACAATCTTGGAGACTAATTATAACGATTATCCTACAAAAATTGGCAAAATTGAAAAGCGCCATTATTACTGCCAATGTATTGTTGCCTTAATTGGGGGTATATAAATATTATTTCAATTCGTAATTATTTAATTAGCTTCAACGGTTATTTTAAAGCGTACAAAAACAAACGATTATTCAACCTCGCATCAGAAAAAAATGGTATTTTGTTAACATTTGTCAAAGAAAGACGAAAAATGAAAATGTATGTATTTTTTTATTTTTTAGCTTGACTCTTCAGTAATGCTTTTAGTAAATCCAATAAACCTTGATTCCAGTGGACTGCAAATATTGAATACTGTCTAAGACGAGGGTGGGAAAATTACGGCCCGCGGGCTGGATCCGGCCCACCGAAGTGTTAAATCCGGCCGTTATCGATGAAAATAACGTCATAATGGACCCGATTGTTACATTGTGCTCTGTATTATTATATAAACGTTAGCCTAGCTGCTGGACTAGCTGTTGTAAATAAACTGTTTTTTTTTTCTTCATAGTTTTTCGTATTGAGTTGTGTGCTTCCGGCACAGTAACAAAGTCTATTATATGTATCTGGCCCACTCAGAAAATTAATTGCCAAGCCCTGGTCTAAGACATAAAATAATTGCAGAAGACTTTTGTTGGCGAACGGATTCTGGCCTGGTAATAGTCCAATGCTAAAGCACTTTTCAACAGTGTGTGATAAACTGTCTAATTATTGGTCAAAAATTAAAAATCAGTGTCGTCATATTTCTAAAACGATTGAATGTAAAGGTTCATGGAAAAAGCTCACAAACAATTGAATCAAATCAGCGTCAAAAACATTTGTTAAAACCATCGCCGTTCGTTTAACCGTGTAGAGCAGAAATGGGCAAGGTTTTTGAACCAGGGGCCAAAAATATCGACCACGCGGACTGGCGGGCCATGTAAGTGTGACGTAAAAAGATACATTTTATGAACAATATTTACAGTATTACAAAAGCAAAAGTAGAAAACAATATGCCTCGTTCTGAAACTAAATTTGATTGCAATCTCAACAAATTTCTTGAGGTATTATAAGCTAAAACATCGAAATTTGGTTTTAGTTTACTTGTTACAGCATCCGGCGAGCCAGTACCCGACGGGTCGGATTTGACCCGCTGGTCGTAATTTGCCCATGTCAGGTATAGAGCGTTTTGCAAAAATCAAATATAACAAAATATATATATCATTCAAGATTAAAATCATAGAAATACCACGTAGTTTCAAATGAATTGCCTGAAATGTCAAAATCACGAGAACTTTACACTAGGCAATTACATTTTTTGAACTCATGGTATACTGTGGCTCACTGAATGCTTGAAAATTCAATCAAATTTCGATTGAAATATTTCGAACAGACCTTTCATGTAACTAACATGTATATAGGTACGCACATTTTAATCCTATGTTTAGCTATTTTGTAGGTTTCAAGACTTAAATGTAAGTCCATTAAAAAATTAAACATGATTGCATCGAGAAAATATTTTAAAAATTCGATTCGGATTTGATTTGACGGCTAGTGGTATATAGACTACACTACAGTAATTATTATCTCACTTGTGTAATCATTCCACGATTGAATAGGTGTGTCGGTGGTGTTAGGAATATTAAGGAACATCAAATCAATAGCTTCTCCATTCATTCCCTTGTCACCACTGCTGGATAAATATACCGGAGAATTCAATACATGAGCAGCGCCCTCCGCGTGATAGCTATTATACTGATTGAGGACGTCACTTTCCGAAACTAAAAAATGAAATAAGTATATCAGCTATGCTGAAGAAAACAGGATGAACCTTTAATGAATAAGCACTTAACCTAAACAACAGGATAAAGTCAGCGAAGACTCAATTTTTTTTTAAAGGAAAATATCTTACCAGATTAGACGCTGCTTTAAGAACATGAAATGTTTCGACGCGCGATTCTATTTTTTTTTCAAATAAATATGTTTCATAATTTCTTGTATACATTTCGATAAATCTGCTTGATAACTTATTTTATAGTATCTTACAACTTACTTGCTCGAACAGTAGCATTATATCCGAATTTGTTGATGCTGGAGTCCGTTGAAAACAGAGCAGTAATGTTACCAATTGGATAACCGGTTATTATTACGTTCTTTGTTGTTGAGTTTATGAATAATAAGAAGCTTGTCACGCCATATAACTGCATGAAAAATTTTAATTTGTTTTTACTTTTCAATTTTTATATAAGCCGAGAAATATAGGATTCAAACTTTTTACTTCTGGCAATTTGGCAATTTTGTTACAAACAAAAATACAAAAAAAAAAATTGGATAAACGATAATCAATGCGTCGCGATCAGAAAATATAGAATTTCCTAAAACCCAATGTCATTATTATGCAATCAAATCAAAAAATATGACGAAATATGACTCTACATGGATTATAAAATGATGAATGTCACAGTGAAACAATGATGCAAATATTCAGAAATTGAATTACTAAATGACAGTAAATTTAATGACATTTTTAGTCATCAAAACAAATTATTTTCTGGACAATTGTTGAACTCAAATAACTGACCTAAACGCGATTACGCATTAACTCGTGCATGACAAAAAAAAGGTTAAAAAAACATTGATTGTTTTCAACATATAATTGAGCATAATTTAGTTTCTATCATGCTTAACAGTTTATAATATGCACCCGAGCGACTTCGTAAACTACCGAATTGGTAGTTTAACGTTATAAATAGCTCAAATGTGATAATATGAATGAAAGAATTCGACTAAAAAAGTTTATTAACCGCCGATATGCGAGCATGTAAAACAGCCCAAAACGATTCAATAAAATTGCAAAGTAATCTTTGATTTTCCACGTCTATTAATTTTCAACAAAACACTTTATGATCATTGATTTAGGCACACGGGTCTCACAGATATGAAAAGAAGACCAGGGTTTGTTAATATATCAAATGACATTTTGGTATTAACCATAAATCTTAATAGTAATAAACTTAGTTGCGGTAGCAATGTCAAAAATACAGTGCATTATACATATCAATCATTTAGTACATTTGAGTCGTATATTTCAATCAAAATAAAATTAAATTAGCATTGAAAGATCGCAAGAAAGAAACCCATAGGCCGCGACCTGGGCAAAAGGCAATTTTCTTCATTTTGAGTAAATCACCTCCAGGTAGGGATAGTTCTCAATTAAAAGATCGTTTAAGATCGTTGAAAATTTCGATGATAAATAATTACAAGTAAAAAGAACTCATCGCGCTTGAAACCTCAGTTGCTCTTCGGATTTCAATGCAACATATAACCGACAGAAATTTTCTGGTCTGGGACTGAGCACCACAAGACATACCTTGAGAAAGTCATGCCATGGTTCCAAATTGAAGGCTGTGATTTGTATTTGAGTCAGATTCGTTCCATCAGACTGTATCTCTGTTCTACAGTTTAGATTTTGCAAATAATTGCCAGGATAACACGGAGATGAAATATCTGCTGCTAACTCCTCTATATAGAGAGTTCGACTGCACGAGGCTGTGAAAAAATCAATTTATTAATAAGACTGGGATGCATGAAAAGGATTCGTATTGAATGCTCATTTGGAAATAACTGACAGTACGACGTAGTGTTATTCCATCAGAATAGTTTCAAATGTCCATTGTTATTTTGAAAGAGATAATAAATTCGGATTGGTGGCGAATGTAATTATAATAAAATCCTTGATGATTTACACTGAATACATTTAAAACGCTGATGTAAACAGCGTGCCGTCTTTATGGCATCAGCCCTATTCATTAAACAGCACGGTTTTTACAAAGTCCAATGAGCCCAATGAGTGTCTATTGCTTGAATCTCAAGCGCGACTTACCTATGCAACTAAGTTCATCATCATACGCTATTTTTATTATTCAAATGTTATGTGAATCATTTCAGGTAATTTGAGCCCGAACGCGCTAATACGTCGTACTACACAACGCTACACAATGTTGATAAATTAACTTTAGTTCATAACTAATAATTACTTTAATTTAGCCAGCACCACGGAAATAATGGATATTCATCGAGCTTGTTTTATATCAGATTATTTCGTTATTGTAAATACTGATGATACGTCAAAGCAGGAAGTTCAGCTCGTGACGTCGTGTAACTATTATACTGAAAATTTCAATAATCCCTCAACTGCCCTGATTTTTGTGACAGAGAAATCGTCCCAGAACCGTTGAGTCTGACTCAAAATATGTGTAAAAGTTACGTACTATATCACAGAATATGTTTATAATCTGGTTTGTTAATAAAGACGAGGAAATTTTACCCCGTTTTCGTTGTATTTTATGTTTGTAATTAGTGCTTACTAAAAGTCCGTTCTCCTTCGGAGCAAAATATCTTGTAGTCTGCCAATACAAAACATTTATCATAAATACATAACACATACAAAAATGTACTTACTGCTGCACGAACTTGCTGCCACTTGCTTGACCAGAATGAAGCTGGTTACAATGGCTGCGAAAAAACTCGACCACATTCTTTCGCCGTTTTGTGTCTTCAAGTCTCCAAAACGCTTGCTTATTCTATGAGTTATTTTTTTATTACTTATTTGTATTAAAATATTAAATCCCGATATAAAATGAAAAAAATATTTTCAATATTTTACAAGTTAGTTAGATAACAAGCACACTGATCGAAGCGACAGTCAGGTGAAACACTGCACATCCTGAATTACGCCGCCCTTTTAGACCTGCAAATATGTGACGTCACTCGTTGCCGCGCTTCCTCGTTCAAGAAGCCAAAATAGCAGGGCGAGATCATGATAATAAAAGCTCATATAATGCGCAATGACACATTGTTGTTACCACAGCGGTAACACAAACGGTTGTTCCTCTTTGGCAACTAAGCGGAGGCATGTATAAGAGCGCTTGCCATGTATAAGAGCGCTTGCCATTTAGCTGTAACAAAGCCACAGAGGGAATTATGAAGTGATAAAGTGAATAAGATGTACACACGCACTTTTATGGATTCATTCACTCATTTGCACAATATATTTTAGGTATGCTCAACCTGTAAGCATGCCATTATGAAAATAATAATAAAAGTTGAAAGAACATGACAAGCTATATAAATAATTTCTAATCAGTGTATACCAGTAGGGCATATACATATACATTTATTGTCCAATAAGCGCTTTCGTCTGACAAGTGAACAGAAGAAAACACAATGTAATATTGAATGTGTTTCCTGGTCCTCGTATCTTTGAATGTCAAAAGTGTTAAATGCTTTTTACAGAACCTTGTCCAGTATACGATCCTATGACGGTGTGAGAGGCGTTGTTTCTTGTTTGTAATATTTTGAAAATATACAATTACCGTTGACTTGTATGTAATAGATTTTAAAGTAGAGCGTTGGTTAGAATGAAAAAAGACAACCCCAAACCACCATTTTATTTATTGTTTTTTCTCAAGCAAGTTGCTTTTCGATTCAATTTATTTCTCATATTGGTGATTTAATATCCTCATCTCCGCACCAAAATTGTAAAGCGAATATTTCAAATTGGGTTTTGTCATCCAGTCAATATCCTTTATTTGTTACATCACAATATATATATTTACTAATTTTTCCCCGACGGAAACACGCTATTTGTCTCACTCTTTTAGGGAAAAACTTCTAACAGATCGTGCTCTTGCCTTTTATACGAAATAAAATGAAATTTGCATTTATTTTAACGTTTGAGTATATCGTATAAAATGGTATGTCTGGCGAGAAAAGGTCGAATTCTGTCTTGAGATTGGGAATAACAAGCATTTTAAGGTAATAATTTCATCTATGTTAAAATAATCTGAATTATTTCATCTTTTGAGTTTTCGTCAACTCTTCGTTAAAGATTTGAAATCGGGCAAATCTAGATGGCACATTACTGGTCGAGCTGGTTAGGTATTTGAGTTCGTTTTCTTGCAGTTAATCTCTAACAGAACTTTGGCTAACCTGATATACTTGAAAATTTTAAAAACCAATGTATAATAAAAATATAATGTAAATTACATAAAAGCTGTGCTAAATATTTCATAACAAGTTCCATATGCAAAATCGCCAAGCAAAAAGCATGCATTCATGTAATTTGACTATAGTAAATAAGATTCTCTCGTTTCACAATAAAATGCTCCTTTTGTTTTACGTTTGAAAAATGACGCTGATACACGACACAATGAAACGAAGAGCTCGTTTTAAACACGATATTTCAATAACAAAGAAAATTGGTAAATGCAAAAATGTCAAAGCAATCTACATTGAACGCAACCTCCCCGCAACGTATAAAACCTTATTTTGACTATTGCGGACATACATATTTACAAATCTCGCGAGTTTTGTTCCCCATAAAATCTCCCAAAACATTTTTTGGTTGTAGAAACTCGCAAGTAACGACGCATTTGTACAGTATTTTCCTTCTGTCCACTCCCACAAATTTAAAGACGACGCTAAAACCTGTTACATAATTCTGGTTTTTATTATACCTTCCAATTTAGCCACTAATTTAATTCAAAGATTCATTTTGTTTCAAAAAATGACCAAATTATAAATATTAATATAAATTTTTCTTTTCTGGATTCCGCATTTACAGCAAGCTAAAAAGAGAAATAAGAATAATGATTGTTTTATATTCTTGCAGGCAAGCAAAAATTTGATCGGTGAATTTTACCGGAAGAAGAATGTCATAGAAGCTTTCTCGTGTTACAAATACAATTTTACAACACAAAGCTGGGCACAAAAATTTCTTTCTCTTTCTCGAGTATTTGAATATGCTAAGGCCAATACAAAATCCGTTATTGTAAATATGACAGAAGCTTAGAATTTTTTCACAGTTCACAATACGAATAAGTGATGAGTCATGAATTTTTACTAACGAAAAATATAGTGAAGCCTCAAATAGAAAACGCTATTATATATATAAAGAAATAATACATTGAATTACTACGTTTGAAGATAATTATCATGAATATCCTGAAAGCATCTATTCGTGTAAAACTTAGTATGTTCATAGCAATCTTATATCGGTATAAATATTGGAAATAACTGTCTGAAATATTTCTAACAAATGTAATAATAATGTATGCATATTTTTTATTCCACATTTCATCGTACTTTTGCTGTCGACACTACTACGTCGTTTCGTCAATAGTTGCTCACTAACTTTGGGAAAATGGCGTTACTGAATCGCTGGATTCAATTAGACAAACGTCACCTTGATTTCATAAATCAGATTTTTTTTTGTCCTAAATATTGTTACGAATTCATATAGCCTTTCATACATCGACAACTGCCGTATTGGATGAGATGGGCAGCAAAATACCATTAGTTCCACCAAATAGTAATTAGCATCTATTCAAACCAAGTATGATTTATACACCTAAATATTTCTCTGCTAATTTCTCAAACCTTGTTACAAAAATATAGATTTTAAACACAAATTGCACAATGAAATGTGATTTAGTTTTAAACATCAAATGATACGTCCACACAAATATTGGGATCAAAGAATTGTTGTTCAAAAATGTCATTATTTTCTATTTTTGACAAACTATAATATATATGTCTATATATGACAATATTTTGTATTCGTCCTGACCTATTTACTATTCCGCGTAGCACCGTGCTAAGTTTATTCTAATTCTATATATTTCCTTTTGCTAATTCGTGCTCGACATAAAACCTTGAAGTGTAGACAGTCATATTATGATAGTTCACCAAAATTTTACTGCTAATTTAATTAATGATTTGAGACGCAGATCGTGGGATCACTGAATTTTAATCATGTTAAAATCTCAACTCATGAATAAATTATGGTATTTGGGTGAAATCAGCGGCTTCAAATACAAGAGTAGGAAGAATTCTTCAAAAACAAATTCCTGGTATTAGTTACCAAAAATAACTTAATGCAATTGAATTGACCAAAATCTATAATCTGCATAACGAGATAAGCAATGAAAAACGAAAAAAAAAACTAAAAATACAGAGATGAGAATCTGTTTACAGTTCCAAGAATTTAACGAGAATATCGGTCGGAGACCGAAGACTTATCGATCGAAACTGTGGTTTCGATTCATGACTCTATAGTGACACCGCGTGTCCTATCACTAATTTATTAATAACTCGCTAATTATACGACATAATTCATCCAAAATCAATAGGCTTCTGGTCCGACACACATCTATACTCGAGGACCGGTTGTAAATACGTAAAAGCGTGAACACGACTTTATATTGCCTCTGATCAATAAATCTAATTTCATTTTGACGCAAACGACATTATGGCACAAATGGGTCGTGGAGGAAAATCACCTCGTCGCGACTAACATATTGTAACACGATTAGATTTTCAGAATTTGGTATGCTCCTAAAATTGCTTTACGAAGCACAACTGGAATAAACAGGTGCAATCGATGAATCTACGTTAGGATGTTATAATTTTAATTTCCTAGGATCAAAATGGAGAGTTTCTAATAAGTCCAAAGAGTCAAAACTTTGGATAAACAAAATGCCAAAAACCGGTATGATAATTTGATAGTAAAACTGATGACTATGTCACATTAGTAATTGTCATTTCGAAAGGCTATTTGAGTGGAGTTCATTTGAATTCAAGCCAATGAATCTATGCACACGCAAACTAAATACGCATTAAATGGCAACTAATAAAATACACTGCTAATGGTGAAAGCTACTTATTTTGTCTGGCAACCTTCTATGAGTATTGGTTTGCATTACTTTATTGCAAAACCAGTGATGTATCTACAAAACCAGTATCTGCAAAATGCACAAAATACACCATGTACATATATTTTGTAGTGATTCCGAGTATAACAATGATTTTTGCTTGAAACTTATAAGCAGCCTTTTCTTTTCAGCAAGCAAAACTCTATGAACCGATCGATGATCTAGGTTGGATTCCTGGCAAGTGCCATTCTGTGGTTGATGCAGGAAAATTTGTTCAGCAATTTAAAGTCAGCATTCAATATATATTCGGAGATTTAAAAGGGTAGTTTGGAGGTGAACTGATATATTTCGTACAAATTCGGACATTGCATTTCATGAACATGCAATCAATAATTTAATAAGAACTTTTCCCACTTCGAGTATTTTAAATTTCACCCAGTGCGATCGAAAAAGGCGAGCGATAGTTAAAATCCATTTACATAGTCTTTATATAGACCTCCTGAAGTATGCGCACCAAGCTGAACTCAGGTTGTGTACCAGGTTAGGGTTCAGGTTATGCGACATTTTTGTGCGCATACTTGGGGAGTACTCTTTATATTTAAAAGCTATCTCTCACAACAGTACTCATATTCGTTAATTTTATATTTTTGTCTGTGTTCTGCTCGGGGGGGTTGACCATGACTGTCGCCGATCCAAATTTTATTTATTTTAGAATAAATATTAGTCAGGTCACGCACTACTTGCCGACCATCTAGCATTAACTATATTTCCATTCAATTCTATTTCTTTGTGGCGCTAGAAGAAGGGGCTTTGAGAGGCTGTGCCAGTTGGGATAATCCGTTCATTTCTTTTATATTGATTATATAAATATGTCTTGCATGTCCAATTCATTTCTTTGTTTAGGATAAAATCTTCATTTGTATTTCTGCTCACAAATACCGTTATTCTACGCCTGCGCGGCCATGTATACTGGCTGAAATGAGCCAATTTGTCGATAATAAAAGTGCATAAGAACAAAAAAAATTATTTTACGTTCTCGAAAACTGGCATACCGCGTTTCTATGCCTAAATATATAACACAGTCCTTGGCCGGACTAATCACAAAGCCAAGTATTTCAAGGGCTTTCAAGCGCCTTGTTACAAGAAGTGGCGAACGTTAATTAGTACAAAATGAATCGTAGCAGCCGCTAGTATCCAGTAGTATAGCGTCATAGTTTTAAAAACAATTTGATATCCTTCTTTCAGTGTTCTTGTCAAGGAGGTGGGTTGAAGCGTGTCGAATTTCTTGGCCGGTCACGGCAGTGATACTGTATGAGTTTGTTCGCTTCAGTCGTAAACCTAGTCCATAAATCGTAGGCGATCCAGTGGAAACGTCTTGCTGGCAGCCTGCGGTTCAGTCCAAAATTGTGATGACATCTGAGCAAATATAAGAGAGGAACATTGGCCGCAAGAATGTATACAAAAGTTGTGATTAGTCTTTGGATATTGGCGACGTTATCTACGGGATACGCATGTACAACTGACAGTGAGTATAGAATATAATTTGACAAATATAGATTAACACTATGAGAAATTGCTGCTGAAAGTGAACCAGTATTTATTGGAGGAAACGCTGTGTCATCTGGTAAAAACCTGATACAAAAGCTGTGTCATCTGGCAAAAACCTGATACAATTTTTGCCAAGCCATCGTTTTTCCATATTTCAGAACATGCATAGAGGATATCAGGTATTGAGCGAGGGTCGACTGGCCGCTATCACCGTGGTTGTCGTGCTGGTACGCCATCGTTGACTCTTGTCAAGGTATTAAATACACGACCTTACAATACGTAGGTGATAAGTCTACCACATAGTAATACACTGTAGATACCAAAGATGAAAAATACGAAATTCGTCAGTTAAATAATACCCTTGACATTCTTGATCAAAACGAAATAAAAAAATGCATCGAATTGCAAAATAATGTGTGGTGTTACCAAATGTCAATGCAAGAATTATGTACAGGATAACAACTGGAGGTTTTATCACGATTAGTAGCCTACGACACGATCGGTTTTGGCTTAACTGGATTTCTCTATCTTGAGTGAAAGTATACGATGTACGCTACAGTGCTACAATTTCAATACTGAACTATTAATTGAGTCCTTGTAATGCGCACTTGTTTCAGGTGACATTCTGATCGATATCATATTTGTTGTGGATGGTTCTGGTTCTATAGGTGAAGCGAATTTTGAAATAGTAAGATCATGGCTTATAAATGCAACAGGAGAGATGATGCAAAAATTTGGTGATAGAGCTCAGTTTGGAGTCTTGCAATATTCCAGCAAAGATCCGGTATATTATAAGTAAGAAACTTTCAACTGTTATATTTTGTTTGTCCTAAACTTTATTTGTAATTACCAAATAATATGGTAAGAGATAATAAAATTTAATATCCGCTATGGACTACTAGTCGGTTATGAATAATATCACCCTAATATTTGGCACCCCATAGGGGTTTCAGCCCTACAAGTTGTCCATACTACAAAAAATTGAGATACCGTTATCGAAGTGGGTGCGACACACGCGTTATGCATCATGCCATTTGATTGCGTGGAATTTTATGGCCTGGGTACTATGGCGTTCAATGCGTTAATCAGATTTGTATTTCATTGTTGTTCGCGGCAACAACGCTCCTACTTTTCTTTCATATATCAGGCGAACCATGCACAAACGTGCCATTCCTGCCGTAGATTTTTGTTCAGACAAAACTTCAAAGGATGTATAATACCCTCGAATATGATTCACCCAAAAGTCATTTGAATATTGGTTTGAATGGACCAATGGTAAAACACGAGAAGATGAAATTCAACTCATTCCATATATGCGTTTTAGTACAACCAAGTACTTTTACAGAAAAGTAAATCTTCGACCCTATCGACGGTGTTTTGTAATTTGTGCGAGACCGTGAATGACATTGTTTTCTTTTAAATATGAAGAGAGAAATAATAATTTGTATTATAATTGTATCGTCGTAGTAATACGAGCGAGACATGAAATGCAATTGAAATTTATTTGAGCGTTTCTTCGGATGGATGGAACGGAAATTAGTAAATGTGAAACATACCCGCGCTATACAACTTCAATAATTTGCTTTATGCTTCCATTCGCTATTCATTCTTGAATACGTGTATTTACCCAATACCCAATTTTAAAGTAGCATTTTTTTTATCACGCATTCGGTTGAATAATATACCAGTATAAGGTGAATTTAATTGATTTCATAAAAAATGTGTCATTTGTCATTTTATGTCGAATATCAACGATAAAATGGCAGGAGGTATACAAAACAAACATTTTTATGTTGTCTCGTGTCTAAGATCGTTTTGAGAAACAATGCATTACATTTAGGTGTGGACGATTCATTTTTTCCAGTGGCGCTAAAATAAATCTCTTTGTTTGCTATCACACTGCGGATATCTTTGCTTTAGTTCATATTATATGGCCCGTCTGTATTGTTTGGCCAGTGCTATAGGTATAGGCTATACCCCAAAAAGAACCATTTTCCACAACAACGAAAACTCCAACAAAAACAGTAACAACAATAATTCTGCAAACTGATGCATAGGTTCATCACGTTCAATAATGCAAATACTGAAATACCGTACATATAATATTCCGTTTCATAATATATCTTCAATTCTGTTTCAGTATACCGATAGAAAAATCCACCGTTTTTGAAATACCATTCAGACTAGGTGATTGCAAGACAATTGAATGTATGAAAGATAAGCTGACATCAATGGATTACTTACAAGCCCAAACTTATACATATTATGCTCTGAGAAGAGTTATTGAGGTATCGTCAATTTCTGTATATGTTATTAGTCGCCAAACTGAATGATTGCCATTATAAACAACTCTAATTGAAGAATTATGATAGTGCGGTTTTCTTTGACAACAATGTTGTAATGTTATTTGTACAGGTTGAATTTTCACTTTCGCCACGTTATCCAGAGGCAAAGAAAGCAATAGTATTGTTGACTGACGGAGCGGCAAATGACGGAGTATTTTTATCAAATGCGTAAGAATTCTTCTGCCGAATAAATTTTATTTGAACAAATGTTCATTTATAAATTATGTCGAGCAGTGTTAACTCTAAGCAAATTATGAGTGCGAAAGTGCTTCGCAGTCGAAAAAAAAAGTGCGAAAGTGCTTTTGCCGATTTTAACAAGTTAGGTGCCCTAGCCTTTCATATAACCCATTTAAAACGGCATAGATACTCGAAAAAGCGCTCCTCCGGTTAATATTATGAATTAATGAGAAGCCTTTTCCGAGTTCCCTTTAAGCGAATTCATGTTTAATTAAAACAAGCGAATTCATCGGCAAGGAAATGACATCTGCTAATACCTGCCCGACAAAACTTTCATGCAATGTATCACGGTGTCAGTTGCTTACTCGCGTAAACAGCAAAGACTTCACATTTGGTACTCTTTCCATCTAACAGACACGAGACAGGCTGAAAACCATATTAGTTACAGGGTTGATCGTTTGTACAAATCCCGTGCAAAATAATCCCCCCGCAAATATAAATAGCAATCAACTAATTAGGGTTAGGTGCGCTGGAAATTCAACTTTTCGATTTACCCCTAAACCTAATCTGATAATTATTAATTTGTGATTTTGAACCACTTTGAAAGTCGCCACCCACTGTTTTAAAAGATAGGTTAACCTACGTTCCCTCTGAAATATTACGGCGAGATACTCCCTTGTTTTAGGAGATAGGTTGACCTACTTTCCTTTCAAACTTTTTTCTCCGAAATATTACACAAGAATCCTCCCGTTTCGTGAGCTAGCGTGACCTAATTTCTCATTTACATTATACTATTTCAGAGCTTACCCAAAGACAAATAATTTTTAAATGTCGACATGCCTTGGTTTGCGTGCGAGTTAGTTTAAATCGGGCAGAAACATCATATATTGGCAAAATGTTTAGTAATGTCATGTACTTGCATCATTCATAAATAGCACTCTTTGTAATGCTGCTGACCTAGTATCAAATATTCGCTTCACAACGCCACTTGCGAGGTTTCCATATATTTCAATTACACTAATAGGAAAGATGACACCCAAGAGTTTTCTTTTGCGAAGGTACACTAAATATAACGAGGGTGATTCTTGAGAAAAACATGAATATAAAAAATAAACGAATGATATGATAGTGGATCCCAAATAATTTTGAGAGTGTCTCGAAATACCAATCCATTTGATAAATAATTTTTATTCGACCACATGACCGCTGATATCCTGAAAATTAATGTTGAAAGAGAATTACGCATTCTCAGATATCGGACATCCAGTCGCGATATTCAATCGTTTATATGCACAAATCTCACATTAATAGTAATTGCTACCCAAGTTTGTGAAGTTTAGAAACCAACAAACAGAAAATAACTTATCCTAAAACACAATTAAAATTCAGTCGGCAATAAATTCGTCGCCAAGACGATGCCATACAAAACAAAAAGATTTGGTCGCGAGAGTTACGTGTGTTGTTTTTTAAGCAGAATGTAAAAAAATTTATAATTAATAAACGGGAGTTACGACGCCCTTTACACATCTTGTGTATTAAACTTCCCTGGTAAGTACTATTATTATTGTACTTATACACCTGTTGGAGTATTTCGGACAATTTCGAATTTAAAATAAATGAAAACCCGACATATAATAAAGACGCAAAAGAAAAATGAACATTTATTGAAAAAGTTAATATTTAAGAAAGACAACATGATCGTACAATTCCGCCAAAACCTCGATGTTCGCAAGTGAGATGATAAATAAATACTTCCCTGTATTCGATCAATTAACTTTAGCGTATCGTTGTTCTGCCAACAAACAGCCGGGTGCAAAATATTTCCGTCCTGTGATATGCTCACAAATATTTCGATATTAATATCATACCCTCGCGTATGTACTTTCTATTAGCTCTTTAGTGATCCCTTCCATCCTTGGCCAAGTCATGTTTCGAATATGTGAACATTTTATTCGACCATACATGGCCGGCGGGATGTTAAAATTGTAAACAAGAGAGAGGTAAAATCAATCGAATTTCGTTATAACGGCTCGTTTACGAATTGTTGCGCCTGTTATCGTCGAGAATGATTACATTTGTTGTATTTTGAGGCATTTAAGCAGTAATAATTAGGGCATGACATCATCAAAATCGTCAAGGTTTGCAAATTCCGTAAATAAAATTGTGAATTATTCGGTAACGAATTCAGCTTTAATGACCGTCGGGGTATTGTTTTGTTGAAAATTATTATTAATGTGAGAGCGCCAAAAACACACAGTCCATACCGATGCGACTGCAATTTATATGGTCGCAATTGGTGTGGCGCGTTTATTAATAGTGTAAAATAAATTGAACGAATGTCAATTATAACCAAGCCTGTCAGCGTGTTTATTTTCTGTGAGCAGGAATCGTAAAATACCATCTTGAGACAAATTCAGTTCTATTATAAAATCTTAATTTTCAGTTATTATCGTTATACAAATAACGTGTGGCAACTTTTTAATTTATCGTCGACCAAAAAACCGCCCACACTCGTCCAAACGTGTGTCGAGCTTGAACGACAGGAACAGATTCATCGACGACCTTAATTAGGGAAAATATGTATTTTATTGGGAATGCAAAATAAATGTAACAAAACGCATTTTTTTGTGATATAACTTTGTATTTTCGGAAACGATTTGCCGTGAAAGGTAAAATTTGATCTAAATTAATCGCAAAAAGGTTTTATTTTAAATGTAACAAAACACATTTTTCGAGATACAACTGTATTTTCGGATACCGGGTGTCATGAAGAGTAAAATATGATCTGAGTTAACAGTAAATAATGTTCATTCCAAATGTATCATAACGCATTTTTTGCGATATAACTTTGTATTTTCGAAACGGGGCGTCACGAAAATTATTATTCTAATGTTTTATCCATCGTCTAACTAACGTCTGGAACACATCATTTTCGGGGAGAACTCTAGCCCGCGAAACGTCATTTAATTTAAAATAGAGAATGTTTCACGCATTTCAAAACGGAAAATCACCAGTAAGTGGACAGGGATTCAACCCTCCGGATTCAGTATTCTAATCCCCCATGTCAGAACTTTCTGAAGAATGGAACAAAGAACCCGTCAAACCGCCGCGGAAGAAGGGGAGTATTTTTGCACTAATAATTAGGGCGTGACAATATCAAAATCATCAAGAAACTGGTGAATTCGCAAATTCCATAAATAAAATTGTGAATTGCTCGGTAACATTTTAGCTATAATTATCGCCGGGGTATTGCTTTGTTGAAAACACGTTGAAACTTGAGGGAATTAGTTACAATTAGCGCCTGACCTCTATTAGGCACTCGAGCCCAATCTTTTTAGCATTAAGTCGCATACGGAAAATATCCTGTAAAAGAAGTGCTGTTCATTAACGTCATCTTGTCTTATGACCACGCAGAAATGTCTTTATTGCCGAATTATTCAATCACTATTTTAAATCAACATTCAGGATTGGCACAATTTCAGACTTGCGAAGTTTATCACCATAGAAATACATGAGAAAGTTAATTGTCGTCTTAATAAATATCTGCATCACGGTATGGGCAATAATATTACCATTCGCATAAAATTGGGACGGTAAATTTACAAATCTTGACAGGTAATATTAAAGCCAACGCAAATGTTTATTTGAGTCCTCAATGTCTTCAACAGCTGTTGCCGATGTGAACGAACGGGTAAACCCGAAATATAAAACTTCGATGTCCGCCGACCCACAAGAATTCATATTTGTAATAAAGAGAGAGCGGGAATATAGATTACCCAAAACCTGGATATCGCCGCCAAAACGATCGGTGACAAGAACAATTAGCGATTACAACGGAATTAACCAGTAAAAAGGCTTTGTTGCCGATTTTTTAATGTTTCCACCACGTTTATTCGTTACTCCTTAAAAATATTCGATTAAAAAAAAATATTGAATTTTGCCCACCCAACCTCGCATATCAATGAGAAATAGTTGTGTAAATATCGCAAAACTCCGGAAAATGCCACGTCCTTTCAACATTGTGATTACAATAAAATGGCACTTAATGGTATTTTGTGAATTTGTTGATTTTGCAAATCTGTGACATGCTGCTAAAAGTTTCGTCTGATTTGAAAATCGTGCAGTTTGGCCACAATTCATCCAAAGTGACTATAACACATAACACTTTTATAGTCATTTTGAATTCATCGATATCATTGATAGTCACATGACCACTCTCGTTCAAAGAAACACGCACTGCGTATCAAGCACCGGGAGCGCGGGAGAAGCGGAATCGGTGTGCTTGTATAATAATCATATTATAAACAAGAATTTTGCCGTTAATGCAAAAGCTTTATCTCATATGTCTGCATCTCATAGGTTAGAATTCCGGTAAATATCGTTATGATATGCAGAATTGAGTTACAAGTACTAGTATGTTACTTATTTGTCAACTTAATACTCGAAAATATTTGTTAACTTTGAATTTTTATTCCATTCGAAATCGGAAAAAAGTGCTATTTCTCTTCAAAATCGGAAAAAAGTGCTATTTCGCAGTCCCTAAAAAAAGTTGCGAAAGTGCTTCGCAATTTTCGCAAAAAAGTGCGCTAATAGTGAACACTGATGTCGAGCATGAACTTAGGTTCACACATATTCTTGACAAGAAAAAGTTGATATAATATACGACATATTTATAAGTACACACCCAAAAGTTTATTAAATACCCCTTATACGTAATGTTGGTGGACATTGTTGAGTGCCGCGATCGATAAAGACAGCAGTTTAATTTTGCGATCCTGGTGTTCACTCGTTTGTATAATAATTTGAAAATGAAATCCTAGCATTTTGGCTCAGTTGAAGCTTTGAAATATTTATATCAATCGCATTGGTAGTTTTAACCAAAGTGACGATATTCATTTATGCAAATATAATGAATGGACATGGTAGATAAGAGTGAGTACCTGTTTGCTTTGTCGTAATATACCCAATTTTCCATTGTAGATATCACCAAACCGTGCTGCGTAACATCACTAACTTTGTAATAGGAGTTGGCCACTACCAATTGAAACAACTAAAAGTATTTGCAAATGGAGGCAAAACAAATGAACGAGTCTTTACACGAACAGATTTTGAGTCTTTATCTACTGTTATGGAAACGTTGGAAAGCGAATTAGCTAAAGAAGGATTTTTTTGTGGTAAGATGAACATTTATTAAAACTTTAGGTATTATAATATTCATGCCGGTTATTTTCTTAAAATATTCCCTTGTCTTATAAAATATTACCGCATATTTTACAAAATTGACGTAGGTTGAGATTTTAACCTGATATAAACGTTGTATCAAGTCGGTCCGGACTTTCAAAGTTTCAATTTAATTTGCGCCATGCCAAGTGAGGGATTGGCCAAACAAATGTTTAGTTTAAATGGTGTTTATGAGTGATATTTTTTGCAAAGCAGATCACGCACGTTACCGGCTAGGAATAACGGGATATTCTTTTCACGTCACTGCAACTTTTATTATTTGTTTGATTCATGGTGGAGAACTTAGGTCTCTAGCCGAGTTCGATCTTCAAATTTCAGCTCGCCAATGAAGCTGAAAAATGCTGGTTTTTAACGGTTTCCCGTTCTTCTGTATCGGGAAAATTATAGAAAGTACCGTAACATATCCTGATATATTTACAGACGAATGTGCTGCTGGAACGGACAATTGTAGTCCACATGCTAAATGCACTAACAAAGCTAATGGCTTTGAGTGTAAATGTAAATTGGGATTCTATGGTGATGGAGTGAGTTGTATAGACATTGATGATTGTTTCCCGAATCCATGTAAAGAAAATTCAAGATGCGTCGACGGAATAAACCAGTACCAATGCGTATGCGACCAAGGGTTTCGATCGGTCGGCAATTTATGTGAAAGTAAGTATCAGGTGAAATAGATTTCACTGTAAAGTAACAAAAAATGTGAATTTGAGAAACCGTATAAGCAGAGTATATATCGGACTCTAAAATTAGATAATAGCCAATTCATGTTTCGTATATATTAACCGAACATATTTATAAAGTCGCATTACTCGAATTTTTGGTACTCCCGTAGTATGTGTACCATGTTAGGGTCAGGCCATAATTTTATTCCGATTTTTCATATTTAAGCCCTATTGCGAGTTCTTAGACTGCCTGTGTTAGCTAAGTGAATATCATCTTTCCCATAGGTTTCAGTCCCTTTACACAACTTAATATAAAATAGGCGAACAAAATTAGTTACCTCCATATTGGTACAAATACTTCTGGAGCGCCGATTTTTAACTTACGAAAGCCCTCTTAACGTACGAAAGCCCTCTTCGTAACAATGCTTTTAATACAGTAATGGAATGCTTTTAATAATTAGATTACTGCATAGTTTTTATAAAGCGTTTTCACGTCATTCACTCATGTGAAAGTTCTTTAAAAGCAGCATCTTATATGTAAGGCATCAAAGGACTGGGATCTTCCCGATTCGGGATTGCCTACCCATTTTGCTACAACCTGATTGGGCAGTGGTTGACAACCTGTGGGCCATCTTGCATTTTCTAATGGGCCTCCAATAAATTTCAATTATCGCAGTCATACACAAAAAGTTTTATAAATCCAATATTATATATGATTTTTATTTTGCTAAGTGGTTTTTTTTTATATATATATATATATATATATCAAACGAGTATGAATTACGTTTATTTCAACTAAACAAATTGACTGTCCTTTAACATGTTTATTACGTGGTTGAAATCAAAGTTTCCAGCGAAATTGTTCCGCTTTGAAGCCTTTCCCATGTTATTGTTTGGGGCTCGATTTGCCGTCCACAGTGATAAGGCTTGAAACTGGCCAAACGCTTTGATAGCTTTGCCATCTCGCCCATATTACTATAAAACTTGTTTACTTTGTTACATTAAGTATTATATCATGAGAAGATTCAAAATTAATGACTCATTCATGCAATAACAGACATTGACGACTGTGTATCTAACCCATGTGGGGGACGTTATCCTATATGTGTCGATACAATCGAAGGATATCGTTGTGAAAGAGAACCGGGCGGTGATCCAATGAATCCAACAGGTAATGGACATTTAGTGTGTAGAATGAAAGTATAAATGATAATATTTGATGGTCTTTGTGACGAACATTTAGTGATAAATGACCCAACTTGAAATATTCGAAGTTACTCAATCTAATTCAAAGTTGATGAGCTGTGAAGCGAGCAAAAAAACAAACAATAAATTTTAAGCAACTCTACCTTAAAATCACAAAAAATATAATAATAAAAAACTTTACGTTGGGTTGTGCTGAAAATTGATTGCGCACCGAGAGGATTTCCGAGGTACTCAAAATATTGATTCTTATTAGCGAGTTCATTTCGCGTCCAATTAACGATATACCGTAAACAAAATCGGTTCTTTTTTCAGGAGGTGATGATATGAACAACACAGTTGCAATATTAACTTTTGCGCTTGCTGCTGTAATAATTGTACTTCTGACCTGCTGTGTGATATACATTATAAGAAGACAACATGTTTATAATGTACGCTCACCAAAAACAACTTGTCGGTCTGACCAGCTATTAAGTACGGAAAAATACGAAGAGACTGCTAGTGTATGAAGCGATTTTGTGTCGGTGAACATTACGGGGCAGACGAATATTTTTACTTCAATTTTTATGCCGAGTAATTATGACTGATAACTGATACCAATTTAGGACAACTGATTAGGTAATTAATTATAAAACGCATTCGTAATGGAAATTGGTAATGATTGGTATGAGATGTGTCAAACAAGGAAGTACATATATATTGAAATTATTTTTGTAAAAATAGACATTACCGATTGGCGTTTTTAATTTTTTATGACGAATTTCAGTACTCACCATGAAACTCTTTAAATTCATATTATATTTCGTTTTATTTGCCTGATTCGCGAAACGAAAAAGTAATTTTGATGATAACTAGTGAGTAATGATGACGGCCTTAAAAGGCTTTCCACCATCTTAACTATAGCAAGATGATTCGACATTTCCATTTCATACAATAACGAATTTAAAAGTGCTATATATATAATAAAATGAATGATGTCAATCAAATTAATACTTCTCTTTGAGCAAAGCAATTAACAGGCGTACGAAAGGCAGCATTGATTGCTCTCCAGCGCCACCGAAAACAATTCAAAACGAAACTTTTGTCAGAAGTCTCCCTATCATCAATTAGGTCCGTTCGTTAGTTAGAAGTCAGTTTAGTTTAGCCATAGACATTAATATCATAAACCAAAATATCTTGGATTCTAGCGCTGGATGGATTCAATGGCATTGGGGTTTCTCTTAGAGTAAAATCACCAACATGATTCTAAAATAAAACGCCCCAGGACTGCTCTCCAACGCCACCACGTCGTAAATTATCTTCCAAATGACGACGAACAGGCGGACAGACTTTGCTATCTAAACAAGCCTCGTGCCAGTCTGGAAGGCATGGCGTTTTCGTTAACCGTTCAATATCGTTAACATCAAGCTTACAGCGAACTTTTTAATTCTACCACAGGCAAATTTTCTGGGAATCATTTTACCTTCTAATTTCGAGGTGTTTCACGATGAAAAGGTCTCTCCTTTACGTCTAAGATATGTCCATAACCAGCATCTATTCTAAACGGAGGGTATCTGTTGAGCGAATTTGAGAAACTCAGTCATGTATGTTAACTTGATGCAGACACTGCCAATTACTACCAGACTCTAGCTAATGAGAGAACGATTCGCTTACAGTACTGTATAAATTTATCTAGTAATATCATCAGAAAGACACACAGAGACCATACGTTCACATAAACAAAGCCAATAATAATACAAGGAACATGAAGCGCCTCTGATGGAAATTACAAATCAAAAGCCTTAATAGGAATTACAACATGCCAGATTAAAATATACAAATTCATTGATAGCTCCTCGCTTGGTGCCGTGAATCAATGCGGAATCCCGTTTGTTATGTTCAACATTTGAATATGAACAATGAATTACCATATGTTCATAAACTGAAACTTATGGAATATATCTTATTATGATATGCTTTTTTTTCGGTTAATTTGGTGTCGAACGTTCTTATAATTACGACCATAGAGAAATGATTATTGGTGACTGAAATCTTCCCACAAGATAATAAATTTATACAAAATAAAAATTGATGGCGACATTCCGCCGACTGTAATATTATAAAAAACAGGAAGGAGGAACCAGGAACGGTAACAGATCAAGTTTGCTTTATCCATGTTTCATGTTCGAATCGAACATAATCGTTTTTTCTTTACAGCCGGGTATAATTTGTAATGTGCAAGGTAATTGGCTGGAGAAAACTAGGCCAGAATTTGAAGAGCTTGTTGTGAAAAGAACTGAACGTCGACATCGGCATCATGTGATAATCGTTGCAAGGTCGGTTTGACCTCCGAGCTTACGCTGGTTCCATCCAGAAGTAATCCAATCTTTCCCAAACTCTTGGCGACATTGAATCTCACATTTGCAACCTGAAATGTTTACATTTGTTTTTACACACATTCGCGCATATTGCCTAATGCCTACCCAATTTACTATACACTGGGTGATGGGATTGGAAGTCATGATGTAACCTGTTATGCCAAAACAGTTGTCTACATCTTTTCAAAAATGTAGCAGACTACAGAATTTCAAATTGCTAACCTTTGTAATCTATTTTGTGAAGAACATTTTAAATTCATATTTTTAATATCAAAACATAAAACAAACCTCATCATTTGCCATTCTTAGAACAGTCGGTAATACCAGTCTTGTGATATGATCAGGACCTAGCGCTGAAGACAATTCATTGATACAGAATAAGGTTGTCATTCTTCGCAAGTAATTTTGGTCCTGGGATAGGTTGATGACTTTTGTCATGATGGATTCTTCTGCCCATTCCGGACCAAAAAACTCAACAATTTTACGCAAGTTGACTGTTGCTGCATCACGAATGGCATACACATGATCGACAAGCCACTGTTAAAAACAAAGAATGAAAGAGATTAAAATATGTAGGCTATGCCAGGTTTATTCTTTGCATCCAGTAAAAAATAACATACAAAATTGACAAAAAATAAAATTAAACACACACACGTGAGGAACCAAGATTGGTTATCGATCAGCGACACCCAAGGTTCAACATCTAATTAAATTAAGGTACACCTGATTACATGTCCCTAAAAACCGGTCCAGTGAGATGGTTTTAAAACTGAAGTGGTCTCAAGAGGCCAGCCAATTGGGGGTTCTAAACATTTTGACCCATCAACATTTTGAACCAGCCGTTTCTGCCCACAAAGAATCAAGTGATTTAATATTTCGTTAGTTTGGTCATTATCATTATTTCAAAAAGTATTATGTTGTTACAACTAACGAAAGTGTATGCCAACAAAAAAACTCTAACGCAGGGGTTCCCAAGCTTTTTTCATGACGACCCCAAAGACAACTTTCAAGTGTCCAGTGCGACCCCAGGTCAATATATATAATTTTCATGAAACTTTAAAGCTTATTTCACTAGACTTTTGAGTTTGGTCATGTGGTGGTATTAAGTAAAATAAGCTAAAACCCAACAGTGATGTCACAATAAACACCTACATTTTGAATAACAAAAGCATAGAGTGATGCCTATGGGCCTGTTTTACATTAAGCCATGGTACAAACTGCTAAATTTAACACGGTTTGTCAAATCTTAGATGAGTTGTACATCCATCCTCTACCATACCTCTGCGACCCCACTGACCCCATGACCTGGTTGCGACCCTACCTATTTATCACTCCGATCTAATTTGGGGTCGCGACCCCTGGTTTGGGAACCCCTGCTCCAACGCAAACAACTCAACACAATCCTTAATTATCACCATGGACGTCAAGTAATTTCCTTAAAACAACAAGTCACTTTTTACTGCTATAAAATCTATGTTTCAATTACGTTCAACTATGTTTATGTTTAAGTATTATTGTAATAAACTTTCGATACTCATTTTCTATTGCATCACGCATCCAGTCAGTCTGGACCGGAGTGTAGGATTCGAAAGTCTGTTTTCCGATACAACTTGAACAAATATTTATAACTTAGGAAATGAAGTGACCACTCTATCACAACTTACTTGCAAGCATATGGTACTCAGTCTTTTATCAAAAAACTGTTGACCAAGTTGAGTGGCGAGTAGAGGCATGTGCTCGATGATCGCAAGACGTACTCTCCATTTGCTATCTTCTGCCAACTCGACAATAGCTGGAAGCAATGACTGAGACAATTGATCGATCCCGATAACCTATTAAATATGGAATCGTAAAATTTTTAAATTGAAAGTGAAGAAAAATTGGGAATGGTATTTTGAATCAAATATGAAGGCCTCATGTATGTAATTAAAAATATTCTATTCTGTTGAAAAAACTTCCAGAAATTGCATAACCAAAATCATAGTTTTCAATGTAAAATTCAATCTTTAGAATGATGCCTACTATTTATTTTTCCCTCATTGAAGATTTGCAATATGTAAAGAGCATATAGATAATATCATTTCATTATTAGTAAAATGTATCAAACCTCTGAAGCCAAATGGAAGAGGTATGGGGAAACTTTACAGAAGGGAATTTTCAAAGAATTGTTTACTATGAGATGATACATAGAGGTAATTGAAAACAACAATACAGAATAGTTAAAACCACGTCATTTTGAAAGATTTTATGTTTCTGGTGCAAAAAAATTTAATTGTGATTTTTGTCCTGCCAAGAGATACCAAAAGCTTAAAAAGACAAAATTTTCGAATGAAACTATTCTCAAAGTATTCTCTATTAAATGAAGAATTTGAAACATCAAATAAATAATCCTGATTGTACTTGCATATTTAATTCGTTTCAGACATTTCTGTTTTAATTTATAAAGCAAATTTCAAAAAAAAAGGATATAAAATGCTTTCTTTATTCACTCCGAAGGATCTTAAAATAGTAAAAATATGAAAATAAAATGAATAACCCTTTGCACAAAACACAACTGAACCCCTACCTCATTGACACAATCTAAGTTCGATATTATATTCAATCTAACGTCAGGGCACTCATCTTTCAACTGCGACAGGAACAGCGGCAGTAGATGTTCGATGGTGGCATCCTTGCCAACGATAGGTGACAGACCCATGATGACTGAGGCCAAAGCAGATTTAACATGTTGGTTAGAGTCGACCACTAGTTCCTTGACATGTGGAAGAATATTCTGCATAATAGCAGTCTCTCGACTATCAGCTGGTAGTTGATCACAGAAGTCTTTTACTTTGTGAGCAACTGCAGCTCGTACTTCAGCCTCAACATCTCTCAACAGAGACTGCGAAAGAAGATTGAATACTAAATAACAGGATGCAATGGAATAGAATACTTACTGAAAGCCACAGTATTTGCCTAAAGCAGGGGTGGGTATGGGCAATTACTTTTCTAAGTGGGCCAGATTCACATAATGGACTTGGTTTACTTGGTCGGGGGCGCAAAATTATGATTTATGAATAAAAAACAGTTTACTTACAACAGCTAGGCTAACGTTTATACAATAATGAGAAGTACAATGTAACAAATTGGGGTCATCATGATGTTATTTTCATCGATATTATCAACAGAAACTTATATCCATAAAAACTATAGTCGTAATTTCAGTAGACTCAAGTGGGCGGATGAAACAATCCGGTCTTTGGGCAGTAATTTGCCCACCCCTGGCCAAAAGCATACAGCAGAACTTTCATGATATGTGGCCCTATTCCGAAGAAGACTCTCAACTTGCGAGGCTTCCTGGTCTTCTATAAAAATACCAAGTTTTGCCTTTAACATGTTTTCATCAGTTATTTTCACGTTTCCATTAGTTATGTTTATTAAAAAAAGCCAATAAATGAAAGTAAATAGATAAATCCATTATAGTCAAAGAATAGAACAAATCACAGTTAATTTACTTTAGATTAGTGCAGTGATGTGACGAGTGGTACCTGTTGAAGGTCTTTGATTAAAGTCCCATGGGCCCATAGCAGGTCCGCGGCGCAGTTTGAGAAACTCTGACCTAAAGTGAAATATGAAAAAAGAAGTAACTTACCTGGAAAGCTGGTACAAGATGATCTTTGGTAAGATTTGGACCAATAGCTTTCTGCAGAAGAGTGAATTTATCAGCAAGAACATATCGTACCCTCCATGATTTGTCAGTTGCCGCTTCTTTGATGGTATTCAACAAATATTTTTCACACTCTTGTTCATTAAGTAACTCTGGATAATAGAAAAACATATTGGAGAAAACATTTTTTTTTATAAAATTCCCAATATTATATTATACATGAAATCCTCTACAAAATTAGGTAAAAGATGTTACAGTGCTCTGAGCAATTAATTGTGGTCATATAAAGGTGTTTTAAAAGCAGACATAATGTCTAATCGCAACGCAAGAGAGGAACATAAACCTATATATGCGTATTATATATGAACATTGAAAATTTCACACCGATTTATGTGCTAAATTCCACCAAGTTCCAACAAGGAGAAATACTGTATTGAAAACCAACTTTCTAGCAAAATTTTGATTGTAACAATTTCATGAACACCCTGTATATTACCAATATATTATTGTCGAAATTTTATTTTCTGTGAAACAACTGTAATATTTTCTCGATATATTTGCAGAACCGATTATCTAACTGTTTTCAAAGTCGAAAGCTATATTCTATTCAACAAAACTTGAAATCATGAATATTATTCCACACAACAGTGAAAAAATTACCTGCAGTTGCCACACATCCATCAACTGAAAGTAATCTCACAGAATCTTGTTCGTCATTAGCTAAATTGTGCAACATTGGAATAATTTCAGAAATAACATTATCCTTCTCAACAACCTGAAATTGATAAAATTTGGTTAAAATGTCAGCATAAAATATCATAAAATATTTTACTGAGCAATCTCGTTTTGTCAAGTTGAATCATTAACTCACTGATTCCATTCATTAACATTAGCTATTATCAATACTAGCTTTATATAAATTTTATTAATTTATGGTAATTAAAATTTATTCAAATTTTTTTTTGCCGTCACTTGTAATTTCAAAATTTTTTGTGGAAACTCCATTACCAATAATGTTTGAAAAGGGGAAAATGAAGGAGAGGTATACTGTATACAAAGCTATACAAAAAGATATTGTTTTTGCTATATTTTTTGCTACTCGAGAAATCTCCCGAAGAAGAAACTCTATCTTAAGATTATGTTTGAAAAAGAGAATATGATACAGTAATATACGAAGTCTAACGACAACAAATGACAATATTATAAATTTATTCCATAAACTTTTCAAAAAAATTGTAAAGTGTTTTCATTCTGTTCTCACTGAAAAATTATTACGGTGGTCTAATTTGAGTTTCATCATATCTCATATCTTATCTAATCTAAAACATATCTGTAAATGGCAATCAAATTTCTTTCAATGTTTTGATAAATCAATTTCGCAATGAAAAATTTTAGTATTACAAGACTGATATTAATTTTACAATAAATGTCTATATTGCTATATCTATAGTATATTGCACCATATCATGTCACTTTTATTTTGGTATGCTACTATTCAGGACTAAAATAGACTTTAGTAATGATTAACCAGTTTCACTCATTGTTGCTATGTGGGAGACGGTGATGACGAAACAAGCAAATAAAAAAAATCAATGGTATTGATACAAATTGCAATGGTAGATTATAATTTTCTGTGTGATGATAATTAGGATATGCATATTTCGATACTCAAAAACATATTCTCATACCCAACAACAAAATTTTCTACAGGGATATTTCTTACAAAAAATATTAGATAGAAAATACTGTTAAATTCTGGACCTGTAAAAAATATTATGAAAAGATGTAAAGGTTCAATAATAGGTTATTACTATCATAGCCTCATATGTTCAAAATGTACGTCAAATTTTTAGCATGAATGTACAAAAGGAATGAATATTTCAATACAGTCAGATTCAATGTAGGAAACTCTCCCTTTAAAAGAGTTACATTTGACTGGCAGAAAAAAAATTGTTCAATTTAATATAAGACTAAAAAAATATCTTGGTAGATATTGATTTTCTTATACATTTGGTATACAATTTTGCAAACTGAAAAGTCCACGACTTACTTTTGCAAATTCACCCAGTTTAGAAGCCGCTGCACGCCGAACCATTGGTGTATCATCTCCACACAAATTTCGGAATAATGTTCGCAGTTCTTGTTTTACAGTCGATGATACTCGAGAATAAGAAACGCTGCCAAATAAAAAAAAACATTGCTTGACTTGAGAATTTACTGATGTTTTTGAAATTGAGTGAAAGTTTGAAATTTAACAGACTATATTTAATCCAGTCCAGTATTTCTAAATATTCCTAATGAATATAGCGAATAATATACATCAATATTATACAAAAAACACATTGAAGTCGAGAAAGTACAGTATATTAATTCACTCCATTAATGAACACCAATCCTTGTCCTTTTTAATTAATACATATATTATGTCTACAACAACCCTAAATCTAAATCTTTGAATCAAACCAGTAATTAAAACCAATTACCTGAGAAATCGATACTAAATACATCACATAAGAAAATCTTCACTCATTCTCAATTAATTTTTAGACATATTATTACCTATCTCAGCATGTTTCAAACTGGGCCCTCAGTATTTTTATAGAAGAGTGGACATAAATGGGCCACAAATCATGAAAATGAGAACCACTGAACTGCGGATGCCTAAATTAATAAAACTCCACAAAACGTCCCAAACGAAAAAAATAAAATAAAAAAAATTCAATCTGATCATTATTACCAACCTGAAAAGTCCACATGATGATGTTCTTGATGTGAACCAATCTCCAGTTGCCAATCTTTTTATGAGAGGAACCAAGTGAGTCTCCAGGTCTGCAGGTGAATGATCATTTGCTACGGTTCGTAAAGATTCCACTGCTTTGTCTCTAACGACGGTTTCCTGGTAAATAAAATTAAGATATGATGTCTTTTTTATCCTGGGTTGGGAAGCCGATAAAACGGCTTAATCATATGGCGCACCACGGCCTCTTGTCCAGTTACCAGTCCATGTCAGGTATGGGATTAGTCGACCGGTTATTCGTACCAGATGCGTGGACTAGATAAACATGCATGGACAAGTAGATAAGGACAGGGTATTAATTAATACTAGAAAGAGGAAAAAATAGTGATAGTAATGAGTGATAAAATGCAAATTTTTTACTGTTATTTTCAGTTTTAAGAGATAAAGTACCATGTGTGTGCTATGTAGAATGCCTGGTTCATTTACTGAACAAAATAGTATGAAGACTAAATTCATAGCTTTTAAATAATATGAATTGGAATTTCGTTCAATTGTAATTGTGTTGGCGTTCTTTAATTCAAGTTAGTGTATCTTGGGGTTGAAATATGCTTATATCCTGAAAAAAAACTTTCATTTTTGCCTCTGAACCTGAGGGACACTGATTATTATTATTTTCTGTCAGTCCGGATGACAATTATATCCAGAATTAATGATTAGTTTAATTAAACACAGATTATACTGATTGAGCAATATTACGGTAATCAATAAAAGAATAACTAAAAATTATATGAAATCCCAGAAAATTATTTGTAATCGAAGATATTAGACTTTGATCATACCATGTATGTAATGACTAACAAGTCATTCAATACCCATACTACACAAGAAAAATAAGAGGTGTAAACAAAACAATTTTAACATTAGCACCTATGGGGAATGAGATACCCATTGGAAAACAACACCAATAAAAGTTTTATTTGAAAACATTCATTGAGAAACTTGGCCATGTTTATTGTTTTGAAAAATACAAAATTAATAACAAGAACTAAACAAATTTTGTATCAAAAAAAAACACCCATGTTTACGATGAACAATAACCTCAAAACTACAAAAGTGCAAATTTATGTTCCGTTGGCGGCACCTTTTCCATAGGAGCTAATGTTAAAACCGTTTTGTTTATGGATCTTTCTTTTACTGTGTGAAATTTTAAATGACTAAAGTCTTTTAGTATTAATAATGAAAGACAGCAAAAAGTTACCTCCACTGTCGCCAAACTCTCTAATGGTGGTAACAAGCAATGCGCAAAAGCATTTCCACCAACCAATGGTGTGAATGAACCAAGTTGCTCAGCGAGCGCAAGAAGAACTTCATCCTGTAATGAGGTAATATAATTTAAACATCAGAAAATCAAAACTATCAGCAATAACACAATTTCTTGGTTGCTTTAACATAAAATTAAACTACTTAAAATAACGATCATTTTCACATAGCATTTATTTTACCAAGAATTAACTCAAGGTGAGACAGCTACACTTGTATACTATCAGCGAGTTTTTGAAATTGTGTCATGGCTTTACATAGCCAAATTGATGTTGCCAAGTTTTTACGCTTTGATACTACCCACATATACAATTACTGTACTATTTAGCAAACCTCCAATACCAAATGCAAAATAAACGCTAAAAAATACTAGAAAATAAAATCAATAACTTACAGGTTTTTTGCTGTAAAATCAAGCAACCCAAAAGTATTTTAAGGCGACTCAGTTTTGGGAAACACATACTGCTAGGTTGAAAAACACTGTTTAAGGTACTAGTAATTATGCCGAGTGTGAATCTCATTAAACGCTAAATATCAATATCCTTTATTCCATAAAATTTCTAATTAAATTGAATGAGAATACAATTTTGTATTACCATTTCATAATATTGTATTATTTGTATAACATATACTGATATACGTTCAACCTGACCAGAAAACGTTACAAGTTTGGTATGTCAGTGCACGCTTTCTATACCATAATAGATGGAGTTGGAGTCAGAGCTATCAGGAATTTCAGTGGCTCCAGCTCCAAACTATCTAATTATTTTTCAAATTTTATAATTTTCTAATATTTCATACACCTATTCAAAACCAGCTATTTCAGTTTACTTTTTTTTAACTTGAAATCCAATACTGATCTACAAATTTTAAGTCGCGTTTGTATTACCGGTATGTATATGTAAAAGTTTGAAGTTTACTTGTTTAGTTTTCACCCTACCACAAAACTGCATAATTGAGCTGATGTTTTATGGTGAAAGATATACCAAAAAATCTCAATGGCTATGAAGTTACGTGAAAGAATATGAAACTCCCAAGCGCTGAACCCATACCAGCCAATTATGTCAGAGTTTTGTGTGTAGAAAGCATTTGGGCATTTATACGGTAAAATGCGTTCCTACTTACAAATTTTCTGCTTACAAAAAGGCTTCCGAACAAAATAATTTCGCAAGGAGAGTTTCTACTTTTCTAATTTTGAAAAATGAATTATTAATATAAACATCATTAATAATACCTTGATATTAATTTTAAGATGAAAATCTATAATAAACTAATAAAAAAAATTCCAACCTCATCACACATAGAATCAGTTAAAAAAGGAATCAGCTCCGATCTAGTCCGTTCAACTCCCAATGCCAGAGCAATTGTTGACAACTTTCTCATGCTGTTTAACTGAAGTTGAACATCTTCATTTCTTAATTCATCAATTAAAACTGCTATAGGATAAAGTGAGTCATCCCCTGCTTCGTCAACCATTTTTTAGTTTTGTATATTAATTTTAAGTCAAATAGAATAAGCCAGCTAGACAATATTCTAAAAATCAGTATAAGTATCAGTAAAAATTAAAATTTGAGATAAGATAAGATAAATACAGAAATATGAAACAAACCTTTATTAAAGGTAAGAATAGGAATAGTATATACCGAGAGAAGTAAACAAAGGTTATTTATCATATTTATAAATTATAACTACTGAAATATGTATACATTAAGTATATAATATACAGATACACCCTGTTAATTTGTAAATGTCAATTCTAAAATAACAGGTTATTGTAATCGAGTAAATAGCTTAGAATAAAGTTAATATTTATAACAGCTAACAGATTAAAGTGATCTGACATTCTAGAATAACATTTTCAAATTTGAAATATCAAACATATTCTAAATGGGCTTGGAGTTTAACAATGATCACATACAGTTTTAGATGTCAAAGTATATTCTATGAGTCGTTTTGGCTGTTTGGAGAAGTCAGACGGTTAAGATATGGGGACAATGGTTAACTGGTTCTCTATTTTCACAGCTTATAGAAATTGAAAGAAGACATTTTTGCTGTGGTGCAGTAGTGTTAGACTTCAATTGGTTGATTGGGGTCTCCCGAAGTATACATCCACAAGCAGACAAGTACTTCTACAGTTCTAGTTGGCCTGACTCCACAAGCAGGACAAGCGGTTGTGCCACGCCAAATAGAAGAACTTACGGCGTTTAGTAAACATGCGCCCCAAAATCATTATTCTAAGCCCACTAGAAGTACCGGTACTTGAGAGTGCGTACTTCAGGAGACCCTTCGATTGTTTCTAAAATTATAATTTTGAATATAAATAAACTACTGAAATACTGCGAATTGTTAGAAAAATTTGATTCAATTTGGACATAACTACTTGAATTCTTAGCATAAATTCTTAATCAGACTGAAAATAAAATTGTTACTCGAAACAGAAGATTATCAATAAACCCATAAAAAAAAACATTATTATTACCGGTATTCAATATCTTCATATGAAATTGTGTATACAATATAAAATAGTTTGAAAATAAGACAAAAACCACAAAATCTCAAAAGATGAAGCTCCTCATATTATACCTACGGTCTACAGCGCGAAATAATCGTACTGTCGCATCGACCTTATTTTATCTGCCTGTCTGTTGAGCCTGCTTGGTTAACTTGCCAGGCCCAAGGACTACTGTAACTCTTTAACCTAAATGTAACCAGTAGTTCAGGAGAAAAACCTCTAATTACAGGCTAGCCTCTTTTTTTGTCTCATTTTATGGCAAAGAAATTTTCCGTTCCAGTGTCTCACGAAAATAAAATCCGCCAGTGGCGCTATATACAGTGAATTGCGAATCGATGAATGTCGAATGTTTCAGCGAAACCGCCTACCCGAAAACAGAGGTGCAGTTATCACCACTTCACAGAGGATTTGATTGTGAATAAAAAAAGCATGACCAAAAAATATTAACAGAATTATAATTTACGTTTAAATTGAGTTCACTTTTATGTTTGAATGAATTAAGTTGATCAGAAAATAATTCGCCGATTTATATTGTGCACGTCACAAAACATGGAGATATTACGTTGATAATGAATGAAGCACAACCGGTGTTAGCAAAACGATGTAATTTACCGACGTTTCGAATTTCTATACAGAAAAACTTCATCAGAAGTTCTATCATTCTGTATAGAAATTCGAAACGTCGGTAAATTACATCGTTTTGCTAACACCGGTTGTGCTTCATTTATTATCAACATGAGTTTACCTGGTGGCAATCATGCACTATGGAGATATTACACCACAATGATTGAATTACCCAAGTTATCAGTTCGTTCATGCTGTTACGCATTTGTACGCCGTTTGGTGTATAGCAGCAATCGGCGACCTGCATCCCCGAGGCCGCATGCGGCACTTTGTTCTCGTAGCTCTTGCGCTCCCATGAATCAAAGTAGCTACAGCATTTTATGTTGATAATAAATGAAGCACAACCGGTGTCAGCAAAACGATGTAATTTGCAAATTAAAATTGGCAAATTACATCGTTTTGCTAACACCAGTTGTGCTTCATTTATTATCAACATGAGTTTACCTGGTGGCAATCATGCACTACAGCAGTGGGGATTCAATAAAAGTCGGCGGCATAAATTCGATTACTACTCACTAATTACACGTAACAGCAGGCAGAAATCGAGAGCGATAAAAATAGGTCGCAATAAGGTGGTTCAAATCTGTCAAAACAAACTTATCGTTTTTATTTCCAAGTTCTTTTCATTTCGTCGTAAACTCAATTATTGCATTATTCGTAATTTATTTGGCTTCTTCTTAGTAAGGACTAGAATATTGCATCATTAGTTGTTGTCCGCGAGTTTTAATAGCCACTGACAATAGAGTAGAAGTTGCGGCTCCGAGTAGGTTTGAGTTTGACAAAAAGGATGGTCATGGCTCATTCAATGCTAAAGGTTGACCCGTCGTGTTTAAGAACACGATTGATTTTGAAATTGAAATATTTAAGATTGAAATATTTACAATCTTACCTCGATAAATATATCATGGTCAATCCCACACATGTCGTCTAAAATCAGTGTAAGTGTGCGAAACAGAGAATCATGGGCATATAGCTACATGCTGAAATACTCTACTCCAGGGGTCTGCAACCTTTTTACAGGCGGGCCAAATACATGTAACTGGGTGAAGCCGCGGGCCGCACCTGTATACTCTACCTACGAAAGTCGCTGGATACGAAACATTCGTAGTCGTAGGCTAAGCAAAGGCCGTGGAGAGTCGGAGAAGGCGTTAAAAGTCAAAAACTAAGAGATAACGTAATGTACGAAAATTTTTATTATTTTTCTCCTAGTTTTAACTGTCACGCGTATCATCGTATTTGCAACTGAAACTGAGTGAGACTTATTGTACGTACCCGCGGGAAACAAACGGGCCAATGGGATGGCAGATATTTGATTGGCATGTGGCAGGGCAGATACCACAGACTTTAGTTTTTATATTGCCCACAACACCATTCGTTGATTCAGAGAAAAACGCAAATGTAATTACGCAATCATCGTCATTATCAAATGAGTGAACCTGATTCCCAAATTCCCATCTGCCAATAAAAGAGAATTAAGATCGGAAATCTATTTTTATTTTTCGAGTCGGCGCTGATTCAAATATTTCATGTCGGCCGTTATGATTTAATTTTTGATTATAAATTAATACCATCAACTTAAACTGAACGATGTTGTCATCAACGACGCCGCGATAGATACTGAATATTATTTAGAAGCTATTTTATACGCTCAAAATTGCAAAAAAATGATAAAGTTTGCCCTCATGTTCGGTCACTATCGAAATGAAAACAATTGATTACAACACAATTTGCTTTTAGATTTATTGCCGAGGCGCACAAACTATCTCAACAAAATTTAAATATATATACGATAATAATTCTAAAATATTTCCAATCAAAAACATCTTCGACGTGCAATAAGCACTTCAAGTCAGCGCTAATTGAAATCCCTCCATATCGACGGTAATTTACTACCGCGCGCATACGACTGCCTCCCATTGCGATAAAAAATAAAAGGACCTCCTGAAGTATGCGCACCAAGATGGCGCACAACCTGAACTCAGGTTGTGTACCAGGTCACGGTTCAGGTTGTGCGACATCTTGGTGCGCATACTTCAGGTGGAAGTACCAAATAAAATATATAATTGTAAAATGTTTTGAATCCAAGGGTTGACAGGGCGCTTGGATATGTGCGCCCTGTTCGGTATTCTTACTAACACGAAAAAAAAAAATCGAAGTTTGCGATATTCGAATAATAAATTCGAATTGGACAATGGACATCCGTGCTTCAAGCACTACATTAAATTAATCTAAAATAAACAAATGTCAATACACGCGTTTTTTGTATTGTGTAATTTCAGGTTGGATCTTTCTAGCTATTCTCACTGATATGACAGTGACATTCCGGTACTGGAATAGGCTTCGCGACGCAAGGAGATTGAAATTGCTCGCTAGTTCCAGATTAATTAATCTAATAGCTCGTTTCGCGGGCACATCATTCAAAATTGTCACTTATCCGCGGGCCGCACAATTTTCTTTGCGGGCCGCATTTGGCCCACTGGCCGCAGTTTGCACACCCCTGCTCTACTCAGTAAAAAGTAGATTATTTCTGCTTGTCACACCGCACTAATTAAATTTAATATAATGGAAGGGCTCGCCATCTTGCCCGCATGTTACGCAACGCAGGTTATATTATTTGCATTAGTCACGATTGCTTTATTTGGTTTGTCGCGGTGTCATTCATCACAAGGGTTCTTTTCTACTATAATTACCTGAAATTAATAACTGATAGGCTGTATCATTTCAGCATCAGAAAGTATTCCTAACAGGAAAACGGCTATTTCGATAGTACTGTCCACAATCAAGCGAATATAAATGTTGTTAGTCGCAATATACCGTTGCAAAAATCACTTTTTTTGGCTACATATACATAGTAGTTTTCAAATTTAATCTCAGATTAGCGAAGTTTTTTTGTTGTGTTCCAGTAGTCGCGCGTAGTCCCACTAGCACGAGACTTTAATATTGTTAACATACATTAAAAGTCGTTATATCTTCCTCCGCCACTCTTTGGAATAGATCGTGGACGAGCTGTTAACTCAAATACTCCTAACCCACCTAAAAGGTGGGCATTATCGGCTCCAGTGTTAATTGCTAGAGATTTCCATAATAATTAGCACGTGAATATAGCCATTATCATCCGGCCTCTGCCTATTTCCTAAGTCAATTAGGTAGAGCTGCGTCAAAACCCATATGATATTAAGGTTTTTGAGCTAAGAGGGCTTGAAATTTGTATTGTGTCTCCTGAACTTCTCAGGGCTGATACTCATAGTCTGAACCCACGTTGCTGACTACGGTGTCCTAACCTACGTTGCTCACACCAAAACGGAAACCACTAGGTATTACCTCTGCCCAGGACAATTCCAATATCTACAAAAACAAACGTCACATTTATGAGCTTCTACATTTAATTCCATGGTATAGTAGCTGTCAATTGAAATGTGACTTCGTAAATATTTTAAACAGTAACAATTTTGTTGCATACAAAATAAAAGCAAACAGTAATTGATATACAATGAATAACTGTTGAAAAAACACTACAGACTTCAAATTTTTGTGAAATATCAAGGTTTGAAAGGTTCAATGGCAGCCAATTCATAAACACTGTCACAAAATGCAATGTAATTCACATCATCTTTTCCACCAATTCGTACTTTAAACTTTGAAAATATCACACGAAATTCCTGTTCACTCAACAACGAACCAAGCTCAAGTTCACTCAGCACCCTATGGAATTGAAAACGAGATACTGAGCCATTATGGACGCGATCATAATCTTCAAACAAAGGGAAAAGTTGGGTTCTTGTTTTTCGTACATGTTCCGATAGCCTATCCATAGCTTGTTTGAAAACGATTTCAGCTTCTGAAGTCAACTCATTTTGCTCCCATTCAACAGGGGGCTTGAATAGAGTTGGCTGAACTAGTGGTGTTTTCACTAGATTTTTGATAGTGAATATTGATTCAATTTCGTCCTGGAATGCAAGATAATCCACAAAATCAGGATTTTCATAAGACCTGTATGCATCTTCAAGAATGTGTACTTCAGATTCTTTCAATTCAAGTCCAGCGAGATCAAGAGATCGCCTGAAATTGGGAACAAGAATACGTCCAGTGCGCAGTTTGTCATAATCTCGCATAAACTCATAAATATGCATTCTTTCTTTACACACTTTTGTCTTAATTTTTCTGATGATGGAGTTGAGATCAGTCAATGCATCGATTTCAGGGGGCTTTTTAAAAGCGTTAACAGCTTGCAATTCTTTTAAGTGTGCTGGGTACTTGGGCTCTTGCCTTTCTCTAGGCTCAAGCTCATCCAAAAATTTCAGGTAATTGAATCCAATGTTGTCAGAAAACTTTTTCTCCATAGCTGCTACTTCGTCATCATCAGCATGTAAATCCAGATAAGCAAGGCACTGACGAAATTGAGACTTGGTAACATGACCATTATTATGCCTATCAAAATCTTGAAAAATTGGCTTAGCCATCAATCGTCTTTGATTACTTCGGCTAAACATTCTAACAATCGCTTCATCGTATGAAGATTTCAAGTCTTCAGATTCAACTTCCCAGTTTACACAGGCACCTTGTTTAGGCAGGTGGAATGTCTCATGTGGCGGTACAACGAGTGTTGGGTGCTTCTCTAAGTTAGGTTGTGTAAAGACAGACTCAACATCTGTCAGAAACCGGGTCCATAACACACAATCAGATTTTTTGGGATCCACATAATGATCAGTCAAAGCTTTCAGCTGATCTTCTTTGACTTTTGTAACCCCCATACTGTTCAGACCACGTTGAAAAATAGCTTTAGAGATTGATCCACTTCTTAATGGATCAAAATCTTCAAAAAATTCAACAACTCTGACACGATTAACCAAAGCATGGTTTCTTATCCGAGCAAGCAGGTCATTCAAGTTAATATGAGCTGTGCTTATGGTTCGAGGCTGCTCAGGAGGCACATACGTGGATGAAGGTGGTTCTGTAGGAGCGTCGATGGTATAATGTTTAAATTCTTGATCAACAGCTTGACAAAAAGCAGGATAATTGACATCACCACTGATAGGCTCCTCAAACTTACGGCACAGTAGACCTGTGTCCTCATTGGTCACAGTGAGACTTAGAAAATGAAGTATTCTTGCAAACTGAGACTTGGTTACATTTCTTGTATACGCAATTCCTCGATCATAATCTTTAAAATATGGGTAAATCATCAGGCGTCTTTTCAGAACTGCTTCACGTATGTAAGCAAGGATGCTTTCTACTCGATCTTCTTCCTCCTTCGACAAAGCAATGAGGTTTCTTGTCAATGCACCACGAGGCGGCCTCAAAGGATGAACTGTTGGGTGTTTTTCAAGTCCAGGGACATTAAAGATACTTTCCATGATGTCACAAAATTCTTTGTAGCATACTCGACCATCTTCTGTCTGATAATGCTTAGCAATAGCTTGAATTTCTGATTTACTGAGCTGTGCTTCTTTTCCACAAGCTAGTGAGAGCCCACAAACAAACTGATTTTCAGTTATGATACCACTACGAAGCTTGTCGTGGTCTCTAAAAAATTCAGTCGTTCGAATACCATTTTTGTATACTGCAACACGGATCTTCTCAAATGTTGTACGTAAGTCAGGATCAATATTTCCAAGACGATCGATGAAAGTATCATTCATAATATCTGCATCGCTTTTAGATAGATTCAGCTTCTCTTCATTTGCATATGCCTTGATGACCTCAACGTCATTATGAAAATTGAGATAATTGCATAACGAAGGTCGAGTTGGATCTTGATAATGCCCTGCTAACAACTCTATTTCATCTTCTGTAACATCAGGTGGCCCAGGGAATGAACGAGCAAATTGAGATCTTGTTACCAAACCATTGTGATGTTTATCAAAATCTTCATAGCATGTTCGTATATTTACACCATGGTATGTATAGTAATTTTGCACTTTTTCAAGAATGTCTTTGACTTTTCCTGAAACTTCTGAAGATGATGGTTGCAGTGATCTTGTAGTGCCAAGATATTCCATGGGTACTTTTGTCTGATGTTTTGGATCCTCATTTAGTTTACTAGGCTCAAAATCTTCGTCAATCACATCAGAAAAGAGACGATAATTAATCATTCCATTGCCTTTAGTGTTGTATTTATCAACAAGATCGTCCACTTCATGTGGCCGCAAAGTCAATCGAAGATTTTGATTGAGGCATCGTTTGAACTGTGAAGCAGTAATAAAACCTGATCTCAACCGGTCAAAATCTTTAAAAAATTCGGACACTCTCACTCTCTTTGTTCTAACTTCTGTCCTGATATTTTCTTCCGTAGTTAAAGCAGAACTGGCGCCCATTTTTTAGCAGATGTGTGACAGAAAACAACCATATAAACACACGGCCAATCCGACATCCACCAGTTTTCCTAACTCAAATGAATGTGTTAATTGCGCTGGTATCTATGGCAACAAGCAGACAAAATGTCTACTAGTGGGCGCAATGACGCCACAGGTTAAACCATTTGCAAATGACAGAATCATTGTTTGGCAGTTCGAAACCTAGCACCGTTAAGTCTAATTCAGCCCTATTTTAATAAATTACGCTCTTGTATTACAAAAACATCAATATATTTCTAATACGTCGTTTATCACATTAAACTGTTGTTGCTATGGTTACGGTGCTCATTCACGCGATGCGGTGTATTGATTGAAGTTGTGGTCCGCCGGTATTTTGAGAGGCCCTCGTCTCGTCAGAATTTGGCCTTACACTATGAAAATTAGCCAAGTACTTCCGAGGAGAAACCAGATTGTACAGCTCTTATAATATGAGTTTTAATTGACCTCGAAGTTTCAGATGAATGTAGAGTGAAGCTAATTAAGATAAATTGGATAGGTGATTGAAGTTGTCGGTAGCTTGTTTGAACGTTGTGAACGGTTTTAACACTGAGGCAATACGTCGTGAGATAGTTTCAGATTGTGTTATGTACATTTTGGTCCAAGGCGATTTCACTATCAATATTACAAGTCGTCATTACGCTGTGTGCCTGTAAAACGTATTTAAATTAGGATGGTTACATAATGGAATGCAACATGGCCACTATTGCCTTTGTAACATTATTCCAATGAATACTTTGTTTCAGAAATGAAGGTAGGAGATTGACAATCGACTGCAAATTTTGGAAAACAGCGTTAGAACTTTAATGTTTTGCTGTGTCCCATCGATATCCTCATTTTAATCAAATGGTGTTTTTATGTTTGTTAGATAATATATTTATTTATAGTTTTGGTTGCAAATGCAATGCTCATCGATAAAATGTAACAAACATAACAAGACACAGATGCTATTTATTTGGTAACCATGGCCACCAAATTGTTCAATGGGGCCCCCTTCGGAACTCAAACTGCCCGGTTCGACATTTCTGCAGTTCACCCACAAAGTAAAGTACCAGGAACGTTTACACAAGTCCCTTATTGTAAGAAGTCTACTAACGAACTGAAAAGGCGACTCGGCCCTGGCACTTACAGAGTAGATGTTGGAAGTTTCAATGAAGCAGAGGTGTTAGCGAGGGCACAGGGGCCCGGGTGGAAAAGAGCTTACGAGACTATGCGCCTCGGTAAAATACCTCATTTGCTGTACAGAGAGCAATGGGAAAAGAAAAATGAGTTGAAAAAAAAACTTGGCCCTGGTACGTATAACACGGAAAGAGCTGATTTCATTTTAGCCCTTAATCAGAAGCCATCAAGCTCGAGAGGCGTTTGTGCAACTCGCGAACAAAGATTTCGAGAAAATCATGATAGCGGTGTTCCCGGACCGGGAACTTACGGAAAAGGTGGGATTCCGGCGGCCTTGAAAGAAGAACGATCAAGAAAGTCGGCGAGTACAACAGGACTACTCGATGCGGGTTCATCAACGCCACGAAATCTCCCAATTCAAGGCTGTGAATTGGCTCCAGGGCGATACGAAAAGCTCAGTTTTACCGATGAAATTCTCAACAAAGTTGTGAGCAAACGTGGTCCTTATGATTTATTTACAGGAGAAAGAAATAAAGCTAATAAAACAGGACACTACGCAACTGTTTCTCTCGGAAATTTAGGACCAGGAGAATATAATTTGCCCTCGTTTCTTGATCGATGGAACGATGAGCATCGCCGAAAACATGGAAAACTCGGAAAAGTTAGACAGTATCCTGATGTACCCACAGAGAGAATCTACTGCTGCACACTTTCCCAATGTCCAAAATCTGCTGATTTTCCAGCAGCAAATTCTTATACACCACGTACGCCATCATCCAGAGGAGGGAAAAATTTACCACCATACCTTTCTTCCGCTGAAAGATTCGACAAGCGCGCTGAGAAATTTTTCACTGGAAACATGAATCAAGTTGGTGCCGGAAGGTACGACACCGAAAAATGGAGCTCGGCGCAACACAAATACAGCTGCGTTCATGTGTTTAGCTCCACATTCCCTCGATTTAACACCCAAGAGCGGAACAGTTATTTGAAAGAAAGAGTACGTGGAAAAGATCTTAGAACGAATGATCGTGTATTTATTGTGTAAATTTTAAACCCTTTATTTGCTGAATTGTATTCGGCGGCTTAGAAAGCCATTTGTATTATGAGCAAATACTAGACACAGCCATACGCTTGATGAGATTAATTCTTCATGCACTTCAAACAATACTATTTAATTCAAATAAATCTACGAACATTGCCACTTTAATTATTTGCTTAGATTTTGAAACTCTATTGAGTAAATTAGGAAAAACGGCATACTCTCAGCCAGTCAAAAATCATATATTGTCGAGAAGGCGATATTGCAAAGCAAAGCACTTTACTGCATTGCATGTCTTATATAAGAGCGGAAAACTATAATTACCAACAAATTTAACTAGATACAATTATTCTACGTAGCATATTTATATGCAAAGGTAGCAAAAATAACAGATCGAGAACAGAAAATAAAAATGCCTTTAAATAAACCTGCATACACAAGCTAGTAGTAAACATTTTAAAAAGTGATGAGAAATGTGATGCATCAGTTTTTATTTCACCTACGAATTTCCACACTGGATTTAGCCTTGGCATGGATAGTTCATGTTTCGATCCAACTATGGTAATTTAGATTGTACAAAAATAGATATTAAAAAACTAAAAAAAGTACATTTGTGCTATAAATACTGGCTCTGATAAAATTAGATATTTGTGTTCAAATAGGCATTGCCGCCTGAACCAGCATTCCCGCAGAATATTGTGTCATGTTATAATAACCTTTGTTATTTTGTGGTGCCCTAGACTAGTAGAGCCTGTAGAACTGTTTTTCTTAATCTGCCGTAGGTATAATATTGAAAAATGTCAAAATTGTGGAATTGATTTTCAAATCAGCTAGATTTAAGCAAAGTTGATTCGATTAAAGTCCATATCTTTACTTCGCTGGAAGATTCGACAAGCGCGCTGAGAAATTTTTTACTGGAAATATGTATCAAGCCGGTACTGGAAGGTACGACACCGGAAAATGGAACTCGGCGCAACATAAATTAAAGCTGCGTTCGTGTATTTAGCTCCACCTTAACCACCCTCGATTTATCACTCGAGAGCGGAACAGTTATTTCAAAGAAAGAGTACGTAGAAAGGATCTTAGAACGAATGATCGTATATTTATTGTGTAAATTTTAAACCTTTTATTTGCTGAATTGTATTCAGCGGCTTAGAAAGCCATTTGTATTATGAGCAAATACTCCGCAAAGCCATACGCTTGATGGAATTAATTCTTCATGCACTTCCAACAATACTATTTAATTCAAATAAAACTACGAACATTGCCACTTTAATTATTTGCATAGATTTCGAATATCTCTTGAGTAAATCAGGAAAAACGGCATACTCTCAGGCGAGAATCATATGTTGTCGAGAGGGCGATATTGCTAAGCAAACATTAGGGGCGGAGAACTAAAATTACTAACAAATTTAACTAGATACAATTATTCTACGCAGCATATATCGGCAAAGTAGTAAAAATAACAGATTGATAACTGGTCGAAAATAAAAACGTCTTTAAATAAACGTGCATGCACAAGCTAGAAGTACAAATATTAAAAAGTGATGCTTTAGTTTTTATTCCACGAATTTTCACACTGGATTGGATGGCATAGATAGTTCGTGTTTCGTTCCAGCTATAGTAATTTGGATTGGACAAAAATATATATTAAGAAACTGAAAAAAGTAGATTTGTGCTATAAATACGGGCTTTGATAAAATTAGAAATTTGTCTTCAATATTCAGACGAGGCATTGCGCCCGAATCAGCACCTCCCAGAATTTTGTACCTGTCTGGTAAAAAATGATTTATTTGCCATATCTGTGGCAAGAAATCAGAACATTCTTCTCTATTGGGATTAATGGAGGCCGGGTGAGCATTTGACACCAACGGCTTACCGACCACGCTATGAGCGATAATAAGTAAAAATATCAATTTTTCAACGTTTTAAGCAGCTTCGTGTTGAACAAGGTTATATGTATGTAGACACCATGTCTCGCAGGTGTGAATAGACATTCCCAAAAACCGAGTATTTTCGAAATTGAATCATGTATTTTGGTCAAATACAATTTTTGAATACTTAGTTGTTGGTGGAATTTCATTCAGCTAACACCTCAGAATAATACTGATATCGATAAAAACATCAATTTAAAAGTAATCATAATGCGTAAAACAAATCACGCTCCATAATCTTATACCTAGTTCAAAAACATTAAATGTGATTACAGTGTAATCATTATTTGTGGGCTGTTGTATAAAACTCTCATCTAACTTTTAAAACTTAATAGGATGATTAGGAACGAGATCAGCCAGCCAGCTTGTAGCGTAATAAATATTTAGTGGAAAAGTATCATCAGCAAAAATTAATTTTCGACAAATACAATACTATATTAGTCCACGCCCGATCTCGCGCAAAAATGTTTGTACTACCTTGCGCATTCCACCAAAATGGCGCGTATATACGAGTCTGGAAATGTTTCCGCAGATACATGTCATTTGGACATTACATTCGAATTATCCTTTTTGGCTTTTTCAAGTTACCAAATTTTAATAATTCCGCGAAAAATTTATTTCTGACTATTGCTTAATATTTCCTTGGGCGTGACAAGACGACAAGCTCTTGTGAATTTTTGTTTAAAATTTTGTCTTTAGGCTCTAAAGACCCGAAGTGATTTTATTTACGTGTTCCAATTCTTACTGATTTCAATCAGTGCTATTGAGATTACATCGTGAAATATCCTAATTTGTTGTTTGACCAATGCAAAATATTGATCATTAGCCGACTATATAATGTACGGTAGCTACTGTGGTGAAACAGTGTACAATGCTGAAATACCGCCTCTTTCAAACAATTGATTTTGTCACGGGAGTTATATAGGTAACAATGAGAAAATCGGACAATATTACAGTGAAACTCGTGATTTTATTATTGCTTTCCACTATAATTTACACGTATTTTCGCACGATACGATGTAATGTGACCACAGGCAACTTAGTTCCAATATGGCAATGTCCATCATTATTTTAAACGCCAAGAGGATAAAGATTAACATGCAGAGGCGGACGCCTGTGACTCACGCACGAATCACGATGAAAATCCTGTTGCTTTATTGCTGACAGTTAAATGTCCGCCACACGAAAGCAGTTGTTATGAAATGTTGCAATGCTGCAACATCGTATCGATCTGTTTTGCACGAAACAGCAAATACGCCTTTTTTCGGGAAACTACTTTCGTTGTAACAAAAATTGATCTCTTGTAGTATAGAAAAAAAATAACAATAATCCAAGAAAATGAACTTCCATACTCTGCATCGAGAGTTAAAATAGTAAATTGAGCGTAAGACCTACCGCAATTGAATCGAGATAAAATGCCACTGCTCTAGAACTGACAGTACGAGCAATTATTTGCAAAGCTAGGAAACGATTTTGACAAACATGTATCGATTACTCTCATGCAAACGCTTAAGTTGAGCGATCTTATTTACATAATTAATTCAATGATAACACTGTTATCCTCTGAGAATATTATTAAGTTTATGGAACAACAAAAATGCTTTCTCTCTTCATATTTCGGTCTGAACTCTACTGAGAATCACCTTAACTCTGCTATTTCATTTCGACATAAATAGTATATCTTAAAAAAAAATAACATCATTGACAAGAGAGTTCGAGCGAATACACATTCACTGCATTGTTACGAACTTTTGTTCAGTAGGTTTACTGTTTTAGAACAGTAGTTCCCAGGTGCCGGTCCGCGAAGCTTTTTTGCCGGTCCGCGAGAAATTTCGTTGTTTCCATGCCGTCTCAATCGCTTTACCGAAGACGAGTTGCGTTGGTTTATTACGTAATTTCTCTTCCGCCGTCATATTGTGACGTCTTTCGCGACATCTTGGCGCCGAGTAATCACACTTTTGCTTTTTCGGCCGCTATTCTTCGCGAATGCGCTCCATCAAATCTCGCAAGATTCAGAAACCCGAAAATCAGCACGCGTGCTCTTTCTATTCTGCGTGCTTTTCCTGATTAACATGACCATCCATATAAAACGTTATGCATATTTCTGTGTTTAAACCAGAAAAACAGTTGAGATTATTATAATATTCCAGTAAGATATGAACGCGCGAGACGCGCAAAAAAGCATGGACCGCAGAGATCTTTTCCGGTATTTAGTAGGATTTTGAGCCTGGTGCCAAATTACCGACGACTTTGTTATTATAATGTAAATTTATTTCGCTTGAGGCTTCGATCAACTGCAGAAGATTTAATATGATAAACCCGATGAAAATGAAAAAGCTTGATTAAAATTGTGATTCTATTTCTACTTTACAGTCCAGATTTTAAAAAAGAATCACTGTCACAATTTTGTATATCTCTTGATAACGAATACCCATCGCTAGGTTATCGAGCAATCAAACTGTTGTCCGTATTTTCAACCAGTCAGTTACTTATTCGTTATGCAAAAAAACACATTTTCATCACTAGCTTTAATTAAAACGAAGCAAAAAAATCGGTTGCACGCCACTGCAGAGCTACGTGTTGCATAAACTTCTTTTAAGCCTCGTTTGCAATCCAAATTGGAAACGGAACAGTAGCAAAATTCTCACTAGAGTTAATTGTGTTTGTACATGATTTGGCATGTACATGTTTTTTATGTGAAATGTCTTATGTGATCCTTTCTTGCGCATAATGAGTGACCTGCATTTCATTACGCAAATATATGATAATATTTTATGTTTCACCCATTTCAATTTTTGGCCGGCACATTATTTGATAGTTTTTATTCGTGTGAAATGTTTTTAGCGTACTTTTTTTGTCTAGAAGCATATTGAGTGTCCGACATTGCATTATATTACGCAAATATGTGTTATTCTTTTCTGTTATGGTCTTTTCAATTTTTTGCCGGTCCGCGAGTACATTTAATTTTACCGGTACGTCAGGGTAGAAAGGTTGGGAAGCACTGTTCTAGAAAACCCATATGTTATCCTATCTAAAAATGGGTCGCTTTATGTCATCAAATATAGTGCATCAATAATAACAAAAAGTTAATTTTTATTCATGAGAAATGATTTTATTTTGCGATATATGTGTGAAACACAGGATGTGCCATATGACCAGAATTGACGGGTATAAATCCTACTGGCGAGTAGCAACGTTGTCACGCCAACCGGTGAATAATTGAATCGTATTAACATACAATCAGAAATAACACGTTTTATATGATTAATGGGTTAGCTATGCCCGTTCCTGTGAACAATTGAAATTTTATTAACATGCTATGAGAAAAAATAACACGTACGTTTCAAATGATTAATGCGGGTCAAGACTCGCCAAATTCAAATTGCAACAAACTAATTAAACGATTTGGGTTCAGCAAAATTTGCATTCATATTTTTCCAGCGCTGTGCACGATTGCAAAAATCAATTTCCTTCGAACAGACTGTATGCATGATGTTTTACTTTTAATTAAGTTTTTATTAACAAGAATTCAACAAAATAGCTGCTACAAATTCCGTGACAGCTTTCAATTTGTATCGATTTATATATATACATATTGTTAATGCTTATATATAGGTTAATGGATATATATAGGGTACATATTGTTCCAATTGTTTTGCAATGATTCGCCATCGTCCACGTACAATTAAGAATTCTTTTGGGAAATTTTAATCATGACCGTCTTAACTTCAGTGTAGTTTGCCAAACCATATTCGCCAAGTTCTCGTCCTTGCCCAGACATCCCATATCCACCAAACGGCATTGCCGCTGAAAAAGTGTTGTGAGAATTCACCCACACCGTACCTGCTCTGACGCTGTTTGCAATTGTCAACGCCCTGTCAAGATCTTTCGTTATCACAGCCGCTGCCAATCCATATTTTGTTGTGTTTGCTTTTTTTATAGCATCGTCGATGGTTTTGAATTTCATAATTTGCTGAACAGGCCCAAAAATTTCTTCAGTACCAATTGAAGAGTCGTCGGGAACATCTGCAAAAACGGTGGGTTCAACATAAAATCCCTTTGTTCCCCATCTCTTGCCGCCACACATAAGTTTAGCACCCGACTGCTTGCCCTCCTCAATCATGCGGGTAACTCTAGCGAATTGCTCAGGATCAATCTGTGGGCCCTGTTCGATGCTTTCGTCATATGGATCTCCAACTGTTCGCTTTTTAGCACGCTCGGTACTTCGTTTTACAAATTCGTCGTAAACGGATTCTTCAACGTAAATTCTTGATCCGGCGCAACAGCACTGTCCCATGTTAAAAAATAATCCAAAGTGGCAAGTTTCAACCGCAAAATCGAGATCGCTATCAGCGAGAACAATCATTGGACTTTTTCCACCAAGCTCGAGAGTGACCCGTTTTAAATTCGATTTTCCGGCAGCCTGCATTATCAAATGGCCAACTTCTGTAGATCCGGTGAATCCGATTTTGTCAACATCCATGTGTTCAGAAATAGCAGCGCCAGCGGTCGGTCCATATCCTGAAATTATATTTACCACCCCGGCGGGAAATCCAGCTTCTTTGATCAATGCAGCAATATGCAATGCGGTAAGTGGTGTTTGTTCAGCTGTTTTCATCACCACAGTGTTTCCCGCCGCTAAAGCTGGGGCTAATTTCCAAGCCTGCATCAATAAGGGGAAATTCCATGGAATAATTTGTCCGCAAACGCCAATGGGTTCGTGCCTGGTGTAAGCAAAAAAATCTCCGTCCATGGGAACTACTTTTCCATGATTCTTGTCCGCCCATCCCGCATAATATCTGTAGCAACTTATGGTCAAGTGGAGGTCTGCATTGTAAGACATATAGTAAGGCTTCCCATTGTCAAGCGTTTCTAAACTCGCCAAGTACACTCGATCCCTTTCAATCAAATCGGCGAGACGAAACATCAACAGCCCCCTTTGTGAAGCATCCATCCGACGCCATTCCGACCCGAGCTCGAACGCTTTCCTTGCTGCAACAACGGCTTTGTCAACATCAGCCTTGTCACCTTCTTGGATATCGCATATTTTTTCCTCGGTACATGGATTAATAGTGGAAAAGGTTTTGCCACTAACCGAATCTACCCATTCATTATTAATAAAAAGCTTCGTGTACCGAATTTCCGGCTTCAAAACGGGCGGAGGTAAGCTGGACATAGCGAAGACTCAGCCACTGCTAGCTATGTAAGTAACTAAAACGTTGCCAACTGATGCGAGCACGCGTAATAAACACGTCGACATTCCGAACTTTTTTCACAACACGGCTGAATGGCTCATGTTGATCTCATTTTACTCGTAAACATTCTCGTTTTTCATCGGAGTGAGGAAATGATCGAGCGTTTAGTCACTCTTTGAATCAAAGCTTGATAATGAAATGCTAGGCGCAGTTGCCGACTGAGTTCGCTAGGGAAAATAACTGTAAGAGTATATCATCAATATGAGTAATACTTATGATAAATTATGCACATAGTTTAAATATTCCATTCCAAATTAAGTAACTATTATCTGACACCAAATTCATTTTCTTTGTACAGTAATTAAGTTCATTTTAATCGCAGTTTTACATAGTAGCGGTTCATGGACATCAATTTTTCCACGCAGCGTAGTTTTTGATTAATTCTGCAACGTGTTCTCTAACTGCATTGTATGTTCTTTAAAATGTACTGTATTTAGAAAATTGCTTACAGTCAGGCGCACGTAATTCTTCTTGATTACAAGCGACACTACCGATAATTATGGATCATTCCATAGCCCACGGCGGCGCGGCAATATTGACAAATAAAGCAGTATGATCGCCTTCCAATATTTCCAGCATGGGCTTTTTGATGACCAATAGAAAAGGTCCTTTCAAACATTTGCATTCTCGCGATAGTGAACCCACGATTATTTTGTGCGCATTTGTGCATAATAAAATATATTTGACGGGCGCCATATGGGCCCCGCCTTTGAGCATATTTTTCAGAATCAAATTCTGAATACACGAATATATTCAGTGAACTGTGGGGTCATCCGATTTTAGAGAGTTGGTTCCCCCATCGCCCGTTAATTTCTCTACAACCCCGTATAGGTGGGCTTACCATATTTTTCTGACCTCAAAGCGGGACGCCTACAAAGACCATAGCTGTAATTTTTTCAACTTTGAATTTACCGATTTTACATTAGGGGCCTACATTTAAAACCATCCCGGCTGACTTCATTGACCATATTGTCATCGAGCGTTCATGCGCTGTCTGTCTCAATATCGGTTTCGGTTTGAAAAATATAAAAGATTTACGTTAACGTTAAGTACCCTTTTGGCGTACGGGGCTTACACGTAACAAATTAAACATGCCAATGTTCGTGTTATATGCTGACTGGCTGAACTCCAAAGCTGGTTGGCTGATCGGTCGGGACGCCGGGACAAGACGTTGAAAAGTGGGACTGTCCAGCCTAAAACGGGACTAATGGTAAGCATATGTATAGGTAAACATCAATACAATTATGTGAATGTACTATAAGTAGGGCGGATTTAGACGATGAGATACCCTAAGTAGGCTACGACATATGAGGCGGCCACTTAAACAATGATGTTACGGTGAAATTATACCTAAAACATTTACCGACTGTCTGTTTTTAACAGTATTGAAGTTACGGTGAAATGCTACTTACACATTCAACGACTGACGCCTACTATTGGTATTGTTAAAAAGCGTCAGTCGTTAAATGTTTGAATGGCATTTCACCGTAACTTCAATACTGTTAAAAATCGCCAGTCGTTAAATTTTCAAGTGGCATTTCGCCGTAACTCAAGTACTGTTAAGAAGCGTCAGTCTTTAAATGTTTAAGTAGTCGCAACGTCAATGCTTCAAAAAGGCGTTACTCAAACAATTTTGACCGCTAACTGATATCACGGATAAGATATAATTCCAGACTTAGGCAAACGAATGTTTCATGCCATACGCTCAAATATATGTCGACGAAGTCCAAAACAAAATATTTGACCAGCAATTACCCGAAAGTCATACGGTATCCCGAAGTTGGAACTGTGGAACAGCTACCTGTGCTGTCATGGTAACGGTGCCCGGACTATCCTAGGTTTTCTAGATCTTTTGGCGATGATTCCAGCCTTTAACGTGAATTGAAATACCAAATGATCCGAGTCACTACCGTTTTATCAAACCCAATACCGTAATCTATCGTTCCCTAGGACTAGATCAAGTCCGACTTTCGCTCAGTCTTATTAATTTCGAACATTGAGAGTTGAATATTGTTAAAATAATTTTATGGCCTTATCATACTATCATTTTTCAACAATAAATACATTGTGAAAGTCAGCTTACAACTGAAGCGGTTCCATTACATTTGAACCCACGTACATTTGAACCCATGACAATTGCACCTGCATACTATTGCACCTATGGAAATTTTTTTGTTGTACGGATTGTTGAACCCATACTAACCCTAACCCATGGGTTTCAGCACCCGCATATTGATTGAACCCGTGGATAAAGACATGGGTTCAAATGTACGTGGGTTCAAATGTACGGTCACCAACTGAAGCTGTTAACTCACGACACTCGCTCTTGTATTGTGACCAAAAACAAGAGGACGAATACACTACTAAATAGTCCAACAGGTCTTTAGGGCAATGTTTGCCAAGAAGACACGAGGTACGGCATATTTTGACGAGCTATCACTGTTGCAATAATTTCGGCAACGTGTTTTTAGCTCTTTTATTATGACGTCCCGGACTCCGAAAATTCGATTCATGACCAATAAGTCGGATTCGCTGAATCCAGCATATACCTGAATCGCCCCATTTCTAAAATTCACAAGGGTCGCCATCAATCCGGCTACGTTTAACGTTAGTAAATATATACCTAACTGGGTCACAAAGTTAGCCTCCAGCAGTGGTTCTCACTATCAAGGCTGTGCTGCTCAGTGATGTACTCGAGGCGTCCACGGGCATTCAATAATTTAAAATTCATCATGATAAAGTTATGAGATGGCTTAATATTTGGCCCAACGCGAAAAATTCCTTGTGACGCTCTAGAAATGCTCCATCGAAATGCATTAGGTCGTCATTATAAATATTTCCAAATCTCCATCAAATGTATTATGACGGCTGTCAGTCAATCATCGATCCTTGTGTTATAATGCTCAATTTTTAGTCGCAGGAATAATACGAACATTCAACCACGTAAATTTGATAATAACTTGAATTTAAAAGCCATTTAAGGAGCTCAAACGCGTAATAAAATAGAATACGACAATAATCGTGGTGTCAGAAAACGTGACGCACAATACTAGAGATGTACCGATGTATCGGTATCGGCAATATATATCGGCCATTTTTTACGGTATCGGCCATGTATCGGTATCGGTGAGATTAAGGCCGATATTTCCGATATATTTACCTTTTTGATATGGTCCAGAATGTTTTAAAGATAAGTTGGAATACTACTTTTTAATTTATTTTTCGTCTGGAGAGATCGTGAGCTATGAGCCATACATGTCCCCACCCCCGCGAGAGAATAGGATTCACGTGTTTTTAGCTATTTATCAGCCAAATTAGCTCAACTAATTTGGCTATTTTCGCTGTCAAATTTTTATATTGAAATTTTTAATATTACATAGTATTTATGAAGAAATATATCAACACGGCACATAACAAAAAGCAATTAGACGCCCAGTTTTAAATCATACAGTGGAATTGGGGTCCTTATTAACGGCACATGGACTTTTGGCACGGGTATAAATTTTGACTGTTTGTCGTCAAGTACGAGTGTCATTTAGTCCGTCGACATCAATAAACTAAATTCCGACACAATTATCCCTCTACGCAGGTATTAATTATATAGATATATTGACATGACCGCCTAGCCCTAGACTATCACAAAATATATGATAGCAATTGTATAATATTATAAAATAGTAAAGTAAAAAAACGTCCTCGACGGTTATTGGTAGGCCTTCTTTTGGTCGGTGCTGATTGATATTCTTTCATGTTGGCTTTGACTTACTTATTGCGTCGACGATTACGATTAGCGACGAAATGAAATATTTGAAAAATGCTTTTAATTTGATCGTAGGACGGCGGCTCTAGAATGTGTGGGTGATATTCGATATTCTTTTAAACACGAATAACGATTTTTGAAGGTCACGATATTAACATTAAATTCATATTGGACATCCCGGCTTATGAGTTTCAATTGAACATCGAGATTACTAGCGTTACTGTACAATGTATCTTAATCAGTTAAAGCATATGGATACCAATCATTAATTTCATATTATGCGACATATATATCTTTTTTTTCGATCTGAAATATTGTGTACTATAAACAACGCTCAAAGACCATTGTTTTAACCCGTCTGCACTACACAACACAGTATCGGTAATATCGGCCTTTTGTAGTATCGGTATCGGCGTTTTTTAGCTGGCATCGGATCGGTATCGGCGACAAAAGTGGTATCGGTACATCTCTACACAATACCCAGTCCAGCACAAACAGGGTGGCCCAAGACCCGAGAACAACGATACAAGCGATTAAAAATAGAAGACCCATTCACGCGAAACACGACAAAATTCAAGAACGACTACACAGGAGACCTGAAGTATGCGCACCACGATGGCGCACAACCTAAACTCAGGTTGTGTACCAGATTAGGGCTCAGGTTGTGCGACATCTTGGTGCACATACTTCAGGAGTACCAAAGAAGGCCCAAGGTAATGCAAACAAAGTCATATAGCGAATGACGTCACCTTGCCTGACTACCATCAAATTATGGGAAAGTAAAAACTAATCACTCATCACTAAGATTTGTCATTCAATCCAATTTTGTTCAAAATCAAAATTATATCTGTGAGCACACACCTATTGCTCCCATAATTATTTCCATCATGTTAAAGGTATGATGCACATTTTATTCTCAACACAAGTATCGTAGAATACAATGATGCAACACAAAAAATAATAAAAAAGGTATGAATACATTGCATACTGTAGTTGAACAAAGCGATTTTTTCATCGTTAACTATATATGCATAAAAAGTCAAAGATCAAATCATTCAAGAACATTTAAAACCAGAAATTAAATGCTCTGAAGAGGTAATCATGGAATCAGGATGCATGACTACTCGCCCAGTGGATAGCATCTCAGAATATTTCATCTTCAAGCAGAAGACATAAGATAATTGACAAATCTGAATGAATCATCTTATTTATTCACTTCGTTTGCTTGGTTCAACATAAGGCATATCGATGTAATCAAATATATCTTCTTCACATGAGACAGGAAGAGGTTCACCAGGTATACCTGAATAGATCAACACAAATATTATTTATGTTCAAAAATGTTTGATATTGTCTTCCAGTCAAGATACAACTCTGAATGATAGTAAGTGCAATACAAGATAAGGAATATTGACAAATTACTACTTGTAAATGGCATTTTTAATTATTGGAACAAAATCTATCAAAACAAATAAAATAACGCCAAAATGGATATTTTTTATAAAATGTAAAAAAATAATGATCTTCTATTTGAATGGTGAATATTTCAGCAATACCGGTCGAATTTTTCCTGATTGCATTAACATGAACTACTTCTAGTATCACGTATATCTGTATTATTTACTAATGCACTGTTCGAGGTGTTCCAGATGTGTGTGTACCAATATGGAGGTTATCTAATTTTGTCTGCCTTCTCAACACCAAGTTGTACAAAGGAACTGAAACTTATGGACAGGGGATACATTCACTTGGCTAACACAGACAGTCCCCGAACTCGTAATAGAACTAAAATCAAAATAAAAGTATGTCCTAACCCTAACTTGGTACACACACTACAGGAGTACCCAATTGTACACTACAATAATTTAGTCTCATTAGTGCTTGGCACCTCAGTGGTCAACTGTAACTTAACACAAAGATCAGTTTTCTTGTTTCAAAGTGAATTTGATCTTACTTCCCCTAAGGGATCTATCCTTTATTTAGCATTCCACAAATTTAATCAGCCATCCACAGTTGTCAGAATAAAATGATTCTTACCAGTTGAACCTTGAGGACGTATTGAATACTCATTTATTGTGAATCCTTTTTCTAACGCTAACGTTCGCATCCTTTTGTTGAATAAATCGCTCCCGGTGAAATACAACATTGCACAGGGAAACTGATCTTGAGGTACCAACCTGTTTAAAATTATATTTATTCAGTTCAGAATCAACAATGCTTATTAACAACTTCTACACATGTTGTATTCTAGATACTTTTCCTCACAAAACAGCACCTTAATTAGAGTTTGTAAAATTTGAAATATTCACACCAAGAACAAAAATGTATGAAAATAGTAATAAAAACACAATAAATTTACTAAATAAATTTGTATTGTTTGATAGTGTGATATATATAGTATATTTACTATTATGCTGTGCTTTTCAAACCAGACTGACCTTATATCAATTCTTCGAAATGTTGAATGGGAATCCCCAGATTCATCAAGTGACTTGAAGTCCTCCCAGCAGCAAACCCCCTGTTAGTGATAAAATACGTAGACTTGTAACCATGATTTTATACATGGTGCAACTCACCATTTTCCATGATACTGGCAACTTTCTTCTATGAAAATTTATTATAAGCAGAGAAAGTTTTTAAATCTAGTTCGAATCATATTTAAGTTGTAAAACTCAAGATTCAAAACTCCACAGTAAAATTTTAACATGACAGAATGAGAAAAAGGTGACAAAAATAAATATTTAATAATTAGTTGGGGTTACGTGAGATAACCCAGGCTTATAATGCAAGGATGTTGTAGCTAAAATAAAGATAACTAACTACAGATGTAATTCAGGAGTCTTGACACACACTAACCCACTTTAAACAGTTTGTCAGTGGTAATACAGGCTTCTCTCATGTGTTAGCAAAATTTGGTCAATTTAGTACCAATTTGTCTGAATAGTTTTTTGAGAATGTACTTGAATCCCATGAGAACTATTTGATTGTTAATTATATCCAAATAAAATATGTAATTTGTTATCTAAACCACTTACCATAAATTTTGTCTGTCCCATTGAAAGTATATCCGTGACAAAGTTTATGCTCTGAAGATCCGTTACAACTTTTTCCAGCAAATCACCCTGATAATCAAAAGTGAAAACTAAATTTAGAGAGATGTGCTTCTGAGAAAAAATGACAATGTCGCGAATAGTTACCATTTATATTACCATTGAGCCCCACTTCGGCAACTTGTCATATCATGAATTGATAAAGTGTGATTTTACTTCTGTAATAACATAGAAATTTTCACTGATCTGACTTTTCAAATTAGAAATGAATTAAAGTTGCGAAATCCATAAGCAAAATAAAATTTCAATAGGCTAAATCAAGTAAACTCTCCCGTGTCACCATAACATCAGAATTTAAATGGTATGCACTATGCAGAGTTATTTGTTGAGGCAGTGAAAACTGAAAGAACCAAGCATGTTTCCACAAAAAAATCAAGACAGAAGCAGCTCAAATGGCTCAATACAATAGCATTCATCGTGATTAGATAGCATAATATAGCGGTTCTATCATCTTCTTGTTGCAAAACTCACCCTTTTCTGCTTATCGGTTGAAGAAAACGAGGAATGAGTAAGTAACACGTCAATATCACCACTAGATGATGCCCCACGTCTGTAACTTCCACATACTTGACTTCTGTATTCTTTATCCAATTCTTGTATTCTTTCATTGACTACTTTCTAAAAATAAAAATTTTTTTTTGAAAAAAATATAGGTGCGACTAATCTGCTTGACACAAGTGCAAATCGCCACCAAGTCGGAACAAAATTGAAAATTTTCGGCTATTGCAATTGCAAGTATACATATTTTGATTATATTGAGCCCTAAAAAAAAAAAAAAAAAAAATAGGAAGTTATCTATGCAAAAAAGCTAGGGAAAGGGCTTTTAAATCCCTAGATTTTCAGTGCGACTCATGTGCGAGTCAACTCTAAATTAAACTAATAAATTTCAATAAGAAATCAAGCAGGCAGGAATTGTCAATTTACTGTGTCCAATACTCTAACCTAAAAATTGGCTGCAAAACGTGGTTTTTGCTCGGCCAGATTCTGACCGACAAAAGCAAGTGTGTGAATCACAAGAAAGAAAAATGTTTAATTTAAATGTAGAGATATAATAAAACTGAGAATCTGATACAGAAAGTTTGGAAATATGGAATAGCATACTTCAAGTACTTCCATCTCCGCTCTTGGAATTCTTTTTTCGAAATCTTCAAAGTACCTTGAACGAAGAGTTCATGTACAATTAATGAGGAACAATGATATCATAGGCATGTTTAAATAAAGCAACAATTTTGGCAGTCAGTTCAATCGACCTCCTTAATATTACAAAAAGCCAATATAGCCTCGTTCAAAACAATGTTAACCTCGTAAAACGAAAACTCTGATATCGGTTCACACATGTCCTAGTCAAAAAAGTTGCTTCTAAACTTATTTCCAAAATAGGTCATCAAATAAACACCAACAAAAAATATCACCGTGTGTGTGAGAAACAATGGATCAAGAAATTCAATTAATTACATCTCCTTGTTCAATTACAATTATTACTTACATATTACAATCTCTTACATTCAGTTACTTTTTAAACCTAAATTGAAGCTAAGTAACAAACTCTGTACTGGATTTAAACAATAATCAAAAGAACTAGGGTAACTGAACAATTTCTAAGCAGACTTACTTGAGTCCAATTTGTTGATGATGTGTTAGTTTATTTATATTTTCTCGTAAAAGTTCAAGCGTTGTCAGACCTTCATCAACCAATTTCCTCGCAGCGGCAGGACTATAGCAATGTTAGAAAATGAAGGTTATCGATAACTTGTTCAGTTAAAGTAAATGGAGAATAATAAAAAAACACTCAAAAAAAAATTAGAAAGATATAAAGTAATGGGCAAAAGGCAGGGTACAATTAAAGATGCAAGCTATGTTTAAATAGATTCTTACAGGCTTTAAAAAACACACGGGTTGTTGCGACTTGAAACCGATTGAAATGTTAGGGAAACTTTTCTAAATAGCAATTAAAATAATACTACCCTGAATTTATACGATTACATTTCCCAACAAAAGTTTATTTTTTATTAAAAAATTGAAATAGGTCTACTAACCCAATTCCTGATACTCTTGTGAGAAGGGATATTGCTTGAGATGTTTCATCTGATCTGATTTTCTCAATCTTGCGAAGTTTTCCAGTGGTAAGGAATTCATCAATTTTTTCAGCGATTTTTGCACCCACGCCTTCCTGCAAATAATACATATTATAAATAAACACCTCGAACCTTTTATATATTAAAAAAAAAATTATTTCAGAATTGTCATATGAAATTTATAAAACGACGAAATGGTTTGATTCATGCAAAAAATAAACTTGGGGTAATTTTCGTACCAACGTTAATAACGTTTTATTAGCCTATAGGCCTAGTCTTCTATTTTCTTAGATTGTGGTACAAAATTTTTCTGACCAGTTTCCGAGCATCTGATCCCTTTTTTATTGATTCGTTACATTTCGATATGGCACTTGCTGCTTTCCGATATGCATTTGATTTATGAAATGATCTGTTGACATTTTTCTCATAATCGGCAAGTTCTGAAATCAAAAAAGAAGGTGAAGGTATTATAATAGTTCATAATTAATTCACAATTTGAATGACTGACAAAAAATCCAGCACTGAATTACCAATAGCAAAAAGTGACAACAAAAAACTTTAAACGTCAACAAAGTGTTGGTTGAAGGTTCAGACTGAACAGAAAATATTATAGTCTAGGTCTGATTTCTTTGTATAAGCGGAGTAACCCAACAATCAATTTTTAATGATTATCCAATTGTTAATTATTCAAGGCTAGCTTATCTCAGAATCTGATGGATTAAAAAATGTGCACTGAGGAAAACCCAAGACGCTATTTAGCCTCGAATGTCATCGCAGAATGGGGTTTTTGAAATACCTGGTTCAATTATTCATTTATCTGGCTTATTTCATCGTTCTTACACTTTTATCAAAAACAAAACCATCGCAAAATTATGCTCGTTATAGCCTATGCTAGGTAACTCGCATTTCAGCATTTGCGATTTCATCTAATTTCTATATTCGACTAGCAACCCAATTCACCAAAAGCTTACCGTATGACAACGTTACCTGTCAAAAAATCTGTAATTCCAGAATTAGGATTATCTGTTGGTGCTTTTCGTTTGATCATATTGAATGTGCAAATTTGCAAACGCTAAAACTGCGGTGCACGCCTGGAGCAATACGTGATGTGATGCGGGTTCAGAAACCAAATAGCCGGCTTGCGTTCACTCGAGCGCTACACCGTCACGCGAAGAAATGTGTTCCCAATGTAAATTCTCAGATCAAATTTCCAACTCCTTTTCGACCTAGTTTTCTATGAAAAGTTTATCACTTGTGGACCACATGTTTTAAATATATACATTAACTTAAACAATCAGTTTCTGCATATTTTATACAGATATATTTAACATGACTTTACAGAGGAACAGCGCCTAGTAATCAATGGAAGATTCGATCAGCAAACTATGTTTTGACCAAAGTGACTATATTTTGACCAGCGATTCGTATGCCCGTATCCGTATTCAAGCGTTGTTTCATAATATATAACGTTTGTTACAAACGGCAGGAATGGCAGAATCGGAAGATCACAAGTTGTTAACCATAGATCAGTGGAATGAATGGTGGAAAAAGGATTACGAACGTTCTAAAAGTAAAGGTAGCAAAGGCGGTGATATTTGCGAACATGGCGACGAAGACAATCCATTTGATCAGGCCAGCCCAATGCTTAGAAAGCACATCAAATCTCTTTTACCAAACGCCATTCGAAAGAGAATATTTCTTCCATTGTGCGGAAAGTCACCAGATATAAAGTGGTTGATTGACGAAGGGTACGAAGTGGTTGGATTAGAATGTTCTGAACACGCCATTTTGGAATTTTTTGAGGAAAATTCAGTGGAATTCGAAAAATCGGTTTCAACAAAAGATCACAGTTTTCGAGTGTATACCGGAAAAACTGCGAATGTAGTTATATATGAAGGAGATTATTTTAAATTCAATTCGGATATCGCTGGTGGGCTGTTCGACGCGGTGTGGGATTCGGCAAGCTTGAATACAATTGAGCTTGCCTCAAGAAAACCATACGTCGAAATTATGCGGTCAGTCTTAGACAAACAAGCAAAATACATGCTAAGTGCAATGTATTTTGGCGAAAAGAGAACTTGGATCAATAACCCATTCGATATTACGGATGCGGACATGACCGAACTTTTCGGCGAATATTTTACTTGGGATAAAGTGGACGAAGATGATTCCGAGTGGGGACTTGAAAGAATTTTCCTAATAACATTCAAATAAAGTGAAATTATTTGAATACGTGCCAGGCTCATTGTTCCCTGTAATTCCTGCATTATCTAAATCATTTTCATCGACTAATCTTAGCGACATTGAGAACGCCTGTCACCTCACTTACATTACAATGTTTGTTATGAATTTTAGTAGAAATACAACTAAATTTAAAAATCCTATATGGATGTTTTCCATTGAGACACTTTTGCCAGTTATCACTCAGAAAAATTTTCAGGCATGGTTTATATTACCAATTTTTCGTGGTTTTGCATGCTACTTGTCAGTTTTTAGTTGTGTTTCCAAAATTTAAGTATAAATCAAATAACTCGATGGTCATTTCGTCGTCCCAAGACTGTTATCGAGACTAGACCAGTGCTTCGCAAACTTTTTCTGTTCGCGACCCACCTTTATTGGCGTTTTTGTGCGACCCGCAATGAGATGTTAATGAATGAGAAAAGAAACAATGTATCCACAATCATGCAATTTACTATTTATGCGAAACTTGAGCTTGCATATTGGATATTATTAGATCGAGTCGAGGCTTGATAGGAGACAAGCTCACACGCAAAGTAACAATAACACTCAACACATTGTGCTTTTGGCTCAAAATCATTTCCTGCCTCAATGAAACCATATTTGATGTAATCAGATTCATATTTTCTCATTACAACTTTTCGAGCCTTCCCTTTTTTCATTTATTTCGTTACCTTTTCTTTTTCCAGAGTTATCCATTTTCATTTTGTGACTTACAAAAATCGAAACCTGGTTTATTTAGTGTTTCAAATGTAACTTATTGGACATAAAAATGAGAACCACAGAAACCGGCGTCTTTGCTAATGTCAACCGAATTCATCAAAATATTTATCTGCCCAGTAGCATACTTACACTTTCCAACATGTGGGGGCGTACCTAAATTATTAATTGTTTACATTGTTTCATAATTGTTGATAGGTCTTGATAATGCCACAATTTCCCGATCTAATCGAAAATAGTATGGTACATTTGGAAATGTTTCGCGGCCCAAGCCCCAAACTGTTCGGGTTAGTTACTACTTTAAGGTGAATGCGAAAACAACAACATATCTGATAAAATTAACTTGTTCAATATAGGCTATTGTACAATCAAGATTTTAATATTCAAACATCAAGATAAACTTAATTTCATTCGATAAATCTCGATTCATTTTCAAATTAGAATGCTCTTAATATATATACGAGTCAAGATATTATTTTTGGACACGTAGTGGACATAGCGATCGTTTCAATATTATGTTCTTGTTCTTTGACAAGTTTTTAAAAAGTCGCTTTTCTCTTTGATTACTTGACCAATTGCTTTTAAACTTTCAGTGGTTAAAGTTAAAAATTTTCTTCAGAAGGCTATTACTTTTTTTTTTTTTTCTATGACGTCATCAAAATTATTGCCATTAGGTGGCGCTACGTGTCCATATATTTGAGCATAGCTCTCTTGTTACTGATCTGATAATATACTTTCTAATGATTGAATGATGTTATCCAAAAATTAAACATAATCTTATATGATAAATCGCGTTGTATGATGATATGAATTCATGCCAATATCACTTAGTCTTCAGTAATTAGAGGTTATATATATGAATAGTATGCGGTGATTGATTTTGTTATTAGATCATATTTTTCCACTTCATAGAGAAATTATAAAAATTGTTTGTTGTGTTTTCCAATCTCAAAGTATCAATCATAGTTGAGGGGGTCGAAGCATTTTAAAAATTTCATGTAGGTTTCCAATGCTCCGCTCGCTACTGTAACGTTTCCAGCCTTGACTTCTTCCTCCCAATTTTTGTTTTCATTCATTATTGATTTGTACACATCAGACCTCATTGTCAGCCGGACTTGTGGATTTTCATCTTCCGTACCTGCTTCAATGACGTCACATACACTATTCCGTAGGGTCAATATGAAATCTTTATCCAGATCTAAAAATGTGAGACCAATCGTATATTTTTGATGCTGACATTCCAAACCTTTTACTTTGAGACTGAACATTTCAAGGACTTTCTCAATGGGGGTCCTTTTTATTGTTATGGAAATGGCCTTTTTCGTTTGATCCAGCGAAATGTTCGATTCTAATTCCAATGCACAGGTCAAGTAATAATTTCTGCCATTTGCGCTTATTTCTTCAACGCCTAGTGCTCTAAGTGCACTTATTTTCACTTGTCGAGCTGTGTTGCTGAGAGCTTCTTCTAAGCTACCGAGCTGAAGTACGGTATCAACTAGTTCCAAAGCCCATTTGTCTTCAGTCACAAGATACTTCCCCTTTGACAAATAATGCTCATACGATTTTTTGTGAGATATTTCAGCTTCACGTAGCATTACTTCCGCCGCGCAGATTTGTTGACTTTGAGCATACGTTATTAACCTAGCCATCCGTGTAGCACGCTCATTTTCATTCATCGGGTGCAAATCTTGCGGATTTCCACTGAACCACCCAAGGTAATCATTGAAAACGCTATTCACGGACCATTCGACAGTGCCGTAGTGTTCTTGCAAGAACGGATGTTGAGCGACTAAGTCGGGTAGTTTGACACTAGCAACGATTTGCCCAGGATAATAGCCTTTGTTGATGAGCCGTAATGTTTGGTCATGAATGTATTTTATTGCATCTCTGTACACCGTCAAGGTTTCATAAACTTCATCTTTTCCGATAACTGGTCTGGTATGGGATCCCACAAGATATTTCGCCTTCAGAACTCTGGTTTTGTCTAGACTTTGATACCACATTCTCACATTTCGCGGAGGCGAGCCTCTGATTGCATATAGATTAGGAAAGGTTTTATAAATGTTGTCACCCGGCATTGCAACTTCTTCCTTTGGCAGCCATACTGTGATTTGATCAGGGGTTTCTCCAGGTGTGTGTATGAGTTCAAATTCAATGCCTGACATGTAAAAAAAATTTAGCTTAATCAATTTTCGTGAGCTACATTCATAAATTATGTACGCTGTTAGCTTAAACACCAACGGGTTTCGACATGAATATTGGGATGAGTGAATTGGCATCGTTGACATAATGGAAGTAGAAATATTTTACATTTCGTAGATTATAGAGTGTCCCCTTTCGCGAAATAGTCACACGCAAGCAATTCTTTATAGTCGCACTTTTACGACTATCATCGTTGACCACCCTACGGCCTACCTAATCAATGTATTGTAATCAGTGGTGGGAATCGAATTTTTTGTCAGCCGGTTCGATCACAAAAGTCATATTTTTCAGCCGGTTCTGTTACAAAAAGTCATTGGCAGTAACCAGTAATGCCGACCGGTTCGCTGATCTAATAAAATTCCGTGAGACAGTTCTATAGAACCGGTGCGAACCGGCTAAATCCCACCACTGGTTGTAATCGAAATTAGATTTTGATTTATAATACTTATATATTGATACATCATTACTCTTGTCAGATAGAAAAAAAAGGAATTACAGAAATGATCAATATCATAATTCATATTAGTTCGTAAAAAAAGTTGACCAAACTGGCTTAGAGCCTTGTCTGGAGCAGATATGTGGAGCATCTCATGAAATATGGGTAAAAATAAGTGATGGAAGCCATGAACAGAACTTCCGATTTAGAGCCCAGTGTTATATCAGATATATATGTTTTTAGACAAATCTAAAAAAAGTTTTCATACCATGCATTAGAGTCATTAGACATATCTACCTGCAACACTGTATTTAGCTTTGTCAGAAAACGTTCTAGTTGGCATGTAAATATTAAGTCCATCTTGTGGATGGTGAGATCCAAACGGCCCAATGCCTTTTCCAGTATTCGGTACATCGTTGTGCAATATCGCAAATTGTCTTGTTGATCTTGCATGTCCAATTTCCCTTGTCAGCACTGGAAGATTAATTCATACATGATTTTTTTTGATGAAATTGAAGTCGTAGAAGTAGATGAGGTGGCGCTCCAGAAGTGTGTGTGTACCAACCAATACGGAGGTAACTAATTTTGTTCGCCCATTGTATATTGGGTTGTGTAAAGGGACTGAAACCTATGGGCAGGGGGTATATTCACTTGGCCAACACAGACAGTCCCCGAACTCCTACTAGAACTAAAAGAAGAAAAATCGGAATAAAATTATGGCCTAACCCTTACCTGGTACACACACTACGGGAGTACTCATTAGGCAATAAGAGAGATTTTAATCATATGGAAAATTTTATCATGTTAGGAATGAGTATACAATGTCAGATAGTTATATTTATAGATGCCCACCTGTATCAAAATATAATTCCGCTGTTGTTTCGTGTCCATATATTTCAATATTAATGTCGGGGAACTCAGTTTTCTGTCGATCGATAACATAATGTGTTCCAATATGATGATCTATAATTTAAAATGCAGATGTTTGATTTCGAAGTATGGTCATTTTAAAGCTACATTGAGATTTGAAGTTAATAATAACATGATAACATTAATTGCAAATCTTCCTACCTCCGTGGAAATGAGTGTAAATGATTGCTTTCACAGGTTTCGAAGTAATTTTTCTAAATTCAACCATTATTTCTTGCATGCTCTGCATACTTTCCGTCGTATCTATTATGATGATACCATCCTTGCCTGTTTTTGAAAAATGTGGTTTGATGTATGATAAATGCTTCATATTTTCTAATGGACTTGGAACACAAATTCGAAACATAGCGCCTTATAATTAGCGAAACACATTTCAAATGGAACTCCAATTCTTAGCCATTGTCAATTGGTGGGGACTGATAGTGGTATATAACAGCGTTCCCAACGGGTGTGATTTGCTAAGTGCGCCCTAACAGAATTGTGTTAAACATAACTAATATACGATTGAAAATTTTACATATTATATTTATTATGACGTTGTCTATTTAAAATAACGTGCATGTGAATCAATAAATTCTCTTAACTTCCTATCTCGTTTACTTTCTGTTACGTAGGGTCTGCATCTATTGTTACGTAACAATGGAGATAGACACTACTTGCTGCAATCGCGAGCTGCAGTTTATTTATTTCTGAACTGAGTTTATCGATCATGAGTGATTTTTTAGTAATCCAAAAGAAAATTGGGCAGAGATGAGAAAATAGAGTTTACCTTTTGCCTTTATTCCTTATAGGCATACATGTTTACAAACTTGTATAAAGGCATAAAGTACACATTAACGATCACAAAATTGAGTTTTATTCAAAGGCAGCAATTTTTATTTCGTTTGGGTTCGCCGTGAGTTTTTGCCCTGATAAATTGGCGCTGCACGAACAAAAGTTTGGGAACCGCTGTGATATATAGTTTCTAAAAAGGGCATTCACACAAAGAATTGTAATAAATTAACATAAAGTAATTGCAAATTCTTATATATATATATATTACCCCTAAACGTGACTTGAAGAGTTATCGACCTAAACTTGAAGCAAAGTTTGAATCACATACTGAATTATTTCGGATATTCACAATTTAAGAAATTTATAAATTAAAGCATGAATAGTTAAAACAGGTTACTAACAATATATAGGAACTTACCTTCGATCATGATCGAGTTTGCAAGCGCCCAACCAACTGCCGAATATACATTGTCGCCGACTTTAAAAACTTGCCTGGGCGAAAATTCATTTTTTGTGAACTCGACCAACTTCTTGGATCCGTATGTTTGATCCGTTATCTTTGCCAATGGCTTTTTTATGTGTTCAAAGTTGTCAGACATTTTACTTTACTGTATTGCAACTATACAGATGAGAATAAAGTACGCAGCGCATCGAAGCAAAAATTGAGCGACCAGAAACGTTCGATCTGTGGTTTTATACTACTTTTTCACACTAAAGCTTTTTTACGAGCTAGGGCACATTGCAAATCGTTAGGGAAGATTTTCCCGCTTTGTAATATCGACGGGTCGGTGTCCCGACTGTTCTTAAATACATTTTTACGATTGCACGATTAGGCCTTTTTGTTGATTGCTCACCCCATTCCGCCTTTATTCATGTGCTGGGCTTCAAATAAGATTCCCTTGCGAATATTAAGTGCTCATTTTCAGCACAACGTATTTGTAGGACGTGATTAGTTATTAAGGAGGTTGGAGCTTGCATTTGGAAAGTTTCGGTAACATTCAGGCGACTCATATATTCTCGTTCTATAGTTTAAGTTTATGCACGTTTTACCTTCACCCTGCAATCTTTCGATTTAACTTACGAAGGTGTCGTATCGTCTAACTGGATTTTCTTTTTTCCCCCGGATAAATTATGAAAGATCCTATTGAAGCACTGAAGCCTATAGCAGACATTACGAGTGATGAAAAAAATGATACAACAAATTGTGTTGAAATGTCATTTGCTCAATAATTTTACAACCTGCATTGCGTTCCCATTTTGAATTACCTTTTGAAAAGATAATATCGACCGGCATTTTGCGAGGCTATTGATAATAATTGGTAACCGGTACCACGCATGCATTCAAACAGTAGCCGAGTTGGTAAACCCTTTCTACAGGATGCTTTTCACACTTCAACAAATATTTTGAACAATATTATTTGCTTCAAATTGATCTGTAAATGATGGATTACACCATTTTAATGTCCATTTATTGAAAATTTTTTATCGTGTTGGAATGAAAAGGTTGTTTTGGCAATTTGGGGATTCAACTCGAAATCAATATCAGAAAATAAAATCTTTGTTCAAAATCAAAAAATATTGTAGTACTTATATTACACTGAGTGAAAAATGACAAAAGCACCTTTTTGATCGAAATTTATTTCAGCGTTTATTACTACTTCTATTTCCGAAATAACTATCCGGAGCATGGCAAATATTTTGGCATACTCAAACAGTTATACTGCATAAAAATCTATTCGCTTTATCGTAGGCAAGGCATGACCTCGAACATGGAAAGGACCATTGACGAAGAAACTCAAAATCTAAACGGAACGATAAAAAAATTGTTGAGGTCATAATATGAAACTAACCGTCAAGACATTTCCGTAAAAATGTACGGCCGAATATATAAATCATTTACTGGCCTTGCTTGTCTTCACACACACACACACCAACGATTGAAATGTCAAGATCACTTGCTTTGATACAGAAGTTGGATATTTTGTTTCCTTGAGCTAACAATCAAAATTGCCTCAAGCTCATCGACAGATAGCATCATAGCCGGGGTTTAGAATGAAAATGAATGTTTGTATCGTATTAAGGTAAAACACTATGACGGTGTTTTCAATCAATAATGCCTATAGCGGGTTGAAATGTCTATGTGGTGGTGTGATAATTGGCAACGCCGAAATGCAAAGATCCCGGTCTTTCTAAATAATAGCAGCTTCTTACACATTGTTAGACATCAATGACTGTTTGTCGGGGCTTGTTCGGGGCGAAAGGCCCGGGCGTGTAATCCCCTCTTTTTTAGAAAATGACGAATTATTGTTGATACAACGGAAAACCCTACAAGCATGGAAGAAATCATGAGCGAATATCGGAAGATAACAAGGAAGCCAGTACAAGCAACTATATAATATACTCCTTTCACTTCAGTGAGCGTTATGTTCTAGTTCTGTACTGATATTCTTATTTACAATTCAGAACGTTGCATTGTAGAGACTTTGCGCACACATTATATCGGTATTGGACGCAGAAGGACATGCAACGCCAGCTGGACGTATAAACTTCTGGTCAATTCCAGGATGCCAGTTGGCATAAATATGACTATTAGTATGTTACAAAAATTGTATAGTCGTACATTTCATTGAGTATTTTGAGGAAACATCGAATAGCATAGGTATGATCAAAAACAGTGATACGTAATTTAATGTCCACTGTTTTATGGCAATGCTAGTTTATGTCGTAGCGTAGAACATTATTCTTATTGACATTGACAAGGAATTTATGATTCTGAATTCAGACCACCGTGAGACAAGACAAGACACGTGATTGAAAAGCAAGCAGAAGATTTTCCTAACATTACCATTGATGTTTACAGCCATCAACTTACAAAAAAAAATTCTTGAAAAATAGAGTATGATTATTCAATCAAGGTACTAATCAATGAATTTGAGCAACGCCTATTTCTTTATATTCTAGGTTTTGCATTGCATTCAAGATCTATAAGGCAGTTTGGTGCCTTACAGTACAAATCGTTGTCCGTTTTCTAGAGACAGGCGACGTCCAGGAAAAGTTAAATTGCCACGGACGATACTGACAGTGACCTCTAGTGGAAGAGCTTCATACAAAATCTCGGGTACTTGAATTTTAAAAATAAGATACGTCTGTTTCTGCATTAAAAATTTAGAAACTTATCAGCTAAACAAATTCTGCTTTCAAGTTATTTGTATTATGCATTACACCAAGTGTCAAAAGCATTTTTTACGCCTGAAACTCTTTTCAAACCCTATATTTTAAGTTTCTCTGTGTTCGATATAGGTGTTGATATTGAACTTATACACACTCCGGGTGAGACAGAAGATCATGTTACAGTTTGGCTACCAAACCAACGAATTGTTATGACAGGAGACAACATGTACAAACTATCAGAGGAGTAATGAGAAATCCAATGCAATGGTATCAAATTTTAGACGTCGTCAGACGTCTCAAAGCTAAATATCTTGTTGGTTCACATAACAAGCCAAGTTAAAGAAGTAGTACCGAAAAATGAAAGTGTACAAGTTATGATGTTGACGACTTCATATATTTTCAAATCTACACCATCAGAAGATAAAAATCTAGAAGAAGAACTGAAGAAGTTCAGAATGGCAATATTGTGATTACAAAAGGTTCCTTGGAGATATACACGAATTCTATCGCCTGCTTCGAACCGATAATTTTATCTTAATTTCCATGTCTTCCTGTTTAATTGAAGAGATCAAAAAATGCATTTTTGTATATTACAAATTATATTTCACAAAGAATGTTGTTCATAGATGCTCTATATCTGTGTATTGTCGAAAAACCCTTAGATATGACGATATATTGATTAATTGCAATTTTTTTTTCATATTACCGAGTGTAAAAGAAATATTAAAATTAATGAGAGTAGACCATAATTTGAACGGTAACAAAGCGCTCTAGTCAAATACACAGTGTGACAAGCAACTTCAGAAACATTACCGATATTTTTATTAGAATTAACTACATTCTGAACGGAAGCAATCGGTAACCGTGGACCCATTGTACAGAAAATAGCAGTAAATTGATGCACGTCAGATAGTAAAAGCTATGATTACCACATGAAACAGTGATGCTACCGATGATGTTACAAATAACAGAAATTAATATTTTTCAAGAGATTTTAATTTTCTGCATTTGAGCAATATGCTGATACTGCAATTAGCTTTAACTGACATTTAGGGTGTTGTGGTCTCATTAATAAACCCGTTAATTAGGTTTGAATAGGAAATGAATTTAGTTCGAATGAAATTATTACCACTTTACCTATTAGATGTTGCTTGCCTATAGTCTTGTTTGGACCGAAGTTGTAAAAATACCTGAAAATGAATCAGCCCCCTCTACCAGAAGTGATAAATTGTAATTTGTTGAATATATAAGTCGTCCCGAAAATGAGTCTAACGACACCTACGACAATTGAAAATCGAACCAGTTCGTTCGAACCATTTGATTATTTATTATAGCAAGAATAGGAACCATTTCAATAACCTGGTTTTTAATCATGGTAACTGCTGGTAACTTACGGACAGGCATTGAAACATAATATTCCATAGTATTATTCAAACTGAAAGTTTTAACATACATTATTGACGGTATCATATTGAAAGATAAGCCAAGCAGTGGGATGAAAATGAGTCACGTTGAGCCGATTTCCATTTTTTTATTTAACGGGTATCTATGTAACACTGCGAGTCGATCAACTTTGACTCTAAAGAGGCTGCTGAAACGCATGGCATGAAAAATAAACGGTTTGGTTATACACATAGAAGTACATACGCATTTTTACACTCTCGTACATTTATCTTAAACATAATTCGTCATAAAGATACTAATTTAAAATATAAGTTTGAACATCTCTAATATATAAATCATTTTTCTGCAAATTTGCTGTTTTCCCACCAGGATATTTCATGAAGTTCCACCGGATAATCTTTAACCCACTGCCCCCCTTTTCTAAAAATGTCTTCTTCCGGATGTAACATGTCACGCCATAGTATAGGCTCTTTGTTTTTCCCCCTCGGCAAATACAAGTCTCTTTTTATTGCTCCTTCATTTACAATTGGAGCAACAAGATATCTTTCACCAACTAAAAATTGGTCGCTACTAGCAAAAGCTTCTGTTTCATCGAGTGCAGCGCAGTACCAAATTGGACTTACAGGCATAAAGTTACCTGTACCGTCGACATATTTTTGTGAAACTCTCAGTATCTCATCATATATCACAGTTCGATGAAGGTCAACATAAAATTTTGCAAGTGCCGTCACCTCAAGATCGTAATCCCATGGCGTAATAGAAAATTGCATTACTGGAAGAAAAGCAGTAAGTTCAAGCCACCGAATAAATAATTCTTTATCAGGTTTGAGATTTCCATACGCATTACCTCCAATCATATCAGGTAGCACGTAAGGGTATCCAATGATGCCAAAAGTCAGCGCAGTGGGAATGACAGTTCTTATGCCTTTGAATCCACCCCATCTAGAACCCTTGTCCATCATTCTCATGTAAAATGGAAATGATTGTGTCTTCCAGGCTGATCTCATTTCCATCATGTTTCCTCCTTGGTTAAAAGCAGACATTGAATAATATGTTGTGTAGTCACCGGGGTTGTAAATTTTTTTCTTAGTGTGCCCTTTACGAGGTACGTAGTTTGTTTCGCCAGCGTCAAATTTGAATGAATCTATTCCATAATCTTTCTTTACGTCCTGCAATAACTTTTCATACCTGAATGCAATGAGAGCATAATACACAAATTAATACACAAATAAGGAAACAATAATGTATATTGACAATTTTTATTAATAGCAAATGCAGTCTTAACTTTGTCTCTACCAATTATTTATTCATTTATGATTTTATGACATGATTTAAAATTTGGTAAGAGCAGAAAAACACAAATGCATTATTTTTTAAACTGATGAAGGTTTTTCAATAAAATAAATGTTCCGTCTTGATGCTAAACTTACCACGTCGATGCGTCCTCGTTTGAAAAATCAATGACAGCACCAATTCCGTTCTACCATACTACTAAATCCGGAGAGTTGTCAGTCTCTGATGATTTGATGAAATATCCTCTGGTTCGTCCAGGTATAAAGTTTTTGGATCTTTGGTTAATGAAAGGTGTAACCCAAGTCGTTACCCTGAATCCCTATATATACAACAATGAACAAAACGGTTACAAAATTTAGAAACTTATCAGCTAAACAAATTCTGCTTTCAAGTTATTTGTATTATGCCATACACCAAGTGTCAAAAGCATTTTTTACGCCTGAAACTCTTTTCAAACCCTATATTTTAAGTTTCTCTGTGTTCGATATAGGTGTTGATATAGAACTTATACACACTCCGGGTGAGACAGAATATCATGTTACAGTTTGGCTACCAAACCAACGAATTGTTATGACAGGAGACAACATGTACAAACTATTTCCCAATGTATACGCTATCAGAGGAGTAATAAGAAATCCAATGCAATGGTATCAAAGTTTAGACGTCGTCAGACGTCTTAAAGCTAAATATCTTGTTGGTTCACATAACAAGCCAAGTTAACGAAGTAGTTCCGAAAAATGGAAGTGTACAAGTTGTGATGTTGACGACTTCATATATTTTCAAATCCATACTATCAGAAGATAAAAATCTAGAAGAAGAAGTTCAGAATGGCAATATTGTGATTCCAAAAGGTTCCTTGAAGATATACACGACTTTTATCGCCTGCTTCGAACCGATAATTTTATCTTAATTTCCTTGTCTTCTTGTTTAATTGAAGAGATCAAAAAATGCATTCTTGTATATATATTAGAAATTATATTTCACAAAGAATGTTGTTCATAGATGCTCTATATCTGTGTATTGTCGAAAAACCCTTAGATATGACGATCAATAAATTGCAATTTTTTTTTCATATTACCGAGTGTTAAAGAAATATTAAAATTATTAAGAGTAGACCATAATTTGAAGGGTAACAAAGCGCTCCAGTCAAATACACAGTGTGACAAGCAAGTTCAAAAACATTACCGTTATTGTTATTGGAATTAACTACATTCTGAACGGAAGCAATCGGTAACCGTGGACCCATTGTACAGAAAATAGCAGTAAATTGATGCACGTCAGATAGTAAAAGCTATGATTACCACATGAAACAGTGATGCTACCGATGATGTTACAAATCTCAGAAATTAATATTTTTCAAGAGATTTTAATTTTCTGCATTTGAGCAATATGCTGATACTGCAACTAGTTTTAACTGACATTTAGGGTGTTGTGGTCTTATTAATAAACCCGTTAAGTTTGAATAGGAAATGAATTTAGTTCAAAAGAAATTATTACCACTTTACATATTAGATGTTGCTTGCCTATAGTCTTGTTTGGACCGAAGTTGTAAAAATAACTGAAAATGAATCAGCCGCCTCTACCAGATGTGATAAATGGTAATTTGTTGAATATATAAGTCGTCCCGAAAATGAGTCTAACGACACCTACGATAATTGAAAAATCGAACCAGTTCGTTCGAACCATTTGATTATTTATTATAGCAAGAATAGGAACCATTTCAATAACCTGGTTTTTAATCATGGTAACTGCTTGTAACTTACGGACAGGCATTGAAACATAATATTTCATAGTATTATTCAAACTGAAAGTTTTAACATACATTATTGACGGTATCATATTGAAAGATAAGCCAAGCAGTGGGATGAAAATGAGTCACGTTGAGCCGATCTCCATTTTTTTTATTTAACGGGTATCTATGTAACACTGCAAGTCGATCAACTTTGACTCTAAAGAGGCTGCTGAAACGCATGGCATGAAAAATAAACGGTTTGGTTATACACATAGAAGTACATACGCATTTTTTCACTCTCGTACATTTATCTTAAACATAATTCGTCATAAAGATACTAATTTAAAATATAAGTTTGAACATCTCTAATATATAAATCATTTTTCTGCAAATTTGCTGTTTTCCCACCAGGATATTTCATGAAGTTCCACCGGATAATCTTTAACCCACTGCCCCCCTTCTCTAAAAAGGTCTTCTTCCGGATGTAACATGTCACGCCATAGTATAGGCTCTTTGTTCTTCCCCCTCGGCAAATACAAGTCTCTTTTTATTGCTCCTTCATTTACAATTGGAGCAACAAGATATCTTTCACCAACTAAAAATTGGTCGCTACTAGCAAAAGCTTCTGTTTCATCGAGTGCAGCGCAGTACCAAATTGGACTTACAGGCATAAAGTTACTTGTACCGTCTACATATTTTTGTGAAACTCTCATTATCTCATCATATATCACAGTTCGATGGAGGTCAACATAAAATTTTGCAAGTGCCGTCACCTCAAGATCGTAATCCCATGGCGTAATAGAAAATTGCATTACTGGAAGAAAAGCAGTAAGTTCAAGCCATCGAATAAATAATTCTTTATCAGGTTTGAGATTTCCATACGCATTACCTCCAATCATATCAGGTAGCACGTAAGGGTATCCAATGATGCCAAAAGTCAGCGCTGTGGGAATGACAGTTCTTATGCCTTTGAATCCACCCCATCTAGAACCCTTGTCCATCATTCTCATGTAAAATGGAAATGATTGTGTCTTCCAGGCTGATCTCATTTCCATCATGTTTCCTCCTTGGTTAAAAGCAGACATTGAATAATATGTTGTGTAGTCACCGGGGTTGTGAATTTTTTTCTTAGTGTGCCCTTTACGAGGTACGTAGTTTGTTTCGCCAGCGTCAAATTTGAATGAATCTATTCCATAATCTTTCTTTACGTCCTGCAATAACTTTTCATACCTGAATGCAATGAGGGCATAATACACAAATTAATACACAAATAAGGAAACAATAATGTATATTGACAATTTTTATTAATAGCAAATGCAGTCTTAACTTTGTCTCTGCCAATTATTTATTCATTTATGATTTTATGACATGATTTAAAATTTGGTAAAAGCAGAAAAACACAAATGCATTATTTTTTAAACTGATGAAGGTTTTTCAATACAATAGAGTCTTGAAGCTAAACTTACCACGTCGTTGCGTCCTCGTTTGAAAAATCAATGACAGCACCAATTCCGTTCCACCATACTACTAAATCCGGAGAGTTGTCAGTCTCTGATGATTTGATAAAATATCCTCTGGTTCGTCCAGGTATAAAGTTATTGGATCTTTGGTTAATGAAAGGTGTAACCCAAGTCGTTACCCTGAATCCCTATATATACAACAATGAACAAAACGGCTACATCATTAGGAACCATTATTAGGACGATCGTACAATATAAATGACTTCATAATCATTTTTTACTCAGCGACCCTACAATAGAATGGATCACGTAAAGAAAACATTTCCAATTGGGGTGAAGTATATGATGTATTTTTCAACGCAAAAAAAACTCATAGAAAATATTTAACAATGAATAAATGTAATATGCAACCAGACGTTTTATAGCTGCGACACCCAAGACACAAAACTACCTGATTCGATAGTAGACAAACCTTGTCATGCAGATATTTGATCATTTTTACAGCATCTGGAAACTTTGTTTCATCGAATGTAAAGTCGCCGTAATACGTCTCATATCCGTCATCGATTTCTAGTTGAGCATTTGTGAAATTATATCCAATAATTTCCTCTGCGAAATTCTCGACTATGCTCTGGTTGATGTCTTCTTTGTACCTTCAAAAAAATATTATTTTCAATCGCAATGAATTTCAGAAATTTCAAGACTACTGATACACAAAGAGGCACAATTGGGTGGGTATGACTACGTTGACTATCATCTATGAAGCTCTCATATGTGACTGATTTGGCTATACTTTAGAGCAGGGTTTTCAAACCATGGGCCAAAACTCTTCACCCCTAGAGTGTGAGTGACCCATGTAAGTGTGACGTAAACAGTTACATTTTATTAACAGAATTTTATCTACAGTGTTACATAAGCAAAAGTGGAAAACAATAAGCTTCGTGCCAAACTAAATTTTATCGCATTCTGAACGAATTTATGAGCTATTTTTTTGCTAGAACATTGAAATTTGGTTTTAGTTTGGTTGTGGCAGGATCAGGCGGGCCGTATCGAATGACCCAACGGGCCAGATTTGGTCTGAGTGCCGTAGTTTGCCCTTGTCAGCTGTAGAGACATTTATTTTAAGTAAGCAAAGGACGGAAAATAACGACAGGACAAGGAGATGTTCCGTTTTCGATGTTTACAACGGTTTTCTTGTACGAGGCAAGACGAAAAGCTGCTTTTCAAAATTTAAGAAATGCTTTGATTGACAATGCTTCGCACTTTGAGGCGATGGTCGCCATTCCAAGATTTGACAGTTATGCTTTTAAGATTGAACGATAAGTTTAACAAATCAAATTCATGAGCACCAACTGTAACTGACAGGAGCTTTGTATCAAACATTGTATTCTGAATGAGATCAGTGAATAATTTGCCTTCCACTAAAATACTTAATTTGTAGGTTTGCTTAAAAAAGTCGCAACAATATTTATCCAGATTACAGTGCCAGTTTGATAGTTAATTTTCCATGTAAGGTCATTTACGATATATATATATATAGGCTACGTTTTCTTACCTCGCCCATGTTGACCAGATTGGATCCTGGAACATTCTGGTATCAGGTAGACCTGTTGGCCTGTCTATAAATCCAGAGCTATTGTTCGTTCTTGATTCGAGCATTGCCTCGTGGGTAGCCGTAGCGTCATTAGAGAGACACACAGCGTATCGTAATTCGGTTTTTGTGTTTGAAAAGGTATCGTTTGTAGACGATGGAGAATAATCGAGTCCAAAATAATAAGTATTATTATATGCTGCACGAAAACAAATTGTCTCGTTAGCAGTTTGACTGACTGACAAAGGAACGTTCGAGTATACAAAAATCGCCGCGCCGTTAGAAGACAACCAATATCGTTCCAATACGTTGCCATGTCTCCAAGGTAGGTCAGTTGATAGATACACTTCAAAGGCTCTTTTGTTAACCTCATTTATAGGCCAGCGCTGCAAGTACAGTTCAGAACCTCCGTACCAGTAGACTTTCTCGTTGTCTTCAGCCTCTTCAAAAAATACACAATCTTGTACTTCGAGATTTTCCTCCGTGGTGTCCTTCGATGAAAAGACCTCGTAACACTGTATAAAAACACGATATCTCCGATGGGTTATTGCTTATTGGGTACTCACAAGCAAATGTTAGTATAGTCACTGACTGTTTATTTACAGCCCATATTAATGAAAATTAAAGAATTTTTACTTGTATATTTGAGGTCGCTGCTGAGCTTATTTTGACTCCTCATATGTGAGGTTTTCCCGAATAAACAGCATCTTCGTATCAAATTATTTTCACCTAATTTCGCTGTGATGTTTATTGACGGAAGAAATTTAATCAGAAATCACCACAAGAGTGGATTAGTAAAATAATATATATATATATAATTTATAATAGTAGTCCTAGACCTAGGATAAAGGTGTTCGGATCCCATGCGGGAAGGGTTATGTGCGATAGGATTGCTGGACTCCTCGCCGCCGTAGGGTGGTTGACGTAACCACTTGTCGGTTACGGCTTCCTCCACCATCAAGTCCATGCTTCCGAAAACAAATAACCAACTAATCCCATACCCGACATGGAAGGGTAACAGGACGAGAGACCGTGGGTCGCCATATGGTTAAGCCGTCCTATCGGCTTTTCTCTTCCCATCCCAAAGCAATTGAAACCGATAGCACCCACCTCAACTTCGCCAGGCGATTTATCTTCCAGGTAATGTATACCGTGATGGCACACACTGTCTTTGCAGTCGCTTTGTCCGCGAATGTTTGACTGTATACCTAATTTCTTGCTCCCCGTTTTTGTATCCGTCCATATTATTTCGCCACTCGTTGTAACACGAAATGAAAAATCCCGTCCAGACAAATCGGGACTATGCTCTTCTTCAACTGGGAGAAGGATGACGCAAAGAACAGCTACAGAACAAACGATCACCAAAGACACAACTGCTACCAAAAAAGAAATAGTTCTTTTCGACAGCTTCATGACCAAAGAAGATCAGCGGCAGTTATATATCTGTATCGAAGCCAGAATGATAACCTTACGCGTAATTACTATTTTGGTAAATATTGACTAATCAATGCGCAAACATGATAATGTACGCATGCAGCCATCGACGTACCCCGGATTTTATTGAAGGGCATTAAGTGATAATTGTGACAAATCAGTGACATGGATAGCACTTACGAATTTATAACTAAGTGGAACCACCCTGCGGCGGAGAGGAGTCCAGCAATTCTCTCGCACCTAATCATCCCTGCGTTGGATTCAAACCCACGCAGAGTAATCAGAGGTTGGGTGGCGAGCGTATTCCTAACGCTAAGCACGATGAGCCACACCGCCGCGCAGACTCGAGATGTACAGGCATACCTTACTGGAGTCGGGTAAAACGTTCATATTCATCTGGAGAAGAAAAAGCTGACAAATTAACCTAATCATATCACGTTCTTTCTCAACAAAAGTTCCTAAGTTGGAGGAGTAACTAACAAGTTGAATCTTTCAGCCGCATTAGGATTTACATATTTATCCCGAGGGAGAGGAGAGCCGATAAGACGGCTTATCCATTAGCACATACAGAAAGGGTACGGGTAACTGATCAAAATACCTACTGTGGGTAATGGTTAATATAACCTCAGCATGTAATTATGGATTGTAAACCGACCCGATAGACACACATTAATTAAGTCCATGCTTCTGAAAACAAATAACTGGCTAACTAACCCCATACCCAACATGGACTGGTAACCGGACGAGAGAACGTAGTTCATCATATGATTAAGCCGACTTAACGTCTTTCTTATCCCCAGGATAAAATGTAAATCCTATCCAGATTTCCGATTCATCGTGATATACTGGGACACCGATCACTTCATTCATTGATTTTCTTATTGCACCGAATAGGTAGAAAATGTGCGATTGAGCAGTTAGTTAATTGAGCAAGTAAAAAATCTCAATAATCAAATAAGAAACCAAAGCCATTTTGCAAAGAGCAAAAATCGGATACTCAAAACAATATTATTTACGCAAAAGAGGCTATGAAATAATTCACTTTATAACAAGAACTAAAACACTTATTAATATTTGACATCAGAAAAAAACATGCATTTCTTTAGCATTAGCCGATTAAAACAATTATATATTACAGCATGCCTTCGTTTCCTACTATTCTTTGAGATGATCATTCCATTTCAAATCACAAAATACTTGGGATCACGAACCAGGTTCTCGCTTGAAATACAGAGTGTTGCAAATTTTCAACTTTATAAATCAGAAATTTCTAAATTACCGTTATTTTAAGTAACCAACCATAAAAATGTGCAAAATTTGATATTGATGTGCCAAATCCCTATTATTTGATAAATTTTTCATCTGGACATATTCCAAAACAGATGATAATTATGAAATAATCGTCATAAAGCCCATCCCTCATTACATATAAAATTTCTTAATTTTCAGGTTTTGCAGAAAGCACCATGTGGAAGAATGTTTTCATTTTAATAGCACCTTGAAAGATAAACCCATTGTGCAAAATTTGTTGATTGGAAAATTTGCTTTCACATCCAACAATTTAAAATTAATGATCGTACAGGCCAATATAAAAAAGGGCATTGCGTCAAAATTTGTATTGGTAAAACCGTGCCACAATACATAGAAGATGTAAATGGCATCTTCAAATAATATACTGCAAAAATATTGACTTGAAGATATGTTCAATATAACAAAGGTTGCAACCTATACAGGTATTTATTAATTCCAACCTTCGTTAATAAATTCAACATGTCTGGCGAAGAATAAATAGGTCTATTCTTAAATAATGCACCAAAATAACTGAGGACTTGAACGTAACAATGAGAATTCATGATAAGTTTAAAAAAACAGTTAGCCAACAATTTGATTATGTTAAAAAAGCTTATTTTTAATAGATTACAATGAAAGATTTTTTGTTAAATTTGAGTAGTGATTTTAGCAAGAGTCAAATTTTTTTGATAAAAACCATATTTTCAGTTTTTCCGAATTCTAGTTTTCGAAACAAATTCATTGTTAAATTCTTCCCAACCCATAATCTTTGAACAATTAAAATTTGAATAAAGTTGCGAATGTGCCTTATTTTCTGAATATCACCGAAAAATGCTGCCTTTCCTTTTTGCAGAAGTGCTATTGCTAACCGAAGAAGTTGACTGAGGTATTCCAAATTTGATTGCTTCAAAAATTCCTTGTAAATTTCTGTCTCCATTGAGCATCATTACGTTTCGAACTCTTTCAACAGCGTCCTGTACATCATCACTCGGCCCTTCAAGAGTGAGATGTTTAAAGTCCGTATGATTTTCAGATAATTTATAATAAAGTTTGAATATTGATTTATCGGTTGATTTTGTTGAAATAGTGTCTTGATTTGCAAAAGAAGACATTGAAGAAGAAAAAGAACCGGAAGAGGAAGACGGTGAAACTGAAAGTGAATTTGCACGATTTTTCGAATCGTGTATTGCGCAATATGCTAACATAGAAACCCGAATAGAAAGTGTTTTTCTAGGTGATAAAAAAATAGCGAAAGTTGATCTTGTCTCTCTGCGATCCACAGGTTCAATATCAACCTGACTGGGACCAACAGAGAAATCGACAGGCGTAACTGGCCTGACTTTGTGCGATTGATAGAATCTGAATGTGACGTATTCCATCGTTGGAACAAATATAAAAGAGTTATCGCTTTGTGAAGGTGTTCTCTGTGTTGGCGGAAATTTGTATTCGTCTTCATTAGGCGGTGAGAGCCCGCTTGACATTGTTTTTACGCTTCCATCAAAAGTATTCGACATATAATTATTTCGGGAACTGTGTTCTCGAACTAAATAAAACTCCATAGTTCCAGTACTTTCCAAAGTTTGCTCTTCATCGACCGCAACACCGACTCTATCCTGGTATTCCAGTCGATACCTAGAATGGGAAAGCAAACATGAAATGACAAAACAATTAATTTAAAATTAAAGATGTTTCAGCAACATCGTTTAACATTAATAAAGATTGTATTAGGATGTTTTATCTAGACTCAAGAGCGAAAGTCATATTTTGAAACTCCCGGCCGTCAAAATGTTGGAGAAACATAAAAAAAAATTAAGTTGATTACCGTAAATATTCCTAACAGTCTATTAAAAAAGGCCTGCATAGGTAAATGTTTTTGTTATCAAAATTTCATCTGGATTTCAGAGATAGAGTCAGAGTCGAAAAGCAAATTCGAGTCGCAAGTCATTGTGAATTTTTTTCTAAAGCAGAGCAACATTTGAAATCATTTAGACTTCTATACTCACCACAGCTCAGAATTTGAATATGACCAATAAAAATAACATAAAAAAATTATGGGTGTATTTTTACAAAGCTCATAACAAGAAGTCACGGAATTACTGGATTTGGGAGGAACATAATATTTTGGGCATGGCATAGCGTTCCAAGCTTCTTTAACACTGGATTATAAAATGGGTGAGATCTAAAATCTCCAACACATATGGTTAGAATAGCAGCCTAAACATTTGGTTCCACAGATATATAATACCAAATACACTGAATTCAAGAAATATCAAAAATGTTCTTTCTTACATCGTACTAAGCAAAAGCTTAGGTTTGGGAGCGTTTCTATAAGTTTGATAAAGCAGATTGAAAAAATTCAAATACCGGTACTTAAAACTAGTATTGCATAGAAATTCACACCTTCCAGTATAAGTTTGCCCTTTTCGCTTCTTCAGTGTTTTCTTTAAAATTTCTCCCATTGTAATACTCAAATCATCAACTCTCACAAGAGACGATCCGCCAAAATCATTTACCTGTAAAAGTCAATCATATTAGAAATGAAACGAGAATATCGGTCGGAGACCGAAGACTTATCGATCGGAGGTTAGGGGATCCTCCAAAACAGCGCTCTTACTCCATAGTGACACCGTGTGTCCCATCACTAATTAATTGATACCTCGCTAATTATACGACATAATTCATCGAAAATCAATAGGCTTCTGTTCCGAACTTTGATGAATGCACATGCAAAATTTGGAGCAGATTCAACCTCGCTTTCGTGAGATATCGCGTGTATCTAACAGACAAACAGACAAATACCTATCAACATACTTACCGATCTTAAGATCGATAAGTAATTATTCTATTCGCAAGGCGCAAGCTATGATATATTTTGAAAATACAACTAAATCAAAATGGTATATAAGGTGGAGATGATTTCTCAAAAGTAACTGTGAAACGATGAACTTTTCCACAATATTGATATACCAAGTGATAACGTTAGAATCACCTGATACCAGAGATGGCCAAAACTGATTAACTTAAATAGCATGTTTGAATATCAAACATATTCTGAATTGGGCGCTCCAGAAGTGTGTGTACTCTGTACCAATATGGAGGTAACGAATTTTGTTCGCCTATTTTACATCAAGTTGTGTAAAAATAAGGAAAATTGGCCTAACCCTAACCTGTTACACACAATACGGGAGTACCCTAAATTGGGTCATAGTTTTAATTTACATTGTTTTGATCAGTTTCCTTTTTTTGCAGTGTCAGAAGTTAGAATCATCATAAGTCAAATGCTTATAAATTTCAAATTAAATTTTTTACCTAAAATCATATATTTGCAAATTGCTATAATCGAATATCGCTGATTTCGAATGCAAATAACTGTATATGCATTCAAATTTCAAATAATCAATTTGTTTTTCGATAACCTTCCTTAGCATTAGCATCCTTCTATATTTTAAAAAATAATCTTGTTTTAATGTTCATAAAATTGTTGCACATATGCATGATAACCATTTTATTATACAGAAACGATAAAGCCGTTATGGGGAAAATGTTTTTCCTTAATCTGGACACATTCCTACATATTATTTATTTTTATATCTTACTTTAACAAAAACAGTTTCTTTAACTCCACTTTCATCGTCATCATCTTCATCAGATGTAATTTTCTTTTCTACCAGTGATAAAGTAGCAAAACTAAACTTGGAAAATGGTTCTGTTGGATCGAGAGGAGGAAAATCTGTATCGACAGTACCATCATCCTCTGCTATATGAAGTGAGAATCTCTGAAAATTAATTTATTTCAATAAATGTTTTTCATACTCCTTGTAAATCATGCACCCAACTTAAAAGGGCTCATTTGGCAGAGATACCAAGACCTGTAATCTATTGTCACAATTTGGCAATTTGTTGACAATTTCAACACAGACAAGAAAGCAGCACTAAAAGTAAAATTCTTTAAAAGTGGAATTCAACAAAATAGATGAACTTTTTTCAACTCAAAGCTTGCATACCATAAAAGAATTATTACTGTGTGCTTACAGTACTTGGCTTTTATGTTGAATGATTAGACTCACAACCAACAAAGTGCACAGAGATTCACTGTTTGATGTGTGAATGTATATTCAACAATCCAAGAATCAATCTTTAATTCAAACTGTTTTATTTGTAGTGAAACATAAAGTAGGTCAAGTATTCCAAGCATTCAATTCACACTTCTCAAAAAAAACTATCTGTAAAAGGACCTTTTGCAGATTATTGCCCAAACATAGTGAATTATTAATTACGGTAGGTATCTTTATTTTAGATATGGATGAGCATTCCTAATCAAACTTGGAGTATGCAAGACAGTTTTTTTCAAATCAATGTCATCTTGATTTTTATTAGTTTTGAAGCCCATGATTAGCGAGAAGCAAAAACAGAAAACAATTTTACCATAATGACACATGGGTTTTCAAACGAAGTAGTTATTATTTTTCCCAATTAGTTAGAATTAAAGCAAAATTGAATACATAAACAAATCCAACATTATTTCCACAAACATAAAAACTATGCAAAACATGTAACTATTCAAATTGAAGTGACATTAAATAGCTGTCATTATTTAATTTAAATTGTTACTTTTGGTAAAATTTGATGAAACCAAGTATTAAATATTATTTCTGTGGGCCAGCCAGCCTTCCACCAAACCAAAATACAAGTATTTATACCACAAATGTATTATTGTTCAATGCCAGTATATACATTGAAAGATGACAGTATAATATCACTAACTACCAAGTATTTGGAAACTAAATTACAACAAAAATATTCATTTTCACTTGTAAAATCAATTTACAGAAATATCACCAAGCCTTAATTATATCTATAATCTTATTTTCGGACTCTCTGAATATGCACAACTAAGAATGACCAAAATCGAATAGTTAACCATTCAAAATACATTCTAAGATCCTTTTTTAAATCTATTCTAGATTCGCTCATGTTCAACAATTAAAATATGCAGGAATCACATGGACAGAAATTGAGTTTAATTATATGATGGTTATTCACACCTATCGCTTCAAACAAGGCCATATAAAAGCATCCATGGATATCTAACGATATACAAGCGGCTATTTTTTTAAATGATCAATAATCTCTCGGGTTCGGCATTGCCTACCCAGCTATTAGAATCTGGGTGATGTGGTGGGCATGGGATTTCAACCATTGTCAGAACTCAGAAAAAAATATCTTTTTATGCCTGACTGTCAGTTATCGAATGCTTATAAATTATAATCATAAATTTTTGAATGGAAATATTTTAGGTAAGATAGGCTATTAATTTTATCGAATATCACCAATATTAAATTTACCTGAATATTCCACTTATCTTTACATTACTGTAACTAGTTACCTAAATTCCAATAAAATAATTTTCATATAGTATTTAAAAATGACCCAGCTGTAATATTATAATACAGCAATGTACAATGTAATATCAAGCAAAACAATATGAAACTACATAAGAAATATAAACAAACCCACTTGTACAGTTTTTCCTGTTAACGGAGGCTCTTGGTTCTCAACAAGATATTTCCAACATGTTAAACCTATGACATCTTGTACCTGATAAACATAAATTTGCAATTGAAATGGTATATGCCGGACTAAAATATTTTATTTCAAGAAACGTTGAAAATAATTGAAGTCATCCAGACAAGGTGAAGCACATCAAAAGGGCTTTGCTTGGTGCTCAGGTGACTTCTATGTTGAATACGATTAGGTTATTTTTTCAAATCTACTGAAACAGATAATACAGTAAATAAATAAATCTTTCACATCAGAAAATTAGAAGAATAATATTTTTGTGTAAAGGGAAGATGGTTTGATGATGACATTACCGATATACTTTATTTAGAAACACACATCCCTTTAAAAAATGGTTAAATCATAATCTGATTAAACAAAACAAGACATAATACAACACATAAATTAATGGGCATGAAGTCAAATGTCAAAAAAGCATTCTGTGAATTACAATGAAACAGCAAAATTTGGGGTGAATACTGGGCCCCATAGGCCTCGGAACAAGATTACCAAAAATAGGAATAGCCTAGCCTTTAATTAATCTTCAACTTCAAGTTTGAAAACAATTAGTCCAGTGGTTGCAGCCTTGCAGGGAAAAGCGATTTCTTCACAACATCACCAACTCCAATGATCTTCCCAGACTTACGGTAACCATAATTTACCAAAGGGATCTATATATATATATACTTTGTAGCCAATGAGGTATTAGAACAGGAGTGGGCACAGTGCCAAATATTTTGCCCACACAGACTGGCAGGCCATAGAAGTGTAACATGGAAAGTACAAGCACACAAGACAAAAGAAACGGTGTGGAGAGCACGCCGTCGAGTGAGTGAGCGAGAAAACAAGTTAAAGTTTTGTTATTAAAGTCCCCCATATCATGAAAGTATGTGGTAACCTAAAATACAACTTACACATGCTACGATCATAGTCTAACAAGCCTTTTGCAGGGCGAGATTGAATCACCTGACGGCCGAATTTAGTCCGCTGGCTGTAGATAGCCCATGTTAACCTCAGAATGAAGTGTTGCAGTTGAGAAGTTAAAAAAATACATCGAAATTTTAAAAAATACGGAATCATGAACTGCGTATGCCATTGTAGCTGACCCACCTTTGCCTTTTGTGCTAGTACCGACACCAACATTGCAAATCTTGGTTTCTCCGCACCATACGGCCAAACAAATATATCCACTTTTTTTACTCCAGCTGTTTGTCCTGGACCATCAAATTTCGAATATTCGCGAAATGGATTATCATACTGATCCGTAGACTGCGTTATTAATAAAGTAGACAATGCAGAAATGGCGTTTTTCTTTTTCGAATAAGTCCCAACTTCATTACTAGTTATGATTTCAGGCAGACCGTTCGTAGATATATGATTTGAGAGATGAGGTACTGGTATCTGTAACACAACTCCATCAACCGTAGGAGAATTCGAGTGATCGTCTTTCACAGCAAAACCATAATGTTTTGTTTCTTCACTATTGCTAGGTAAAGTTGTTGAAGATATTACATTCGCACTGAACTTGACTCTGCTCAAGGTAGTGGAAATATCATCACTCGTGAAAACTTCATCATCATTCAATCTTTTCTTCTCAAACATTGTGTTTAGTTGTTCCTAAGTTAATTCAGGATAAAAATGGTACAGAAATAATAAACATCAAATGATGGTGGATGATAGAAATATTGAGTATATCATGTAAATCAAAGTTTCCTGTATTTGTCATCATATTGGTGAGAGCTGGAAATGCTGCCTACTACATGTATGTTTTTGCAAGAGGCAATAAAATTTTAATTGTCTCTCCTGACAGAAATTGATACAGGCATTCATCTGCAGCGCTCAACCAAAGTACGCATTGCAATCAATCATTAAAGATCGATCACATTCTTTTCATATCGTCATGGACCCTTGGTGAAGCCATTGCGTGGGTTGGGAAACCCTGATGTAAAGAGAGCTATTGTGCTATAGTAATTTCAAAATGGTTTATAAATAGATAGCTATTCTATACTTTACAGAAAATGTTAATTGAAATTTCACAAATATTTTACTATTCTCGACTGATTAACCAACCAACCAACCTATTATTGCAAAGCACAAATAAATTCCTAAATAGAATTTATATTGAATTGCCTCTATGCCTCAAGCGCCATAGAAATCTAAAGTATACCTCGGTTATCTTTGGGTTCTTTTTTCTCCAAGGCACATTGTTTACTTTGACTCTACTTTGTCTCTCTTTACGAATTCTCTCAAGTTTCTGAGCGGTGTTTGATCGTCTACGAACCCCAAAATCCCAACCTGTAGAATAATACATTTGTTTAGCTTTCATGCCGTGCATCAACTCGGTTAAAATGCAAAACCAATCGTAAAAATGATGGATTTTTGGGATTTTGTAGATGTACAGAATATGTAGGTTCAACTTCCAGATACAATGATTATTGAAAAATACTGCTGTATCATATTTGACTATTACTAACATAATCGTTTATAATGGAACAAATATTATTTTTGTCCAATTAGTTATATTTATAAATGTTTCAATTATTAAATTTCTGTGGTATGACAAAAATAACAGTTGACAAAACAATAACTAGGAATACAGGCAAAACTAAATATCGAAAAAAAATTTGTTCAGATAAGGCAAAAATAAGAAAGTTATAGCTAGTTTATATTTAGCCTCCATACGTATCATATTGATCTATACTGCCATGTTCTTTTGTTGCGACAAATTAAAAGGGAAATCGCCTATTTGGAAAAAAATGCTTTCAACACCAGTAGTATCATCTATAACCATTTATCAGATTTGGCCATCAACCATACTGGATTCCATGGCAGGTGCACACCAGGAGCGCTAGCACTCCGCAAAAATGCACGCCAGCAAATTCAATTTTGCACGCCGAAAAGTTGCAACTGCTCACCAATGAAAATCGATTTAAATGGCTTTTAAATTAATAATCCAGTAATATAAAGATGCCAACAAATTGTAGCTCCACAATTGTCGACTATATACTAGCTTGCAAGATTTCGCCTGATCGAAAAATGCGAAGCAATAAAGACCGTATTTCAAAATTGCTTAGCGGTATTTCAAAATTGCTTAGCGGTATGGCGTATCGTGTTGAATGATAGGAATCCCGTGAGAATAGATCGCCAGACTAGCCGGCGCTGGTCAGTTAGGGCTCTGATTCTACGTATTTTTTATACAATAATTTTACACGGATGTACCTAAAGTCTATCTAAAGTTGCACAAACACTCTCAAAATTAGTGACGAAGTATAGTAATAATATTCGTCAAACGTCAAACGGCCATTTTGTTCTGATTCAACATATTTTTTATCCAATAACTTTACGGGGATGTACTGAACAGTATCTAAAGTCAAAAATCATTGCACGTGGGCACAGTTGTTTTGCACGCTGTGAGCTATAATTGCAAGCCGGGAATTCTAATTTGCATGTGAGAATTTCTGATTGTAAGCCGATTTCTCATTCAAAAAAGCCATGAAATCCAGACTGGGCCAACAAAACCCTCGATACAATGAAAACAATTCTGTCCTTCAACATATAGTACTTCCTCATGTATCAGTAGTAGCTCATGAAGGTAAAAAAGCCTCATGAAAAATTTCAAACCAGAAAGAATATCAGGTGATGGAGCAAGAGGAGAAAGTGCTTCAGATGAATCAGCATCGATAACAGGATTAGAAGATGAAGTAGTTGATGATTCTGATGGTGTTCTTCGAGGAGATCCAACAGGTGTTGATCTTCCAAATGATTCAGGTAAACCTTTTTTCTGAAATATCAATGATATTCTGTAAATATCTTGTATTATTATTATAGGGTCTTTTGTCAATCAATCCCTCATTCCATGCTGGACCATATACAACAACAATGAGTTTCTATGTCTTTAGCGTTTGACCCTCTATACAAAATATACCGTACTATGTTAAGATATTATTTTGAAACTTACTAAAAAAACAGAAATAAGCGAAACGACACAATATTCATTATATTATAAATCCAGATGAACTCGGCCATTATTGCATTTATTTTATCTTAAATACAAGTTCAGAAGTTAGGGTACCGTACCGGTACCATACTCAAGATAAATACAGAATGTGGTTGCCTATCAAATAAAACAGCCGTTCTCCTACTTCTGTACTTCTCAACAATGACTGTCCATAAGATATTAAAGGCTAAATTTGCAATAATACCAGAATGTCTGAAAGAAGAGACCTCAATTTCAGATATTTTTATTGTTCGAATTTACTAAAAAATTTGAACTTACTTGATTCTTTTTCGCCCTTTCAATGCGCTTAGCTTCTTTTAACTCTTTAATTCTCAGCCTGTGTTGTGACAATGTCATCATATCGTTCTCCTGAAGAACCATTTCGCACATTCCTGTGTCATCGCTTGTAATGAAGGAATGGCGAATGTGATCCAAGAGCCAGTCTGGATTGTCTAACATCGCCATGCTTTGGTAAAATAAATACCAGCATTTGTTATCTCATCAAGAATTTTCCCGCGTCGCTAATGAATAGAAAATCAAAAAGAGCACAAGCAAACCCAAACTCATGAACTCTCTCGCCAGTTCGCACTCGCGTAATTTTCTTATTTCAGTGTCTTTTAGTCTTCGAAGCCAGACTGACAACACCGCGGTTTTCCCAGAGGTGCATCGAGTCTCCATATACTGTATTAGGAGTCATAACATTTCAAACCGTGCGCGACTACCCGCCTGTGATGAAACCATTAAACTGTTTCCATACTTCCCTTTCTTTTAGCCAAATATGAAAGCCCCTATTCGCTTCAATTATTGAAGTTGACCTCCCAATTGCTTACATTCACCAATATCAATAAACGACCGACAGTTAAAATCTGGTGGAACTGTTACTCTTAGGATTTACGGCCGTTTTCCTTTTCAACCATTTAGCGGCCTTTTCTCTCTACCGTTCTAAGCTGTTTAATCGTAAATATATACTACTAATATGCGAAAAGCACATCCAATTTTTTGTACCTCCCTGTCAACGCTAAATAAATCAAGCTGTAATTCCAAGGACGTTTATTTGAAGCGATTCACTTTAAAATACAAGAAAAATAAAATATTTAGTCCGTTCCAAGTTCAAACAAACACTGGGCTCAATACAAGCGAGTACAGTGCACAATTACCTATACGTCTTGCAAGCAGGGTCAAGCATTAAACTCAATATGAAACCTTTCAAGGCACACTATCAATTCCCTCACGAGTTGGAATTCATATAGACCTATGAATTAGTGACACTGTGAGTCTGTGACGACACTTATAAAACAAGAGAGCTATGCTCAAATATATGGACAGATAATTTGGATGACGTCATAGCGAAAAAAAAAAGTAATAGCCTTCTGGAGTAATTTTTCATCTTCAACCACTGAAAATTTCAAATCAATTGGTCCAGTATTCGAAGAGAAAAGCGATTTCTTCAAAACGTGTTAACGGAGACAAATAATAACAATAACAACAAAATTTTGAAACGATTGTTATGTCCACTACGTGTCCAACAAGTGAATATAACTGAAGATCATTAGCATCTAGGCCTTGGCCAACAAAAATCCTTCAATGTGATTTTAAAAGATTATAAACACTCAAGTTCTATGTAAAAATCTTTTTTGCTTGCATTTGACCAATCATAATTAAGCTTGTACTCAAACACAGATGTTTATAGGAGTGAATATGAATGAAATATTTTGTCCCATGCCATTACAATTGATAACCAACCCCAATTGACCCATAAATGTCTTTGGAATGCTGACTGGAAAAGATGAACAGCAGGGGTTGTTCAAATAAAAATGACTTTTCTAGAATGGGATTTTCACACATACAGAATAGAACAAACATTTTATTATTCAATGCATTTTTCTTTCTCACACTTTGTAAAACTTGTACACTGCACCATTGAAGATAAAATTTTTCATATAACAAGAGATTTTAGCATGTCCTAATTTAGGAATTTTGTTTAAAAGCCAATTGCTAATGTATTTTCAGTTTGTCAACACAGTTTACATAGCAATAGCCAAGAATGAAATGTAACTCAATGATGAGAACACTCCCTGGCATGCACAGAGCTGCATACGTACTGACAAAAATTTTCTAAATAGATACGGCACACCAAAACTGAAGGCATTGTTTTTATAAAACTAAATATTTTTGTATTTAAGACTGTTGTAACATGCATGGAAGAGCTTCAACCAAACCACTGGAGTTGGAACATAAATCAAATGAAAAGTGCTGAGCAATCTGAATGGAATCAAGGCTTCCCATTGAATGTAGCTCCAGCACAGTTCTCAAGCTTTTTTTCTAATACATAGGCATCGGAAGGCTCTATTCTTTTGTAATAATGGCTTTCAGTTTGAACAATTTCGAAACCGAATTTCATGTAGAAATCCAGAGCAGATTGATTATTGACTTGAACGTGTCTGAAAATAATAATCATAAACAGGAGTTAGTAGAAGCGCTTGAAACAAAAATTGCATGAATTCATATTCAAGGTTAGAATAGTCTTGGCATGAGGAGCATTATTGAAAGTGTGGAATAGGTTGAATATTTAGTAATATTAAACTAGAATTCTCCAAAATTAATGAGGTATTCTTGAAAAAAAAATAAACAGCCCAAACCTTTGAGAATACACATTTGTTTCTAAACAACAGGAAATAAAATACTCACAAAAATATTGCTGTAATATTTTTATCAGCTTCACATATTTTGAAGACATGGTTGAGCAATACTGTACCAACACCATGTCTTCTGTAAGGTGCTAAGCAACCAAGCGTCATTATGTATAATCTCCTTTTTCCTTTTGAATTATCTATTCGACAACATACTGCACCAACCACTATATCATTGAAAAATGCTGAAAAACAGTATTTTCAAATGCCAAATACACAGATTTTCAAGTGTAATATAAGGATAGGATGGGATTTACATATTTATCCAGGGTGAGAGGAAAGTCGATAAGACGGCTTAATATATGGCGAACCACGACCTCTCGTCTGGTTACCATTCCATGTCGGGTATGGGATTAGTTACTTATTTGTTTTCGGAAGCATGGACTTGATGGTGGTGGAAGCCGCAGAGGTGCAGTGGCGAGCGTATTCCTACCACTTAGCATGATGAGCCACATCGCCGCGCCATATAACTTCAGTCTCTTATGGAAATAAGGAAAATTTAACTATCAAAATATGCCAATTCGCTTATAATTTGTGTAGTATAAATTATCAGTTTTGGACATTAGTGATTTGAATGAAAAAACATCATCTTACCAAGCTTTGCCAAGTCTCCAACATCAAGAACATCTTTATAAAATTTGTCATTGTATGAAACTGGAAAAATAACTTGATTCAAAAGTTTCAATTGTTTTATATTGTGTTGTGTGATATCTCCCAGTTCAATACGAACTCTAAAATAAAAAAAATTAATAATAATTTTAAATAAATCAAACAAATACTCAAAGATACATATAATTCCATGCATCTAACAGTGAAATGTACCAGAAAGCTTTGTACCAAACAGCAAGGTGTCACCAAAGATGCTCAGGATGACAAATTGATATATATTCATACTATCTCAGAAAAAGATGACCATAATATTACACAAGGTACTTTTTTGATTACTCGACAATCCATGTCAGGCTTGCAGATGTATGGATGTTGACATTACAGGGAGAGAACATAAATAATCAGTTTGTATGCATAAGAGTGATGTAACAGAACAGAAAGAAACCTTTGGTGAAATCTGGACATGGGTCAGTAGTGCAAGATTTTCGATTAACAAATTGAAAATAATAGCTTACCCATCCATTGCAGTAGGAACTAACAAATTCTTCATTGAAATTTCAAACGCTAGTTAATTTTCCACAGACCTTCACTGCAGTTGACGTCGATGAACAAGATTGTTGACAATTGTTTCACAATTAGACAATAAATAGTATGGATTCTAAAATGAGGGAATCGAAAAAAAAAAAAAATTTGAATACACAAAACTCAGTAAGAACATATAATCAGGGTCTCAACATTTTTCTGAGTAATGTAAGAACCAATTCACCACCACAAGCTATGGACAATATTCATGGTGACCCCATGAGTCCTGTGGCACTACGACGAATGCATTTCTACAACGTTTCATCTGACCAAAGTCATACTTTTCCAGACAAGCATACTTCAACAATGACAAAAATAATGATAGCATGCACATGAATAATGGTTATCAATTGTTGAATTTGTTTCCAATAGTGAGAAAAAAAATTGTGGACTCTCCAAGAACAATAGGGAAGTAAGTTAAAATGTAAGGAAATGTAGAGACTACTAGATCAAAGTCTTATTTGAGTTTTTGTAACTTTGCCTTGGACAAATATTTCATTAAAAATCCAATTGAAACAGAGAAACAAAAATCAGCACAAGGTAAGAAAATTGTAAATGAATAAAACATGAACGATTTTCATTTCACCTTTTTTGCAAGTTTGTATATTATCAGATTGTAGATAAGTATACAGAAATATATGCATTTACAAACACATGATAGAGAAAAACTAATAAAATACACTGATTGAATAGTTGGTATGACCAGTGGCTTTCAACAAATTTGCATTTATTGATAAAATAAACAAATGTTCATACATAAGTGACACAAAATCCAAATGAATAAAACAGATTATAACAATATCTTTGTTAAGCAGTGCTGTTATATATATAATATATATATAATCTAATACTTTGCTTTATTATTCATTGAATTTAAATCAACAAATTCACAAGCAAGATTTTTGCTACTGTTTTTATACCAGTGTTGTAGAACCAAATTAGTAGTAGGCCTAGTAACTTCATTTCATCTTATCTGTCAAGGTAATAACTATATGGATAGTGACAAATAGACAAGAAAAATGAAGACAAAAAAAAATTGAAACAAATATAGATTTAAAAACACACAAAGTCGCACAAAACTTCAGTTATTGAATTCAGGTTCAAACTTTGTAAAAGAATAAACTTGGGAATTCGAAATATATATTCATTTATATATAGGCCTACATCACAGCTAAAACACAGGCTGAGAAATTACCGTTTCAAAATAAAGTGTATCACTTCTGAGCAGCAAATTGTGGAATAATGAGTTTCAGAATATTGAATGAAATTTTCATCAATAAAATATGACAGTTAGCGAACAAAACACTAGTTGCAGTGTAGCACCCAAATAAATTTTAGAAAATCATATAGCCTACAGGCTTACCCAATAGCATTCCTGGAGAATGAAGAATACCATGATATTCCTCCACAAAATAGCAAGCATATTTGTAAGCTTTCATTAAGTCATATTCTTTATAAAGTACTTCAGGCACACAAGCATCATTGTAAAAACAAAGATTTTCAGGATTGAAAACTAGAAAATTATGTGATAAGAAACATCTGTCTACTGTTGTCTCGGCTATTCATGCTGGTTTATCAGAATGTCTATAAAGTTAGTCCGTTTTTATAGTTCCTGTTTTTTATTTGTATATTGTTATTGCAGTTGTATTATATTGAAATTGACACATAGACAAAATCACACCTCCAGACCGATCATCACATACTGCGACACATCATCACAGTAGACATACTGCAATATATAAATGATAGTACCGAAATCAACAAAATCCAAAATTTTGAAAACATAATAAACCAAAAGGTTTTACCTTGCAACTTTGAATTCAATGATAAAATTTCCCACAAATTCAAGGGACATCCAACCAAAATGGTGACCAAATATTTGAGCTGTTCCATGGCCATAATTGAAACTGGGATATTTGGAGATTTTTGACTTACGCTTTTACAAAAGATTTATAACATAACTGGGACATCAAAATTATAAGACTTGAAAAAACATATACAATACTGCTACCATTCACTCATTAAGTTTAATTCCAAACACTCCCTGCCATTCTTAAACACAATGCATCATCTGGTAGATAATAGGTTAGGAACAGGAAGTTTACTCTAAGTAAACAGACACCCATCAATACATCCTGGTACCTGAAGAACACATACCAGAACAGTAGCATGGATTATGTAGATATAGATATATTTGTTAGGAATTGCTGAAAAACACATCTTGTCAAAGCCACTGACAGAGCCAAAAAGACAGGCAGAGCAAAAATACTCATCCCATAACAGATGAAAAGAGAACGGGCCATAATAATTCTTATGATATCTGCTATCTACTTGTCATATGAATTGGAAAAAAATTTTAGAACTATATCCTAAAGCAGGACATTTAACGTAAAAAATGATAAACCAATATAGACATATTTTCTAGTTTATGATGGAAATTCGGTCCTAAGAATATTTATGATCTGTCTTCACAGTTACATCTTGTTTTGTCCGATGTAGTTAGACTTCGATCGCTTTGAAAGCTTACGAATATATCTACTATTATAGCAGTTGAATAAAGAGGGAGAATTAACTAGCGCCAGTGATTTTCGATAATTAGAAAAAAAATTATAACTTTAAAATTACTAAATTTCATCAAGGAGATTACTAAGTGAACATTGCATAAAAACTAGTGAACAATGTATTTAAAACAAACAAAAAAATTATATCAAATATACAATAAAATCAGAAAGGTATACATGATTACGAGTGGATACAATAATCAAAGACATTATATGTTTAAGAAAATATGTCATTACAGAGAATTTAAAAATATAACAAAGGGTTACTAAATATCTGGATAAAAAATTCTGGAACTTTTCTTGAAGAAATATTATTGAGAAAGTGAACTTGCTACCGTGCAAAAAATTATTAATCAAATCAATCAATAAAAAATTTATTTATTTTTTAAAAATGTATAGAACGTTCGCTTCCTATTCAATATTCAAAAAAGTCTAATTGATACCACAAAAGCATATGCTATTGAAGCAATGCCATAATATACAAGGTCACTTGAAAAAACAGAATCCATAAATTTCCTAATTACTCTGTGAAAATGGAGTAAATTATTTGATTTTGTTTATACTTGAACTTCTGTTTGTGTATGTTTGTACCAAATCATTTCATTAATCTAGGACGTTTTGTTCAAATTATGTAATCTTTAAAAAATGTTTCAAATTCTGTAGAAGTTATCAACAAACTTATGGATTCTGTTTTTTAAGGGTCACCATATACATAATATAATCAGTGCTAATCCATCCTTCCCAGTTCCATTTATTTACAAACTGATTAAGCCAATTTTTGTGCAACATGCAATAAGTCAGCATCACGAAGTGTGTTAAAAAGAAACCCCACTGTAACATTTCCATTTCTTTCTTTCCATCTTCTTAGCATTTGATAAGTAATCTCTGGGAATCCATGCTTGTGAAAATTGGCCTCAATATTATCAAGTTGGGCATCACTAAATCCTAGGTAAAGACCGAATCTTCGCCAATGACGGCCAAGTTCTTCGGCGACTAGATACAGTTCATCAACACCAACAAACTTCGAATATTTTTCCTCTGATAATGTTGGATTTGGTGCAATTGGCGGAGCTTTATTATCTGGAGGTGGTACCGACACTGAGCGACTGAGTTCCATCTGAGGATCGGTTACAGGAACAATCAATGAAACCATAACAGGCTTTGGCTGTGAAGATGCTGAATTCTGGAAAGGAACTGTGTCATCGTTTCTCTGCATTGGTACAGCAACGCCATCATTTGCATTAGCTCTCCCGATATGAGATGGAGCATCCAATCGCCTATGGTGATGCCTTGCAGGCTGCTGATCTCCTGTAGGCGCTGCTATTTCCGAGTCAGGAAAATAAAAATCTTGAACATTTTTTTGACACTCGAGGGCAGCCTTTCTTGAAGCATCCTCACAATTAGCAGACACTGGCCCAATTCGATGAACAAGATCCTCAAATGTGGGTCTCTTTCGTTTCTCGTCCTGCCAACATTTTTTCATAGCATCAGATAACACTTCGGGATGTTCACGACTTATAATTGAGATATCCGGTCTTTCGCCCTCCAAAACACCAACACAAATTGCACCTGTATCTTTACCTTCATACGGTATCTTATTGGTTAGAATCTGCCACAGGACGATAGAATATGCATATACGTCGGCGGATTTGTCAGCAGCAGCATTTACATCTCTGATAAGCTCAGGGGGTACATGACTTATCGAGCTGCCCCCAGATCTTCTTTGTGTTGATTGCAAGGTTTGGCTATAAATTCTACCACATCTTGTCCAGTTATTCATTTCCATGTTTCCACTGAGACCTATATCAGTTATTTTGACTTGAACATTGCCAGTGACAAGTATGTTTGTACACTTTAACAATAGATGCAAGATGTCCTTCTGGTGAAGAAAACACATTCCCATTGCAACTTCATGCGATATTCGAGTTTTCAAGGGCCAAGGAATATCATACCGTTGCAAAAGTTTAGTGAGCGATCCATATTCAGCATATTCAAACACGAGACATAAATGCCCCGGCTCTATAACTATACCCAGTAAACGAATGACATTCCCAGATACAATCGAAGACAACTTTTTGGCTTCAGTTATTAAAGAATTTCGCTCTCCTTCTGAGACATGATGTTGGCGCGATATGATTCTAATAGCAACTTTATTGAACATACGGTGCCTAGCTGCATATACGACACCATAATCTCCATCCCCAATTTCAACTTTCTCTGTGAAGTCCCCGTATTTAAACTCATGGAAACCTTGGGTTGATGAAGCATGCGCCATTGCTTTTTGCCAGTGCTAATAGCTTATTATTATTACCATAACATATCTCTAGATTACAAGAATTGAAAGGATAAAAATGTTATGCGAATTATGACAGAATGTCCATTCAGAGTTTTTGAACTACTCATGGCATGAAAAAAAAATAAGTGACCCACTGTGTACCTTTTCCTAATTCCAAAATTTAAGCTTAGTTAAATCAATGATCAATAACTATTATTTGACTTTGACGATTATGGAAAGCGTCAAATAAAAGTTTTCAATAACGATCCTGATTGCCCAGCACATCCATTATCTTCCCAATGTTCATCGTATAATAAAGCCATATCTTATAAGATTTCTCATTTCCTATCCATAAAAATTCGGGTCTCGTGTAGTTTCGAACGAGAGAAATGGCTATTCGATTTCGGGTTTTTGTCTGCGCGTCTTGGATGACAGTTTGTATAGTTTGAAGGGCTCTATTATGTCACTGTGATGTCGTAGTGACCTCATTTTTGGATGGTGTGGTCAGGTGGGGGTTAGGATTGACACGTAAAAAGATTGGTATGCTACGCCTACTAGAAGTATGTTAGGTACGAAACTACATAAGACCCAAAATTTCTCTCCTATCCTATTGCTTTATTCACCAAAAATCAGTACTTAAATGAGGTGTCTTTAGTTTACTTTTTGCCAATGATACAAAATAGTTATCGAAAAATAAGAAAATATTATTCAGTATTGCCTCAAAACCAGTAAAACTGTAAAAGCTGATCGAATATACACTTTTTATTAACGTTCTAAATATTGATTTAACCTAGCCTCTTAATTTATTATAATTAAAAAACATATTTCTTTCTTACATCATAGTCATAAAATAGATAAATACACATAGACACAGGTTTAAATAATGTGCAATTATTGGCTTAAAAATATTTGATTTCAATACAGAAGTGAAAAGAACTCCTGCACTTCGATGTCCTGATGTACGTTCAAATTGAGGAACTGATTTTCGAATTAATATTACTGTGTTTAGGTACAAGCTCATCAGTTATGAAAGAGAAATGTCGTACCATATCGGCCAATCATACCCACAGTTATATTTTAGTACCGATACTTCTGCATTTTTTTTTATGGGATAATATAATAAAATATAACCAAAAGTATATAACCATTCAATCAATCATAAGATAAATAATCCAATATTCATTTTTCATAGGTCCATTCCATCAGTGTTTGAGGACGAGGTGTTGATCGCATCGGCATACAATTCATCAATTTTAGTATATTGAGTTATAGGCCTATTATGTACAATAAAAGTAAAATATTAAATATATTGGACATGTTCATTTTTATACATACTAAATTTATACACACTTGATTTATATTTCCAATACAATTCCTTAGTATTTCAAATTCTCTGACAAAATTAGGTGATTTTCTATTTTTTCCAATGTTGAGTCTGTTGTAAGTGATTGCAGTTTTTATTTGTTAGATGGTAGGTGCTGATTAGGGGGACAATCTTCGAATATAACAGACTTTCTCTGTATCCATATTTTATATCTAGTAATTGAAATTAAAAAAACAATAATATCTAAATCTCGTCTTGTAATGTAACAAATAGCTCAAATCCAACAAAACACAAGTTTCTTAATTTTTCAAAAGTCTGGCATTATTTAATTTCCTAACAGTATTTTCAATAAAATCCAAAACATAATCAAAATATTCACAACTCATAAATAGATGGCTAACAAATTCTGGTTCTTCTCCCCATAACAAACACATATCATTTACTGCAATATTTCTTATTCCAGGTTTTGTTTTCACTGGTAAAATAAACCACATTACAGCATTAACTTGAAATTAAAGGTTTTCATATACCGGTACGTAGTTTGCCAGAATATCATTATGAATATTCTCACATGCAATATTTAAACTTCTGCATTTCTAATTCCAGAATTCACATCACTGCATCATGTTACACCACATCCAGACATCATTGATCACATACCTCTGTACCCAGGTACCTGCTTATCGTCTTGCGGTACCGCAGATGCATCTTTACCACGTTCAGCTGTTCTGTGCTCTGGTGCTGGGCCTGTCCTTGTATAAATTACGCAATTCAATTTGACACAATGTAGGTCAGTAGGCGACGCTTCAAACTCAATGCCTGAAAACTCAATCGTGGTTGTGGAATCGCCCTATTGCGAAGAAAAATCTAATGAGGCATCCAGGGAAGGTCGGGGGGCGACGAGAGGTGTCACCCCTAGTTTACCAAAAACCAAACCCCCGGGATTACCCGAACCTGAAACTCATAGTTTTCAGAGCATTTTTGGAAACCTGAATTTTTTAAGCCAAACTCGGGTTTTAGGTACACTATAAAGTCATACTACCTTATTATATATAATATATTTATAATTACCTATAGGTAATACCGTGTTTTCCCGAAAATGAGACTGGATCTTATTTCAATTTTCTTCCGAAAAATAACACTAGGGCTTATTTTCGGGGGATGTCTTATATTTGCATTTATCAAAAACAAAATTACAAAGTAGAGAAATACGAGAATTTTCAAATATGCAAAATATGAAAACCGATAACCATTTACTTATAAATAACACGTTTTTATTTAAAATTACTGCAAAACATAGATTTCATCAATCATTCAAAACGTATAGGAGAGATTTCTTTAATAATAAGTTTAATATAAGCCACTCCCTTTAAAATAAGACATTTTCAAAATTCAGGCTAGGTCTTATTTTCGGGGTAGGTCATATTTTCGGGGAAACGCGGTACCTATCTTTGTAAAAGCAATATTTTAGTTCTTGTTCCCTTGATCATAAAATGAATAGTATTTGGCCACTACGGTATGTTAGTCGTTGGCCACTACTTATGCAATGTCTATTTGGATAGGATAGGATTTACATATTTATCCCGGGGGAGAGGAAAGCCGATAAGACGGCTTATCCATATGGCGAACCACGGACTCTCGTCCGGTTACCATTCCAAGTCGGGTATGGGATTATTTATATTGTTTGTTTTCGGAAGCATGGACTTGGTGGTGGAGGAAGCCGTAACCGACCAGCGGTTACGTGAACCACCCAACGACGGCGAGGAGTCCAGCAATCCTCTCGCACATAACCATCCCTGCATGGGATTCGAACCGGCGAACCCACGCAGAGTAATTAGAGGGGCGGTGGCGAGCGTATTCCTAAAGCTTAGCCCGTTGAGCCACACCGCCGCGCCTGAAAGTTAATAATCATTGAGTTTAATAACTAACTAAATTAGGTGCAATCCATTCATATTTATATAACATAACTTGAATAACTCTCCATAACCCCATGCAATTTCAATATATATAGGCTACTGTAAATAGAATTGCGGCCACTGTGAGGAGGTGAACAAATGGGTAAAACCTAAGATCTTTAACATGTTACTTTAACATAGTGAAGTCCAACCTTTCAATTATTTGTTCGTCACACATATGATTGTTTGTTTACTTTTTGTAATATGTGACTACGATATACTGTCTAATGTTACCCTCATATTTGATAACTTCAATTGGAATTATTATGATATTATTAATTGGTATCGCTGTTTGTTTCGATTATAACTTTAATTTAAGTTCAACTGTTATAAAGATTCTAATATTGAAACGAAGTAATAAGATATTATGAAACGGGTGCTGAAACCTGAATAAAAGGTTAATTTAAATTAGGTGCTGTCCGAAGATGTAACGTTATGGTGGAATCCTGGTTCCTATTTGTCACACACTGATAGTGATAAGTGATATTTATTATGAATAGTAAGAGTTGAAATCAAATCTCCTATTTATATAGTGCTGTAATTTATTTTCATACATCAGGTTGCATCCTATTTTTGTGAATGCAATATTAGGATTCTTTTTCCCCTCATCATAAAATGAATATTTTCCCAATTTTATAGCCATCTGCAGTAGCCTGATTTTACTTATGCAATGACTATTTGAATCATCCATAATAGAGAGATGCTCATTAATTTTTAAAGTTGATAATCATTGAGTATAATACCAACTCTTCATATAGAAACATGCTTCATATTGAAAATTATTTGTTCATCATACATATGTTTGTTTATCTTTTCATAATATAATTTGTTTAATACTACAATATAGTCATCCAATAACTGTGAATCCTATGGATAACAGTAAATTTGGGGGGACCTAACTTAGATGACCGTATCGTCGTATCGCTTCCCCCAGTCTTCACCAAAAAACAATGAATATTTATTTGTATGTATGCTTTTCATTTATGTGTTCTCTCTCTCTTTTGATGACTTCTAAATCCCAACCAATTGTTCAAAATCTGTGCACGGATTATAAATGTAAGTTGTGGAGACAGCGAACTGCATCCATAAACAAAAAATAACTGACTAACTAATTTCATACCTGACATGGACTGGTACCCGCGCGGACGAGAGGCCGTGGTTCGCCATATGATTAAACCGTCCTATTGGCTTTATTCCCGCTGGATCAGGGGTGCACAACCTTTTTGCTATTGGCGGCCATATTGCATTTATTTTTATACAATACGGCCGTCAGGAGGTTAATAGCGCGATTTGGCTTTATGACGTCATAACCGCGTATTTGACCCGTGCGAGGTGCACTCTGCCAAATTATGAAGTATGTAGGACTACTTGGAAGTATAATATTCGCATTTTAAAAGGATTTTTTTTTCGGTGGACCTATTCTAGAGCAGATATATTCAGCAAGTTGCATAATGGTTGCACAATTTTGAAAAAAATCGAAAGTCGGGGAAGGGCGGTCGCCCCCATTTTCTTGTCCCCAAAAGTATAATGAAATGTCAAATATTCTTATGAATTTATTCTATAAAAGTTTGCAAAGAATTGTAGCAATTTAATGACTCCTTTGGTCTTGCATGTGGGCAGATAAACTTGCAAAGTGAGGTAACTGGCAGCAAATACACCATCTAGATTGTGACGCATCGTGTCGTCTGACTTTTTTGCAGTGCTTCTGTTTTGCTTCAATATACGCCAGCATAGCCGCCAAATCCTATATTTTGAACTTTTTTTTTCATAGGATTTTGTATG